ATAGGCACGGATAAAGTATCCAAAACACCACACCCATTCTGGTCCTTGGTGATAATTGCGGCCCTTGGAGGTTGCAAAATCAGTACTATCTTCACCATTATTGTAGTAGGGCCTATAGTTCCAGTCTGAAGGATCCAAAGTTCTCATACCAACAGGTCCTCTGATGATCTTGTCGGCCACATTAATCGCAGTCAATGCTTTTTCTGGGGTGAATAATTCGGGAGCCACCATCATAGCTATAGGAAAGTTGGCCCGCAACTGGTAGTCTTCATATGGTTTACCTGTGCGGAACAAGTCCTTGTAAATACCTCTTCTGTTCACCAAAGAGGAATCGATCTCGTACTTTTGGTCATCTTGTGGGTCTTCTGGAACATAGAAACACCGCTCAAAATTATTTCGCACCAATTTGTCCCATTCTTCAAACAGAATGGTAGATCCATCGTCCCGCTTAACCAGCTCATATTTGAACAAACCCTTCGATTGAAGCTCAAGAACAAACCTAAGGGTACTTTTGAGCAAACCTTGAATCTCAACTGCTGCTCCATCTCTGGGAGTTCCAGGGACTCCTTTTGAGCCAGCCTTTTCACTTTCACCCATCTTGTCCATCCAAGTACCACAATTCGACTGAGATCCTCCATGAACAAGACCTGTTTTCCAGTCGACGAAAACTTTGACATTGAAACCTTCATCTGTCATTTGCGAGTCAAGGTTGACTCCTGCGTTGGCTTCACGATAACTGATTCCCGAAGCATGGCGCTGGAGAATCTCGAAAATGACATCCCGTATTGAAGTTTTGTAGCTGAACGCTCTCTTATCATCATGTGGGATATAGGTGTCATCCAAGGGAAATCTACGGTCCACTTCCACGTCTAAAATTTCGGAACCATTGGGCACATGCTTCACATATTCTTGAATCGACTGGAGGAAAAACCATGCTGCATCTCTAGCATTGTACCGTGGGTTTCTTCCTGCATCAAGAAGGTTAGGAATCAAACCATGCTTGAGAGTTTGAGCAAACCCAATGATATGTCTTTTTGCATCTTCATAGCGCTCGGTAGCAATAAGATGGCCCCTAAATGCTATGAAGATATCTCTTCCCCAGCATCTCATGTAGTCGTTACTGAAATGAGGCAACCCAGCACTCATCGATGGGATCTTTTCAAATGGCATCAACGACGTATTGTTCATGTATCCCACAAACTGCACCGAAGTCAACGCCATACTTTGAACAAAGTTGGTGGCATTTTGAATATTGGTGCCCAATTGTCTCAATGCTCTGAATCTACAGGCCTCGTAGGCTGCTCCAATCACTAATGCAAAATAATGAGGACGCAAGAAATATGGTGCAACTCTAATTGCATCCATCCGGGACCTCAACCAGTCTTGAAACTGTCCTAGATTTTTGGACGACAGAGCATACTTGTCCAACCGGTTTACAACGTAGTCCAAAGCCCATTCACCTTCTCTAAGATGATCACAGATTACATGGCCCAAGTTGTTCTCCCAAATGACATTCTTGAGTGCAGAGATCCAGCCTTGAAGACCAGCGTATACCAAAGCTGCCGTAACCGGGAATAGTATATGGACTATCATTTCCTCCACTGGCATCTCTTTCTTCGGGTTCACACCTGTATAACAACGCATTCAAGTCATACAAGTCGAGGTTCTTGGAAGCCTCAATGGCACCATCTCTAACAAATTTATCCAAAGTTGCATCGACTTTGGGAATCTCAGTAGAAAAGACGGCGATGGAACCAGGTACGAACGACTCATCAACTTTCATTACTGCATCAGAATTGTTCACTTCCACTGATGGAAGAGGAATTTCATCCACTTTGACAGGAATTCCAGTCAACTTTCTATCATCCTTTTGATAATCTCCAGTCTTTCTGAGCGTATAGGCAAACTCAGCTTTGACCTTGGTTCCACCCAAAATACATGGGGACAAAATTTGAGATTCTTCATGGTCGCTAAACTTGCTTCTTGCAATGAGAAACCAACCTTTTCCAGTCCTTGCATTGTACCGCTGGATAGTAATGTATTGACCTTCATGGTGGATGTACATTTCATGATCTCTTCCAATATCTTCACTTTCCCTCGCAAGAGACTTTCTGATCTCATTCAACTTTCTTTTGACGCTTCCAATTCCATTGTCACCATAAGAGTATTGACGCTTTTCAGAAACTACATTGAGAAGCTCGGGATAGCATTCATCATAGCCAAAATTGGTTCCAATGGCTGAAGAACAAAACGCAACTAGTGCTGCATTGGGCAATGTGTCTTCAACTGTCCTCTTTTGCGCTGGTGATTCATTATCATGGGTGCAATCCATAAATAAAGCATGTGGTGCCTGGTACGTAAGAACCTTGGGGATTTCAAGCTCGGAATATGAATCCGTAAACTTATTGCTGTCGGGTTCTGAACCTGCCGGATAGGCAAAATCGTCCAAAGGTAACCATGTGAAAGACCCAATAGGTCTTCCTCCATGTTTGTGAACAAGTCTTGAAAGTTCTCCAACATTCCATGCTTGCATGGCTTCACGAATAAGACTATTGATACCCAATCTTTCGACAAATACTTTATCCATTTCTTCGGAACCACTGAACAATTCTGCCACAACGTACAAGTTGGGGTTGACACTTCTGGCAGCGTCTAACAAAGCTTCTCCTACGTGCAATGGAGTCGAGTGACAATTATCGAGACGAAATCCGCAAAATGTCGAGGCACACAACTTGGTGTATTCGATCATTCTCTTCCACAATGCGGGTGAATCTTCAGGTCCAGCTCCATATCTCAACTTGACACAGTCACTCCATACTATAACTTCTCTTCTCAAGTATGCTTTGGACTGGGAAGATGCAAAATCCACCAAAGGATTACCACCCCAAATCCAGCCATTATTAGCGAGAGCCCATTCTTTGCCGTTTGAATCTTTGAAACGGGTAAAGTACGCTTCTATCAAAGGCCTTTCTTTCGTAACTGGACCCATCTTGGGTCCATTGTCGTCCAATCTCAAAAAGCGAATTCTGTCTGATAATTGGTTCTTAATAGAATTGACATCGTCATTGAATGTATTGTAAAGATCAGCATTGATTTCGTCAACGATGGAGCCAGCCTTTTCGACTATAGCCTCTGGTTGGGTACCCTGAGACTTTAACACAGATAAGATGATGGCGAAGAACTTTTTAATATCCAACTTGTTGGCGAATCTTTCACCCAAAATGACTGAGCTATTTACATTAGCAGACGCCAATACGAAGGAAGCAAGTGACTTCAAGTTGTTGACATCGACGTCTGAAGGAAGCTCTACGGGTGACACTCGGGCCGAGTTGTCGGTGGCTAATTTTTCGATGCTGGCGACAATTGACTTTCTGTCAAAGACATAGTATTGCCATAAGTCCATCTTGTCGATGACATGGGTCTGGATGCCTCTAATGATAGCATTTAAATCCTCTTGGGATTTGATGTCTGTTGGCAAATTAAAAGACGAGAGTTCGTCAGAAAAGTCGAGCAACCGTTTGTCGAGCTCAATGGCTACGGTCAAGTGGGGTGCGGTTTCGGCATTGTAGCCGGCATCGGGAGACTCACGGAGCCATTCCGAGTTGTCGGCAGTGTGGTTCCACACCACGTCGGTCAATGCCAACAAGTTGTTTTTCTTTAAAGTGGAAGAAATGAAGTCAATAGCTTTTTCGTTGGAACTGAAAAGATTGGGGTCGAATCTCAACTGGTCATAAATGGAATATGGTGAGTCAGATACTCCACGCTCTTGTAATGGTGTAAAGTGAATCATATTATATCCCTTTTTGCTAACTTCAGCAAAAAATGAGTCCCAGTCACTGAGAGGACCAACCCACTTGGAAACCACCGATTGCATGTTGATGGAATTAAATGGAACCCATTCACCATTGATGGTCAAATACGGAGGAACATTAAAGTAGTAATCCTCTGTCTTCTGCTGTTCGTTTTTGCCGTCTTTATACGTGATATAAAAGCAGTAAGTTCCAGCATTATAAATTGGAACATCGATGCTAACGTCCTCATGAAACGAAGAATGGATGGGAAACTCCTGGAACTTTTTCCTGTCAAAACTAGCCGCTTCCAGGTCCTTGGGAGTGTTCACATACAAAATCCCGTCTCTGGTAACCTTGGAAGCAGCATCTAAATGGAACTTTAAATTGAACAATTTGTCACCTTCTTTGCGGTTCGGTTTGAGTGCAATTGAGGGAAGAAGGAGCACTCCATTGGAGACATTTCCCGCCACCGGTGTTCCCTCGTTGCTCAAACGAAGCAAAAGGGTGGACATGAATAGAGTTAAAGAGGAGGGGACAATCGGAGTTGTTTGTACCCTGCGTGTGCAGCCGATACAGCTATGAAGTCCGGGCCGAGTAGGTTGAGAAGTACCAAAAACGGGCAAAAAATCACCGCATATGGACGGGAAGAAATGTGACTCTGCACTGCTCTTATCAGATCAGTGGATTCTTTCATTCGTTTATCAGCTCTACGGTGGCTAAAAATGACAAAAAATAAGCTTCCCCACCAGGAGTCGAACCTGGAATCTTCTGGTTCCAACCGGAAGTGGTTACGTAATCGTAGCCAGACGCCTTGACCATTGGGCCATGAGGAACGAAGCTTGATTGGTTTTGCCGGTGGGGCCTTTTATAGCTGGGCGAGCCATCGCATCGCGAATTTGCAGTTTCTATCAATGGTTGATTATGGCTTCATCCACTTCATCTGCTGGATCCTCGACATCCACCAAAAAGTATGTGTGTGATGCAGAGGGATGTGGCAAGTCGTATTCGAAGCCTTCGTTGCTAGAACAGCACAAAAGGTCACATACAGGAGAACGACCGTTTCCATGTCCGGAAGAAGGATGTTCCAAAAGTTTTTTAAGAAAGTCTCATTTACTGGCACATTTGGTTTCCCACAAAAGTACAAAACCTCATCATTGTTCTGTGTGTGGCAAAGGTGTCAATTCTTTACAACATCTCAAAAGACATGAAATAATTCATACCAAGTCATTCAAATGTACCGCACCAGGATGTGAAGAATCGTTTTATAAGCACCAATCTTTACGACATCATTTCCTCTCGGTGCACGATAAGTCGCTCACATGTAGTACGTGTGGGAAGGAATTTACCAGGCCTTATAAATTGGCCCAGCACAAGATAAAGTTTCATGGTGATTCTCCAGTCTATCAATGTGACCATCAAGGATGCTTCCACAATTTCAAAACATGGTCTGCTCTCCAGCTTCATATCAAGACCGAGCATCCCAAACTCAAGTGTTCCGTGTGTGGTAAAGGATGTGTTGGTAAGAAAGGTTTACGGGCCCATATGGCAGGATGCCATGATAGTTCTACTGCTGTCAAGCTCTGGAATTGTGACTACTGTGTGGTTGGGCTGTTTACCAAGAAGGCTGAACTTTTGGAGCATTACAAAGATTTTCATGATGGCAATATTCCTGAAGAGCTAATGAAAGCGGAAGAAAAAGAAAAATTGGAAAGCTTGCTTAATGACTCTGAAGCTTGTGGTTTAGAGAACCTTCGCTCACTCGACCAAACCACCAACCAGGTAGACGGTACCAAATCAATCAACTCGTTCAATTCAGAAATTGAATCAGGAACCTCAATTACAGATCTTTTGATCAATAACGTTGATATGAAGACACTCCTCTGTCCCAAGAAAAAGTGCACTAGAAGGTTTCGCCGCGAGCATGATTTACGAAGACATCTCAAATGGCACGAAGTTCGGTTGGCACAAATCGAGTCGTTTTTGGCTTCGTTGGAAAGTGAACAGGCCACCAGTGAAGCTCTCACCGAGAAAGTTATACAAGATGACGAAAGTTTGGTACATGGTTCTAATTCCGACTTTGACGATCAAGAATTGGACGATTTGATTGACCTGGAAATGGCGCTGCTTACGGGCAAATAACGATGTAAATGACACTATAAATCTATTCTGAAAAATACCGAAATATCATTGAGTATTTGATCTAAATGGTATCTCTTCCTTTCTTTTTTCACCTCTTTTGTCTCTTTTCGTAGCCACGGCCCTCGTATGTATCTCTCCTTCTCTTGTTATTCTCCCATCTACCTGACTGGTTCCGTGATGGTGGTGGAGGAGGTGGAGGTGGAGGTGGGGGTACTTGTTCACTAGATCCTCTCGATGGTGGAGTATATCTTGACCGGTCGTTAAACCTTCTATTGCGGTCTTGTGGCCTGCTTGCAACCACCTCTTGTGGAGGAAGTGGAGCTCGAGGTCTTCGAATAGGAGGATCTCTTCGAGTATCGTCATTTTTAGCACTTGGGGCCAGAGGGAACAAATCTGGTTCTGGTGTAGCTGTTTTGGACGATTGTGGAGTTGGAGAGTCTCTAAGCTTTCTTTTAGCTTGCTCAATTCTCTGCTTAATATCGGGCTTTTCTTCCTTCCTTGGTTCATCTTTTGTTTCTTTGTTGCTTTCTTCGGCTTCCTTTGCTTCCTTCGCTGACTTGTCATTGGTTTCAGATTCTCTTTCAATTTCCATTTGGTCATCTTCTTCATTTGATGCCTTCTGTACTTTCTCGGCATTTGTAGAATCGGTGGTAGAACCCTCATACTTGTTGTAGTAGTCGTACCGTTTGGGTTCCAGCTTTCGAATATCTGTTCTTGAAGAGGGTCTGGAAGAATCATCATAGCTTAAAGCAGCGCTTTGAAGGTTCTTCTCACGTTCTTTGTTCTCCTTTTCGATCTTGAGCTTGAGCTGCTCTTGCTTTTCTTGTTCAGCAAGTCTGAGCTTTTCCTGCTTTGCTTTTTCTGCAAGTCTGAGCTTTTCTTGCTTCTGCTGCTCTTTCTTGTCGTTGTACTCCTTCATAAGCCTCTCTTTTTCCTCATCGCTCATAGGAATAAAATCCCAAATATGTACCCAGTCCTTAGATCTGGAACGAAGATGGCCAATTAAAGCGTACGAAGAGAGCTTCAAATCCTGGCGCTCTTCCCGATCTGATATATTCTGAATGAAACCAAGCATAGTTTCACAATGATCTTCGACATTGGGATAGACACCAAGCAAGTTCTTCAAAAATGTGATTGCATTTCGCCGTGACATGTACTCCTTAACGGTGAGCGAATTACCAACATCAGAGAGCAACTTTTCATGATACGCAAATAGCATCGTCCGAAACTCGTCGTAAGTTATCTGTTCTCCATCATTTGACAATGTCGAACAATTCTGTTTGAACAGAACCTTGTCAGTCCATTCATGTAACACTTTGAGTACTTCAGAATAAAAGATACCTAGATTTTCTGCTTCTAGTGGACTCAAAGTGAACAAAGTCCCGAACAATATTTGGTTTCCAAAAAGCTCATCTAAAAGCAGCAAAACAGAGTAGTTTGGAACTTCAAGATCGTGCAATTTGAACAAGAATTTGGCTGCAAATGATGCATCGAAAGACGAGGTTATGGCTCGTGGAAGCACACAGTATTGTAAAAATGAGCGGAGCTCTTCGACTGAAGCCAGCTCAAAATATTTGTCTTTTTGGTTCGTCAACATTATATTGGTCTCTTTATTGTGCAAAGAATGAGTCTTTAAATCGGAGGGAATATCCTTGATGAATTTTAAGTTCTGGTCTAGGGTTTTCCTATACTTTTCAATGGTTGAAGGTAGGACATCTTTATCTCTCTTTGTAGATGAGACACTCTCTTTGAGGCTCGGAATCGTCCCCTCGAGTTTGGCAACTTCGTCGTCATAAAGATCAAGCGAGAAATTAATGTCATGAAGACTGAGTCTCCAGAATGTATCGTACAACTGAAAACTTATGGCTTGAGGGACTTGAGGAACATCACCATTGGGAGCTTCAATATTGGACCATAGTCTATAAACCCACCTAGGTTCGATGTGATAAACGTCACAAAACTCCTTGATAGAAATCAAATCTCTTGATAAGGTTTCTTTGCTTCCAAAGAAGTTATAGAATTGGATGTATAGCTGAATAACCGAATTCATTTCATCGTTCTTATTCGCCAAGATTTTCAAGTGCGTTTGGTTGGTATTGTGTGTCACATCCTGACTGAGCTGACAGAGTTGAATGAAGAGTTCATTTTCCGCGCCCAAGTCGTGAATGACTTTGATGAGCTGGTGACCCGACGATAAGCATTCGTACCTAGTATCATTGACGGTTCTAAAGGCAAGTTTTTGCAAACTAGGCTCGCAATTCATCATGTCGATTTGAGAAAGAGTGAGGTTGTTAATGGATTGGATTCCTCCCATTGACATGAGCATTTCCTTTAGGACTATTACTGCAATCATATCTTTTTGATGCAAAGATTTAAGAATGAAGGAAACAAGTGTTTTCAAATCTATCAGGGTTGGATATCTTTGACAGATTTTACCAACGAATTGAGCTAAAGATTGGATCCACTGGCGTTCATTGAGACCATCTTGTTGGATACTTGATCTGCCAGATGCTGAGAGTCTCATCAAAATAGCCAAAGTTAAAGCTTCCCATCCGTATTGATTGAAGTATTTTGCAGTATCAACCACCAACGAAATAAGATTGTCATAACTTTCGATTTGTTGCAAGATTGTAAGTAAACATGGAAGTGGATTGGCAAAGCTTATCTTGGCAAGTCGCCGCATCATCGGTCTCACATTTTCTTTTGATAACCGCTTCAAAATGTCCTTGGTCGATTTTTCTGCTTTGCCGTATGCTATTTGGATGAGGGGATTGCTCTTCGAAAGAACTTGATGGAGTTCTCCATACAAGTTGTAGCGATCTTCCAATGAAAAGCATTGCATGACTGCAAACCCTTTTTCAATCAAAAATGGATTTTCTTCGACAATCGACATTGCAGGGTAAATAAAGTTTCTGAAATACTTGAACCATTTCAAATGATTTTCATCGGACAGCTTATAATCAGCCACAGCAATGTCACAAATTTGAGAGAATAAGTCGGTGTTCTTACTCAAATTGGCACCATTAAATTTCAAGAATTCATACGACAACTCAAAAAGCTCTTCCACTGTCAGTATTGTTGGCAAGTAATTTTTCCACTCACTGTAGAAATAAGTAAACTTTTTGCTTCCATGATTCATAGCTGTGGGCCGAAAACTATAGAGATCGACTTGAGTAGATACGGTAGATGCCGATTGCCGTGGTGTCTGAAGCTGGTTCAAGTCTGTGTCTGAAATGGATTTGAAGCTCGCATGGAGAGGTGTGAGCATTTCAAGAAAGAGCCTATTGATGAGCTCTGGGATTTCATCGTCCACATATGCAAGAAATGGGTACTTGGTTAGGATATAGAGTGAGGGATAATAGAGCCCCACTGCTAGGAACACTCGAAGAAACTGATATACGAGATTCGACAGCAAGGAAGATTGGAGTGTAGTCTCTTCAGATTTTTCTGTGGGTTTTGATTTCCCATCTGTGCCACTTTCTTCGTCCTCGTCAACTAGAGGAGCTGCCAAAGAGAGAGCATTGGCGCTAGCTTTCAGGACCCTATCTTCGACATCTTTTTTGTAAAGCGACTCGAGAGACTCCATTTCATCGGTATTAAAGTAGGGGAAGATTGAACCGAAGCTTATAAAACCTTCCTTGATGAGGCATCCTATAAGAATCTTAAAAGTTTCGGGAAGTTCACGGTCTTTAGGACACTTTAGTAATCTCAAACCAATGAGTTTCGAAGCAGTATCACTGCCACCGACTGATAATTTCTGCATTGAGGTGGTGCTATTGCTTTCTGTACGAGGCCACCATTGAGACCGTTTGAGAAAGTCTATAATAAAGCGATGGTTGCTCACAAAGTTGTTGCTGAAAACATCAATTAACACATCGAGCACACGATTTGGATCAAGATTATAATGCCCCACTAGATTTTCAATGACTTTAAATGCGTATTCCAGCTCATATCGAGTATGGTCATCCCTTAATATGTGGTATACTTCTACAATCAATTTGGAGTAACCTTCGGATTCTTCATGAAGAAGATTATACTTTTTCTGAGTGTAGAAGTGGTCTCTTCTTCTAGTATTCAAGATTTTGTTAAAGTTTTCAGGTACTATTCCGACTGCCAGTAAAGATTCTGGTTTGATATTGCGTGCAAGAACTGACGTTTTCACAATATTCTTCTTGAAGAGAGATGCCAACAATTGCTTGATCTGTTCAGATAACACAAATACATCGAGTATTTGACAAAATTCCACCGCCCGTGAATCGTTTGCCAAAACCTTTTCAAGAAAGGATGTTACATCGTCAATCTGTAGTCGATTGTCATCGTAACTTAAAATGAGCTCGGTGAAAATTAAGGAAGAAACATTGGAGTCATCATTTTCCAATTCACTGACGAGCTTCTGGGACCCCTCTTGGGCGAAATCACCGATTGTTTCGTCGCCAAGATAGACAAAATCGCCATTGGTGGCAGTAGTCATTGAGATGGAGTAACGTTGAGTCGCGATCCTGAACCCTAAACGGCACGGGCACGTTATAGGCGTCGAGGGGCAGCTTCCAAATAAGAAACATCCGAGATAGTTTAGTGGCTAGAATTACCGCTTGTCGCGTGGTAGACCGGGGTTCAATTCCCCGTCTCGGAGCATTTCATTTCCTGCGCAAATGGTTTAGTGGTAAAATCCATCGTTGCCATCGATGGGCCCCCGGTTCGATTCCGGGTTTGCGCATTCTTTTTTAGTTTCCATTATCACATTTTTTTCATGCTGACCTTGAAGTATTTGAAACGCAATTGGGAGTTCCTGGCAGCGGCATTTGTCGTGATCTACTTTGTGTTCTTGCAGGTGTTTTTCGAGAAGCAAGATTTGGGGAACTCAATTCGCGTAATTCCTCAAGACGTGATTAATGCTTACCCACAACAAGATGGGAAGTTTGCTTACATGCAATATGCTACTAATAAGCAATATCTTGAACTAGCCATCAACAACTTTATTGTGTTAGAACGTTCAGGCTCAAGAATAGCTGATAGAGTCATTATTGTCAAACTGAGTGTCCGCAAGGATCCGGGGTACTCAAAATTCCAGGCTCAGGCGAAGGAAAATGGTATAAAATTGGTTGTAGTTCCCGCAATTGAGATCAGTGGAACCCAGAGTCCTGAGTGGGCAGACTCATTCACCAAATTTCATATTTTTGGGCAGACTCAGTATGACAGAGTTGTGTATTTTGACGCAGATTCGATGTTTGTGGGTGCTGAAAAGGCGGAGAATGGCTTTAAAAACGTTCCTAAACACATTGATGAGCTTTTTAATATCCCAAAATCTTTTGATATTGCTCTTCCACAGGCTTATTGGGTAACCAATGATGATGTAAAACCACCAAGGGGCACTCAATTACCATCGCAAAACGACTACGAAAGGTCTGTTCGTCAAGCAGTGTATGCTACCAAGAAAGGTGAAGACTCGTTTTCTATGCTTCCAAAGCTATTGTTTCCTGGTCATAAATTTGAAAACAGAGCCAATTTCTTTGCTAGTCATGTCATCGTATTCACACCTTCTTCCAAGTTGTTCAAGACTTTGAAAAAGTATGTGCACAATCCCTGGTTGTGGCTGATCTTTAGTCGTCAACGCTTAAGACAACCTGAGGATTATGATATGGAAATTATCAACCGGTACCTCGATGAAACTCTTCGCAAAAACCGGGCCATGAGAATTGGAATCTTGCCTCACCAGGTCTATGGCGTGCTCACAGGCGAATTCAAGGAATTGTACCATCGTCGGTTTGTTGCTAGACCAGAAGAATTGCCATTCGTAGACAAGTTTTCCAATGATGGTTGGAATGCTACCGATGCGCTTCTTTCATTGAAAATGATCCACTTTTCTGATGCTCCGATTCCCAAGCCTTGGCAGAAGCAAACCAATCACGACTACTATAATGCCTACAAAATTTACTGCTACGATGAATCGTTCGACCCGGAAACCTACCACCAAATGTACCCAGATGCCAAGCCTCGCCTTACATCTGATTGCGAAAGTGTGAACATATGGAACTGGTTTATGGCCGAGTTTCACCGCCAAGTGTAATGGTGGGATCAAGAATTAAATGACATCTTTGATGGTTCTATTTTTCACTTTTTCACCTCTAATCTGATTTTTTTTTCCTGCATATGGCGGTGTAAAAATAGTTGATTCAGGCGGAGCAGAGTGCAAACACAATTTTTGATCCGTTTCACTAGACACATTTAATCGGGAGTTTTGCGGTTGCGTCTCTTGATATAGCATTCTTGCCATTCCAGAAACATTAATCAACACTCATCTTGAGCCAAAAAGACTTTACAACAATAAATTATTTGGATCTGATTCTTGTTTACAAAATGACAACAACCACCAACGAGGTACCTACAATCACCACGTTTGTGAGGCGAGATGACATGCCCTCGCTCAGTGATGATATGCCAACACTCAGCTCTTCTGATTCTTTCACAACACCGTCTATTGTTGTTCCTTCCAGCAATGACAACCCATACATTCAACGTCAATACAATCCTAGTGGCAGTGTTTTCATTGCCGTTGGATGTATAGTTGGGTTCATCTTGTTGGCTTTCATCATATACCATCTTTTCAGATCAATGAGAGCTTCGAGACTTGCCAAGAGATCGTGGACTGGGACTCAGAACATAGAGGAAAAGCGCCACAACAGTGGATTGTATGGATTGACACCCACCGGCACATCTGGATTGAGCACACTCAATACTGAGTATCGTCTGTCGGTGGCCAAGTTGCCGCTTTTGAACCACCAGCATAACAAGTCACTGTTTAGTGGACTCGATGTCGGTGACAATTCCACGTTGTATGCGTCGGAGGCCGGAGCCACCAGAAACGATCTCACCAATATGTTCATTTCTCCCACTGCTGAAGTCATGGCCCATAAGCGTAACAAATCCACCTCCAACTTGTCATCCTTGGGAGGTTCTACGTCCAATTTCAACAGCGTACTACCTGCACCAGCCACCAACAGGCACTCTCAAATCGTTCCCAGTCTCTACATTAACAGCGACACCAACAACAGTGATATGGCGTTGAGTTCCAAGCAGTCTGAAGCATCGGTGCAACCCAGGGCTACACCAGGACGGGCCAACAAAACTACTATTCCTAGTGTGTACCTCGACGACTTGATTGAAAAATGAAATACACTTCTCATTCATTTACACTCTCCTTTACTCTATTCTACTCCCTTCTCTCTTCTACTCCCTTTCAAAGTCCCCTCCTTCTGTTCCTTTACCTCTCCTACATTGTTCTACACACTCCCACCTCAGCCTCAACATTCGCACATTCACTACTACAGCACATAAACATGCCTCTCTGTGGTGGCGATCAAAAGCCAAGTAAGTGACCTCCTCGGATCGAAGCGACATCTCCAAGCTTCAACTAACTCAGTTCAAAGAAAAATTGTCATTCTAGGTGATGGTGCTTGTGGTAAAACCTCACTATTGAATGTTTTCACAAGAGGTTATTTTCCTCAAGTTTATGAACCAACGGTTTTCGAAAACTATGTGCATGATATCTTCATAGACGGACAGTCTGTCCAGTTGTCACTCTGGGATACTGCAGGTCAGGAGGAGTTTGATCGGTTGAGGTCGCTTTCATACTCGGATACTCATTGCATCATGCTTTGCTTTTCGATCGATTCACCAGATTCGTTGGAAAATGTTCAATCCAAGTGGGTGGGAGAGATTGCAGACCACTGTGAGGGTGTCAAGTTGGTGTTGGTGGCTTTGAAATGTGATTTGAGAACCAACGAAGATTCAGACCCAGAGAACAATGAAGATGATGATCGGTATAATCCGTACCGGGCGTCCACCACCAACCCATATCAACAACAGAAGCGTCTTATATCATACGACGAAGCATTGGCGGTGGCAAAGAAGATTGGAGCGTTGCGTTATTTGGAATGTTCCGCAAAGAAAAACCGGGGAGTCAACGAAGCGTTCTCGGAAGCTGCTCGATGTGCACTTAACGCCAAGCCCAAGGGAGCTAATGATGTGCCACAGCAGAAGAAGGGGTGCACGATAATGTAGGATAAGGACAATAGCATGCTATTATATAGTGTAATACCGATACGAGAGAAACAAGTACGGAGTACGAGAGTAAGAAGTGATAACAAAATGAGTAACGAAAAAGAGTAAGAGGGTATCTAGAGTAACGAGAGACGAGACACAAGATTAACGAGTACTCTATTAACTCTCTATATGACTCTCTATATACAGCGTTCCTACCTTTTTATTCCTCTCTGAATGGCTTGTCCAACTTCTTCTTTCTGAGATCCCAAACATCTTCCGAGCTGCCTCGTGCCTTGGTTGCCATCAACCGTTTCTTATAAAAGTCAGCGATTTTCTGACGTTTTTCAAGCTGCTTCGGAGTCAATTTATCCAATGGTTCATCAGACTCAAAAAAGCTGCCATGCCTCATGGAAAACCAAAACTTTTCCCGCTGTTCCTGACAGTTGGAATAGGTACCATACCGATAATAGTTCTTCAATTGTCCCCCTATAGCAAAACACAGCAAAAGTTCATCGAATGCTGTGATTATTGACATTTGTGTGGGGAACCCAGTGGCTTCATTCTGGATGGTTTTGGTGATTTGTCGCCTTCTTTCCTTGTACTCCTCAGGACTGTCTTTGAATAGAGACCAGATCTCGTTTAGTTCCTCGTCTTCTTTGGCCATGATGAGTGAGAGAATGCAATTCGCAGTGTTAGAATTAAATTGAATGAATCTGAAAAATGAGAAAATGCAAAAAATTGAAAATGCAAAAAACTGAAAATGCAAAAAATTGGAAAAATGCAAAATGAGAGGTGAAAATAATGAAAAGTAGAAAGATGGAAAACTTGAAAAAAGCATAATTACCATCAGATATACGGGTCGCTATCATAAGTTCTAGCTCATGGAGCTGCCCTCAGTACCTACAAAAAAATAATGCCTTCAGCCAGATTCGAACTGACGATCTCCTCATTACTAGTGAGGTGCCTTACCAACTTGGCCATAAAGGCGAATTGCGTGCTGGAAAAGAGAACCCATAACCCAAGATATGATACCAATAATCCACCTACTTCAAATAAAAGATCACTCTACTTGTTTTCTTTAATCTGACACTGTTAAGACCTTCACCACTACTCTCACCGCAATCCATTCTTCATTTCCTTATAATCACCTAGATTTGTGCGTCGCACGACCTTATTGAAATTTTCGTTCCACGAACTCATACCAAGTTATGCTTGGCTTTATCCAGAATTTAGCAGGTTTGAGGCTCTCCAAGCCCTCCAGCTTGCTTGCCATACGAAACGCGTCGTATTTGGGGCGATTGGTACCCTCGGAAGGCGCGGTAAAAAGCTACAAGCGGCTCGGAAGAGGTCCTGCTTCCGGCAAAGGTAAGACTTCCGGTCGAGGTCAAAAAGGTCAAAAGGCTAGAGGTACCATTCCAAGATGGTTTGAGGGTGGACAAACCCCCTTTTACAAAAGATTCCCCATTATTGGTTTCAAACGTCCTCATAAACGGATTTTTCACGAATTGAACTTGGACAGGATCCAAACTTTTTGGAATGAAAATAGAATACCCCTTGAAGCCGGAAGTACGTTGACCATCAAGGTGATGAGAGACTGTGGAATCATAACCGGATCGGTCAAAGATGGTGTTAAAATTCTTGCAAATGGTGCTGATGAGTATACTGTACCATTGAATATTGAGAGTTCCAAGGCATCTTTAGGAGCTATCAAAGCAATTGAAAAAACCGGCTCGACCTACACATCAGTTTATTTTACCCGGTTGAGTTTGCAGGCTCATATATTCCCGGAAAGATTTCTTCTTAAGAAGGGTTATCTTCCCCTTCCTGCTCGCCCTATACATAGAAGAGACATTGAATTTTATTCCAATGAAGAAAAAAGAGGATATTTGTTGAAGGACCGTTCAATTCTCTTGGATCATATGGGACAAAAGTCCAGAACGCAAAAGAGGGCGAGGAAGAGCGAATTGACGAAGCAATTGGAAGCAGCGTCTCAAAAGACCCACACAGACTTCTCACAAACTAGTGTAGTAGATATCAGCAAATTTGCCTGATCCTCGTGTATATAGACACTACTGTGCATCCACATCTATAAATACTTGTAATAAGTGCTCGACAATATCCTGAAGGTGGTCCAAAGTTAAGTCCACTTTTCCATGTGGTTGAAAATTGTAGTTGAACTTTCGAACTGCAAATATAGCAGCTTTCAGGGTCATCTGGTAAATTTCTCGTACTGCCACACGGTCGTTGGGTGAGGGTGAATTGGTAGTGACTCCTCGTAATCGAAGACCAGAAAGAATTAGTTTGCCAATGGCTTGTGAGACCTGCTCATTTGAAGTGAAATGCTGGGTGGAAAGTTGAGTGACAGGATTGGCAGTATTGGAAAGCATGAATTTGTTGGACTGCTTTTTACGTCGTTTATCTGATAGAACTCGCTCGAAAACGTCATGGGTTGACTCGGTGGTGATGGTATCTGGGTTGAAGGATAGCTGTTGCAGTTTTTCAAGAAGCCCAAAATCAATTTTGAACCCCCATATGTTGTGTTCAGTGTCGCTGTAAAACACAAGGTAGGTCTGGGAGTCAACAAACATGGTTCCCGAGCCTACACAAGATGCAACATGATTTTGAAAGAAACTGGTGGTAATGGTAGAAGTGGTGTAAACTCGACACGGTGCACCAGATATGAGATATAATGGTATCAAGCTGACATTGACGTAGGAAACAAAGGAAAACAGGCCACTAAAGGTGGAATTGTCGTTTCCCCATAATTGTACATCATTCAATATTTGTGAAGCAGGCTCGGTGCTGGTTGAGTCTTGATGAAAAATTGGATTTGGTGAAGAATTGTCCTCAAGTTTCGAGTGATATTGTGTTTGTGTTCCTTGGTTCAGTTCTGTGTCTTGTTTATGTTTACTTAGAGCTCCCTTTTTCAATTCATGATTTTCTTCTTGTTGATGCTCTTCAAGAGCCATGTATTTTTCCGTCAAAATTTCCCTTCCTATACTTTCTTTTTGATGGTTAGCCTCTCCCGAGCTTCCCATTTCCGAATCTGCGCCGCTTACCCCCTTTTCCGGCACCAAAAGCGTCACTGTACCCACTAGCTTCCCAGACATCTTTGTCCTGTCTATAAATTATCGCATTCAAATCTGCACCAAAGTGTTGATTAAGGAGCGGAATGAGTGTGGACGTACGTCTGAAAGTGTACTCTGTGGCACGAACGTATGGTGACGTAAACAAACACAAACCGCAGGAGTACTGGGACTACGAAAACCACAAGATAGAATGGGGGGAGATCAAAAGCTATGAAATCATTTCCAAGATTGGCCGAGGCAAATATTCAGAAGTGTTTCAAGGGATAAATATCTTGAACGATAAGGCTTGTGTGATCAAGGTGTTGAAACCGGTGAAGATGAAGAAGATTTTCCGTGAAGTCAAGATCTTGAAGAATTTAACTGGTGGTCCCAATATCATTGGGTTGTTGGATTGTGTACGAGATGAGCAGTCAAAAATTCCGGTATTAATATTTGAACGGGTCAATAATGTCGACTACCGCGTGTTGTATCCGAAGTTTACCGTTGCTGACATCCAGTACTACTTTACACAATTGTTGGTAGCGTTGGATTATTGTCATTCAATGGGTATAGTGCATCGAGATGTAAAGCCACAAAACGTCATGATCGACCCGTTGAAAAAGCAATTGCGACTTATTGACTGGGGGCTCGCCGAGTTTTATCATATGGGCATGGATTATAATGTTCGAGTGGCTTCACGGTGTCACAAGGGTCCGGAACTTTTGGTCAATCTCCAGCAGTATGACTACTCATTGGATCTCTGGGCTGTCGGTTGTATGTTGGCCGCAATAGTATTTAAGAAGGAGCCATTTTTCCGGGGTGACTCTAATAATGACCAGTTGGTGCAAATAGCCAAAGTTCTCGGCACCGAAGATCTCATGGCCTACCTTAACAAGTATGGATTGAAGCTTCCTGACGTCTACAAGAACATCTTGGGCGATTACCCTCGGCGCCCATGGAGCAGTTTTGTATCCAAGGAAAACGTGCATTTGGTCAGCGACGAGGTTGTTGACTTGATAGATAAACTCTTGACGTACGACCACCAAGAGCGGCCCACAGCCAAAGAAGCCATGAATCATTTGTTTTTCAGCATATAATGGAAAGTCTAGGTGAAAGTGTCAAGGAAAAGAAAAGTCTAACTAAGGTTATTCAGTGGTGCGGGCTAAGCAGCGCTGAAGATGAAGCTAAGAAATAGCTATAATGGTGTAGAAAGCTGAAGCAAGTGGTACGTCAAGAAAGCAGAGGTATAGCAATGTGGCTAACCAGCTTTGTATAGTGGAGGTGGCTAATAGTAATTACAAGCATATGCTAGTTTAAGGGTCTGGATCTGACATCCTGCACCCTTTCACGTGCGCAAGACTGTGCCTAAGATTGTGCGTCGAAGTGCATCTCTGACAGATCTGAAAATCGAACCATATTTGCAATGATCCAAGATTTTAAGTTCTGGGAAACTTTTTTCTCCTGTTCCTCTGTCGGTTTCGACTTCTTCTTCTTCTTCTTCTTCTTCTTCTTCGTCTTCCTCCCTTTTAGCACCTTTGTTTCTTCCTCCTCTCGCACTTGACATTATCTCATCCGCCGCACCTCAGACGCGTTTCACGCATCTCTTTTGGGTCGCGTCGTATTTATGTACATCTATGCCCCACACACCCACCTGTTCCGAACGAAGGCTGTGACCGCGTAAATAGCTCATTATTTGCTTCGGAGCTAGTCAACTCGACACGTTACCTGGTATAAAAGGACAGGAGAACATCGTACAAGCATACCGTTACTCTATTGGGCTGAACATAAATTATCACCAAGTCATCAAACAGTATCATAATCCCTCAAAAGTAAAAAGTCACCAAAGAATTACCAAAAAATATCCATACAAAAGTATAATTCTGCTTACCCGTCACCTATATCCTACCCGTTATCATTCGTTGCTTATATTCGTTACTCAGTCGTTATTCATTCTTTACTTGTTCACTAATTCGTTGCCTATAACTGCTTGCCACCATCAACATCTGTCACCTTTTTCACCATGGATGACGCTTGGGTAAACTCCCAGCGCAAAACAATGACACGCTGGATCAACTCGGTGATCCAAGGCGAATCGGTGGCTCCGATAACCAATTTGGAGCAAGATTTGAGTGATGGCTTAGTGCTTTACGCTCTTGTGAATAACATGTTGAAAACGTCAAACTCTGATTATAGTGGCACTACTCTTACTCCATTGTACAAAGCACCCAAGTTCAAGTTGCAAAAAGTGGAAAATGTGGCCGATGTGCTTGAATTTTTGCGGGTTGCTCTTCAGGTGAATGTGTGTAATATTAGCGCCGAAAACATCGTTGACAAAAATTCAAAACTTGTGTTGGGGTTTGTGTGGTCCCTATACATGTACTCTTCTACCAGTACGCTTTCTAAAGCTCATGAGGATTGCAATACATTCCACAAAATTAAGAAGATTCTTCTCGATTGGGTCAATAGTATCATAATCAAGAAGGACCTCCGAATATCCAATTTTGACCGAGATTGGTCTATCCAAGAAAATCGCCCAGATTTGATTCTCTGGGCTATTTTGGACCACTATAACCCGGAAAACAAACCTTATAGATCCGAAAAGAAAATTCAAAACTTGCAGGCAGCATTGGATCGAGCCAACGAGTTGGGTATCAATTTATCAGATATTGATGATTACCTCGTGTTGGTATGCGACGAGCAGTGCATTGTCACCACTATGCTCGAATGGTTTAAGTACTTTGAAATTGAAAAGGCTGCACCTACTCGAGTGTTGGACAAGTTTATTGAACAAATTGTTGACGCCGTTGCATTGAAAAGACAGTATGAATCCGATCTCAAACTATACTTTGGTAAGATTGAACGAATCAGCGCAGGCATGAAGTCCAATTTGGACGTTATTGAATCGGATTCTCTGACCGACACATGTGAATTACTTCACCGATGTTGTACCTTTTTTGATATCATAGTGATGGCTGAATCTGATGAGGATTTGGTCCATACTATGGATGCCTTGCAATGCATTCTTCAAATGGTTGAGTCTTCATATACAAGTCTTTTGGATGCGTTTGAAGATTTTGAAACTTATGGCAAGTCTATGAAGCCACAAATTGTGGACGAAGAATATGAAAAGTTGACCTCGCGCTTGCAATTACTACAGGAAAAATTGCAGCAATTAGGTACGTATTACGAACCATCTGATGTCTCAAACCCTCTGAAGTTATTAGTGAAATTGAGCGAGGTGGCCGATATGGAGACCAAGTTTGTTGAAAAATCAGAAGTTGTGGTAAAAGGACTCTTACAAGTAAAGTTTCCAAATCAGAGAGCCGACCAAGAAGGATGCTCAGAATGGCGCCGTAACACCATTAAATCTTGCTTGGCAAAGTTTCAATCTTTTGACAAAATCAGAAACAATTTACAAGACTTTTTGGGCAGGTTCGACAAGACATTTCCTCTCGAAAAGATACGACGAGGGTTTGCAATGCCCAAACCAGACGCTGAAGTATGCGACGATATCGATTATTTCGAATTGCAAATGGAAACTTCGGTTACCACCGAGGTGAAATTGTTCGATGCCATACTTAACAAAGTCAGCGAAGATATTTCTGTTGATTTAATAACCAGTTTTTTGAACCTTATACCGCTGGAAACCAAGAAGTTTGAACGCAGCGAAAGTGACTTTACCCTCAATTATCCACTGGATGAGAGCGACGATTCCAATTCTGTATTTGATGAAGTACAGAGGAGTTTAGGGTCGCAATTGGCAGGACCTCAACGAGTGTACGATATCAAGCAATTTCTTTACCGGATACGAAACGGGTTTCAGGTGTAATATATGATTAATGATGCGTATTTGTAGTAAAGTAGTGTAGGCCCTGTACCTGCACCAAGCCATCTTTCGCGATGAGACGATAATCAAATCATTCAACATGGAGGAGCCATTGACGTCTAATGTGCGTCCTGCTACGGACTCGGTTCTCACCATTCGTATAGTAAAGTCATTTCCTTATAGAAACATCAAGAACTATATAATGAACTCAGTAGACTTGAAGCATACCACCGCCAAAAAATTGTTGGATGATATAAGAGCCATTATAAATACCACCGGTGGTCTTCGTCCATACAGAAATGTAGAGTATGACACCGTCAAGATATATACCAAGGCACATGGAACCAAGTCGATGAATCTTGCTATCAACTTTGAAAATGATGAGGAATGGGTTTTGGTTTGTGAAAATAGTGCGATGAAGATTGAAGGAAATAAGTCATTGTGGGACTTGGGCGTTCGCAATGAAACTGAACTCAGTTTGTTCAATTGGGAAGCGTATGAAGATTTTAAGAAGAATCCAGAAGAGTTGTGGTAAATCATTGGGAAGCAAGAAGTCCATAAGTTGAAGAAGTTGAAGAATTAAATAATTGTAAGGAGTTGCTGGCATGCTATTGAGATTACGCAAATGGTGGAGAGAACGGATGGTGCTCAACCAAAAAGGGTATGAGTGAATATATTGCCTGTGCCTTGTTCCTATATCAGAATTCTCATGGCTGCGAAATGAGAATTGATAAAAAGCTGAGAAACTGCTACGAGTTTGCTACGAGTTGAAGGGGGAAAAAGTACAAGGCTAACGAGGAAAAGCAAGGCATTTGTAGTGAGTAATATCAGCCATTAATACCTGATCTCATGAACATGATTTGTATGATTATAAGTTTAGGATGCAATTCAATTTATATGAACATGCTTCTAATCTAGCAACTAAATCCCACTAAATGAGAACCCGAAACATTCAAGTACATCATTCAACCGCATAGGCTGTAGTCCCGCTTTTTGGCGGTTCTTTCATGTCCCCACCACCACCCAACTTATAGCCACGCACGACCTCTCCGGCCAATTATCGCGCAGCTTTTGTCTCGTTACATTTTTTCACCACCAGTTTTAGAAGCATTATTTACCATGTTTAGAGCCTCAACAAAAGCTGCCAATCCATTGCTCCACAAGGTAGTGGCTGGTGCGGTAGGTGTCACAGGCTTGTCTGCCTCCTATTTGTTGTATCAGGACTCCATTACCGCTTCTGCCATGACTGCCGCTGAACACGGATTGCACCCACCAGCATACGGATGGTCACATAACGGCATGTTTAGCACCTTTGACCACGCGTCGATCAGAAGAGGGTTCCAGGTGTACCAGGAGGTGTGTGCTGCATGCCATTCGTTGGAAAGAATTGCTTGGAGAAACTTGGTAGGAGTATGTAAAACTACATCGGAAGCCAAGGCCATGTGTGAAGACTTGGAGTACGATGATGAACCTGATGACGAGGGAAAGCCACAAAAGAGACCTGGTAAGTTGGCTGATTATCTTCCTTCGCCATACGAGAATGAACAGGCTGCTAGAGCTGCCAATCAAGGTGCTCTTCCACCTGATTTGTCGTTGATTGTTAAGGCCAGACACGGAGGTTGTGATTACATCTTCTCGTTGTTGACCGGATATCCTGAGGAACCACCAGCAGGTGTGACGTTGCAACCAGGTACCAATTACAACCCATACTTCCCTGGTGGAGCTCTTGGAATGGCCAGAGTTTTGTTTGATGATTTGGTGGAGTACGAGGATGGAACTCCTGCCACCACTTCCCAGATGGCCAAGGACGTTACCACGTTCTTGAATTGGGCCGCTGAACCTGAGCACGATGATAGAAAGAAGTGGGGTCTTAAAGCTTTGATTGTGACTTCAGGATTGTTTGTGCTTTCCATATGGGTTAAGAGATTCAAATGGCAACCAATCAAGAACAGAAAGATCAAATTCGAACCTCCAAAGAAGCACTAGCTACATAGCTCATCATAATAAAAGATACGAATATGTTGTCACAGCCTACTCCGGCAAAGGTAGTAAAAACTAAGCTAATTCTCTTTATTCTTACCTGGAACCGAACGATCTTCTTTAGTCAATTGCACTTCACAACAAGGCTTTAGCGTGGGATGGCCTTGAATTTTATTCTCAAACGAGGTACGGTGCTTGCAACATGTAGTCAATTCTGTTCAAAAACTAATTTCACGATTCGATTCTTATAACTGTTAGCAGTGGCAGCAATGCTACTTTACGTTTGTTTGAACTCTTCGACCGGAAAACTATTTCTCAACCCAACTTGAGCATTTCTCTGCATAGGCCGGACTATCTAATGAACGGGCCAGGCCACTTGAAAGAGTAGAAAGTGGAATCATACTCTTCAAGTTCATTATAACAGATGATACCATCTCATTCTTCGTCACGGGAGGTGAATTGTAGAATTTGTGCTAATAGGACTTCATCTTTCTCGGCAATGAATAGCAAGTTTTTCGCTCTCAGGAAAGAAGCTCTTTTCAGTTCCGGTTTCAACCGCAATTTCTTCGTTATCTTCAACTTTGCATGGAAAATTTCGGCTTGGAGCCATGAAATGATTTTTCAATGGCATCATAAATTATTTTGTTGGCTATTATCAGCACCGTAATGGACACTGACCTCGGACTATCCTATTTCATTCCGGCATAGCATTCAACTCGAAACAATCAAAATGTTATACTTCTCGGTGAACTGTTCAAGTTAGGTTCTTCATTGAAATGTATGTCGGCGGTGTCAACCAATTCTGTAGAATTTGCCTAGAATGCCATGGAATTCCATCATCAATCATTACGCCAGAAACTGTTACCGAACGAACAATTTTAGAGACTATAGCCCTGAAATTGCAAGTTAATGCAAGCCTTCGACATATATCAATCGTTGTGTTTCATCATTCAAAAACTCTCAATTTGCAAACTGTACCCATTGCAGCCTTCTCCATTAATATACTTGTGGTAGGCAGTATGTTCATAATCCAATTATACTTTGATATAGAATCAAGCTATACTGGTATTTCTGCTTCACAAGCGCTACATACTTCTCAGCCATATGCAGCACCGTTTTCTCAATATTTCCTCATCAATCAGTGTCCTTGAATTTAGAACTGGAGTTGCCAGGGCACTGTTGACTATGTAAATCATTAAGAATATGACTAAAAGCAATTTGGTTATCATAATACTTCATGAGAGTTTCATGCTCGGCATATTCTTCAAATAGTTTATTGTGGACTTTGTAGTTCACGTAATTGGTCAAAATAGAAATGAAAGTTAAAACGTTGTACATCAGCGATATCGATTACAAGAAGTTCAATTTACGAGTTTAGCCCGGCATACATGCAGTACCAAATCTGGAGACAGAAATTCACGAATCTTCCATGTTTTGCCAAATCGGGTAGTTCTGATTATCGCTCTTTATTGTCATGTGTAATTCTTCATCTTGCCCAAAAACAGCTTTTTCGAGATATGCAAATTGCCATGATTTGATGTGATCGCAAAGATAATTAACAAGATAATGTGATGGCTAGACTTATTTCCTCGCGTGACTTACCCGGCCGATTTTCGCCGGATTAGATGGTTGCGGCGTGCGCCCGCCGAATCCCCCTATATTATTGGCCGGGCGCACTGAAACTCGCATAGAATTTCGCCGAATTTTTTCTCTTGTTTATAAGCTCCTCCATCGCAACCAAATTTGCTAACTTCGTTTCTGCACGAATATATTTGTTTCCTTTACTTCTCGTGGCATTGTTTGCATTTGATTAGAGATTTTCTAGAGTTTCTTCAATAATTCATTCGCTTTAATGTCGAAGCCCAAAGACGTGTTTGTTAATTCGGAATCCGAAATAGATTCCCAGCAGTCGAGTACTCACCAATTGGTGAGCTCTCCTACGGATGCTGAGGCTATATCTGAGCGCAACACGCGGCCATCTCGATTGGTGCTCATTCTTACACTCGCTTCGTCTATAAGTGGCTTCATGTTCGGTTACGATACCGGATATATTTCGTCTGCATTGGTGAATATTGGCACCGATTTGAGCAACAAGGTACTCACATCGGGAGAAAAGGAGTTCATCACTTCCGCCACGTCGTTGGGGGCGTTGTTGGGTGCATTTATTGGCGGTATTGCTGCCAATTTGGTGGGGAGAAAAAAGGTCATTTTGGGCTCCAATGTGTTCTTTGTGGTGGGTACTATTATCCAGCTTGCTGCTCACACTGTGTGGACTATGATTGTGGGAAGATTTATTCTTGGTTGGGGAGTGGGTATCGCATCGTTGATCGCTCCTTTGATGCTTAGTGAATTGGCTCCTTCCAAATATAGAGGGAGATTGATCGTGACCAACGGTATGTTCTTGACCGGAGGTCAATTGGTCGCTTACTTTATTAATTGGGGATTAACCCACGTCAAACATGGCTGGCGTGTTTCGGTTGGATTGTGCTTGGTGCCCCCAGTAGTGCAGTCGGTATTGTTCTTCTTCCTCCCCGACACTCCCAGATACTACGTGATCTGTGGTAAATACGACGAGGCCAAGAAAGTCATCATGAAAATGCACAATAACCCTTCTCCTGAATTGGCCAACATGGTGGTTGAAGAAATGATTGCATCCAATTCGGTGGTTCCTGGAAAAAATTCATTGCAACAAACTTGGAACTCCATCAAAATTCTCCACAAAAATCCCGCCAATTTGAGAGCATTAATCTTAGCATGTGGGTTGCAAGGTATTCAACAATTTACTGGTTTCAATTCCCTTATGTACTTCAGTGCTACTATCTTCGAAACAGTAGGTTTCAAGAACTCCACTGCCGTTTCCATTATCATCGCAGCAACCAACTTTGTGTTCACAGGTGTGGCTTTATGCATCATCGACTTTGTCGGAAGAAGAAGGATCTTACTTTTTGCCATTCCTGGTATGTGTGGATCCTTAATTCTTTGTGCTATTGCATTTCACTTTATGGGTGTAGACTTTTCGTCTGGTGCCAAAGTTATCGTCAAAGCCGCGGGAATCACTGGGTGGGGAATCGTGGTGATTCTTGGCATGGTTTTGTTCGTCGCTTGTTACGCCATTGGTATTGGAACCAGCGCATGGACTGGAGTTGAATTATTCTCTGACGTGAACGTCAGGTCTGTGGGAGCAATGTATGCCGCGGGAACCAACTGGAGTGGTTCGTTGGTGATTGCGTCTACATTCTTGACCATGTTGGAGAACATTACACCTACGGGTACATTTTCTTTGTTTGCAGCTTTATGTTTTGTTGCGTTCTTGTTTGTCTACTTTTTGCTTCCTGAGGTTGCAGGATTAGAATTAGAGGAAACCACTTCGTACTTGACCCATGGGTTTAACGTACGTGAAGCATCGAAATTGTCCAAAGAGAGAAAGAAGGTATCGAAGTATCTTAACAATGCTGCTCAAAATGCAGCTTAATGTCATCTATATACTTAATTTAACGTTAACGCCATTTCGTGCCTGCAGGTAGTTGCGAATGTCTTCTTCTTCAATCAATGGATGACAACAGCGTTGACTCTGTTAGCAGCCCTAGTGGCTCTATCAAGGGTAGTCACGGCGATTCCCGACGTCCCATGAAGTACCAGCGTCAACCCATAGGCCAGTTTCGAGAGATGAACTCGTTAAGCTCTTTTGATATTCTTCAAAAATTAGGTCAAGGAACTTTCGGAGTGGTACAAAAAGCCCAAGAAAAGAAAACGAAAAGGATCGTAGCGCTTAAACAACTCATCAACCACTCAGCAAAGGAAGGGTTTCCTATTACAGCTATGAGAGAGATCACCATTCTCAAAAAATTGCATCATGAAAATGTCATCGAAATCATCGATATGATATACGAAAGTCCCAAGGTTCTGAATAACCAGGATATGTTACACCATCGCGGATGCTTTTACACGGTGTGTCTGTACATGAGTTCAGACTTGGTGGGTCTACTAAAGAATCCTCGTGTTACATTTACTGTACCTATCATCAAGGGCATCATTGTCCAGCTACTCAATGGAATACAATATGTCCACGAACAGAAATATTTGCACCGAGATATCAAGGCTGCAAACATACTTATAGATAACCATGGCGTTGTCAAGATCGCTGACTTTGGTTTGGCCCGATTATACCATGGACCCATTCCTGCTGTTGGCCAGGGTCCAGGCGGAGGAGAACGCAATTATACTGCACTTGTGGTGACCCGATGGTACCGTCCGCCCGAAATTCTCTTGGGGGAGAGAAAGTACACCACCGCGGTGGATTTATGGGGAGTTGGATGTGTTTTCGGCGAATTATTCACACATAATCCCATCTTGGTTGGCAAGAGCGATGCCCATCAAGCTCAGCTAATTTTCCAGTTGGTGGGTCCTCCTGATCTCAAGACGTGGCCAGAGGCTGGCTCCCTCTCCAACAAGTCACTGCTATCCATTGGACTTACTTGCAAGCGAACTCTAGAAGACCAATTTGCACCCATTATCAAGGACAATTTGGGGGTCCAATTTTTGTCAGGATTGCTCACATTGGACCCTTACAAGCGTATGAATGCTCTCGATGCCCTAGATCACCCCTACTTAAACTCAGACCCACTTCCCTTACGTCCACACGAAATGCCACAATTCGAAGAGTGCCATGAAATCGACAAGGAAAGTTTCAAAAACGGTACTTTCCGCAACCCCTCCAAGCCTCCTCCACAGCCACCTCATACCCATACGGCGTTTCCTAGGCGCCCAGACAACGGTTACGATTTCCACCATGGCACCAAACGGCGCTATGACTCGGCGCCAATTCCGGCACGACGGGCCGTGTCGTCGGAAGAGCGGCTGCAATCGGCATTTTCAAAACGGCATCGCGGAACCGACAACGGAAGCGCAACTCTGCTGCAAAGTAAGGATACCGACGAAACGTCCAAATCCAGCGCCAAGAACTTTAGCATGATGTACTAATCTAGACCATGATATTCTTCCTGTGTAGGTTCTCATCGCCGTTTCTCGGCACAATAATTCGTCCGATGCGGTTACCCGCACACGCCAAGATCAGATTAATCAGATAACTCGATCGACGCGGCACGACTCCTATATAAGTACCACTGCAGATACCACTGCTATTAAAAATGGCATCTCTCGAGGACAACTTCTCGATCCAGGTCTTCCTCATAGTCTTTAGGGAGACTTTGGAGTCTGCTATCATCATATCCGTGTTATTAGCATTTGTTCATCAAAGTTTCAGTCGTCATGAACTTGATAAAAAAGAAGTATTGCCTGGTCTGGAAGCTTCTGAAACCCTTCTTGCGGTCCGTGAGGCAGCGTGGGAACCAGAACTGACTTCGGAACAAGAAGAAGATGATAATAAGCTTCGGAAACAGTTGACAGTTCAAGTGTGGGTAGGTGGACTACTTGGAATTATATGCTGTTTGATCATAGGTTCGTTTATTCTTGGTGTGTTCTATATCTTGGGCAGTGATCTCTGGTCGGTTGCTGAACACTACTGGGAAGGAACATTTTCTATCGTTGCCAGCATCATCATATCAGTGATGGGAATCAAGTTGTTGAGAGTGAGTAAGATGCAAAAAAAATGGAAACACAAATTGGCCCAAATGTTGAATAATCGAGGAGGAATGAGAAGGATCACTCAGCGTGATTCCAGCAGTACTCCTGCCATTGCTAACCTGGAAGAACCTCAAGGGAAAGTTGGTCGTTTCTCCGAAAAATATTCAATGCTACTTCTTCCATTTGTTACTACGCTAAGAGAAGGAATGGAAGCTATTGTGTTTGTTGGAGGTATTGGAATCAACGAAAACACCTCGATTTGGGCTATAGTCAACGGAGCTATAGCTGCTATTGCTCTCGGGTCGCTCATTGGTATCGTGCTTTACCGCTCTGGAAACACATTGCCCCTCCGATGGTTCTTGATCTCGTCCACTTGTCTCTTGTACTTGGTAGCTGCCGGGTTATTTTCCAAAGGAGTTTGGAATTTTGAACTTCAACGCTTTATCGATAAGTGTGATGGATTTGATGTGAGTGAAACCGGCCATGGACCCGGTCTGTACGATATCGGTCAAAGTGTATGGCATGTCAATTGCTGTAATGGAGAATTGCAAGATGATGGTCCTTACTGGATGATGGCTACTGCTATTTTGGGGTGGACCAATAGCGCAACTTATGGCAGTGTCTCAAGCTATATTTTGTATTGGGTGACAATTATTGCAGTATTCACTCTGTTGACTTACGAAGAAAAACATGGACGGTTACCGTTGATTCCCCTTTCGTGGCAGAAAAAGCGCATTCTCAAGCGCATACGTTTCATGGATCATGAAATCTTGACAGTACAAGAAAATGTCAGAGAGAGCATCGATAGTGTCAATTCCAGAACACCGCTCCAAAATTAAAAGTGTAACTGTGGAATGCAGTTCCAGGATTAGCTTTATGGTTGCGAGTTGCATATGCTATATGCTAATTGATCACCGGTCGAGGCCCCCGCCTGTCGAGACCGCCAAAAGAATTGAGCCAAAAAAATTGCACCACAAGTCATGGCTTTGCAATGTCGTTTCATTGTGTTGCCCGCTAGATACTAAGCCCACCGGCATTCCCGAAGGCTTTTACGAAAATTACATCCTTATGCCCACATTTATGTATTATTGTTCGCTTGTATGTAGGTTCGTTGATCAATCTGATAACTTTTTGACAACACACATGCATATGCGTCATGCATGAGGCGCGCAAGGCTTGGCGCCATTTATGCATATGGGCTACAAAGGGCGTGAGGCTCGCCCGCACCGCAGTTATCTGATTGGATCATTGCTGAGCAACGGTTGATGTTCGCCAATCGTTCGGGAACCATGAGCCGAAACGTTGGCGAATTCAAGCCAAAAGTGCGACAATGTAGATCATAATTAAGCTGCAGCCTGTCATCTGCATTTTGACGTGCCCAGAGCATTTATCAGATGGAGATGTAAGGAACGTCCTATGAGGGCTTGGCAACCTTACAAACGGATAGGTGCTGGCTACTGCAGGAGGAATATTTTTTTAGCACGGGCGCAACGTGATGCAAGCTGATTGGCTATTTTCCCTTTTACAGTATCCCAGGTGCGTTCGAGCTTGCATTAAATTACGAGCCCTGGTAGTGAATCTAGCCGCCCCTGCTAGCGGTAGCGTATCATTAAGCGAAATTGTAGAAAATAGCCAATCAAGTGTCTCATGGTATTTTTTTTCATTAAACCCGACCGGGAGTTTTCAATATCGAGATGCGACGCTGATTCGTAAATTGCCCGACCTATATAAGTCGTTAACGGCGCACAATGTAGTCAAGGAACGATGCACTTGGTGAATACATTAGCAGTATCATTTGCAATTCTTGCACAGGTGGTCTTGGGTGAGAAAGCTAGAGCCTATGAGCACTATGGTATTGGCAAACAAGCACTTTATGCCTGCCAAGCCCAAGTTACGACAGCTGCAACTTTTGCCAAACCAGTTGGTTTTCGCGACCGTAGCGCAATTTGTACCACTTGGGCTGGTCGTGCAACAATGGCAGGATGTTATCACCTTGCTGACAGGTTTGATGAGTCGACAATGGAGCCTTATATCGAAAACTGCCTTTTGTATAATGTAACTTTGACTTATCAAGACATGGAACAAGCTTATGAAAATTACACCAAATATGCAAAAGACACAACCAAAATCGAAGGTTACAACAGTACCAATGTGATTGACTACCCTGTGATTCTCAATAGTACTTTGGTTCACATGTACAAGGTTGGGTACAAGAATTTCTTGGGAAATTATGACGACTCCTTGTACTATGGAACTGGTATGATCAGTTTTTGGGCATTAGTATTCTTACTTGCAGCTGTCACAAATTGGAGTAAAGAATTATTCCCTTCAATGACAAAATTCTTTGTTGGTCCAATTTCCAACGCTTGGAGAAAATATATCACCATTCCAGCACTTGGAAGAAGAAAGAAAACCAACGAGCAAAAATTCCTAAAGGCATTCGATTTTATAGTTCCATCGAGAATGGAAACTCTCATCATTCTTGCGTTCTTGTTGATCACTGGTCTCTGCAATGGGTTGGGGATCCACTACCAAGACGGCGATCCAATCTTTGAAAGTAGAAGAATGGCTCTTTTGCGGTATACAGCTGACCGGACTGGGATCACCACTGGCTTTATCATGCCTCTTTTGATTTTGTTTGCTGGACGCAATAACTTTTTGCAGTGGCTCACAAAATGGAATTATGCCACTTTTATAACTTACCACAGATGGGTTTCTCGAGTGGCTGTGATCTTGGTCATTGTCCATTCGTGTGCTTTTTCAGTGACATTTGGCGCCTATTATAAGGAGGATATGAAGGAGAATTATCTCATTCATGGAGCATTGGCTACCACTGCCGGTGGTGTTATTTTATTCCAAGGTATGCTCTTCTTGAGAAGAAGATGGTATGAAATCTTCTTACTTTTGCACATTGCCTTAGCAGGTATGTTCGTTGGTGGAGCTTGGGTCCATGTCAAGGAATTGGGATACGTTTACTGGTACTATGCCGCAGCCGCTGTATGGTGCTTTGACAGAGCCGTTCGTATTGGGCGGTTAGTCGTTTTTGGCTGTCCAAAATCCGATGTGATTTTGTTAGCCGATGAAACCCTCAAGGTGATTGTTCCAAGACCCAAGTATTGGAAACCTATTCCTGGAGGACATGCATTTGTTCATTTCATGAGACCTTCATGTTTCTGGCAATCACATCCATTCACTTTCACCGAAAATTGTGAGAACAAGGACTCCATTGTATTGTACTGCAAGGTCAAGGGTGGTGTTACCCACGGCTTGTACCAATACTTGGCTACCCATCCTGGAAAAACAACCAAAATTCGTGTTGCAATTGAGGGACCATATGGAGAATCCACTCCTGCCAAGAGATACGATTCCGCTGTGTTCATTACTGGAGGTAACGGTATTCCTGGTATCTACTCCGAAGTTTATGATTTGAGCAGAAGGTCCAGAGACAACTCCAAACAGAGCTTAAAGTTGATGTGGGTTGTTCGCGAGTACCGTTCTTTGTACTGGTTTTATGAAGAGCTTCTTGCGTTGAAACAAACCAAGATTGACACCACCATCTATATCACAAAGCCAGACTCACATGCCAACCTTGAAGATTTCAACAATAGGGTACCATTAGTTCGTGATCTGATTGACCTTGTACAAACTCCAGAGGAGCTGTCGAACGATGAAAAAGGAAGCATGAAGGAGAAGATTTTAGCGGATTATGACAGTAACGAGGAAAGTGACTGCAAGAAAAGAATCATCCGCACCATCAAAGCCGAGTTATCACATATAACCTTCAAAGAAGGAAGGCCAGATATGGAACAAATCGTCAAGGAAGAAGTTGCCGAGTCGTTGGGCTCTACTGCCTTTATCACCTGTGGCCATCCTGTTATGGTGGATGACTTGCGTTATGCTGTTTCTCAGAATCTCGATAACGGCGGAAAGAGAGTGGACTTCTTTGAACAGTTGCAAGTGTGGGCGTAGTTAGCTGTATTTATAACAATCAATACTGAGATTAGGGTCTTGTTCAACTATGTTATTCTGCACTTTTGCTCGATTACTTGAGAAGCTCGTCAACGGACGACCCCAAGTAAAGCTTGAGAGTCTTTCTCGTTGCGGGCAAGATTCGGCATTTTACCTGGACGTCTCCATTGCCTTCAGCAGCCATTTTATCGTATGCTTGGAATCTATGGCATCCTCCGAATGCAAAATAGTGGTTTTTTCCCTCTTCTCTTATCTTGAACACATCAATTGGTGGTAATTCTCCGGCGGTGATTTCCTCAATGCCGCAAGTTGCTGATGCCATAGGAGTCCCTTTCAATGTAGAAACCATGGCTTCTATCTTTTGGTGATCAAGGACTGGAGGAATGGGTCTTTTGATCTCTTTGAGAGGAACATACTCTTCCTTTAGACTACTAGATTGAAGTGACATTATTTGGTTGCGAAAATGAGACGCAAGACTTTATATAGAGGTGGTCGCAATTCGAGAATCATCGCTTAGTAAATGCGATAACTAATCGTGCGAATCTGGAAGAGCAAGCACAAACCAATGAGATAGTAGGGTGTAGAAGTGTTGATATTTGGAAAATAAAGACATTGTTTCGGATAGTTCCGTACGAAGATAATTGTCAAAATGGAAATTACTGCAAATTTACAAATTTTAACAAATTTAACTTTTGCACTTCCCGCATCAAGTGCAACGAACTGACATATCACTTGCTCAGTTTTGAATTTGACTATGAGTTAATATACCAACTCATTCATATTCGTATTTAGGCTGCTTTTATTATCGCCAGGTTCCTAACTACGAAGACAAGACTTCCTCGTTGAGAAATACATCCGGCGTACCGGACAATAATTCGGGTTTCCACATTAATGCAGCGACGTATCCGGTTGCGCCCGGCAACACTGCTGAATTTGGAATGGCGCGACCGTTTGACATAGATCCCCCACCCTTTTGGTGGGGAAGGTGCGGCTGCTTATACTTTCCGGGGAAAAAACGGGGCATCGTAATCTGAGCCAAGAAAATGAAATAAAAAGCTGGGAAACCTCAACTTCTCAAATTTGCTAACCATGTTCACTGTCCCAGATTCATGGTTACTAGAGAACCATTTTCAAGGTAAGAAACTCACACAACTAGTTGTGGGTCTTTCAGCGTTATCAATCTTCTTTTTTGGTTATGATCAAGGTATGATGGCTGGAGTCAACACGTCGCCCGATTACGTTGACAAAATGAAATTTGGATACTATGACTCGGCAGGTGATGTCACAGTGACCAACTCAACCAAGCAAGGTGGTATTGTTGCAATATACTACTTTGGTACTCTCGTTGGATGTCTTTTTGGTGGATTCAGTTCTGACAGGTACGGAAGAATTAGAGCTATTGGATTGGGTGCTGCCGTAGCTATCTTCGGAGCAGCACTTCAGTGTTCTGCTACTCAGGTGTCTTGGATGTGTGGTGCTAGATTTGTGAATGGTATTGGAACCGGTATCTTGAATGCTGTTGTTCCGGTTTATTCGTCAGAAACGGCTGAACATACTTCTCGAGGTGCTTTTATTGCCATTGAATTCACGTTGAACATTTTTGGAGTGGTAGTTGCTTACTGGTTGGAATATGGTTTGAGTTATATCGATAATGGGTTTACTGCATTTAGATGGAGATTCCCAATTGCGTTTCAGATCATTCCGTTATTAGTACTTTTGGCAATTACCTGGTTTTTCCCAGAGTCTCCAAGATGGCTCATTAAGAATAACGAGCGGGGCAGGGCCAAGAAATTGCTTATTAGTATGAGAGGTGAGGCTCGAGGTGAGGAAGAATTCGACCAAATTTGTGAAGCAATGGAATTCGAAGAAGACTCAGCTTTAACTGGTAACTATTTCAGAATGTTCTTTGACTATGTTAAGACCAATGACCTCGAGCAAAGAAAGAAAGCCAAGAGCCTTCACATTGCCCGAAGAATTCAAATCGTTATTTGGTTGCAAATTATGCAAGAATGGGTTGGAATTGCTGGTGTAACCGTATACCAACCGGAGATTTTCAAGCAGGCAGGTTACACGACAAGAAAGTCGGCTTGGTTATCTGGATTGAATAATATCTTTTACATGTTTGCAACTTTGATCAATTACTTCACTGTTGATAGATGGGGACGTCGTTTTACCCTTTACTGGGGAGCGATTGGACAAGGTATTGCCATGTTTTTGGCAGGTGGATTCTCGAAGCTTCAGCAACAAAATCCAGAGAATAAGTCTTATGGTGCTGCAGCTGCAGCATTCGTGTTTATCTTCACTTCGGTTTTCGGAGCCACTTGGTTGGCAGTGCCTTGGTTGTACCCAACGGAAATTTTTCCATTGAAAGTAAGAGCACAGGGTAATGCTTTTGGGGTTGTGGGATGGTCAATTGGTAATGGATGGTTAACACTTCTTTGTCCGGTAATGTTCAGCAATATCCAAGAGAAAACTCTATACATCTTTGGTGCATGCAACTTTATTTCAATTGTTCTTGTTTACTTGTTCTGCCCAGAAACAGCCAACAGAACATTGGAGGATATAGATTTCTTGTTTGCATCCAATAGTTGGTTAGCGTCGCTGGCTGAAAATGAATTTATTGCTTTCCAATATGCCAGAGATAAGGCTGGAATGCACTCAATTGCTCGCAGCCAGACTAATGATAAGGTGGCGATCGAAGAGACCGAACACGCATCGGCCTCAAGTTAAGTGGTGTGTTATGACGAGACTAATGGTACGAATAATAAATAGAGAATAGATGTTTAACAATTGGAGTTTTTGTATGTATTTGAAATTATGCAAACCGGAAAATTATGAAAGTAAATCAACTCAACTTGGTTCTAATAGTCTGCTGACTAGGCCCTAAGTATATAAATCTACCCTCTTAGTCTTCTTACTCTCCCTTTTTCTCTTCTTCTGACTGATTTTCGCAGCCATTAATTGCTGCATTTCCTGTATGCGGCTTGCAGTAATATCATAAACATGTGTTAGTTATCACTAACATTTGTACTGCGTAAGATTATAGGTTGGCTGATAATGTGGATACTTCTTTTCACTGCTGCTACCATAATAACTTGGAGAGTGTTCCACAGAAGCCATTTTAGCCATCTTTATAAAGCTTTAACGAAACCAACTTGCGACTTGAATTTCACTCCAACGAAACTATCCGGTACAGATGTGGTCACTATATTCATGGCTATAATCATTAAGTCAATTATGTCTGTTTCATTCTGGAGAACGAAGCTAGAGAGGAATGGAGATGATTTTAAGCTTCCCAGAATAACGATAACGGCACCCCTCGAACTATCATCAGAAGATGCTCGCCAGTATGAGCAAGCAGTTGCAACCATTTGTTCTCAAAAAGATGTTTCAAGTACAAAATTAGTACCTTCACTCATTCTAGCGGCAGCTACAACGCCTCTCATGATTCTTACCTTGGCTCACTTCTCCTCTCCGATACTACCTTTGGGCTCTGTGAATACCAGAAACAGATTTGATTTCATTGGCCCAGTAAAGAACAATCTCTCCAAGACAAGAGCAATTGCAACGTTTGGTGGACCCAACCAAAAGGGTCGTAGAACGAAAAGAGGAATAGAATTTGATATAATTGTTGAAGTGTATGATACCACTTCTGAGAAGATGATTTTCAGACAGATTATCACCGTGATGCAGACCCTATCCAAGTCACCACCACCACTATCTGAACAACCCACACTGACTGATAAAAATGAATCAACAAAGTTTTCACTGTTGGGAATTCTTGAAGTCCCTTTCAGTGCACCATCCTCATGGTGGCCCCTCTGCAAAGATTACAATCCTATTCATATATCTGCATTCTCAGCAAGATTGTTTGGTTTTCCTGGAAGAATTGCCCACGGAAACCATGTGGCGGCAGCTATACTTTACGAGCTCCTAGATGACAACGTAGCATACAGTTCGTGCTTGGAAGTTTCATTTCGACGTCCAATGGTGCTTCCTATTCGACTAGAATTGAGGTGTATGAAAGAGGCTGGTACCGTGAAATTTGCAGCCATACAGAAAGAAAAGGTGTATGTGGAGGGTTCATTCAAATGAGAGGAATTTTCAAGTGAAGAAATTTGATACGAAAACTGTAATGAAAATTTACGGAACTTTGAACAAGATTTTAATGTCCATCAATGACTGAAATTAAAGAGCCACAGCAAAAGAGATTACTACTCACTTTTCCTTTTTCTTACACACCTAGCCCGCTTTGCTAGGTTGCGGCGTCGGACCGGTTCCGAATGTGGGTACAGGACTTATCTGATTGATCAAAATGCCGAGTCGGAAATGCACAACCCGAAATTAAAGTTTAAACCAAAGAGATTTCGAAGCTGTTTTCTAGCCACTGGCATCAAATCATATTCCGATTCTATACAATAGGCCAATATGGCGCTATTGGCCAAAAGTGCTGGAGCAGGCCAATACTACGAGCCCGTCGACAGTATTTTTTTGCCAAGATACGCAATGCGTGCGTCGGGAAAAAAGTGCACTGATTAAAAAGATAAAATATCACAGTCTGATCCGACCATTTTTTCTGGAGGCTTAGCCAACGTTAGCAACTTTTCCATGATATTTAAAACCCTTTGAGCAACCGCGTGTTTCATATCTTTATTCATCGGTCTTGTCATAGGCTTATAGTATCATGTACTACTTTTCTGCATATTTGTCGATATTTTTGGCAGTGATACTAACGCCATTTTTGATTCCAATCCGGACAAAATCGGTCATTATTCACAGAATCAAAGTGGTACTCAGCATATGTCTTGTTATATCAGTTTTGGTGAGTTTGACTCCAGAAAGAGCCGTCAGTGGTCCTCCTTTTCATGAGTTTGGTCAAGCCAGAATTGCTCTCTACAGTTGTTCATATCAAATTGAAACCAGAGCATCTTTCTGTGAACCTAACCCATTCCGTTCCAAGTGTTTCTGCTCCAACGAGAATGCTCGAGCGACTATTGCTCATTGCTACTATTCCGGCTTCAAGTCTCTGATCAAAGACTTTACTCGCATGTGCCATGATTCGTTCAATATTTCTCTCACGGAAGAAGATATGGCCAGGAGTCACCAGTACTACTTGGAGCATGCCCAGAGGCCACAGGGACCTTCGGTGATTATGGATACTCCTATATTACTTGAGGAAACTGATATACAACTGTACAAAGATGCCTATGAGCAATTTTTGGGTAATTACGATCTCTCAGTAATTTACGGAGAGGTTCTCGTTGGCTTTTGGATGCTAGTGTTTTTGTTGGCAGCTGCTGGAAATTGGGGAAAAATCATATTTCCAAAACTTTTCACTCGTTCGACTGGTTCCTTGACCAATTGGTTCAGGCGCAATATTTCCTTGCCAGCAACCAGGGGTACCAAGAAAACTACCGAAAAACCATTTCTCAAATGTCTTGACATGCTTGTGCCAACCAGAGCTGAATCTTTGATTTTGGCTACATTTGTGATCATCACCACCTTTTTTGTGTTCCACAATATCCACTACAATGACGGCAACCCTCTATTCCACCACAAGAATAACGCACTCTTGAGATACCACGCTGTTAGAACCAGTATTCTAGCCAGTGAAATGATGCCGTTGCTAATCTTATTTGGAGGAAGAAACAATTTTCTTCAATGGGTAACGAGATGGGATTATTCTACGTTTATCACGTTCCATCGGTGGGTATCTCGAGTCATCGTTATATTGGTTCTCATTCATACTGTGTGCTACTCGTTGTACCTGAGAAGCATCCTCACAGACTTCGAAGCTTATATCATTGCTGGAGGATTGGCAATTATTGCTGGAGTATTTATTCTCATTCAAGGTCTTTTGGTTCTTCGAAGACGTTGGTACGAAATGTTCCTTCTTATCCACATCTTTCTCGCAGCAGTATTTGTCTTTGGTGCTTGGTATCATGTCAATGATCTTTACTGCTTATGGTTCTACTATTACTCGGCAGTAATATGGTTATTTGATAGAGTTATCAGAGTGGGGAGGTTATGCTCTTTTGGTTTCCCCAAAGCAAAAGTTCTTCTTCTTGCTGACGAGACTCTCAAGGTCATAGTTCCCAAGCCGAAACATTGGGATGCAATCCCTGGAGGACATGCATTCATTCACTTTTTACGTCCGAGCTGTTTTTGGCAATCGCATCCTTTCACATATACGATATCACCCGAAAATTCAGAGGAGATTATCATGTTCATCAAAGTGAAGGATGGAGTAACAAGCCGTCTATACCATTACTTACGGACCCATCCGGGCCGTTCCACTTCCATCAGAGTGGCCATTGAAGGTTCTTATGGTGAAAAGACTCCGGCTAGTCGATACGACTCGGCAGTTTTTGTTGCTGGAGGAAATGGAATTCCTGGCATTTACGCAGAGGCCCTCGACTTGGAACGCTCCAACAACACAAAGCAAAACATTAAACTTGTGTGGGTTATTCGAGAGTACAAGTCGCTTTACTGGTTCTACGAAGAACTTCTTTCGTTGAATAATTCGTCTATCGACACAATTGTCTACGTCACAAAGCCAGATTCTGATTCGTGCTTGGAAGACTTCGAGTTGAGAATCCCACAGGAAGAAGCCACTCATGATACCAAATTGTTAGCACATCCCAAACCAAATTATAATTCGACTTCCACAACTATCAATGCTAAGGCAATTATTCTGCGAGTGAAAAGTGAACTCTCGCATGTCGATTTCAAACATGGTAGACCGTCTATGAAAGGATTGGTCCATGAGAGTCTTGTAGAATCAAATGGTTCTACATGCTTTGTAACCTGTGGCCATCCAGTCATGGTTGATGATTTGAGATATGCAGTGGTTGATAATATCGGTAACAAAGAGAAGAAGAGGGTAGATTATTTTGAGCAGTTACAAGTATGGGCATGAATATGAATAATAAATTGCATATTAAATTAGAATTAGTATGAGAGTAAAGACGAAACTGGACCATCTTTGAAATCGCAACGATGAAAATCATAGTTAGTGAGTGCATCTAAATAGGCGTATAATCGGTTGCATAGTGTAGTGGTTATCACTTTTGGTTCTGATCCAAACAACCCCAGTTCGAATCCGGGTGTGACCTATTTTTTGCCAAACATTTTTCAGTTGTTCTCTTTTCTCATAAGACGTAGATCATCAAGTAAACAATAGCATGGTACTCGGCACGTTTCCGTCATACCACTCTTCGCCCTACATCTTCTTTCTCATTTACTTCATCTTCTTCACTTACCAAGTCACGTGACACGAGATGAGGTGAATTTTATTCTCACGATGAGGTTCATTTAGCTTAACATGATTAGAACTATGTATGTACAACCGACTGTCCACCAAGCCATTCCAGACTAAGCAGTAACACTACTAACACCAGAAAACCTAAGAATGCCCGTTCTAAGCGAGCATTGGCCAAACGAGAAGCCAAGATCGTCGAAAACACAAAACAGGCTCTTTTCGTTCCTGGTTCAAACAGCAATAAATTGCTTCATGATGCTATGGTTGACTTGATGTCATTGAAGAAGCCCGACTGTAAGAAATTCACCAAGAAGAACGAGATAAGACCTTTCGAAAATGCATCAGAGTTGGAGTTTTTCTCCGAAAAGAACGATACTTCTTTGATGGTTTTCCTGTCGCATAATAAAAAGAGACCAAACACCTTGACTTTCACAAGGTTTTTCAGCCACAAAGTGTATGATATGATCGAGCTTCTGATCCAAGACAACTACAAACTACTCCAAGACTTTAAGAAATTGACGTTCACGGTTGGATTGAAACCAATGTTTGTATTTAATGGTCCAGCATTCGATTCACACCCAGTTTTTCAGCATTTAAAATCTCTCTTTCTTGATTTCTATAGAGGAGACCAAACCGATTTGCAAGATGTGGCTGGATTACAACAGATCATAGCCTTATCTGTGGGAGATATTGAAGATGCCAACGACAAAAACTTACCATTACTCCATTTCCGTGTCTACCGCTTAAAGACGTACAAGTCGGGCCAGAAAGTTCCTCGAGTAGAAGTTGACGAAATAGGACCCAGGTTTGATTTCAAGATTGGACGTAGAATTGCCCCAGCTCCAGAAATGGAGAAAGAAGCCCTCACCAAACCCAAGCAGTTGCAAGCCAAGGAGAAGAAGAACGTTACTACTGATTTCATGGGCGATAAGGTGGCTCAAATTCATGTTGGAAAGCAAGACCTTGGTAAGTTGCAAACTAGAAAAATGAAGGGATTAAAGGAGAAATATGATCAGGATTCCGATAGCGACGAGGTATATGACTCTGCTGACGACGAGGTAGAAGAACCACCCGCAAAGAAGAGCAGATCGTAGAACCTAAGTAGTGGTATAGTATATAATTGCAGCTGACGTAATACGCAAGTGCACTATTATTGAAAAAATCAAACCCGAAAACAAACGGTGTACCTCGACCAAAGTATGGTCCAATCAATATTCCAGGTCAGATCGAGGCCCAGCAGTGCTGTGAGCACCCCCAAGAAGCTGCGAAATGACCCGCCATCAACTTTGGCTAGTCACAAGTTGACTGAATTGACGAAGAACCGTCAATATTGCGTATCAAAACTCCCAGCACTTCCATCTCATTTGAATATAACTGAAGGAGAGCAATGTAATGGCTATTGTGATCATCTCTCCGGTTACTTTGTTGTTGCCCAGAAGTCTAGCATCAACGTGTGGAATTACAAGTCTTCAGATAGCGCACCATTGACATACCAATTTCCCGTAGAAGATGCTGGAGAATTCCCTCCACTTGCAAGTCTCACCCGACCAGCTAGTGCCACCAGTCAGGATCCAGGAATTGTCATTATAAACTGTACCACGGGAAACGTGAAATTCTACGAAAGTGTCCAGCATGCTCCAGCTCTTGGATTGATTCACAGTAAATCATTGGAGCTTGTTTTACCTTTGCAATCCACCAAGGGCGAGTACGTCACAATGGCTCAAAATGTAGAGCCGGCAGGTGTTATAATAGCCACTTCATGGAAACGATGCATCTTGATTTCCTTGAGAGACCAAAAGAGCAAACCGCAATTGACGATTCTCGAACTCTTACCTCCATACAACACTGGACTTATATCTCGCTTAAACATCTTCAAAGGGCTTGCTAAGGCAGATATGGATGAAATAGTCAGTATCAGGTCTGGGTTTGTGGGTGACGATGATTTGACGCAAGATATTATAATTCAAGATTCCATTGGTGGATTCTATCTCTTCACTTATCAGGTAATGTCACCCAATGGTGTTTCTCTGATAATCAGCAGAAACTCATTTAAACAAAATATTTTACGAGGCATTGAAAGCAGTATCGATGGGTATTTACCAGGTTCTACGCCCAACCTCCGAATCATGGATTTATGGCCATTGAAAGACATTTACATCTGCTTGTGCTTGATAGACGACAAAACGATCACGGGAGACGAGAAAAACTTGGTTTTGGTTAGCGCCAAGATCGATAATACTGGAGTGCTTGTCTATCGTTCACACCGTTTGACAAGGTGTACTTACACTTTCTCCATCGAAAGCCCACAAAGACCAAGACTTTTCATACCTTCCCCCGGAAAGACAGCGTTCGTATCCTTGGGAAACTCTATTATAATGACAGACATCGATGTTCCATACTCGCAACAGGGCCAAGTTCAATACTATAAACCTCGATGGGAAGACATTTTCCGCTTAAAACCGTCAATTCAAGTTGTTGGCTACGGATACGAGAACCAGTCAGCCAATGCCAATCCGTCTTTGATTGTATTGACAGCTAATAGTGGTGTACTCCGTCTCGAACGATTTTCCGACTCTGACGATATTACGATGGAAGACGCTGATGGTACCACTAACACACTCAAATCACATATTGAGCAAGCTGTATATTATTCAGAGTCAGCCACCATCGATTTTGATATCGTTGATGAATTTCCCTCCGATGTAATTGTGGGTTCTGTGTCTGAAGTCAGTGGAGAAATTCTCAATTCCACTTCCCCATACTTACCATCCTTTTTACCTTCCATCAAGGACTTTCTCAGCTTGAAAGTCACAAAGTATCGCAATTTGATTCTCTTCGTGCACCGCAATTTTCCACAACTAAAGTCAACTTTGGTGCCTCCTTTAGTTGAAAACTTGGAGAAAGTGGAAGTGAGCATGTTCTTGTGGGACTTCTTGTCGCAAAGTCACAACGACGAAACAAAGATTTGGCTTGAGGACACCATAAAATCAACAACTGAGAATAATACCGAGGACCCTGTCAGGTCGTTTTTCACAACTGGAAATAATAACATAAACCAAGTATTGACTGACTTGCTTGAAAAAATGATTAGGAACAACATTTCTTTGACGAGAATAACCAACTTGATAACAAGTACCATGTACAAAGGAGTGTTTTTGAACGAAGAAAAGTATATCACCGTTGATGATACAATTGAGCCAAAGCGACTCTGGATTTACGACACAAATCTTCTCTTACGTTTGGAGGAGATATACACCAAAGCATATTGTGAAGGCAGTAAGAGTGAACACCACTCCAAAGAATACCTTGAGGAGATGGCTCAATTTTGCGAAGTTTTATACTACTTTGTTACCACTGCAATTGGTATAATGCAAAGAGATGGTGGGAACCACGAACAACTCGTTGAATATATTAGATGGTACAAGCAGCGCAAGATGGCCTGGATCGATTCTCTTTTGGATTCCAATCAAGTGGAAGAAGCATTTCTGTTGGCACAAACTTATAAAGACTTTCTGTCGTTGGCTCGTGTTTTAGATTTCAGCAAAGAGCGTATACTTAACGAACATGGTACCGATAGCGACGAATACGCTGCCATTTTAGAAAAGTACAATTACTATTTCCTGATTTTTGGAGAGGAATTTGCATTCAAACTATTTGACTACTACGTCAAAACTGATAAAGTCCAGGCTTTATTCAGTGATTTTGCCGACCACCCATTATTGGCCCAATACTTTGTCATCAACAAGGAAAGAGCTGCAGACTTCTCATGGATCAAGTACCTTAGTGATCTGGATTTCGAATCTGGCTCAGAAGCCCTTTTACAGTCTGTTGAGCGAAAGGTGAATGAAAACCAAGCTAGTCGGCAAATTAAGTTTCTGCTTGCTAAATTGGCTGCTATTGCATCGAACAAAAATTCCACTGTCGCCTCTTCAGAGGCTCTTCGTGCCGCTGAAAATGGTCTCGTTGTCACCCGCATACAAAACCGTCTCTATCAGGATTTGGTCAAGGCGGTCTCCAACAATATGAACGTTTTGACATTCCAATTTTTGAGCAAGAACTTTGTGAATAGTGAGGTGGATACCACCGAAGCTCAGGCTATACTTGAGGAATCGTTTGAGCGCTTGCTCAAAAACCAGCCTCTCGCAGTAGCAGACTCGGTCAACTACCTTACACTCATCAAGCCAAGTGTCTCATCACAGCATAACTATCACGACGCCCTCCGTGTGGCACAAGTTTCGGGAGGAGAAAATTTGAGTTATTTGGAGCATACAATATGGCTCAGGGTGTTGACGTTGACAGATGATTGGTCTGTCTTGTCACAAATCAAGGATAAAAGTGATGAATTTGTCAAGCAGCGAATCAAAGACACTGTCTTGTACAAGACTGTTCGCCAAGCACAATCTACTTCTAGCTTGACGTCGCTCTTGCATCATGTACTAAACGTCAGGGATACCGACGCAGCAGCAGCTCTTGATAATAGGCTTTTGGGGAAGCTTGAAGACAGTATTGCCAAACACAATCTAACCACCTGGGTGGAGTCGATCATCCAAGAAGCCAAGCAACTGTAAAGTAACAATTACATTAATAAACACGCAGTGTTCATCCGACTTATCATTCAATTCCTCGTTTTCTACTCTTCTTCTTTTGCAAGCGGTATGCGTACAAGTGGTTCTGGCATTGGATTTCCATTTTTATAGTCTTCTTCGCTATACTTTAACAAACCCAAGGAGGCCAAGGACACAGATCTGACTACGTTTTGCCAGTTTGAAAGTACAAGAGCCACGGTTTCTGTTCCATCAGACATCGCGCTTAATTTCGTCTCCAAGTCCTTGAGTTGAGAAGTGAGATTTTGGGTAAGATTTTTGATTTCTGTCAAGTTTTCCAACTCAGCACGCTTCTCAGCAATCTTCTGCTGTATATGAGTTGATTTCAACGGCTTTTCCATGGCAAGTAGAATTAACAAAGGTAAGATTACACTAACAAGAATGTGTGGATTTCGCGCTCCACTCCGCATTCCTTCACATAACCACCAAATCGCAACTGTTTATCAACAAACAAACATGGCACGTCCTTCAGTAGGGCTGCAATCTTTGTGGGAATTGGCAGCTTCCGCCAAACGAAACAAACTAAGGGAGGCCTCTGAACCCCCTGAAGAAAGAAGAGCGTCCAAAGTGAACCACAACGATCATGGTGAGAATTTTAATTCTCCATCATTTGAAAACACTCTGAAAATGACGAAGAAAACCACAAAATCCACAACCTATAACAACATCCAAGTCCACAGTTCCGTAGATAGTCGTCGGAACAGTGATATAGGCACTATACGGCGTCAAAGTCACCAAATGATGCCTATGGATCAAGACCTTTCGCACGTCCAACGGACGTATGTGTTACAGAATCAAGCCCTTGCTAGAAACAATTCTGTGTTGATGAGCCGGATCCTGGAGATGGAGGCGCGTTTAAACAGCGTGGTGAACGAAAACATGACTCTTCGAACCCTTCGAAACTCGAAAGATCTCGAGGTGAGGAAAGAAGTGGAATCACTTCTTCGCTACGTGGAACTGGAAGTTTTGGGAAAAGTTGGAGAAATATGCCACGTTTTGGCAACTGTAAGACATCGTGATATGCTTCCAGAAAACCCAGTGCTCAAACAAGTTGCTCTGATTGTTGGTTCAAGTGCACCGGCCACCTCCACTCCAATTGAAGGTGCCAGTCGTCCCGATATGCTGCAAGAATTTCACGACTTGGAAATGTCTATACCAGCAACTGGAGACTTCAAGGGCTCGTTGGTAATTCCAGAAGCCCAGCTCACCAACGTGAGACCTGACGCCGTGCACGTTTCGCTCGACACCAGCTACGAAGAAGCGAATGAGACTGTGGTTGAAGGTATCACTGCCAATGCAAGCACCGCTCCACAATCCAAGCCCTCCACGTCTGCAATATGTGAAAGTATCGATTCCAGCAAACCAGGTCTTCAGCTTTTAGAGGAAATTGGAGCATACGCTGAAACAGACTCATCAGATAAAGAAATTCCAGACGAAATTGCTCAAAAGACACCAAAATCCAAGAGCACCAAGAGCACCAAGGTCAACATCAAAACAAATGCAAAGACCAATCCCCAAATCAATTCCAACTCTCAAAGCAAAACCAATGCCAAAACTCAAAAGACGCACCCGTCCAATGACTTTAATCTGGCACCACCAAAGTTAGACGACCAGTCTATGGTTTCGCCTCCGCGAAGAAGAAACAGAAAGTCTATAAGCTATGTTATGCCATCTTTGCGTGTTAAAATGAGACGGGAATCTGCCAAGTTTATTGATGCCGTTGTGGATGTGAAACAGGAACCGTTACTGTCTCCCGTTCCCGAGCCGAAGCCCAAGAGGAAAGCTCTCTCTGACGTTACCGACTCTACTAATAACAAAAGAAAACCAGGAAACAAGAAGAGAAAGGCTACGGCTGCGTTTAGTTTGGACGGAGAAAACCGTTCGAAAAGAGAAGTTGGTGTTTGATTTTACTGATACCAACAACGTAGTATCGATGTATAAGCAATAGCTAGATTAATGACTGAAATGTATATTATACGCTCATCTTCATTTTGATGGGTCCATATGGGTCGTAGTCAACTATCTCAAAGTCTGAAAACGTAAAGTCGTCAATTGAAGTGATCTGATGTTTCCTCTCTTCCTTAATGTACAATTTAGGAAACTCGCGTGGAGTTCTTTGAAGCTGTTCTTTGAGCGCGTCAATGTGGTCGTTATACACATGAGCATCGCCCATTGTATGGATGAACTCACCACAATCCATATCTACAATGTGTGCGATCATCTTGGTGAGAAGTGCGTACGATGCAATATTGAAAGGCACACCCAAACCCATATCACAAGAACGTTGATACAACAAGCACGACAACTTGGGACGGCCAGCGTCTGGGAAGCTCACGTAGAACTGACAAAATACATGGCATGGAGGAAGAGCCATTTGAGCAAAATCTGGAGGGTTCCATGCAGACATGATGATTCGTCTATCGTATGGGTTTGTCTTTAACTTTTTGATAACATCCTGCAACTGGTCAAAGCCCTGACCACTATAATTGTCGTCACAAGTCTTATATTGAGCCCCAAAATGACGCCATTGGAACCCATAAACCGGACCCAAATCACCAACGCGACGGTCGGTCAAACCCAACTTGTCCAAGTACTCACGCGACCCATTTCCCTCCCATATCTTCACACCCTTTTCCGAGAGGTGGTTGGCGTCGGTATCGCCAGCAACAAACCACAAAAGTTCGTGAATAATTGCTTTACTGAACACTTTTTTGGTGGTTAATAGAGGAAACGAGTCATTAGATAAATCGAATCTGAGTTGCGGAGGAGCAAAAACCGACTTTGTTCCGGTGCCTGTACGGTCCGGACGGTGTTCACCGTGAGTTATGATGTGGCTGCACAAGTCCAAGTATGCTTGTTCGGCGGTATTAGAATGGGTCATGATGAGGTGAAGAACGATACGCGAATGAATCAACCGCGTTGGTCACGTGCGAAGATCGGACCTCTATCTCAATGTGGTCCACCACTGTGGTCTAATTCCACGGTGCCCCACGTTACCACGCGCGTCCTCCACTTTCCTGGACCAAGTCTCCATCTGAACGTTTGCACAATATCATTGATCGAATTGATCAAAATGACCCTCTTTTTCTACAAATCTTTTTTAAGCTACTTTTATTTTAAGCTGTATAGACTACTTACTTCTTCTCACCGAAGATAGCATCGGAGGCGGATTGAACAAACGACTTGTCGTTGTCAGAAGTTCCGTGACCAGCAGCATTGTCGGTCTTTCCGACAATCTTGTCCTTGAGGTGCTCTGGGGTAGATTTCTCAGAGTCTGGCTTCACAGCAGCGGCGGCTTTGTCGGTAACACTTTGTCTTCCTAAGTCTGACATTGTTGATTAATTGAGTTGATGATTGGTGAGGCCAGACCAATGCCCTTTTATAACCCTAAATACAGCCTCAACTTAGCAATGTTTGCTACTACTGTCATGCCTTGTGGTAGCAACGATGGAACGCTCGCCGCACCCGCCGCACCCATGGCGGGGCCTAACTAGCGGTGCACTGGGCGCAGTTACATGTGCATTCCACCACAGTGAAATCGGTGTTCCGTTGAGTTGCTACTTTCGTCATACTGGCTGTACCCATCGAAAGTACTTGAACCAATTAGGCTCAACCAAAACAACTTTCCCACTGGCAATGACGTGAGGTTGCGTTTTGCCTTCGGGATCAAACGACTCGAGGGTTCCACCACTCACCACTTTGCGGCCGCGCGCCTCGATTATTTTCGCCCGCAACACCACGGTGGTTTCAGGATCGGCTTCGTTTTCGAAATTAAGGGCCAATTGTGCAGTCACGCCTTTTGTGGAGGGGAGTCGAGGAAACCCACATGCACATAACCCCTCGTCTAAAAGCGTCGCCACCACACCATTATGGACGCGACCATCTTGACTAACTAGCTTTGACCCCAAATGGTAAAACCCCACAAATTCACCTTTAGTGGGATTCATGTAAATGATTGGATCAATTTCGAAAAGATTTGGGCCCATTAGAAGCCCACGACTAACGTAATTCTTCTTGTGTTGATGTGGGAACGTGTTGCTAGAAATCACTTGTTCCCATTCTGGGTCGTTTATCAACTCCTGAGCCTGATTACTAGACAAGATTTTCTGGGCAATATCCTCATTAATATGCTGTAATTTCGTATCACGGACACTCTTGCGGTACGGGAACGCCGCAAAACCCAACCCAAATGCCAATAGCGGCGTGGTGGTTCTGGTGATAAACCGAAGCATAAAGTTGTAGATTGAGTAATTTGCGAATGGTGGTTGGGAGGCTAATGTGCAGGAAGTTATACAGTACACCTCAGAAGACCACTGGGTAGTGACTACCAAAACTATGTTTGTGTACCTCCGTTCACTTCTCAATGCTAGAGCACGCAATTCTTCTCATCCTCCCAACTTCCTCATTTTATAATTTTTCATTTCGTATCTCTTTATCCTCTTTATCTTTCTCTCATCGCGAATTGAGATTCATGGATCACGTATAACGGACCATATACTCTCTGGTAGATGCGAAAAGCACCGTTCAGCAAAAACTTTCCGTCTTTGGACCGCAGGCGAGTGGGTCGTGCTGTGAGGCCCGTAGATTCATTGGTTTCTTCAGATATAGAGGTTCTTGAACGCAAACGAGACGACAACAAATCCACAAAAAATGCCACTCAAAGTGAAACCCACAAGATTATAGACCATCCATTGAAGCAGCATGACTTGAAACGTACAAATCAGTACGAGAGAACGATTAATCCGGAGGAATATGCCATAAAAATCAAAATTAAAGCAGTTTATCACGACGGTAAATCATTGAAAGATGATGAAGCGCTACTGTTTCGTGTCTCTTCTGACAATTCCAAGGTGTTTGTAACCCATAATGACAGTATAGTCGACAGTACAGTGTTCAGCAGACATGGAATCAAAGCTATAACGTTTGGAAATTCTCATAAAAGCATCTTGATCGAGATCCACGAGTCGAGTTATATCTTCATAAAGCATCTGAATAACGACACTTACTTGCATGATTATTTCAGCGGCACTGCCTTGTGGAAATTTAAAGGCCGGATCGCCGACGAACACCTAATCGATACAATGGCACAATTGGATTCACAGCGAAAGCGAGCCAACGGATCCAATGAAACTTCAGAAACTGAAAACGTCTCCAGGAACACGGAATTCTCTCCTGTAGCTCCACTGTCAGCGTATGGTATACCGTTGAGAAGATCTACTCGAGAAAGACGTCCGCCTTCTGGCAACAAGATGTATGTCCTGGAACCAATTGAAGAAACAGAAACTCCCGCCAAATTTAGCCCTCCACTCAGTTACAAGTTTCACGATAACAAGGTGTTCACAGTGACCCAAAATGATTTCAAAACTCTCTACAATAACGACTGGATAAATGATACAGTGATTGACTTTTTCATAAAGTATGACATTGACAAAGCAGTCCACAAGCTCAACAAGTTTAAGGTCAACGAGATCTATGCATTCAATTCATTCTTCTTCACAAAACTAATCTCAAGCGAGGAGTATTACGCCAATGTGAAAAGGTGGCTTAACAAAATTGATCTTATGCTGTTCCCATATATTTTAATACCAATCAATGAGAATCTTCATTGGTATGGATGCATCATTCGTGGTCTTCCCGAATTGTTGGAACGAAAGAAGAACGAGATCGACTTGACAAACGAAGCAGAAACCGAAGTCGCTGAAACCGAAGTCACTGAAACCACCGAAGTCACTGAGACTCCCTCCTCACCCAATTCTCAAGATATCCTTGAAGTACCCAATCCACAGGGTCGCAAACGAGCGGAAGTCTTCATTTTCGATTCCCTCAGCCAGCGTCATAATAACATCCACATCCCACTCAAACTGTTCATCATTGATTACTGCATGGATAAGCATAATATAGCTATTCGAAAAGATGAAATCAGAATCCAACATGCCAGAGTTCCTCGTCAGAACAACTTTAATGATTGCGGAATTCACGTCATATACAACATTAGAAAGTGGCTTGGTCACAGCACGGAAATCGAGAAGGTTTGGCGCAATTACCAGCGGGCAGCTTACCGCAGTTACTTTGTGGCAGAAGAGAGAAATAAAATGCGCCGTGAATTGATCGATTTACTATTGAAATTACACGAAGAACAAGTCCATGTGGATCAGGGAACTCACGAATCAGATGACGAAATAGAAGTAATTGAAGAGCTGCTGCGAAGTACATCTCAGGAAGCAAGTTCAAAAGAGACAGAGAAAGAAACAAAAACCAACCCAATAGAGCCAAAAGAAAGTGGATCGACAAAACCCAACTTGTATTCATCTAAAGAAAAGACAATCTCGGATATCATGAAATCTTTCGGACAGAAGCCTGAGAACGAAAGTCCTGAATCAACCACTTTGGATCCAAGACAGATCAAAAATCCTTTCATCAACTATCAAATACGAGAGATCTTTGCAGGGTTGTTGATAGTACCACTGATATACGAGATGATCAACAAGTTATTTCCAGACGCACAAGAAAAGGTATCAACCCAAGATTTGGAGAAGTTACAGAGATTGGCTACCAGCATTTCTTCTTTCGACCGTCAATCAGAGAAGAATACTAAAGATGTATTATCGCATTGGCAAACACAACTCAGTCAAAAGCTGGAGCAAAGGCGTCCCAAGGACGAGTCTTTTGTTATACGAGATGAAAACGACGACAAATTGAACCGAAGTGTTCATGATTTGAGCATCAAAGGCAGTTCTGACGACCTGCTTAGCGAGGTTCTGTTTCAGGCAGATTCTTCTACACCAAGCAAAACCTACGGGGACAAAAGCAGAAACGCAACCAAGCGAAGAAGACTCAACTCATAGTTTATAGTTGCATGGCCAATTGCAGGCCCATAATAGATTAAGTTCACTTTTTCGCAGCCCCACAAAAATGTCTCATACAAATTCCGGCAGGTGGACCAAGTGTGGTCGCGGAATCACAGATTGTCAACATTTACATTTCTACCAAGACATTACAACTCACAAATTACAAGCCCAGAGTTACCCATAATGTCTGAGAAGGATGCTCCAAGTGTCCTGAACGGACAGACTGAAAATGAAAGTGCACCCTCTTCTTTAGCACCTCCTCCTTTACCTGAAAGAAACCATCACACTGGGGTCGATACCAATATTCTAACCTATAGTTTGGAAGATAATCTTTCAACTATATCCATGATCAGACAGCACTCGTTATACTTGACTCCGATACTAAACGAAACTTCAGACTTATTTGGTGTCGCAGACTTACAGAATAAGCTTCAATTGTGGTTGGATGATATCGGCTCGGCATCGGTGGAAGCTTCGGAAGGTGACAGCTTCTGGAAGGAATTGTTGCTAGACCCAGTTTGGAGACCAGTAGGAGACAAGGCAGAGATAAGTCATGAGAACGAAGATAAGGAAGTGGGGGTTATTGAAAAGCACCTTATTTCTGGTATTGAAGACAAGTTGAGACCATTGGTTTACTTCAAAATACTTCAGATCCGCATAAAGTTACACAAGGAGAGCTACAACAATCTCCTTCGTAGGGCTATCAATTCGAATTCGTCCAGAGATGCTTATATTGACAGTCTTCAAGTCGACACCAATCTCACAGAAGTATTGAAAGTGTTCAACTATTACACCAACGAAGTCATATCAGCAAAAGGCGCCAGATTCGATGCAATGAACAATGACTCGGTGGCGAGCTCCAACGAGAGCTTTAGCAACTTACCTCCCAACAACTTCATAATCCATGTCAGCCAATTGATTGCAACCATGCCCAATCTCACTAACGAAGACACATTTTACCTCTTGTTGAAATTGAACAAATTGTTCATCAACCTCCTCAAAGAGGAATTTTTCTACAAAGCTAATCGAACTTTGGAGGACATTGTACCTGAAGTTTTCTTGCATATCACGAAACAAGGCATAAATCTCACAACATTTTTCAAGCGAGTGTTATTCAGTTTCTTTGCTGACAAGTTACCCTCGCAAACGGTATTGTTTAGGGTATTAGACTTTGTGGTGTTCGAAGGCTTTGATTTCATGCACCGTTTGTTTGCATTTGTTTTCACTATCAACAGCAACAAGATTTGTCTGCTTAATGGAGACGACCTTCAAACATACATATATTCTCCAGAATTTTTCAGTGCATTAGCTGAAAGTCTGGCATTTGAAGCTATCCTCATAATTGAGCCCACGATTATCAAATATGAAAATGATTACTACCTTCTCCATGCAAACTCGCTCAATGCAAATAACTTGGAGTTGACAAACCTCAAGGAAAACAACGACGATTTAATCATAAAGATACAAGAATTGAATCAACAACTTGAAAACTTGAGAACCACCCATACCGAAATTCTTAGCCAAAGTGACGACCATGACAATCAGTTGAACGAGGTTACTTCCAAGAACTCGCAACTTGCACAGCTCAAACTTGAATTGGAACAAAAGTACGAAAATCTCACCATGAAGGAGAACTTGAAGAATACAATCAAAGCCAATCGAGAATTTTCGCAGCGCAACAGTGAACTAGAGAAGAGTATTGAAAAATTGAAGAAGAAAGTTGACGAAAAGGCAGCAAAACTTGCAAAGTATACCACCTGAGGCAACTTGTTGCAACCTCTTTATCGTCTCTACGACTGCACATTGGCGACTTCGCACCATCTGCGATATCGTACCACTAATCAACATCATCATGACACAAACCGTAGGTATAATTGGAGCTGGGCTTGTAGGATGTCTTGCTGCTCTTGCATTTGCCGAGAAGGGCTTCGAGGTGAGCTTATTTGAGCTTAGAGACGATCCTCGAAAAGTAGATCCAGGTAATCTTCGGTCAATTAATTTGGCAGTTAGTGATCGAGGAATCAGGGCCCTAAAGTATGTTGATAACGATATGGCCGAGCGTGTATTGAAGCATGTGATCCCCATGTATGGAAGGATGATCCATGATACGACTGGAACGAAACAACAATCGCAAAAATATGGACTTTTTGGCGAAGGAATCAACTCCATAGACCGGTCATTTTTGAACAAATGTCTTTTGGACGAAATAGACAAGTCACTGATAAAGGTCTATTACAAACACAGGCTAATTGAGGTAGCTGGTTTGAAAGGCTCTTCTCCTACGGTAGTTTTTTCAACAGATGAGAACAAAAGGGCAACGTTTGACTTTGACTATTTGGTGGGAGCGGACGGAGCTCATTCTCAATTCAGGTACCAGATGCAAAAATCCATGAGAATGAACATCAGCCAGGACTATATCGATATGCAATATTTGGAGCTTTCTATCCCTCCTTCGAAAGATCAGGAGTCACCGTTCTCCATTGATGCTCATCATTTGCACATTTGGCCCCGCAAAAACTTTATGTTGATTGCATTGCCGAACGAGAATGGCTCGTTCACGGTGACGTTTTTCAGTCCTTGGTCGGTTATGGAACAACTCAAGAATGAGTCAGAATTTTTGCAATTTTTCAAGTCCAATTTTCCCGACGCTTACGACTTGATAGGCGAAGACAGTCTCAAGCATGCGTTCCACCATCATCCCCGGGGCTCGTTGATGCAAGTTGAAGTTTATCCCTACCACGATCCTTCAGGAAGAGCCATTTTGATAGGTGATGCTGCCCATCTGATGGTCCCATTCTACGGCCAAGGAATGAACTGTGGATTCGAGGATGTACGAGTCTTGATGGAACTTGTCGATAAACATGGTGCGGATGCTTTCAAGTTGTACTCACCATCCCGAAGAGACGACTTACGTACAATTTGCAAGCTTGCACTTGACAACTACTATGAGATGTCTTCGAAAGTGGTATCGAAAAAGTATCTTTTACGAAAGAAAATAGATGGAATACTTGGAAAATTGGCCCACGGAACCTGGTGGATACCTCTTTACACCATGATATCGTTCAGAGGAGATATCAACTACTCCGATGCTGTTGCCAGAGAGAAACGGCAAAGTCGTGTACTCAAAGGAATTGAGGTTGGGTTTTACACTGGAGCAATTCTAGCTGCCGCCAAAGCCCTTCATTGGTGGAAAAACAAATAATTGCATCAATAGAATCAAATATGGTCTTCATAATATGACACCCGTGCACCAGGAGGTTTCACGGCCATGAAAAATTTCAACACTTTTTCTAAGAACGAGCGGCGAATTTGGCTACACAAAAGTTACGCCGCAGCCCAAAGTCCACGAATCTCTTTTGCTAGAGAGACGTATAGGTTACCAACAACGTGAAATATTTAAAAGGTCCCTGTCTTCTGGTTTACCATGTTGAGATTAGTTGGAATCAGTCAAAGGGCACCCATCAGGTTGGGAATACCGGCGATAAGAACTTTCCAAAGTTCGACCAGAGCATATGATGACAAGCCACAGTCGCCATTAAAGGTATTTTTTGACACTTTCAAGTCAGAAGTCAAGAAATCAAGTGAACTTCAGCAAAATATCAAGGCACTTCAAGATGAGACCGGTCGGGTTGCCGATTCCGATGCGTTCAAAAAAGCTAAAGAGGCGTTCGACAAGGCCCAAAAGGGTAGTTCTGCCGCAGGAAAAGTTGCAAGAAAGACAGCAGAGGCTGTTGGAGAAGTGGCTGTGAAAGCATGGGATTCTCCAGTCGGTAAAGGTGTTCGTACAACCGTGCGGACCAGTGCCGATGTAGCTGACCGAGCATTCGAGCCTGTCAGAAAGACACAAGTGTATAAAGATATGTCTGATGTGATTGACGATGGGTCCAGTACGTCGTATGGAGGATTTTTGACGAAAGAACAGAGAGAAAAATTGAGAAAGAGAGAGTTGGAGATGAGACAAAAGCAGGGTGGATGGAAACCAGTCAAGGAGAACTTGGAAGCTGGAGGAGAGCTCGTGGCCACGGAACATAAAGCCAGTGGACCCAAATTTTCCGAAAGATTTGAAAAGTTGCAACGAACTCCAATTGGTAAAGTATTCTTGTACATCAGAGAAAAATGGGAAGAATCCGAAAACGGGTTGATTGCACTCATCAGAACCGTGGTGGAGAAAATCACCGGTTTTTTTGCCGAAACAGAGCAAGCCAAGGTTATTAAGCAGCTTCGTCAAATCGATCCCAGCTTCCGCATTACAGACTTTACCAGAACTTTGACCAACTACATTGTTCCTGAGCTCTTGGACGCATACATTAAGAACGACGATAAAGTCCTCAAGCAATGGCTTAGCGAAGCACCATTTAATGTATGGCAAGCCAATAATAAGCAGTTTGTCCAACAAGGACTCTTCTCCGATGGTCGCATTTTGGACATTCGTGGAGTTGACATTGTTACCTGCAAAATGCTTCAACCTAATGAGATTCCTGTTGTGGTGGTGAGCTGCCGTGCCCAGGAAATCCATCTTTTCCGTAAGGCCAAAACTGGAGAAGTTGCAGCCGGAACTGAAGACCACATTCAATTGAGCACTTACGCCATGGTGTTCACGAGAATACCCGAAGAATTGGACAACAGCGTCACCGAAGGCTGGAAAGTGTTGGAATTTGCCAGAGGAGGCTCCAGACCCTTCCATTGATGTATATAGCAAACCAACTTTCGCACCACCTACTGTAACTTGATTGTAGCTGATTTTCAATTCCTGCACACAACGGTGCACCGGGTGCTCATTCACGTCGGATTTGATTTCGTGTCGTTCGTTGTTCACCATGTCCGATGTTATCGCATCCAAGGAAGAAGTTCTGGCGGTTTTCGGCAAGCTAAAGCAGAACCCGGCCAACCAGGTGTGTTTTGACTGCCTGAACAAAAACCCAACATGGTCGTCGATTCCTTTTGGAATTATGCTTTGTTTGGAATGTTCTGCCGTTCATCGTAATCTCGGTGTTCATGTTTCGTTTGTTAAATCACTGAATCTTGACTCATGGCAGAGAATCCAGCTCCGTCACTTTAAGTTTGGTGGCAATTCTACGGCAAAAGAGTTTTTTATGAAAAATGGTGCTTCACAGTATGTGTCTCGAACCAACGGTGTGGACGCTACAGCGAAATACACTTGTAATGCCGCCGTGAAATACAAGGAAAAATTGAAGCAGAAGGCACAACTGGATGCAATTAAACACCCAGACATCGTCACCATGGAAGATGCTTCTGATTCCATCTCCATTAGTGAACCTTCAAGTGCCACCGGTTCCACCGATGATTTCTTTTCCAACTGGACAAAACCAGTTGCCACATCGAGGAGCGCCACTCCTGGTGTCAATGGAGACAGCTCATCAATCGTTTCTGGAGGAAGCACCGGCAGTGGAGTTGGTACTCCCACCAGTGAACCTTCCAAGCCAACCACCAGCGCCAGTGCATCTCGTCGCTTGGCCAGTAGAACTGCCGCTGGCAACGCCAAGAAGTCTATTTTATCATCCAAGGGTAGTGGGCCCCGTAACTCAAGACTAGCAGCACGTAAGATCAATAAGCAAGAAGATATCGATTTCGAAGCCATCGAAAAGAAGGCGAAAGAAGAGGCAGAGGAAGCAAAGAGATTGGGATACAAGCCAGAAGAAACCGAATCAACAGAACCGCTAAAGTCTTCGAGTGTTCCTGCTGAATCCAAACCATCGGGATTGTCATTATCGTCTAGAAAGGACTCCAATTCCAGTGCACCAGCACCTGCCATCAAAGAAACAACTCAACAATTCCAAAAATTAGGATTTGGAATGAGTAAGGGTGCCAACACCAATGCGTCAGAGACGGGCAAGAAATACAAGGAGGTGAAATACACAGGAGAGGTCAGCAATAAGTATGGAACTCAAAAAGGAATTTCTTCGGATGAGTTCTTTGGTCGTGGGCCGCGGTTTGATGAGAACGCCAAGAGAGAAGCACAAAGCAAGTTGCAGGCATTTGGCGGTGCTCAATCGATCTCGTCGGCATCGTACTTTGGAGAAGACGAACAACAAGCCGAAATGGGCCGTGGTCGTAGTGTGAGTGGAGGATTTGGCGATTTGGAAAATACCGCCAGAGAGTTTGCATCACGATTCAGCGGCAACACAAACCAAGATATGGAGGTTTTGAAAGATGCGTTGGAAGAGGGTGCAAACAAGTTGGGAAGTTATTTAAGAGACTTCTTGCGTTAGGAGTACAATACAGAATATTACAGCGTAGCAATGACGTAGCCAGAGCTTAAAGTAGCGGCAGCATTTTGCAGCCGGTAGAATGCCGATCCCTGTCAAGTTTCCTGCACCGGATTATACTTCAAAGTTCATGCACGGCCTGTATACATTGCTGTCTTCTCCACACAAGGTTGCTGATGGGGTGCTTTTACCCCGGCAAAGGAATGATTACGGAAGCATGCATTATGCATTTATTCAGTTGTATTGTCGCCGAGATCTCGAGATCATACACGAGGGTACACGAGCATACATTATCGTGCTGCGATCGATCTTAAAAAATCCGGCCGGAAAAAATTTTAATGTCCCAAAAATAGTACAAGTTTTTGGATCATCTGCAGCAAGTTTGCACCAATGATCAGTTTTCTAAAGCGTATTGTGATGTGCATTCTACATTATTATTTTCTTGTCTTTCCACAACTGTTGGGCGCACAAGCGTTTCTCCAACAACGCCTCCGCTACCATTATGCGCCATATATGCATGTAAATTGGGCGAAATCCACCGAGAACTCACCGACGTAATTCTGGTGTTTGGTGTACGGCTTGAGAGTTCGGGCAATTACTATGTGAGGTTTGGATGTGTCGCGCGATTTTTCGGGCTGGTAAGCTGCCAAGCAAGACATCATGACGTAATGGTGCAGCACGGAAGTCTATGGAGGGTCACTCCAGAAAATGGCCTGGAAAAAAAAGTTCAGTGTGGGGTTTACGAGACTGCCCCACCATTTCTATCATGGAGTTTTGGCTTCAGCTTTACTTGTAGGAACTTGTGGCCGTGCCTTTATCTCGACTACATCGCATACGGCTTCCGTCAATTCCGCAGCCGTAATGGCGGGGTACTCCAGAAACCTACCCCACCTCTGGAGAGCGTCCCCTGGTGCTGTGCATCGCGTCTGTCAGAGCCGCATGCATTATGCGCACCATATGCCGGACTTTATTAGGTTAACCCAGCAAGTTGCCAAACCCGGTCAAATTGTGGGACTATATAAAAGCCCGCACCGTCGCTATCATTTGTCAGCTGTGAGCTTTAGAGGTGTTCAGTTATTTTTGATCTGTCTGTCGCTATTAATTTGAATCCTAGTAGACGTGTTCCCAATACTATTAGGAACCTCTAACTGGCTTATTGTGACATTTTTATCCGAATAATTTCGAGGTCGATATTTGCTGTTTACCAAGCATTCTTCGACAACTCGGGGTTGACATTTTTCTTAGCGGCGAATATTTTTTTCTCGCATAGCAATCTTGACGCACTTGATTCAAAGCTCGTATCCGCTATATAAAGTCCGGATTTACTAATTATCCGTGATGACAGAACCAACAAATCCCAACCAAGATGGGCTCTTTGAGCACACCAGTTCTTCCTCGAGTGTGGCTGAGAAACAAAAGAACACTTCTGATGTGGATTCCACTCATTCCAGAAACGTGGAAGCTGGAGGTGGAGAGCGTGGTAATATTTTATCACAATATTCTGAAAAACAGGTGATGCAAATGGGTCGTAATTACGCCTTGAAACATGACTTGGATGCCGATTACTTTGCTAGGGCTGCTGCCTTGGCTAGATCTCCTGGAGATTTCAATTCTATGCCATTCTTGACCGAAGAAGAAAAGATTGGCTTGCATCAAGAAGCTACTAAGAAATGGCACGTTCCAAGTAAATTGGTTCAGGTCATTGCTGTGGGTTCCATGGCTGCTGCTGTCCAGGGTATGGATGAGTCTGTTATTAATGGTGCTACTCTTTTCTATCCACTTGCTTTCGGATTGTACGAAAAGGTGGATGGAAAACTGGTTTTCAAAATGAAAAATGCCGATCTTATCGAAGGTTTGGTCAATGGTGCACCTTACCTTTGTTCTGCTGTTATCGCTTGTTGGATGAGTGATTTCATCAATAGAGAAATCGGTAGAAAGGGCACTATTTTCTGGACCTGTTTTATTTCTGCAATTACTTGTTTTTGGCAAGGTTTCGTCAACAATTGGTACCATTTATTCATCGCTCGTTTCATGCTTGGATTCGGTATTGGTATTAAATCGGCCACAGTTCCTGCCTATGCTGCTGAGTGTACCCCTAAACATATTCGTGGTTCCTTGGTGATGTTATGGCAATTTTTCACCGCCGTGGGTATCATGTTTGGTTATGTTGCAACCCTTGCATTTTACTATGTTCCGGATCGTGGAATTGGTGATGGACTTAACTGGCGTTTAATGTTGGCTTCAGCTATGATCCCTGCCGTCATTGTTTGTTTCCAAATTCCATTCGTACCCGAATCTCCCAGGTGGTTGATGGGTAAGGGTAGACATAAGGAAGCATTTGAATCTTTGTGCCAATTACGTCATGAAAAAATGGCAGCTGCCAGAGATACGTTTTATCAATTTGTTTTACTTCAAGAAGAAGGTTCTTATGTCGGAGTTCCTACTTACAAGCGTTTGATTGAAATGTTCACCGTTCGCAGAAACAGAAATGGTGCTCTTGGTGCGTGGGTTGTAATGTTCATGCAACAATTTTGTGGTATTAACGTTATTGCCTACTACTCGTCTTCTATTTTCATCGAGGCAGGATTCGGTGAAGTTTCTGCCATGCTTGCTTCGTGGGGTTTCGGTATGATCAACTTTGTGTTTGCTATTCCAGCATTTTTGACCATTGATAAATTTGGAAGAAGAAACTTGTTGTTGACCACTTTCCCCTTGATGGCCATTTTTTTGATCATGACTGGTGCTGGTTTCACCATCGACTATAACGATAGAGGAAAGAACGCCGTGATTATTCTCGGTATCTACTTGTTCTCTGCCGTCTACTCGTCTGGTGAAGGTCCAGTTCCATTCACTTATTCCGCCGAAGCATTCCCCTTATACATTCGTGACCTTGGTATGGGGTTCGCTACTGCCACCTGTTGGTTCTTCAACTTTATTTTGGCTTTCTCGTGGCCAAGAATGAAAAATGCCTTCCACCCAACTGGTGCCTTTATGTGGTATGCCGGATGGAATATTGTTGGGTTTTTCTTGGTGTTGTGGTTGCTTCCCGAAACTAAGGGCTTGACCTTGGAGGAATTGGACGAGGTGTTTGATGTACCACTCAGAAAACATGCGGCCTACCAAACCAGAAGTTTTTTTAATGGATTTAAGAGAAACATTTTGCGCCAGAACGTCGACAAGTTGCCTCCATTGTACGCCCACCACAGATTGGCTGTTACAAACGAAGCGTGGAACGACAAGACTGAGGTGTCGCACGTTGAGTAGTTATTTTTTAAATTCTATATAATATGTGAATTTAAATTATGTTGCAATCACCAACTCAAATGTGGGGTATCGGCTGCGAAATTCGCAACCGATTTTCGCAACCGATTGCCCGATTCGGGTCCTGCACCACAGTGCTACAAAACCGCGCGCGTCTGCCTTCTTATCAAATTATTTCTTGCCGATCGCTTCATGTCCCTCAAAGCCGCCAACACAAAATACCTCCAATATCTCGTGGCGTATCCGCTCTTGACCAAATCTGTGACCGCGGGGGTTCTTGCAGGGTTAAATGAGACAATTTCCACCGGGCTTTCAGGAGAGTACCGTGAAACCACCATCGCTGGACGCAAGGTGAAACATGTTTTCAGTCCGAAAATCTTGACTATGATAGTCTATGGCGCTTTAATCGTCACCCCGATCTCGCACAACATGTACGCGGTCTTGAATCAAGTTTTCAAGGGCCCCAACTTGTCGAAGAAAATGAAGATTCTTCAGATTTTGACGTCGTTGTCCACTATTACGCCCACATTGGCGGCTATATTTACTGCGTGGGTGTCAATTATCAACGTTTATCGGCCACCAAAAGACTTAGCCATCGATCCAGTGACCGAGCTCAAGAAGATCGCAACCATTGTGAAGGGAGGTTTGAAGAACGGATACAAACGGGTCCTCAAGACGTCGTTGGTCACGTCGGGTATTCTGTTGGTGATTGCACAATCGTTTATTCCTCCTCAATTGTGGGTGGTATTCTTCAACTTGGTATACTTTTTTATGGGAACGTACCAGAACACCAAATTGAAGTTACAGACCAGAAATTTGAAGGAAAAGAAGGACGAGTAGAAAGGCGGCAGCTTAGCACTGTTATGAATAGTCGTCTAACTATTATGAATAGATTATAGTGAACCGGATAAAGTTTAGGTACCCGGTGAATATGCAGTACGCTTACTGATCGTCAGCAACTAGCAAACGAGAAGTCTTTTCGTATAGTCCTCAATACACTAAACCACCATATTAGTGCATTGCAATTGACCCGGGAATGTTGCACAGATCCATAAACGGTGGAATCCAAAGAGCCGTAGCCACTCAATTAGCTTTTTCGAGAACAATGATCACTGCTCAAGCTGTTGCCTACTCCAAATATGGGGAACCAAAAGATGTCTTGTTCACTCACAAGTACGAGATTGACGACGATAATGTTCCTTCGGACTCAATTGTGGTCAAAACTTTAGGATCCCCCGTCAATCCATCGGATATCAACCAAGTTCAAGGTGTGTATCCTTCAAGACCAGAGTTGACAAAAGAGCTTGGAACTTCAGAACCAGCTGCTGTGGGAGGAAACGAGGGATTGTTTGAGGTGATCAAGGTCGGTAGCGGCGTATCTCAGTTTAAAGTGGGAGACTGGTGTGTTCCTACCTCCGTCAATTTTGGAACCTGGAGAACCCATGCTTTGTGTGCCTCTGAAAAAATGACCAAATTGAACAATCCCACCCAAAGCAAGAACGCTGGTAAGAAACACTCGTTGACAGTGGACCAGGGAGCCACCATCAGCGTCAATCCTTTGACAGCATTACTCATGTTGACCCACTATGTAAAGTTGCAACCTGGTAAGGATTGGGTGGTTCAAAACGGAGCCAATTCTGCCGTGGGTAAATTTGTATCGCAGATTGCAAAGATCCTTGGCATCAACTTGATAGGGGTTGTTCGTGACAGGGACAATTTACAAGCATTGGTTGACGAATTGCAACAAGAATACGGAGCAGATAAGGTGATTACAGAAGAGCAAAATGAGCTGCGTGATTTCTCCAACGAAGTCAAATCATGGGTCAAGGAAACTGGCGGCGATGTCAAGCTTGCATTGAACTGTGTGGGTGGAAAAAATGCCACGGCATTGGCCCGGAAACTTGGCCAAGATGGGTTGATGTTGACCTACGGAGGAATGTCTTTCCAACCGGTTATCATTCCCACCGCAGTGCACATTTTCAAAAATGTCACCAGCAGCGGATTCTGGGTTACGGCATTGTTGAAAAACGACCCTGAGTTGAAAAAGAGATCTTTGGACCAAATTGTAGAATGGTACGAAAATGGTCAATTGAAGGTTGCAAAGTCAAATGAGGTCAAGTTTGACGGCAGCGATCTCGCTAAAGTCTATACAGATGCCGTTGCAAACTCCAAACAAGGAAAGCAATTGATCGTATATTAAGTACTATTTGAACTGATATTCAAATCCTAACTTGTTGTAGTCCTGCACAGATTTCCGCTTCCGGCAAAAATGTGCTCGGAGATCCCCGAGAGGGTTGCATGGTACAGTGGTATGCCGAGTACAGCCTTGGATCGGCAAAAGGGCTTGAAAAGCATATAAAGTGAAAACTTTCCGTCCCTAGATCATTTTGAAGTGGTTGTGGAACTCAATTCCTAATCTTTTGTTTTTAGTGACCTTATCTACTTGTTTCAGATTCTCAGCTGGAAAAGAAATTTTCACTCTTATCGGCAGCGACGGTTTGCACCTATTTTTATTTTTTTTCATCGCCGTTAATTTTTGGACTTGCGTTTTGATCTGTCGTTTTCACCGATAACAGTAAACGTGGGGTACGTCAGTGAATATCAAGAGTGATCCTGGAATCATTAATATCGAGAATTAATATACTAGTAATAGCTCAAACCTTAATTACAGTGAGACTACCACATTATATAAAGACAAAGACTGTCAGGAAAAAGATCAGAAAAGACCTAAGATTGACAGGAAATTGCCAAAACTACAAAGATAACTAAAGGTTGAATTAATATCAAAAGTTCCTCATAAAAACTCCGAAGTATTTTACCTATCATCATGTCAAGATCGATTTCGTCAACAAAAGTGCTCCTAGGCTCAGACCTCGTGCCAGCCACCATCATATTTTCCATAGAGTCAGGCAAAATTCTTCACATCGAAAACCGCGTGGTTGATGAAGATGATCCCATATTACGTCTCTACAATGTTCTCAGACCAGACCACAGAAATGTTTCTCCTTTGGTGGTGATGCCAGGAATTGTCGATGCTCATGTTCATCTCAACGAGCCTGGAAGAACTGAATGGGAAGGTTTTGCTACTGGCACCAAAGCCGCAGCGTCTGGAGGTGTAACCACAGTAATTGATATGCCGTTAAATGCCATTCCTCCCACCACTACGGTTGCAAATTTCAATCTCAAAATCAATGCTGCTCGTGGACAAACCTGGGTGGATGTCGGATTTTGGGGTGGTTTGATTCCCACTAATGTTGACCATCTAATTCCATTGATTTCCATGGGTGTTCGTGGTTTCAAAGCATTTATGATCGATAGTGGTGTGGACGAATTTCCAGCCATTACCCCAAAACATATCATGAAAGCCATGGCCAAAGTTCGTGGTCTTCCTACTCTTCTTATGTTCCATGCCGAAATGCAACCTCACAGACGCCATGGACCTGCTTTTTCGGTGCACGAAGTCGAGGGAAGAACTCCAAAGTTAGTAGCCAACGAAGAACACGCAAAATTCCACGCCGAGTTTCTGTTGGAACTGGACGAAGACGATGAGTATGAGCAGACCCTGGACGAAACACCTGTGTTATCGGACGTGCAACAAGTAACCGAGGAAATTGATGACATAGACCTTGGTATGTCTGCATCGTTTATCAATAGAGCTCCACAAGGAGTCGTCAAAATCTTGGCTTCGGAGAACAAAGGAAGACACCAGCAAGACCACGAAAATTGTAAGTTACCTCACAATCATGCTGGGTCCATCAACCACTCGGTATTATCTGATGAACAGGCTCGAGCATTAGCCAAATCTCCATACTTGGTTGGTTCCGAGCCAATCTTTGGAAAATACGCAAAAATGGCCCACCATAACTACCACGAAGAGTTAGACGAAGAATACGAAAGAGAGTCTCCATTCAACAGAAAAGACTATAGAGATCTCAAAAACGACTCGACAATTGACACACCTCTCCTACTTGCTCAGCAAGATGATTCGATGCTCGCAGACATCGACCCCACTACTTATGCTGCATTTTTGGCTTCTCGTCCTGACAACTTTGAGACCACTGCTATCGCTGAAATCGTCAATTGTTCGCTTAAAGAGCCCACTGTTCCAATGCATATAGTGCATTTGGCTACACACGAGGCCATTCCTTTATTGAGGGCCGCAAAGGCTCGCAACTTGCCTATTTCTGCAGAGACATGCTTCCACTACTTGTCTCTCACTGCAGAAAAAATATCGAATTGCTCAACTCATTTCAAGTGCTGCCCACCCATTAGAACCGACTCTAACAGAAAACTATTGTGGAACGCATTGCGCAGAGGAATCATCTCGACTGTGGTGTCGGATCATTCTCCATGTACACCAGACTTGAAGGGCTTGGAAAGAGGTGATTTTTTCTCGGCATGGGGTGGTATTTCGTCAGTTGGGTTTGGACTTCCCATTCTTTACACAGAGGGCCAGAAATTGTCTCCACCAATTACTCTCGCAGAAATCAGCACTTGGTGCTCGTGGAACACTTCCAAGCAGGTTGGGCTCTCGCACAGGAAAGGAAAGATTGCAGTTGGATACGACGCCGATTTCTTGATTTTCAATCCAGAAGAATCTTATATTGTCAAGAACGACGAGGTGTACTTCAAAAACAAGCTTACGGCGTATGATGGTATGAAATTCCAGGGTAGAGTTACCGAAACCATTGTGCGTGGTAACCCGGTGTATGCTTTTAGCAAAGGGCATTCGGATATTCCTATGGGAACTCTTTTGCTTGAACCCAGAATAGACTAGCCAACATCTTTTATATTTTGAAATCAAACCTAATCATAAAGTTTAGTAAGTCCAGCTTTATATCTCTTTTCATACAATCCTAACGCTTTGATAGGGAACAAAAACCGATAAGATGGGTATTCAATGGCACAACTGTGATTGAAGACACCTTCTGCGCTTTCAAACTTCCACTCACCAGTAGGTAATTGCCTATCCATCAACAATTTTATTCCCTTTTCAATTGGTTTTTGATCAGGATAATCTGCCAAGATTAACCCAATAAGCGCCCAAGCAGTCTGCACCACCAATGACTTCTCAGAATTGACATAAGTATGGGTTTCACAAGACTTCATTGACTCACCCCAACCACCATCTTCTCTTTGTCTTGAGATCAAAAACTCACATCCCAACTTTACGCTTTTCGAAGTGTTATAACTTTGACCAACGGTGTAGAATGCTTCAAGGGCAAACATGGAGGCATAGGTGAAGCACACACCCCAGCATCCGTACCAAGAACCGTCAGGGTTTTGAGCAGAAACAATGTATTTCACAGCATTTTCAATAGCAAACTTGACCTGATCTGTTTTATAATCTGGGTAGTATTTTGCAAAATATGTCAAACCGAGTACAACGGAATCCGTGCACTCAACATATGGATACTCCACCATAATATTGTTGAAGACCTCAGCTGGGTTGAGCTTTTCGAGCAATGGTGTTGCTCTGATGACTTCATAGGCAGCAAAAGATCCAGGTTCAATGCTGGCACGATTTTGCAATCTAAGCAACAAATCAATGGCCATGTACAAGTTTTCATCGGGAATTTTGTCTTTCATATCGGCGAAAGTTGGATGATTTTTGACCATGATAATCGCCTTTAATGCTTCTGCAGTACAGTCACTGACCGTATAACCTTGTGTTTTGGTACTAAAGGGCCAACCTCCTTTCCGTTTATCTCTGAAACTGCCTTCCGCACACTCGCTATCAAACTGAGACCGAACAAGAAACATGAACCCTCTGCGAATCATATCGTGAAATTTGGGCTTTTCAGCAAGTCCCGCCATGAAAAGGTACTGAATCATGAACGCCACGTCCCAAACCTGGACTCCGTTGGTCCCCATAGCCGTCATTCCTTCGGGTCCATGGAAAATGGAATCATTCATTCTATCGACATACCGAGAGAAAGCATGCGATTCGGGACCCTCATGGACATAACATGTCATCATATCGAATGCAAAACTAAGAGGAGCAATGGTAAGATAGTCGGTGTTGTAACAGTCTTTTTGAATCAACTCGTATACTCGTTCATTGGTCTTCTTCAACAACCAATTTGGACGAATATACTTTTCATACTTGGCAATGATGTAGTTTGCAACGTCTAAAACCTTTGTATGAGGGTAATACAAATCGACACCACACACAGTGTTTCTATGCTTGGAAAAATCGATAGTCTCATATGGTTGAACATAAATTTCCGATCTGATGGCTTTCAAGAGCGGATCCAATTCACGCTGAATTCTGTTGGCTGCAAGGTAACTCAAGGGCAAGTAGATTGCCCTGGTATGAACCCACCATCTACCTGGGTGGATGGGGAACTCGTAGGGAAGCATCCACATTTCTGGCGGTGTAGGATTGACACCTTCCCATTCATACAAGCTGAGAAGAGCAAGAAACGACTTTCCCCAATGGGGGTTTACCAACGCACCTCCGAGCCTATGTAACGTTTTTCTGGCCTTGACTAATACGGGGTGGTCGGCATCCATACCCAAAAGTCTCAACACGACGTAGTTCATAGTGGTTCCAAAAGCTGTAGATTTGTCTTCCGTATGAAGCCCCCATCCACCATCGACAGGGTGGGCATAGTTGACGAGAAATCTAGAAAGTTCAATACGAAAAGGCTCGGGGATCTCAGTCTTGGTGAAATAGTTGGCGATGACAACACCTGGGGTAATGAACATGGGTCCCTTATATTGACAAGGAAATATCCCACAAGGTTCTTGTAACAACTGAAAAAAGTCTGCACCCTTCTCGGCCGCTTGCAATGGAGAAGTAATGGTTTCCGGTTTTGGAGTCGGAAAACCATCCACCTTTAGAAGGTGCTTGACATAGTTTGATTGTGGAGATTGGGCGCTTTCTGCCTCAGACAAATAGTGCCAAGTTTCACGGCCCAACTCGTCTGTCTTAAGCCTCCATCTTGTGGGGTCTGTACGCTTTAGGCCGATTTTTTCCGAGTATAACATTTTATAGTTTTCGATTGCAAAACCGACTACTCGTATAATCGGTGCGACATCTTGGAACATCGTATACAAGACCTGGGGTCGTGCGCGCATCTCATCGAAAAAACCAATCGTCGATACCAGTCTACTTACACACGATCCACAGAATGGGCAAGAGAAAAGCTCCTGTTGGTGAGGTACCCAAGGACACAGCAGCTCCTGCGCATTTCGAGACCGAGGAGAACCACAATATTTCTTCATCTGGACTCTCGGACGACTCAGAAGATGAAGCTGAAGAAGTGGAAACTCAGGAAACCGAATCGAAACAACCTCCAAAAAAGAAGACCAAAAAACAGCTTTCTGCCGAGGATGTACAAATAGCGAGAGAAACCGCAGAGCTCTTCAAATCCAATATTTTCAAGCTTCAAATTGAAGAACTTCTTAAAGAAGTCAAGCTAAAAGATTCTCACATCACCCGACTCGAAAAGGTGCTCCACCGCCTCCATGGCTTAATAGAACAGATAACCCCCATTGAAAACCAGACCCTTGCTCAGGCGGAAAGCCACTTCAACCATAAGAAAACCGTGATTCCATTTCCTGACCCCAAACCCACCTCGCTAAACTACACCTTTGGCTACCTTCCACCGCAAGATATATCATTAGTAGGATCATTTGGATTAAAAGCTGCCATCAACGAACGCAGTCCAACGGCCATAGATGTTGCATTGACCATGCCTCAAGAGTTGTTTCAACCAAAAGATTACTTGAATTATCGTGCTCTTTATAAAAGAGCATTCTACATTGCATATGTGGCAGAACACCTCATCCCATTGTCAAAGAAAAACAACCTTCCCTTAAAGATAACATACGAGTTCTTCAACGATGACATCCTCAACCCTGTCTTACGTATTGAAAGCATCAAGACTGACGCCGAAGAGGACCTCGACTTCCACGATACTGGTTTCTATATTAATATTTTGGTTGGATTTCCCTTCGGTATTTTTGACTCCAAGAAATTAAGCCATGACAGAAACTGCATCAGAGTCCAGTCGGACGACGAGCTTCCGCCCACACCGCTCTATAATTCTTCCATTCTTTCCATGACAGCATACGACCATTACCTCAAATATCTTTACACCAACAAAAAAGCGGCTGAGGCATTTAAAGATGCTTGTATTCTTGGTCGCTTATGGTTGAGCCAAAGAGGTATGAGTTCGGCCTTGAGCGATGGAGGATTTGGCCATTTCGAGTTTGCAGTTCTTATGGCTGCTCTTCTCACGGGTGGAGGAACCAACGGAAACAAGATACTTCTTCAAGGTTTCTCGTCTTACCAACTTTTCAAAGGTACCATCAACTATCTTGCGTCCATGGATTTATCCAAGGGATATCTCTCGCTTTCAAGTGCAGTGGACGTAGGTTCCAGTTCCAAATATGTTGCTGACTCGGAATACGATTACCCAGCTATAGTAGACCGTTACCTGAAGCTCAATATTCTTTGGAAAATGACCCAATCGTCGTACGAAAGATTACAATTTCATGCGAGGGAAACCCTTATTCTTTTGAACGACGTTGTCAAAGACCGGTTTGATCCCATCTTGCTTCAAAAATCCAACATCGACGACTTGCAATTCGACTTGGTTTTGCGAGTGTCGATTCCAGAGGAGGTCCAGGACTCTTTTGGTCCTCTTGAAAAGATCACATATTTGACATTTGAGGCGTATATCAAGGAAAAGGTGTATCGGATTTTGGTCAAGGCACTTGGAGCTAGAGCAAACCTCATTTATACCAAGATGAAAACCAAGAACTCAAAACCTTTCCAAATCTACAAAAGGAAACCTTCGTCAAATACCGTCAGTGAGTTGGAAATAGGTATTAAAATAAACCCCGAAGAAAGTGAGAAACTAGTCACCAGGGGCCCAGCGGAAGACGACCCAGAAGGTGAGCTGTTTAGATCTTTCTGGGGTTCCAAATCATCTCTTCGTCGGTTTAAAGACGGTTCTATTCAGTATTGTGTTGTGTGGAACATTGGGTCTGAACCTCTTGCTACTTCAATCGTCAAGTACATTTTGGATATGCATTTGGTTGAAGGCATTTCCCAACATGTCGAATGTGCTGCTTCCGAATTCAATGCATTGTTGCCTACTCCCTTATTACCTGCTGCTAATAACCAGGCTCCAACTAATTTATCAGGGTTCATTAATCTTGCAAGCTCATTTGAGCGACTTACGAAAAATATTAGCGACTTAAGCTTGCCGTTGGGTGTCAAGGCGATTTCTCCCGCTTCACCAGCTTTGAGATTCAGTTCCTTGTTGCAGCCTGTTCCCTTCGCAATTGCCAGCCCGGACTTTTGGAATGATGTAGTCCTTCAATTCGAGACTTCCACCAGATGGCCCGACGAATTGGCGGCACTTGAGAAAACCAAAACTGCATTTTTGCTCAAGATTCAAAAGGAACTCGCCGACACCGCTTATGAGTCTCACATTGTCAAGGATGATTCTATTCCCTTTAACGAAAATGTAACGACACTTCATGTTCTTACACCAGAAGGATTTGGATTTCGAATCAGAGTTTTGACCGAGCGGGATGAAATCTTATACTTGCGTGCCGTGGAGAATGCAGACAGACGGAAGCCAATTGCCCATGATGTATACTTGAAGTTCAATAGGCACTATCTTGGGTGTGTCAAGCATACTAGAACGGTATCCACGTTGGCTCACCACTATCCATTCTATTCCTCAACAGTGAGGTTGTTCAAGTACTGGTTGGACTCGCAACTTATATTACAGCACATATCTGAGGAGCTCGTGGAGTTACTTGTGCTCAAGGTGTTCATCGATTCGGCTCCATACTCCACTCCCAACTCAGTTATTGCAGGGTTTTTACAAGTCTTGTCATTCTTATCGTCGTGGAACTGGCGAGACGATCCACTCATTTTGGATTTGGTGAAGAAACTGGACTTGGAAGATAGTCTGTTGAAAGGCTCTGACAAACTCACTACTCAGGCGCATCAAGTGATTGTTCTGAATTTTGACAAGATCAGAAAGAGCGACCCAACGGGGATCAAGACACAGTTTTTCGTAGCATCCAAAGATGATCCTTCGGGAATTTTGTGGTCCAATGGGTTGACGCTTCCGATTGCTGGGCGTATTACTGCCCTTAGTCGTCTAGCATTGAAGGTCTTTTTGGACAAGGGAATCAATAAGGCAAACTTGGACTTGGTATTTGTTCCTGGATTGAGTGACTTTGATTTTGTTCTCAATTTGAAATCAACAGACTTATCTAAGGATATGGGAGTGCTCAAGGGACGTGCTTTCAAGAACTTGATTGGAGTTGAGACCTCTTTTCCAGAAGATATAACTTCAAAGGTGAGTCTCCCTCAAATACTTGTTGAAGAGCTCAATAAGAAATATGGCAATGTAGCCATCTTCTTTGCTCGAAAATGCAACTTGCAAGACAAGAGTGTGATTGGAGGATTGTTTTTGCCCAACATTCTCACACCAAAAAAATTCAAGGTAACCGTTGGTATTAATGTCAAACCTATAAGCAAGGAAGAAATCATCATCAACAAAAGTGCTATTTTTGACGAAGTGTCGTCATTGGCAGGTGATCTTCTTGTGCTGATTAATAGAAAAGGGACTCAATCCCAAACATAGACGATAATAGACAATTTTTTCTACAAGCTTACAGAATATTTCTCCACAATCGCATTCGCGCGACTTCAATCTCAACTGACAATTTATTTTTAGACAAAGGTTGAAATATATGAATCTTTGATAGCAAAGCCGCCTTTGTCCATGAACACACTTGATCTCCTGGCTGAAATCAGGGGGTTTCAAAACCAAAAATTTCCCAATGACGAACAAACGCGATCTACAAATGCCGAATCGCTCTACAAGCAAAAGAAGCTATTTCTTCGTGATATACGCCAGAGCTTTCTGGCACTAGGTTACATACTACTCGGCATCATGTATCTTCGAGATAACTCACTTGTGTTGCTCGTGGTCAAATTTAACATGCATTATAGGGTTTCTCTCTGCCGAGGAAATGGCAAAGAAACCAGTACTGATGAAGCAATGATGATCGGACAGCGCACCATTGCCACATACCTATTCAGCTTGGCGTATCACTTGATCTTTGGTGTCTTCAAAACATACACAAATGACCATCTTTTGCATGGTTCATTGACTCTTCAATTCATCGGCGAATCGCCGGCAAGTTCCAGATTTGAGCTCATTTTTTACGATATCATAACTTTTGCTGTAATATGGATCTATTTCATCTTGATGTGTCAGGTAGAAGATCCGGATATAGTACAACCTGTTCAAAAGGAAGTGTCTTCTGAAGAAAATGACCAGCTCCGTGAACGATTGAACGGCAATGGATTTACAGGAAACGTCTTTCTTATGGAAATACGACCTCTAGAAGCCATGAAAGCGCAACAAAAAGCATACGTGGATTACAATATGCGACAAACCTCGGTATTTGATCAGATGGGCGATGTGGTGTAGTCAGCCTAAGTTCTTGCACAAATTAAAACTAACAAAATGGACAACAATTCAAGATGAAACTTTTCGAGGATGTTTTAAGGGGTTTCTTGTAACTGGAAATCTCTACTCCAATATCTTTACTGGACAATGGCTCCCCTCTGGCTGCTTCTATAGCTGTCTATGGCTGCAACCATCGGGTATTGTGCAGGAATTTACTTGCGGAACAGAAAAAAATTCATCCTCATCGCTGCTTCAAGATGTCCAACATCGTTGGTATTGAGTACAATCGTGTAACTAACACCACCTCGACCGACTTTCCCGGTCATAGTTCCAACGAGGATCATTCGTGGGACATCGAAAAGTTCAAAGATAACTTTGAAATCAACATTTCTCACTTGACTGAGAGAACCGCCAACTTCGATTTGATCAACATTGACACTTCCGTGGCTAATGCTTTCCGCCGTATTATGATATCGGAGGTCCCCTCTGTTGCGGCTGAGTCGGTGTATATTTTTAACAACACTTCGGTGATCCAAGATGAAGTTTTGGCTCATAGAATTGGACTCATTCCTTTGAAGGTTGACCCCGATTTGTTGTCATGGGTCGACCCTGCTCAAGACGAGAAAGAGAAGTTTACCGACGAGAATACCATTGTGTTGTCGTTGGACATTGCATGTACCAAGAATCCTCATCCACCTGCTGGTTCTACAGACCCTAAAGATTTGTACAGAAACGCCCATGTCTATGCCAGAGATTTGAAATTCGAGCCACAAGGACGTCAAGTTGACTTGTTCAAAAACAACCCAGTAGTACCAACGGATCCAGATATTTTGATTGCAAAGTTACGGCCTGGACAAGAAATTTCTTTGAGGGCTCATTGTATATTAGGAATTGGCAGTGATCATGCCAAATTCTCCCCCGTTTCTACTGCTTCATACAGATTGATGTCAGACATCAAAATCACCGAGCCTATAACCGGTGAACTGGCCAAAAGGTTCCAAAAATGCTTCCCATCGGGTGTTATTGGCATAGAAAATGACACTGCATTCGTAAAGGATGCTCGTAAAGATACTGTTTCTCGAGAAGTTTTGAGACATGAAGAGTTTAATGGCAAGGTCAAGTTGGGCCGAATCAGAGACCACTTCATTTTCAATGTGGAATCTACTGGAGCCATGCCTCCGGAAGAAATCTTCTTCAAGTCGGTGAGAGTGTTGAAGAACAAGGCTGACTACTTGCGCAACTGTCCTATTGGACAATAAAACAATTGTATCATAGATAATGAAGAGGTATAGAATAAACGAGTTAGCATTACCAACTGGCTATATATGCTGAGATTAAACCAATTGTTTTCTTGCTCCACGGAAGAACAATTGCACCACGGTAATTTGCAAGAATGCCATTCCCACCATCAACAACACCTCGAAAATAGAAAAGTAGTAGATTCTCGACTCTGTCGACTTGACAGTCGCATGGTTTCTGTTATTTCTTGTTTTGTAATACTGCAATGTTCTTTGAAGGTTGTCCAATTGCTCATCGATTTTCTCCACCGTAGAGAGCATATTACCAACATGCTGGAGTGGCTTGGCATTGGGCTGGTCTGGCAAGTTGGCTCTGAAGTCAGTGTGGTCATTTTCAGCAAATGTGATTTCAAAATCAATCACTTTTTCAGCAAACGTAGACATGCCATTGGCGAAACACACCTCGTATTCTCCAGTTATATCGGCAAGAATGACAAATTCTCCCTGTCTTTTCTTCTCTCCCAGGTCGATCACCTCTCCTCTTGGGTTTTTGATGGTATAGTCAATGTCAAAAGCTCCCCCACTTTGAACGGCGAAGTAGTAACTGATGGACGTTTTTGGTTTTTCAATCAAAATGTAGTAGCATTGAGTTTCTTGAGCTCCAAGGGCAAATGTGAGAGCCGAGGCCGAAGCTACCAGGATAAAGGCGAAGAGCCCAACAAGAACTCTTTCAAGACCAGAGAAACCAGCAAGCATCACAGAAGTATTCGTCGTGGTGATTTGAGTTTTCAGACGTGTCGTTTCGCGCATTGGTCACGTGCATGGGTTTTCAGTGCGTTACTATATACATACATACACCACTTATACCATGTTGACCATCTTTCCGGCCTTGTCGAAACCAATGGCCCGGTCCTTCTTTCTGTCTCTGCGTGACGCACCATACCTGAAACCAACATTACCAGACTGGGCGTGGGTGAACTTGAAAACTGCACTATCGCCTTGCTTCTGTTTGCCAATTAACACCTCATTTGTTCTGGTATTGGAGTTAGCAGTGGTATCTTTGAATTCGGTCAAGTTGTCCAACGTCTGCTGGGCTGGTTCCAAGCCAAAAATCTCTGCTGCATCTACAGGTCCGAAAGGCTCCGACTCGGAAATGGTTAAGAACCGTTGATGCAATGTTCTTTGTGGGGTAGGAATTTCCGTCAAGTTTTCAGCGTCTACTGGTGGTTCAAAGAGAGGAAACATCTTGTACATGACACTGGCAAACTTTTCCATGTCTTGGGAGATTTTGTTCTGAGTTAGTAAAACATCTCGTTGCATATGGGTGTTCAGGGTGCTATTGCTAACCATGGGGTTGTCTTCAAGACTAATCGAAAATTTTAAAAGCAATCTCATCATAATCCCAAATCATAAAATACTTACTTCTTTCTTCCATCCTCGTTCAATTTCTTGTAATCGAACAATCGCTTCCACTCGTTCCAATTTTATACCATACTTGTGTGCGATTTCTTGGATGTGAGCACCTTGTTGAACTTGTTGATATATGGTGTCTTTCAACTCATTAGATATCATAAGCGCCGTCTTACAGTATGGGTTCTGGGGGAACGGCTGCAATGAAGGGTCTCTTCTAGTGTTTCCCATTCTTCTATCGTTATTCGTTTCCGGTTTACTGGGATCCACCACAGTGTTTCCATCAGGAACAATGTAATTGGGTTTGTGATTTTGTGGGGGGTAGTAATACTTGTTTCTGTAGTACTCTCCCCTGACGTTTCTGGGGCCCAACCAAGCCTTCAAGTGTCTTTGAAAGAAACTAGAGTGGTCTTTGGTCGGGTGGGTTTTGTCTGCGAGCTGAGGTTGGTATGTTTGAGGATATGCGGGGCGTCTTTTGAGGGTTCTTATGGCTAATACGGTGCCTGAGTTTACATTGTGCGGCCTCAAACCCCCACTAAATGGGTTGGCTGTTCGAAACATCGTGGCAATTCAACACAGCTAACGTTAACCAGAAGAAATTTTCGACAAACTTGCACCGGCTACACCCGCAGTGGTTGGGCACCCATTGCACCGACAAATAGTTTCATCTCCTACCTGCAGTCAGGTAAACATAGATCACTACCACGGGTTATAGACCAACCTAAACCAAAATTTTGAAGAGTTTAGACGAGTAAGAGGCAGTTTTCCCTACCATGGAGAACCTCTACTCTACATTCAAAAAGTTGAGGGACCGTATCTCTCCTACTAAGGGCGATAAAAACGCGTTGGCTTTATCATCAACATCTCGAAAACGTAAAATTGCAAGCAGTGAAGACAATCCTTTCAATGACAAAACAGGAACTGAACTCAAACGTGCAAAGGCTGAAAGCGCTTCCAAGAAACAGGCCACCAACTTCATTCGAACTAGAAATTTGCTGCGATCTATGACGAAACTCAAACCAGAATTGCCAGAAGAAACGGTTCATGAGCCAGATCTAAAGGCTAAAAAAGAGGAGATAGAAGTCGTCGACGAAACCGCCGAGGCTGCTAATACCTCAGGACTTCCTGACGATGACGAAGTTCCCTTGGAAGTGCTTGAAGATATGCATAAACTTGTCGAGCGGTTCCCAGTGTTATCCACCGATTACCGCCTAATAGATAAAATTGGAGAAGGGACGTTTTCCACTGTGTACAAAGCAGAAGCTTTGAACGGGACCGTCAAGTTGGGCTCTGACGTTTGGAAGTCTCCTCCATTGAAGAGAGGGTTGGTCAATGAGAAGACCAAGAAGAACAAGAATCCCGTTGTCGCTCTCAAACAGATTTACGTAACGTCATCTCCCAGCCGTATTCATAACGAGTTGAACTTGCTATACATGCTCTCCGGAAACTCACACGTGGCTCCACTCTTGGATGTTCTTAGATACCAAGACCAGGTGGTGGCTATATTACCCTTCTACAAGCATTCCGATTTCCGTGATTTCTACCGCGACTTACCCATAAAAGGCATCAAAAAATACATGTGGGAGTTACTTCAATCACTAGAATTCATCCACGACAAGGGCATTATTCACCGAGATCTCAAGCCGACCAACTTTTTGTATGATCCATTTAAAGGCAAGGGTGTTCTTGTCGACTTTGGTTTAGCCGAGCAAGTGAACACAGCGTCCCAAGGGAAAAACACTAATGTTTGTCCTTGCTTGAGCACGGACCGCCCCATCAGCAGGTCCCACTCGCGGAGGCTCAATGTCAAAGCAGCATACCCCAAACAGGATCAACGGCCTCCCAGACGTGCTAATAGAGCAGGCACCAGAGGTTTTAGGGCCCCAGAGGTGCTTTTCAAGTGCACCAATCAAAATACTAAGCTTGATATATGGTCGGCAGGTGTCATTGGACTCTCGTTACTATCAAGAAAGTTTCCCTTTTTCAATTCTCCCGACGATATCGATGCATTAATGGAAATAACTCTCGTCTTTGGGTTGGAAAAGGTTCAAAAATGTGCTGAGCTTCATGGGTGTGGTCTTGAGATCTCACTTGCCGATGGAAGCTCATTGGGTGATGGCAATATAGTACAAATGCTTTCTGAAATATTGCGATACGAATGGATCAATGACAGCTTACCAGAAGACAGTGTGGTGAAGGACACGTTAAAGGTGTTCAATGATGCTGGCGATGGGTTGGCCAAACCGCGTGCCGGAGGTGATGGTGAGGAGTTTGAAAAAGATCTCGAAAATTATCAAGATCACAAGCATTTGCTCCAATTGTTACATGGATGCTTTCATATGGATCCATCCAAGCGGTTTTCAGCCAAGGAAGCTCTCAAGCAGCCATTTTTCCATGAATTGTCGAAAGATGACGACGATGAAGTACTACTTGACTAAAGGCGGTAGAATAAATAATTTGCATAAATATTGCTGGTATTGCATAGCTATATAGTTACAATTCATTAAAGGATTCCTCATCATCACCTTCATCACCAAATGAGTATGCGCGTGGACGTTTTCGAGACTCTCGAGGATCAGACGATACTGGGCTCGTCAGTTTATATTTTGTGCGCTTCGGAGCTTCAAGACTTTTGTTCCATTTTCTGTTCATCTCAGAAATGAGTTGATTTTGGTGATTCAAAGTAGAAAGGATTGGGGCATCAGAGAAAGAATCTCTCAATGCTGATTTCTTATCCGCAAACCGTTTTGCCTCCTTGTTGATAATTTGTGTTGGAGATGGAATGAGTTCGAGTTGAATGTCTTTCGAGTATATCTTTTTCTTCAAAAGAAGCGACTGTGATATATTAGTCTTGGAGCTTTTAACCTTTTTGGACGGCGTCAGTGAGTCATTCGAAAGAAGCGAAAGGGGAGAAGGTGTGTTGTCTTCATGTTTTACTTCGGCTTTTGGAGGTATCGGCGATTTGGTGACATTTTGGATGGGAGGGTTGGAGAACTGAAACTGGAAATCACGTTTTATAGGATCGGAACGAGACTCAAAACTGTCCTTTCGGCGTCTTATTTTCTTTGCTAGTAGCTGCGGCCCATGAGCCGGCAAGGTGGTGGGTTTGTCTATTTCTGAGTCTTCATCTGAGAATACCGCACTGGTACTAAAATGGCCCTTGAACTTGAATTTTCCTCGTGACAAAACCGTGGGTTCCTTGCTAGTATTGGTGATGGAGGTTAAGCTGGTGGTGCTGTTATTTCGTGTTAGGGGACGTACGTCGTCAAGGGAAATGATGGAGTTTCTGGGAGAGTCTAGACTTACAACAGATTGATGATTGGAGCCTGTGGAGTTCACAGAAGAGGATCTCTGTTTGGGAATCTGACCATGTAACGGTGGCTTGATTATGCGAGGACTTGGAGTGGTGCTTGGTAAGATTTCGGGACTCATGGGGTTACTTCTATCCCCGAAAAAAGTCGATGACATGACTTGATTTTTGTGGAGAAGTGAAACAGAGTTATCAGTTTTAGTGGTATTGCAGCGGTGCTTTTTAGCAGCGAAATTTTCAAGCTGTGCCCTTTGGGACCAGAAAAATGGTCAAATCAAGAATTGCCCAGTTTGTTATGGTGAAGTAAAACTGGCTTGGAGGCAACAAACGGAGATTTTGGTGCCAGATATAATCGCTTGTAGTACGGAGCGGTCTCTAAATAGGCTTCTTGTACACTCTGGGGGAAAACGTCGACTGTGATGTAAACATTCAACAAGTGGTTTCCGCGATGAGTTTCGATATGATGTAATCTGCGCGCAGTAGTTATGCCCCACAATGAGGAAGTTAGAGGACGATGAGTATGAGAGTTATACTATTTAAATAACTCAAATCAAGTTGAGATTTTCTTTGTAAAGTTTTCTATGTGTTTGTTTTGTCTTCAGTAAATATGTTCCTATCCTTAGATAGATATTATTGTTCTTGATCAGTTTCTATATCACCGTAATCTAATGCAGGATTCCCGTAACTTCTGCGACAATTTATTACGAGCGTTTTGCAGTCAATGCAGTGCGCCAAAGTAAAAATGAAAAGTTTTAGAAGTAGGGGATACTTTCACCATAAGAGTGATTAATTCAATGTTTTTTGGCACTACATTTTCAAATTACTTAAAAGTTGCAAAATTTCAAAATCGTGGAAATTCACGATTATTAATTTTATATATAGAAATGAAAATGCAGGCACGGCGCCCAAAGGGCGCACATGATGCTGCAATTGGAGCTAATTTAAAAGGCTCATGCCGAGGCATGCTTTCTAAATCCTCTTGCCCAATCTTTACAAGTCGCAGCGATGTGGCTGACGACTGCATAGTGCCACGCTACAGAATGCCACTCCTCGTTATCGCGCTTATCGCAAGGTTTTCTTTCGTGCGACGAAAATTCTGTGCACAACTGCACGTTTCATCACCAGATCGTCTAAGTGCGATATTTGAACCTAGCATCCTATTGTTTCGTGTTGTCAGCAAGTAGCTAGAATCTCGCCTCTCTATTATGAGCTACGAGACCAATTTACCTCCTCCCATCGAGGCGCCGAATTTGTCAGAGTCGCCCAATGCCATTCAAAGAGGTCGTAAATACTCGGTTTCCGAGGCTCTCACAAACTCGTTTTCCATGAGTCCCAGCCCGTTTGACTTTGGAGGCAGAAGCTATGTATTTTCTGGCGGAATATCATCGAGCCATCGTCAAAACTCCAACACCATAAACTCACCCACGGTCAAATCCGGAGTTCAAGTCCACGAGCAAACAGCCAATTTGGCGAACATAGGAGTCACCGAAGATGACAATGGAACCGAAGAAGACGACTCTGCAAATTACGATCTGAACTCAAATATAGATGGTGACTCAGGGTATTTGGGCACCTCCCCACCAATTCCTATAGAGGGAAGCTTTGCCACAACAAGAACAAGATCCAACACACGAGCAAGTAGCTCAGCAAGTGTGACTCCATTGATATCCAAATCCTACCGCAGGTATACCGACGAACCTCAATCTGAAATTTTCACTGATTATGATGACATTAAAGACGACCCACAACCCAGTAGATTGCATCAGATCGTCCTCAAGCCTCTCAATTACCTTCCAGCAGTGTTTTTGGGGACTCTTTTGAACATTTTGGATGGGTTATCATATGGCATGATTATGTTTCCTGTGAGTGAAACTCTTTTCTCGTCATTGGGGACCGGTTGGATTGTCGATGTTTTACGTTTCTTGTATCGTTTCGCAACTCGTCTACTCTCTAGGCGGTTCAGCATTCAAGTCTGGAATAGGCTCAGAGATGATCGAAGTTACACCTTTCTTCCACACAATGGCATACTCTATCATGAACGAAATGAAGGGCGCTCCAGACAACGCAGTCATTGCGACCACCATTGTTGCATTTGCAATGCTGTCGATCGTGACTGGCATCGTTTTTTTCTCGTTGGGAAAACTCAAACTAGGAAAACTAGTTGGATTCTTTCCTAGGCATATTCTTGTGGGCTGCATTGGAGGTGTCGGTTTTTTCTTGATCATGACAGGAATAGAAGTCTCTTCGAGGTTGGAAGGTGGCATGGAATTCACTGTGCCAGCTTTGAAGTACCTCTTTTCCAATCATGTAACTCTTCTTCAATGGACTATACCACTTGCATTGGCCATCTTTCTTATCATCTTGCAGCATCGATTCCACAACTCATTACTTGTTCCATTGTTTTTCATTTGTGTGTTTGCTATTTTCCACTTGATCGTCAAATTTATCCCAAAATACAACTTGAAGATGGTGCGGGATTCAGGATGGGTATTTCCCGCAGTAGAGGATAACCAGCCTTGGTATGCATTCTACGAACTTTACAAATTTCAGTTGGTGGATTGGTGGGCTATCTCGAAGCAGTTTCCTTCCATGCTTGCCCTTACCTTCTTTGGAATCTTACATGTACCAATCAACGTACCTGCTCTTGCAGTTACGGTGGGCATGGACCAATGCGATGTCGATCGAGAGCTTGTGGCTCATGGGTACTCCAATGCTATTTCGGGCTTGGTAGGCTCGATACAGAACTACTTGGTGTACACCAACTCAGTTTTATTCATAAGGGCAGGCGCTGATGATAGAGTTGCAGGTGTTCTTCTTGCGATTGCAACTGGGGCGGTTATGGTTGCTGGCCCAGTGGTAATTGGTTACATTCCTGTCTGCGTTGTGGGCTCGTTGATCTATTTACTTGGATACGAGCTACTTAAGGAAGCATTGTACGATACTTGGGGAAGACTTCGAAGAATTGAGTACACAACAATTGCTATAATTGTTTTGGTAATGGGAGTTTGGGACTTTGTATATGGAGTCTTGGTTGGTATTTTGCTTGCATGTCTCTTGTATGTCGTTGAGGCAGCTCAAAGACCGGTTATACGTGGGATATACACTGGTGTTGTCGCCCGTTCAACTGTGTTGAGGCACCCAAAACAGCAAGAATTCTTGAAAGACGTCGGCGACCAAATTTGTGTTGTGAAACTAGAAGGTTCAGTATTTTTTGGTTCAATTGGTGGGGTTGAAAGCGAGATCAGAAAGCGATTTGAAGGCGAAAGCTTCAAGGAAACCCCTATCAAATTTTTGATTTTGGATATGAAAGGAGTAGCGTCGATTGACTTTTCCGCTGCGGAAGGATTCCGTCGTATTTTAAATTTGACTACTGAAAAAGGGACCCAATTGGTGATTTCATCAGTAGAGGAAAACGATAGCATAGTTGTGGCATTACGAGACGCTGGACTTTGGGAAAAGCCAACTGACATGCCAATCCAATTGTTCAATACGTTGAACTATGCATTGGAATGGTGTGAAAACTCATTCTTGGCTATGTACAAGCTGGTTAAGAAGGAACAAAGAATACCAATCAATCCAGCATTGGGAATGCTGACATACGAAAGGCACAAGTCCATCTCACCAACCAATACGGGCATCAATAAGCTGTTGATGGGTCAGGCGGTAGGAATGACATATGGAACTCCTAGGACTAACCAAGTGTACCAAGCGGCAACTCGTACGGTCAACGATGAGCAAAAGATCCAAAACAAGTATTTTGGAAGTCAAGACAGTACGTTCAAAAAGCAGCCTTTACCGTTGCTCATGCTCACATTTCTGGGATTGTCGAATATGGACGAAAAGTTCTGGTCCCTATTAGCATCCTATTTTGTCAAGGAAACCATACCAGAAGATATAACTTTCTACGATACTGCCAAAGATAGTCCATCGTTTTTCTTAGTGGAGTCAGGACTTATCAGATCGGTATGTAAATTTGAAAGTGACGATAGAGAACTTCACTCTTCGATCTTGCCCTTGACCGCTTTCGGAGACCTCTATCATAAAGGATCACAGTTCAGAGACATGGCCTACACTACAGTCAATTACACAGTCACTTGGAGATTGACAGAAAAGAAGCTTGCGGAATTGATGAAAGCTCCCGGGGGTGAAGCGCTTTACAATGAGCTACTCAAAATCCAAATCAAGCTTGTGCGCGAAAGATTTGATACCATGACCGCAAACTTGGTGATTTCTGCTTAGTTTAGGCAATTGACATTCTCCCCGGCTCGTACCCCAGCCACACCCAGCCGTTCACCAGTTGCTGCACGTGACTTGTCGATAAGGAATTCGTGACTGGCGTGCAGGGAAATTATCTTCTTAGGGGCTGGTGTATCTCAATTACTATTCGCTACATTACACAATGGTTTCTACGAAATATATACTTGCTGCATCGCTCCTTTCGTCCTCGGCTTTTGGCTTGAGCTTGTTACCGGCTATTGAAAAATACAGTCTGAGAGTTTCTTCTTACTTTGAGTTGGATTTCAAGCCTGAAAGCAATGGACCGGAAATCATCTACATGTTTCCAGACAACCCTGAGCAGAAGCCGATTCCCGGAGACTCACCGCTTTTTCAATGTGAAGCAACTTCACCCCAACTTTTGACGTTGGAACTGGTTTCCATTGACCCCAACCCTCCAGTCAAGGGACAGAATTTGACGTTTGTGGCAAAGGGAGTTTTGGCTAAAGAGGTAGGAGAAGGGGCCTATGTGGACGTGGATGTCAGATACGGGTTCATTCGTCTTATCCATCAAAGATTCGACATTTGTGAGGAAATTACTAAGGTTGATTTGGAGTGCCCTATTGAAAAGGGTAAGCAAGTTATCAAGAAAGAGGTGGCCATTCCCGAGGAGGTGCCTCCAGGAAAGTACACGGTGATTGCCAAGGCTTTTACTGCCGATGACGAGTTTATTACTTGTTTAGGAGCAGTGATAGAATTTCCTCCCAACTAGACACAATGTCTCACGCGGCTATCTCTTTAGGAATTTTTTGGTGCTAGAACAACGAGGCTTCTACAGCTAAGTCATGACCGAGCATTGTTTCAATAGACTAATACAATGGTACTGATTTCTCCCCTCTAGTATAATACGGTGTACTGGGCGTGCTCCGGTGCGCAGACCTCTTCTTGGCGATATAAATTGTGATCTCGGCTATCTATAAGTGGTTCGGTCATCTGAAAGAATATCATGAACTTTGAAGACTACTTCTCGGTTCAAATCTTCTTTATAATCCTCCGAGAAACGTTGGAGACCGCTATAGTGATTTCGGTTCTTCTTTCGTTCATCAATCAAAGAAGCCAAGAAGCAAATGACCGAGGAAATTCTGCTAATGAAGCTGCTCATACTCGAGGATTGCGGGTCCAGGTATGGGCCGGGGCCTTAATGGGATTTGTTGTGTGTTTTGCCATCGGAGTGGCATTTGTGGTTGCATTTTATGTCATTGGAGAGAACTACTGGCTGTATGCTGAAAGACTCTGGGAGGGTATTTTCTCGCTTCTTTCGAGTATAATAATCACAGTGATGGGTATCGGATTGCTACGTATAAACCGCGTGATGAAAGTTAAGTGGTTTGCTAAGTTGGGTGATGCCTTTGATCTGCATTCGCACGGTAGAGGCCATAAAAAGAAGTACTTTCTTGCATTATTACCATTTATAACCACACTCAGAGAAGGCTTGGAGGCCGTGGTATTCGTGGGTGGAATTGGTCTTTCGCTGCCAGTTTCTTCCATCCCATTTTCCATTCTCAGTGGAATCTGTGTGGGATCCACAATCGGTTACACTTTGTACAAAGGAGGCAACAAGCTTTCTCTCCAATACTTCCTCATCTTGCTGACCTGCTTTTTGTACATAGTTCTGGCAGGGCTTATGAGTAGAGGAGTATGGTTTTTGGAACTCGAGCTGTATGTGAGAAAATGTGGAGGACTCGACGTTAGCGAAACAGGTAGTGGACCTGGATCTTATGATCCTGCTACAAGCGTGTGGCATGTCAATTGCTGTAACGGACTCACAGATGGCTGGTGGATGGTTTTAAATGCTCTTGTTGGCTGGACCAATTCCGCAACTTATGGCAGCGTAGGTGCTTATTGTGCCTATTGGATATTGGTCATTTCATGGCTTGAGATCCGCTTGTACGAAGAGCATCATGGACTCTTACCCTTTGTTCCTGTGCGTTGGCAGTTGAAGCGTATCAGAAAAAAAATCAAATTATACGAAGCCCGGGCCAAACATGGCGCTGCAATAGAGGCTGAAACAGAGGCAGAATTACTCATGGAATAATTCTATGAAAATAGCAGAAAAAGACATTGCATTAAAAAATTGCATTGGGTTATAGATCCAGCCGGTGTTTGTATATATAGGGCTTATCTTCATACTTTGCATAAACTTAATTAGATTGTCTTTACCGCTGTACCTACTTGGCGCGACATGCCAATTGCAGGTGCCAAATTCTCCGCCGTGACGGCGCGCGACTTTTTTAAGATCTACTTAGCTACTGAAGTTTGTTTTTAACTGTCTTTCAAACATAATTTGTCCACAATCACGCTTGTACACTGAGCTTGTATCCACTAAGGTGTATTCAGCCAACAATAAGCATCTAATATTGTGCAAGCACATCTAACAAAGTGTTTCGTCATCTCTTTGGACAAATTTCACATCGAAGATTTTTGGTGGATTTTGTTTATTCGAGTATTGAACCGAAAACGAACCGGTACCGTCACTAATAATCCCGTACAGGTGACACTGTCTGTTTTTTTTTTTTGGCAAAATCTGACTATCTTGGCTTGCATTTCAGCACATCCACCTACATTAACTAGCATCACAAGCGAAAAAATTCTCGGTGCAACTCACTAATCAGCAGTTCTTCATCCACAAATCATCTGTTACACAGCAGCACATTTCCCTCGCCACCCTAACAATATCTTTATCGGCACTGGCTTTTATCGCTACTTCTACACACTACCCCGCTTTTCACTTTTTCCATGTTAGAGCCGCCCCAGATACACAGGAAGCTTTCATCATCTTCCACTGCCTCGTCCAACCCGTCACAATATTCCAGTGCATCGGTCTTGATAAGTCCAGGTGAAGGAATGTCATCAACAGTGCTTCAGTCGATAAAAAATAGCGAGGCCAATAAAGACTTCGATCCCAATGCGTTATTCGTTGAGACTCACAGGAAGCGTAAAAAGCAGAAAGAACCGCTTCTTCCCGGGACATTTTTAAACTCTGCATTTGCTTCAGAATCGAGTTTCGCCTCAGACACCAGCTTCGAGGACGTTTTGACATCGGAGGACGATACCACCTTTTACGATCAGTATGACGATATGAATAACGATGAAGAGCCAGAGGACGATGACACCGAGACAGAAGATATAGAAGATGAAGATTCTCCGTCTTCAACATTCAACACGGAGTATTATGGTTATGGCGATGACTCAGATCTTCTTCCTCCATCTCCCCCTCGTTCTCCCCCACAAGACATTGACCCCGAAAAGTTGTATGGACTATATGATTTCTCCGGTCCGGATCCACTGCATTGCACATTGATGCGCGACGAGCCGGTGAACTTGCTAAATGACCTGGATGACTACTGGTGGTTGATACGGAAACTAACGAAACAAGAAAGAGTTATACTTCGAAATAAGAGAAACAGGGTCCTAGATCCCGATTGTCCCAGCGAGACCGAATCAATGTTGTCTGACCACGAAGATGAAGGAAAAGTTGGATTTGTTCCGGCTGAGTGTCTTGAGACTTATGGCGAGCGTTTGGCGAGACTTAATTGTTTCAAGAACGAAGAATTAGAGAAGTTCGCCGACCCATTGACCGAGGAAGACTTGGCTATAAGCAGCGAAATACGACGTCATTTGGAAGACAGTGATACAAGAATTGGCTCGGCGCCTCCTGATGGGGATATAACAAATCCCATTTCGATCAATAGTCAGGATCTGTTCGACTCTTCCATGGCTAATGGAAGCATGTCTAGTATTGGTCGTGCCAGCAGTCTTCGACTGGGAAATAGCAGACGCAGAAACAAATCTGTGACTTTTCAGTCTCTGGATTTGCTCAATCTTGACGAAGATGAAGCAGAAACAGATCATGAGTTTGCTGAGCCATATGTTACCACAATAACCAAGGACGAATTGTACGAATATCAACCTCCACAAGAGGACGAAAAGCGATCTGAGGTTCTTAGTGACATTGCCGATGGGCCGTTGGTTGTATCTAAGAGCCGCAAGGATAAGGGTAGCAGCTCCAACGGCAATCAGAATCTCGTCTCGGAGAATGAAGTGTATCCTGAACCACAATCCGAATTCACGAAAGAGAATATTGATCATCGATCAGTTGATCAAAATGTACTTTACGAGCCGCCTGTTAGTCTCTTCAAGCCGCAGGCCACAGTGGATCAAACTTCAATTGGCTCGTATTCACCAGACACTCCTCGAGCAGATCACGGAAGATTTGAGGACGATAACTTGGCTACCCTTAGTCGTTCGGTTATAATAGATCGATTGAACCAAGTCACCACCGATATTGAATGTCTCAACTTTGACGACTATGGCTATTATGATAAACTCGATGACGATGAGGACGATATGGCCCAGCATGGGTCAATGGACTCGGTTGGACGCCGAGATAATGATGAAAACGTGTCTACTACACCACTCACCAGTGTCAATTCCTTCAACAATAGCAATATAACCACTACAGATCTGGCTGAAAAACGAAAATCGAGAGCTGTGCATGAAATGTTCGTACCAATACTTGGAAGATTTGACGAGTTGGCAGAAAGATTGGCCGAACTCGAAAGTATGTTTTGAGCATAACCAGAAAATGAAGATTTGTGGAAATTTGGATGTTTACCACGTATTCATTAAATTAGCCATCCAAAAGATGTATCCATGTGTACCGTAATCTTCATACATCTTTTCTCTGAAAAATTACTAAACTTCTACACCCCACCGGTTTCCCTGCACACTCTTCATCGCACACATTTTGAATTTTAATTTTTTTCAACTAGTGTAGGTGCAAACAATAATAAAATTCCCAACCAGCCAAGACCTCTAGCACCTACTGGATATATTGAGCCATCTACACCCCGCCACATTACTACTAATCTGGTCCCGGCTTGATTCAAAATAACCATGTGGAGTGCTGACCCTCAGGCTTTGGCACAGTTGACCCATATCTTTACGGGCACACTTCTGGCTGATAACAACGAGCGAAAATTGGCAAACGATGCTCTTCAGCAAGCAAAATTAGAGCCTGAATTTGAAAATTATCTTTTCAGCTTATTGGTATTGGATAATACTGCCAGATCAGATGTTCGAGCAGCAGCGGGTATCAATTTGAAAAACAGCATCCTCAAGGAAAGAGACGTAGACCGCCTGTTTTTGAAGGAAAATGTGATTCAGGGCCTTTTAGTTAACGACTCGATGGTAAGAAACATAACTGGAAATGTTATAACCTCATTATTTTCCATCTATGGAATGGATGGATGGCCTCATTGTCTACCTCAGTTGATTGAGCTTATCAAAAATAACCAAACATCCAACATTCATACTCAGGAAGCGGCTATGAGTGCATTGTCGAAGATTTGCGAGGATAGTGCCCACCAGGTGGACCGTGAATACAATGGTGAACGACCATTAAACTACATTATTTCTACTTTGTTGACACTAATGGACCCAAATTCGAGCCCCAAAGTACGAGCTACCGCCATTCATTGCATCAACCAATTCATTCCGCTCAAATCTCAATCTATATTGGTGCAATTGGACGAATTTCTTGCCAAATTGTTTCAGTTGGCAAACGACGAGAATAACGAAGTAAGACGCAACATATGCACTGCGTTTGCGCAGATTCTTGAAGCTCGTTCAGATAAAATTATTCCTCATTTAGATGGAGTGGTGAACTACTGTCTCCATTTGATGCAAGACACCCATGAAGATGTAGCCTTGGAGGCATGTGAGTTCTTGTTAGCATTGTCCACTTCTCCTGCAACAGAAACGAACAAGCAGGTTTTCCAGCCCAAATTACCCTTGATTCTTCCAGTTTTGTTGGACAAAATGGTGTACTCGGAAGAGGAGATATTCTACATGGAGATGATAGATGAAAGAGATAACGCAGACGTTGCTGACCGAGACGAAGATGTCAAGCCACAGGCCGCCAAATCCAAGTCGGCTCATACTGCCTCGTCCAAGCGGGCAAAACAGAATCAGTTTGATGTCGATTCCGATTCCGAATATGAAGACGATGAAGATGATGAAGATGACGACGATGATGACGTCAACCAATGGTCACTTCGTAAGTGTTCAGCTGCTACGTTGGATATACTCTCGTTGAATTTCCCAGGTGATGTGATCCAGATTTCCATCCCAATACTCCAGGAAAAGATAGTTGCAAACGAATGGCCTGTTCGCGAAGCTTCGATATTGGCCTTTGGTGCCATCAGCAAAAGTTGTTTGGAACTTGCCGGAGATAAGATTCCTACATTGATTCCATTTTTGGTGGAAAGATTGTCAGATAATGAACCCCGAGTCAGGCAAATCACTTGCTGGACACTCTCGCGTTATGCTCAATGGGTTAACGAAGAGGCACGTTATGGCAACTATTCCAACTATTTCCAGCCTACTTTCCAAGCAATCATGAACTGTTCCTTGGACAGCAAAAAAGTGGTTCAAGAGGCTGCGTGCTCAGCTCTTTCATCCTTTATTGAGGAAAGTGATTCTTCATTGCTTGAGGTGTTTTTGGCACCTTTGTTAGTCCATTTTGCAAAGTGCTTTGAAACATATCAAAGACGCAACCTTGTGATCCTCTATGACTGTGTTCAGACTTTTGTCGAGGTGATGGGCCATGACAATCTTGCTGCTAATCCTCAAAACGTAGAGACATTGTTGACTCCACTTCTTCACAAATGGCAATCGTTGGACGACAACGACAACTCATTATGGCCTTTGTTGGAATGTATGGCATCTGTCGCAGCCACCTTGGGCGAGCTTTTTGCTCCTTATGCCCTTCCAGTATACGAGAGAGCTTCCAAGATCTTGGCTCATTGCATTGAAGTTGAGCAGCAGTGTCATACAGATCCTTTAATCGACACTCCCGAGAAGGACTTTATGGTTACATCTTTGGACCTTATAGATGGGTTGATTCAAGGATTCGAAGGACATTCCGCAGATCTCATTAATGGTGCCAACTTGATGCAAATGCTTCTCTTGTGCTTTGAAGATCCTACCGATGATGTCAGACAATCAGCTTATGCCCTTTTAGGCGACTTGGCGATTTTCGTCCCAGAACAAACCGTTAAGCCATGTTTGCTGTCGGTGGTTGTCTGCATCGGGAACGAGATCAACAACAGAAACTACACCTCGTACGCCGTATATAACAATGCTATATGGGCATTGGGTGAAATTGCAGTGCGTTGCACTAATGGAGAATTGGAACCATATATGAATAACTTCCTTGACTTGCTTATACCGTTCATCAATAGCAGTGACATGCAACAAGCAGTATTAGAGAATGCCGCTATATGCTTGGGGAGACTAGGATTGAATGGAGGAGCCAGTAAATTGGCACCTAGACTCGTTGAGTTTATTATTCCATGGTGCTCTCATATGTTATACTTGATCGATAATAACGAAAAGGAGACATGCTACCAAGGAATCTTGCAGGCAATCCACGAGAACCCCGATCAAGGATTCGGAGGACTTTCAACCGTACAAGGCAGAAAGAATTTGTCGATATTCATAACCACAGTGGCTCACTACTTTGAGCCACCCCAGGCATTGAAAAATGCCATAGGCCAAACTCTTCAAAGTTTCAAGGCAATGCTTGGCGACGACATCTGGAACAACCACATTCTAGCCACTATTGATCCTGAAATGAAGCAGAGCTTACAACAGGCCTATAGTGTATAGCATATATAGATTGTATTAACTATTCGTCATTATCATCTGTATATAGTACTTCGTTCACTAAAGTAATGGGCAAGTCCCACACTCCAGATGGTGCTTTCCATACATAATCAAGAGTTTTTTCATACTTGGAACGACTCCCAGGAACGGTTTGTTCCGGCATGTATGTGTAGGAGTCCACGAAATTTCTCACATCGTCAATTGCAAATGTCAAGACTTCCGTATTATAAAGGGCCATTCCAATGTATATGTACACCATGAGCATCAAGGAATAGGCCGGTATGGCCACCGTCCAGTACTTATCAGGATAATAATCTATATAAAGGTAGTTTTCAAGAACATGTTCAGGAATTACGGTCCAGCCGATCCATACAAACAAACTAATAGAACTAAGTACATATATAAAGAAACCCCTATACTCTGCATTCAGAATGTTGTGGGTTGCCAAGAGGTCCGATTGACTTACCACCAAATCTTCATGGCGTCGATTCATACATTCAATCTGTCAAATGTAGTGCGTCATAAAGGTTGCAGGTCGTGCGCAGGACAGCGGACTGACATATACGCCGAAATGTGGCACCGTGCCAGGAAATACCCGGTAGATTTCGCAACGCGGCTAGCGCTGAGTCATTACCGTTTTAGGGCTCAAAATTTTCAGATAAAAACCTCTTCCTTGAGTTACGGCAATTGCAACTTTAAATCGAGTAGTTGAGTCACAATGCCAATGAACTGGGTAAAAATCATACCCAGATTGTCGGGGTTTGCTGTAAAACACCACATTCCACGTACTCACAACGTTCGGCTTTTTTCTGTCGCTTCGAGGTTTCAAAACCAATCACAGATCAGTTACGCTGGAGCGGAATTGCTCAAATCTTTGGGAGGAGATACCAGCCAGAAGCTCGTGGATGTCTCAAAAGTGCTTGTTATTGGATCGGGAGGGCTTTCTATTGGCCAGGCTGGTGAATTCGATTATTCGGGTTCTCAAGCGATCAAGGCGTTGAAAGAAGCCAATAAAAAGTCAATTTTGATCAATCCTAACATTGCCACGAACCAGACATCGCACGCGTTGGCAGATGAAATATACTACTTGCCTGTGACTGCTGAGTACATTACTTATATTATTGAAAGAGAGAGACCAGATGGTATCTTGTTGACGTTTGGAGGTCAAACTGGTTTGAATGTGGGAGTTAAATTGGACAAGATGGGAGTTTTCGAAAGGTACGGAGTCAAGGTGTTGGGTACACCCATTAAAACTTTAGAAACTTCTGAAGATCGTGATTTATTTGCCAAAGCTTTGAAGGAAATTGATATTCCAATTGCCGAATCGATTGCGGTGGAAACCGTCGATGATGCTCTTGCGGCAGCGAAAAGTGTTGGCTACCCCATTATTGTGAGATCTGCCTACTCATTGGGTGGATTAGGATCTGGATTTGCTGCAAATGAGGAAGAATTGAGAGATTTGTCTTCTCGTTCATTATCATTGGCTCCGCAAATTTTGGTGGAAAAGTCTTTGAAAGGATGGAAGGAAGTTGAATACGAGGTTGTTAGAGACCGCGTGGGCAACTGTATCACCGTGTGCAATATGGAAAACTTTGATCCACTTGGTGTCCATACTGGTGACTCCATTGTGGTGGCCCCATCTCAGACTCTCAGTGATGAAGAATACCATATGTTGAGATCTGCTGCCATCAAGATTATCCGCCATTTGGGTGTCGTTGGTGAATGTAATGTCCAATATTCCTTACAACCTGATGGACTCGACTACAGAGTGATCGAAGTCAATGCTCGTTTGTCTCGTTCTTCAGCTTTGGCATCCAAGGCTACAGGTTACCCACTTGCATACACTGCCGCTAAGATTGCACTTGGCCATACTCTCCCCGAGTTGCCCAATCCAGTCACCAAAACCACCTCTGCTAATTTCGAACCTTCGTTGGATTACATGGTCACCAAGATTCCAAGATGGGACTTGGCAAAATTCCAGCACGTTAAAAGGGACATTGGTTCTGCCATGAAATCTGTCGGTGAAGTCATGGCAATTGGCCGTAACTTTGAGGAGTCGTTCCAAAAGGCAATCAGACAAGTTGACCCTTCGTATATTGGTTTCCAAGGTGACACTTTTGAAGACTTGGACGACGTTTTGCAAAACCCTACCGATAGAAGATGGTTGGCAGTTGGTCAAGCATTACTTCACGAGAACTACTCGGTTGATAAGGTGCACGAGTTGAGTAAAATCGACAAATGGTTCTTGTACAAGTTGATGAATATCGTCAACATGTACCGTGAATTGGAAGCCACTGGTCTGTTGGAAAAAATTAACTCTGACTTGATGTCAAAGAGCAAAGAAATTGGGATTTTCAGACAAGCAAATTGCACTTTGTGTCAAGTCTACTGAGTTGGAAGTTCGTGCCGTTAGAAAGCTGTTTGGTATTGTCCCATTTGTGAAGAAGATTGATACTTTGGCGGCAGAATTCCCTGCTAACACCAACTATCTTTACACCACTTACAATGCTACTTCATCAGATATAGAGTTCAACGAACACGGAACCATGGTTTTGGGCTCTGGAGTGTACCGTATTGGATCGTCAGTTGAATTTGATTGGTGTGCCGTTTCCACAGCTAGAGCATTGAGAGAGTCTGGCCACAAGACCATTATGATTAACTACAACCCAGAAACTGTTTCGACCGACTTTGACGAGGTTGACAGATTGTACTTTGAAGAATTATCGTTGGAGAGAGTGCTTGATATTTATGAGCTTGAAAACGCTCAAGGTGTGGTTGTTAGTGTTGGAGGACAACTCCCTCAAAACATCGCTTTGCCTTTACAAGAGCAAGGCTGCAACGTATTGGGTACTAACCCAGCTGACATTGACAAGGCCGAAGATCGTCACAAATTCTCTCAGATTTTGGACTCTATTGGCGTTGACCAGCCAAGATGGAAAGAGCTCACCTCGGTTGATGAAGCTGAAAAGTTTGCTGATGAAGTTGGGTATCCAGTTTTGGTAAGACCTTCCTACGTCTTGAGTGGAGCTGCCATGTCTGTGATCAATAGCAAGGCCGAATTGGAGACAAAATTGTCCAATGCTGCTAAAGTTTCCCAGGACCATCCTGTGGTGATCTCAAAATTCATCGTTGGTGCTCAAGAAATTGACATTGATGGAGTTGCAAGCGATGGTAATGTTTTGGTACATGCTGTTTCAGAACATGTGGAAAATGCTGGTGTTCACTCTGGAGATGCAACTTTGGTTCTTCCACCTCAGGACCTTTCTCCAGTTGTTCTTGGAAGATTGAAAGAAATCGCTGATAAGGTTGCAAAAGCTTGGAAAATTAGTGGTCCTTTCAACATGCAAATTATCAAGGACGACCATAATGGAACATTGGGCGATGAAGATTGCGAATTAAAGGTTATTGAGTGTAATATTCGTGCCTCTAGATCTTTCCCATTTGTCTCGAAAGTATTGGGTACCAACTTTATCGATATTGCTGCCAAAGCATTGATCAAGGAAAATGTACCTGAGCCCGTTGATTTGATGAGTCGCCTGTACGACAGAGTCGCTACCAAGGTTCCTCAATTTTCATTCACCAGGTTGGCTGGTGCTGATCCTTTCTTAGGAGTGGAAATGGCTTCTACAGGAGAGGTTGCATGTTTCGGTAAAGACAAGGTCGAAGCATACTGGACTTCGATCCAATCAACAATGAACTTTAAGGTTCCACAACCAGGCTCTGGTATTCTCTTTGGAGGAGATTTGACCAATGATAAGTTGGGTAAGGTTGCCCAAACAGTATCTGGACTTGGCTACAACTACTACACTGCATCTCCTGAGGTTGCAAAATACTTGAACGACTTTGTATCCGAAAAAGTTGAAGTTATTGAGTTCCCCAAGACCGACAAGAGAGCACTTCGAGAAATCTTCCAAGACAAGCAAATCAGTGCTGTATTTAATTTGGCTGGTGCTCGCGCAGAATCTTTGCTCGATGAAGACTATGTCATGAGAAGAAATGCAATTGATTTTGGTATTGCATTATTTAATGAGCCCAACACAACACAACTCTTTGCTGAGTGCTTGAGGGCTAAAATTAGCACCAAGCCTGACTTTGATGTGATTCCAGATGTGGTGGAAATCCCATCGGAAGTGCAAAGATGGAGTGAATTTATTGGTGGAAAACCGGTTTAAAACAATATAGAGAATAAAGAAAGAATGAACAAGCAACAGAGAAAGAATGAACTAATGGCTGTCAATGCATCGTAAACGGCTCAATTCCGTTTCGGAGAAAAATCACATTTATGTATGCAACAAGTACGAAAGAACAAATTGAGTGCAGCTAAGGTATAACGCCGTTTGATGCATAAAGAAAAAAAAACAGTAAACCGCCCGCCTCGACCGTTTTCGTAGCGAGCAAATTCAATAGTAAGTCCATTTGGGGAAGAGATACGAAGCTGTTTTAGTCCGATGCGGAAATGCATTACGCGGAGAGATTTGTGTGCGAAAAAGAAAATCCCGCATTGTGCAGCGAGACCCCGATCTTTGCGCTCTCAATTGCAGTTGGCGATTGCCTGCAGTGTTTTACTAGTTATGATACCTTACCTTGCTACAGTTTTTAACTTCTGCTTAGTTTTTGCAGAATCCAACCATAATCAAGCGATGATCAGATAAAATTTGTTTGCATGGTGCGTCTTGGCTGCATGACATTATATCGAAGCAACCAATCACAGGAAAGTGCCCAGCGGCTCGTGCATTTAAGCGCCCAGGCTGATCCCAATTTGGACAAAGTTTATTGGGACGGTGCGGCTCAACGTGCATCAGTATGTCCGCGGTGCAGGAGGGCCAAGAATTGAGGCTGCTATCGATTTTATCAGTTCCATCTAAAAATTTTTTCCTAGCCTTGTATATTAAGAGAGCATCCCCTCTTTCCTTTGAGCAATTTTTCCATGAGTAATCTTGAACATACAGACTCAGGTCTGGATAAGAGGACTGGTCTGTTTGATGCGAACAAAGATCAATTAGACAACCGAGTTCCATACATCGACCCCAACTCCACCGTTGCCAAATCTACTACCAAATCTATTGGTATCAGAAAGGCTGAAGCCCTTGCGGACCAGTACACACATCCTGTTTTGAGAATCATTCTCTTTGTCAGTATCTTTTGTGCTTCGTACTGTTACTCGTTGGATGGTACTCTCAGATATACTTTTCAAGGTTATGCCACTGCCTCATACCTGAGCCACTCATTATTGGCTACTGTCAACGTTATTAGAGCCGTTGTTGCCGCTGCTGCCCAGCCCACATATGCTCGTTTATCTGATGTGTTTGGAAGACTCGAACTCTTGGTGATTTCCATTTTGTTTTATGCCATGGGAACTGTCATTGAGTCACAAGCATTTGACATCAACCGGTTTGCTGGAGGTGCTGTGCTTTATCAGATCGGATACTCTGGTGTCATCGTTATGTTTCAGATTATCTTGGCCGATTTCTCCAATATGAACTGGAGAATGGCTGCTTCGTTTATTCCAGGTCTTCCTTTCATTATCAATACTTGGGTATCCGGCAATGTTTCGTCGGAATTGCTTGCCGCTCATAGCTGGAGCTACAGTATTGGAATCTGGGCGTTTATCTTCCCGCTTTCTTGTGTGCCAATTCTTTGCTGCTTCGTCCATATGTATTTGAGGGCACGCAAGACACCAGAATGGGCTCTTCTCAAAGAAGAAGAAAGAGAAATTAGAAGACAGTTCCAAGGCTCTTGGTTCAAGCGTATGTGGAGCCACCTTGTGTTCTTGTTCTGGCACTTGGATGTGATCGGTATTCTCTTCATAATTTGCATCTTTGGTTTCATCTTAGTTCCTTTCACCATCGCTGGAGGTGTTTCTGAGACTTGGAAAGAGGGAAAAATCATTGCTCCATTGGTCATTGGATTTGTTCTCATTCCATTCTTCCTTCTCTGGCAAGGTAAGTTTGCTAAGCACCCAGTATTACCTTTGAAATTGGTGAAAGATAGAGGAGTATGGTCGTCGCTCATCGTTGGAATATTCATCAACTTTGTATGGTACATGCCCAATGATTTCATGTACACTGTGTTGGTGGTTGGAATGCGTGCTAGTGTCAAAGCTGCTACCAGAATCACATCGTTGTATTCTTTTGTGTCGGTGATCACTGGTACTATTGTTGGATTGGTGGTGGTCTTCTTCAGAAGAGTAAAGCCATTTATTATCTTTGGAGTCTGTATGTGGTTCATCGCCATGGGTCTTCTCTTGCACTACAGGGGTGACAACGACGGTATCCAATCAGAAAAATACTTGAATGGTGTCATTGGAAGTTTGTGTTTGATGGGTTTTGGTGCTGGATTCTTCACCTATGCCACCCAAGTGTCTATTGCAGCCTGTACCAATCACGAGTACATGGCCATTGTGATCTCCATTTACTTGGCAAGTTACAATATTGGATCTGCATTTGGAAGTAGTGTTTCTGGTGCCATGTGGAGTAACCTTATGCTCAAGCAAATCAAAAAGAATTTTAGAGCTCATGGACTCTCTGAAACGGTTGCAGAGCTTGCTTATAATACGCCATATGGTTCTGTTGGTTTCCCTGGTTTCATTGAGCAATATGTCTGGGGAACTCCAGAAAGAGTCCAGGTTGTGTTGGCATATGCCCACGTACAAAGACTCTTGTGTATTGTTGGCTTGTGCTTAGTTGTGCCTTTGTTCTTCGCCACTTTGTGCTTGAGAGATCATAGGCTTGAATCTGTTCAATCTTTGGAGCTTGAGCATGGGGATGAAGGTGTTAAGGACAAGGAGGGTGAGGTTATCCTCAATGATTACGATGAAGATATTATCATCAAGAAGTTGAGGGGCTTGTTCTCGAGAAAGAAGTAATAATCAAAAAGTTGAGAAGCTTGTTCTCGAGAAAGAAATAATCCAGACGTTAATAAAGACATTTAGTCAGGACTTTTAATGTGAATACAATACCTTAATAGTACAACTCTCGCCGAACAAAACAAAGACCTTAGTTCAGATTTTTATGTAGGACTTATACTATACTTTACCCTTAATTCATATCTCTTCATTAAACAATTCCCTTAAACTCTACTGCTTTCCTTTGAAAAAATTCTCCAAACATAGGATCGGAAAACTTGTAGTACCGTTCTTTGGTCCATCTTCTAAACGATTTGCCAAACATTATCATCAAAATAAAACTTCCATTGATAATCAACGACAACATGAACATCAACCAGGTGGTCAATTTCAACCCATTTTTGTCCAACCATGGCTGAATTGCGAAGGTGAAACCACAGCCAATACAATTTCTAACAAAAAGCATCAATACCAATGCTTCACTAGCCAACTTTGGATAACTGTCAATAGCATAAGTTAAGCAAATTGAACCAGATGAGCCCATTGCAAATCCCAAGCAGCCTTGACCAACGACAACAGAGACGGCCCAAGGTGCTTGGTAGGCCGAACTAAGGCCATACGCAAGCAAACCAGCTGCATTCAAGACAGTTGGCAAAATCATAGCCCATAATCTGAACTCGGGCTCCATAATACCATTGTTTCTTCTGGCCAATTTAACAGTGAGATAATCGACAAATTTTCCTCCGTAAAACATACCAATGATGGAACCAACCAATGCCCCCAAGTTGGTCAAGCCTGTCTGTGGAGTAGAGAAGTTGTACGGAGCATAAGAGTAGATTTCAGCTTGGGTTGTAGCGAGTAAAGAAAGCCACATCATTTGAGCCCCATAGATGAGTCCTCCCCAAACAACGGCAGGGAAGCTCACAAGGAAAAATGGCCTTATAAAAATTGTCAACCACGACCGCAAGTCGGAGTACTCCGTCTCTATCAACCTCATACGTTGCCAGTACGTTCTCAAGGGAATAGAATGGTCAACAGAAGCAATCGATGCAGCATCAGAAAGGTCGTCTGATTCCAGACCAATAACGACACGAGATTTTTCAGTAACTGGTTGTGGAGCCACCGAGGACTCTCTGCTCTTAATCTGGTGCATAATTTCTTCTTCTCCTTGCAAAGAGTCGTAGTCTCTTCTGAAAGTGGTGTCTTCCATATAGAAAAGACAAACCACAAGTGTGACAGCAAAGATGATGATTTGAATATATCCACACCATCTCCAGCTGAGGTGCTCGACAATATAACCACAGGCAACTGGTCCCAAGTCAGAACCAGCATAAAGAGACAAGATAAACCATGAAAGGTACTCTGCTCTTTCATGCTGGAAAAACACATCGGTAGTGGAAATTTCAACCAATGAGTCGACTGGAGCAGCTGCAAAGCCACACATAATGTTGGAGCCGTAGAGATGCTGTACTCCAGTAGCCTGAGAAACGAGTAAATTGCCAAAAGTCACAAGAACAGTGCAGAATAAATATACGCATCTTCTGCCCAATTTCAAGGCGGTAGGTTGAAGAAACAAGCACCCGATTCCCAAGAATATGAAACACAACGCAGACGACACGTTCAAATCAAAGAACGAACAATTGAAGTCTTCAGTCCCAAATTGGCCCACTCCAATTCACCGAAACCGCAAGCATAAACGACAAAAACCACAAGAGCCAAAATTGTTTCAATTTCTTCGCCCGGGACCATCTTAAAGGATCATTGGGGTTGCTGCTCGGCTGAGGTTGGAGAATGATATCTTTGGCTCCGGAAGTACCTTTTTGCATTGAGGTCACCGGCAATATCCACGAGATGAACTGTTCCAGGAACTATATTAGGATCGTAACGTGGGTCCATAATGGAAATATTGGATCAACCATGGTTCTTCGTTCTATTTATGAGCCTCGCTTCCAGGACAATCAACCTTGGCTGCATGGACGCAATCACTTTCCTTATTAAGATGGACTTATCTAAATTACGGTTGGCGAGAACGGTCAAGACATAAATCCGATAAGACAGATACCCGCATACCCGGTTATAGTCCAGGTAGCGTTTTTAGCGATACATGTTTCTTATCTAAATATCAAGTGGATCGTTACGGATAAAAATCGCATGTATTTGCGAACAGAATGATAGATAGTTGGGGCGGAAAAAGAATGCGCGCTGGTTGTGGGGTACGCCAACTGCCCGATTGGGGCGGTGCAGGCGATAGCAAAGTCTCAGATACGAAGACAGGTTATTGGTCGTTAGTTATTTGCATTGCCGTTATGTGTGGAAGTTGGACTTTTGCCTATAATAAATCCATTTCGTCGTCATCTTTATCGACCAGACCTTTGATCTTCAACAATAATTGCGTCTTGAGCTTGTCGAGCTTGCTAAACTGGTCGTATTCAAATACCCTGTCAGAGAACGCCTGGACATCCCCCTGGTCCATGGCATCGAATATGTCTTGAATCAACTTGTATTCTCTGGTGGTGGACCACGTAGGTTCCTCGGTGGAGAAATTCTCGCACTTTTTCTGGGCTTCTATCAAGTCGTCTTGACACAAAACACATAACAATGTCTTCAAGAAATAGTCCTTCAAGTTCCACTTAGTCAAGTTGTTCCCCAACGAGTTCTTGATGATCTTCTCGTACAACTCCACTGCTCTCTTATAATCCCCTTGCAAAGCACTCAAGTCGGCACATTTGAGGTAGGCCTTATTGGAAAGAGCCTCAGCATGGTCGGTGTCAAAGTAGTCTCCAGCCTTTTCGTAGCTGCTAATTGCATTTGGGACGTCGCCATTCAGCTCGTATAACTCTCCCAAGTCCAACGTGAAGTTGGCAGCACGCCTAAATTGACCATTTTGGGTCAAGAATATGTGAATTGCTTGCGACAACGCTTCGATGGCCCCCTGGACATTTACACCCTTGTAGCACTTGTAAGCTTCTATCAAATGGTTTGCCACGTCGTTGTGGTTCGAAAGACTCTTCTGGAGGTCGGCTGCCTTGACAAATTGTTGGCCGGCCCGTTCGAAATCCTTCTTTAACCGGTACTGGTTAGCAGCTTGAACGTATAAATCGGTAGCTTCTTCGAGTCTATATGACAGAGACGACCCGGAAAACATCAGAAAGAACCCCAGCTGGGGTTTGGTGAGCTTTTCAGCTTGCTGAATGAGACTGCTTGGATCACTCATAATGGGTGGTTTAACACGATAGTTGAGAATGAAGGCAAGGTGTGAAAATACACCCGTGCACCGAAAAGTAAATCGCAGATGCGATACAAAACAAATAGCGATTGCAACAATTACCAAATGGCCAGTTCCGCAGAAAAGATACGATACGAGAGACTCAAGCTCGTCAGTCAAAAGGCGCTAGACCAGTCAATCAAAAAAGGATTATCTATAGACCAGATCAAGAAATGTTACCCCATAATATCTTCATCGAGCGACGGTGTACGTCTACTAGAAATGGCCCGGAGCCAAATTATCGATTTCTGGCAGAGCAAATCACTCGAGGAGTTTGCCTTAATATTCAAGGAACGAAATTTGGCTTCAAAATTGGACGAATTGGACGAAATAGTCGAAGCTGCCCACAGACGACAGTACGATGGAGACACTCGTATTCCCATAGATATGCTCACACCGGACGAATTGATCGATGCCAGCTTGGTGAGTACTCGAAAGCAATCGGCAGACACGTTGAGCATAATATACAATCAGTTGTGTGCTGATAACCAGGAACTTCACGATGAATTAATGAGCCTCGCGAAAGAGGGAAACGACATAAAAAACGATATAAATGCCCTGATTGCAAGCTTGGGCCGCGACATCGAAGCGATGAAGGAAGATGCAAAAGTTGACGATTTGGCGAACGCATTAACCAACGAATACTAGAAGAATGACTAAACTTCAGAAGAACTATGATACTAGAGTCATAATTACGTTCAAGACTGATAGTCATTCAAAATTGACAATTATATTTACGAATCACATAACGTGATGGTTCATTCAAGAAGTGACCAACAAGACTGATGATCCATTCAGGATCTGATTACACCAAGAGTCATTACATCAAGGGCTCTAATACAAAGTATTAATAAGCCTCTACCAGTGTAAACTGTGCCTCTGCTCTGCATTCTCATTACTATATACATGTTCATTTCTTCATGCCTGAGATCTGCTCGAAGTTTTTCTTGGTCAATTGGTTGTATCCAACAACCCTCTTCTGCAACTCGGTGAATTGCTGTTCCTTTCTCTTTTGCTTGTCCGACAACTTGACAAGTTGCTTGTCTCCCCACACCTTGTACTCTTGCAAGTACTTTCTATCCATGTTGAATTCCCGGGTCACAACATCGTCTGTCAAACCCAATTTTGCGATAGCATAGTAGTATCTTTCAGGGTCATCTGCCTTAAGATACTTGAGCATTTTTTGCCGTTGTTGAACCATTTCTCTCACTCTTTGTAAGTGTGCCTTGTCCTTAGGAAATGTACGAACATGGTCCATGCCAAAATGAATACGAGCTGTCAAAACCGCAGCCTGGACCTCGGCAGATCCGGTATCTCCTTCTTGTCTCTGGAATTCTTCTCGTGCAAGTTTCACCGCCATCTTTTTCTTGTCGGCAACATTGGTGTTTTTAACATGCAAAATGGTCAAAAGGGCCCTTCTTTTACGCTCCGCCGTCGCCTTGAGTGAGTCATACAACACAGGGTTGCCCATCACCCCCTTGTCCAATCCAGCCTTCTCTGCTCCATACAATAATTTTTCAAACTCTTCTCTCAGATATCCATAAGCCAAATTATTTTGGTCATCTATCTGTTCTCTAATCCTTTTTACAAACGAATTGGAAGCGTCTCCCAAAACCGGATCCACCTGGAACTTGACATTTTCAAGATTATGCTTTTTAAGGTTGTTGACATCACGAATAATTTGACGCTTGAGTCGATTTTCACGACGCTTGAGCGACCTAATTTTGGATCTTGCGGCATCCTGGGGAATGAATTGCTTTGCCGCTATCGAAGGAACAACCTTCTGTGGAGCAACTGCCCGAAGAGCAGCACTCATACCGAAGAAACGGACCCCGATTCTCATCATGGCTTCAACCTTTTTTCAAAAGTCTTGAGAAAATATCGACCGCTTATGTAAGGAAAATTTGGCTCACTTTGGGCACCGTTCGGCATTGGTATAATGCCTTATCTTCGGTTACATAAGCAGGGACACAAATGCGACGAGTCCAAAAAAATTTCCACTGATACAGTCCCATTGATAAAGGAAAATTTTTATCAGATAAGACAACAAATTTTTTAAAAGGTGCAATTCAGTCCTTATTAGCCATTTTCCGTACTGTCTAATACCTTAGAAGCGATTAAAACCCACTTTCAATTGTTTAACCTCGCTTGTTGACATTTTTATCGCCCACACAGATTTGAAATTCTTGATTACGGCGTTGATAAAGCGGGTAAAAAACGATCAGAACGCTATTTTGCTGCTAATACTATCTCACCGGTGTATCGGATACATCAAATTGCCACTTTCTTGAAGCTAGCTCGATTCTTTTGCCCAAAGCTGTCGTCACGTTGTCGTCCCACTTTTTGAAATTTTCACTTAGCAATCGATAAAAATGAACCAGATCGAACGGCTTCCCGCTGCAGTTCCACCAACAAACCCGGTGCATCCCAACGCAAAGTCAACCACCCACATGAATAATGGGACCACCACGTCCAAGACTAACATATCTACGCCGGTGTGTCGAAACTGCAAAACCCAGACCACACCGCTTTGGAGAAGAGACGAAACCGGTCAAGTGTTGTGTAATGCTTGTGGGTTGTTTCTCAAGTTGCACGGGCGCCCTCGTCCTATATCTTTGAAGACAGACACGATCAAGTCTCGGAACCGGATAAAACAACCCAACTCGACGAAATCGTCGGGTCCTAACACCCCAGAACTCAAATCCAAGGACAGTAAATTACCCAGTTTGAATGGCAGTGGCAAGAAGTCACCCAAACCCAAAAAACGCTCGCCCACTCCGGTGAATGGACAACAATCCGATGGTGGAATGTTGACACCTCTTCTCCCAGCTTCTGGGTCCAAGTCGTTCACGGGTTCCAACGGTGCGTTCAACACTCCTTTGAATTACAACCAGCACTTGTCGCAACACTTAACTCACCAAGTACAACCCTTACATTATCCATCTTCCACTCCAACGCAGTTTGCTCCAGGATTGCAAAGAATAACATCACCGCTCTTGCTTTCTACTACTTCTTCACTTAGCAATGCCCGTGAGAATTCAAAGCCTTCGTCGGCTTCCACAAATGGTACCTTGAGCGCTGTACAAGCTGCTGGAGCGCTCGAAAACATGTCTAATGAACTTGGTCCCAGCGCTTCATTCCAAAAGACTTCACGGCCCCATGCAACTGGTTTCTCATTAATGAATAATGAACGTTACGACTCGTTGAAAAAGGAATCTCCTCCACTCATCGCGGCCCTCAGCTCCCAAAACGGCTCTCTGAGCCTTCCTCCAAAACTTCCATCGATTGTTTCGAATAACAACTCGGCCACTCCTGCCAAGACAGTTTCCTCACCTTCGTTCGGTCCTCAGTTTGCTATGAACAGCCAAAACTCGGCAAACAAGACCCCTCCACACAGCACACCCCTGTCGTCGTTATCCTCCAATATTCACTCCCACAACCACTCGCCAGAGACGTCTCTGACATCATTACCACCTCTCCAAAATCTGGCCAGTTCCAAGCCTTCGCTTCCTCATTTGCCTAGTAGCTTCAGCTCGCTCGGTCGCCAGGATGGAAGTTCTTTGCCTGGTATTAACAGCCTTCGAAACGAAAGTTCGAATGAAAAAGGAGATTCTTCAGCAGGAAAACCAAATAAGTCCAACAGACAAAACGACGATAATGGACTGGACGGTAACTCGGGAGATGATAAGGACAAGAGGTCGTCTAATAGCGGAGCCAATGGCGAAGATGTCACATTACTAAAGACCCGTATTTCCGAATTGGAGCTTGTCAACGACTTGTACAGAACCAGAATCATGGAGTTGGAAGCCATGGAGCAGGCAGCTCGGTTGAGAGAAAACTCCATGAAGCGCCGCCTTGAAGAGATCATGGGAGCCAGAGATAATGAAAGCAAAAGATCAAAGTTCGCTTAGAACAAAAAAGCCTATGAAGGATATAGTGCGTTGTATTTATGATGGGAACAAACCAATAAACAGTATCTAGTACTTGGCATCATGTCTTCACATCGGGCTCGTCCTTACCCAAATGCTCTTTGAATTTCAAAAGCTTGAGAACGAAATCGATGTCGTCTTTCAAGTAGGTATCGACCGGAGTGTTGGCGACGGATTTGTCACTAGAATGTTTCTCCAAGTACAATCTGACCGTGGCTCCAGAAGAACCTGTGCCAGACAATCTGACAATGATACGTAAACCATTTTTGAACTTGATGAACAATCCCTGGTTGGAGGATACCGACCCATCCAAATCAGTGTAGGAGAAGTTTGCACCTTCTTGAACAACGTAGCCTGGTGCTAACTCGGTTCCTTCCTTGTTTTCATCAACTATAGATTGCAATAACGACACGAGCTTGTTAGCACCGTCAGAAGGTACTTCTTCGAAGTCGTATCTCGTGAAGAAAGTTCTTCCGTATTTTTCCCAGAACAAATCCTGAACCAGTTTGATGGATGCAGACGCTTCAGGGTGCAATTTGTTAAAGCCAGCCAAAACATTCAACCAGGCAACGATGGCCCAAAGACCATCTTTTTCACGGATGTGGTTGGAACCCGTACCAAACGATTCCTCTCCACAAATAGACAATTTGTTAGCATCAAACAAAGAACAGAAGAATTTCCACCCCGTAGGCACTTCGTACACATTCAACTTTTTGTCCTTGGCAACGAGGTCCAAAGCACCGGACGTGGGCATGGACCGGGCCAAACCAAAGACTCCGTTTTTCTCGAAATAAGGAATGAAATCAGCATATTCGGCAATTATCGCAACGGAATCTCCAGGAGAAACAAACGTTCCAGCGCCGTAGATCATGTTTCTGTCACCGTCACCATCGGAAGCGGCACCAAACGCAATATTTTCCTTGTCGACTCTGTCCACTAAAGTTCTGGCATAGGTCAAGTTGGGATCAGGATGCAAGCCACCAAAGTCAGGTTTTGGCTCAAAGTTCTGAACGCTCGACTCTGGCAACCCCAACTCTTCCACAAAGATCTTGTAGCCGTAGGGTCCTGTGACACCGTTCAAGGCATCGAAAAGTAACTTGAAATCCTTGTCCTTGTTGAGGAAAGATTTGATCAATGGAAAGTCGAAAATATCTTTCAACATTGCCACGTAGTCTGCTGTGGAGTCAATGATCTCCACCTCGATGGAACCCAAGGTCTGGGTGCCAATTGAACCAAGATCGACAGAACCAACATCGCTGATCTTGTAACTTTTGAGATTCTTGGAAACCTCGAAGATCTTATTGGTAACAGATTCTGGAGCTGGACCGCCATTACTCAAGTTGTACTTGATTCCAAGATCGTTATTTGGGCCTCCTGGGTTGTGGGAAGCCGTTAAAATAATCCCACCAGTAGCCTTTCTGATTCTGATGACATGGGAAGTTGCGGGGGTGGAGAGAATGCCATCTTTTCCAATTATCAATTTTTTCACTCCATTAGCAGCAGCAATTCTGGTGATGAGCTGGATCACATGGTCGTTGTAGTACCGACCATCACCTCCAATGACCAAAGCAGAGCCATTGGCACCCTCGGGAATGGCATCTAAAATGGCCTGAATAAAGTTCTCAGTATAGTGTTCTTGTTGAAAAACTTTGACTCTTTTTCTCAAGCCCGAAGTACCTGGTTTCTGGTCCCCAAAGGGAGTGGTGGACACGGTTTGTACAGACATTACTAATTCGACGCAATTGAGCAAGTCACACAAGAAGAGTAGGAATTCGAAGTGGAGAGAGGCCGCTGGTGTTGGGGTGCGTTGCTGTTGGGGTCGGGGAACATTCTGAGGGGACCGGAGCGACCTTCGGAGTCAATTCGTAAATATATAATAGTGGGGCTACTATTCGTAAATAGATAAAGTAGCCCATCTTTCTTTTTCGTAGCCATATTATATTAGTTACTCTATTACTTGTTCACAACCTTATTAATAGCATCGGCCAAGTAGTCGACGTTGTTGTCGTTGATACCGGAAATCGAGAACCGTCCGTCTTCAGTAGCATAAACGGAATACTTTTCTCTCAACTCAATCACCTGCTCGGCCGACAACCCGGTGTACACAAACATACCTCTTTGCTTCATCAAGTGGTCCCAGTTGTAGTTGGACTTGTCCAATTTTTCATACAACTTGCTTCTAACACCATTCAATCTTCCCACAACTTTGTCCAAGTCGGTCAACCACGATTGGAACAAGTCCTGGTTGGAAAAGATGGTCTCGACAATCTTGGACCCGTGGATTGGAGGAGAGGAGTACATTGGTCTGATCAATTTTTTCAATTGTGACTCAATAGCAGTAGCTTGGTCTTTGGACTCAGTGACTATGGAGATGGAACCGGTTCTTTCACCGTACAATCCCATGTTCTTGGCAAACGATTGACACAAGGCAAAAGACGAGAGCTTACCTTCGGCAGTCAATTTGGTCATTTTACGCACCAATCCAATGTCCTCATATGGACTACCCGAGGCAAATCCTTGGTAAGCCATGTCGATCAATGGGAACAATTTTCTCTGCTGGATGATCTGCAACACCTCGTCCCATTGCTCGGAGGTCAAGTCCATACCGGTAGGGTTGTGGCAACAAGCATGAAGCAAAACCACCGATTCGTTGTCGGCATTGTTTAAACTCTGCTTCAATTGTTCGTAGTCCAAGTCATTCTTGGAGGTGTTGTAGTACGCATAGTACTCAGCGGTAAGACCAGCATCAGAAAAGACGGCAATGTGGTTGGCCCAAGTAGGTTTTGGGACATAGATCTTCTTGGCCGAGTAGAATCTGTTCAAGAATTCAGCAATAACCCTCAACGAACCAGTTCCAGAGATGGTTTGAGATGACACAATACGTCCATCCTTGATCAATTGAGCACCATTTGCGTCCTTGTCAGAATTGTTAAAGATAAAGTTCTTGACAATATTTTGGAAATTTTTGTTACCGATGATACCGGTATACTCTTTTTCGGTTTCCGTCTCCAACAATGACTTCTCAGCTTGTTTCACCGATGGGAAAATGATTGGCTTCCCAGCGTTGTCTCTGTAAGCTCCAACACCCAAGTTGATCTTGTTGGAGTTGGTATCTTTGACATAAGCTTCACTGATTCCCAAAATTTTGTCTGGAGGCGCCAAAGGGATCTCGGCCCACTTGGCCACTCTGGAAGCAGAGGAGAAGGTGCGAAATTGCAATCTGGCTCTAAGCATCTGGGTTAATACAAGAAATTATGAGAGGAATTATTACAGAATTTTCGTGATTTATCGGCTGATATTGAGTAATTTTCCGAATTTTTCAGATGACTCAATACCATGAATCATCATGAGATGATCCGCAGACCCGAACTGTCGAACACCATCTCTCTCCAATTCACAAACATTTGGGTTCAGAATCAGAAAATAATACTTACACTCGTTGTCGTGCCGCGTACGACGGTCGGTGGCCTTATATATGTAGTGGGCCGAAATCAGAAGTGGGGAACGGTGTTGTACCGCCGCTGACATAAGCCTGTTTCTTCCGATAATTCGGGCGAGCGGATGCACGTGAAGACCCGAGATTTAGTCCAGGTGTTCACCATGGGTTGACATGAAGATGGTGATGGGTTCAGTGTTGTATGGAACTGCAAAGATTTGTTTGATCGACACTTCAAACAATTTTGAAATGCCGAGGTCGGATGTTCACGGCGCGCGCCAGCCTATTCCGGTGGGGTGCGGTTATAGGCTCGGTAAAATAGGTACAGGAAAATATTAGTGAGAGTGAATTAAAATGAGGAGACTAATGAGATTGTGAGACTGAATGAAATTGAGCGGAGATAAGTGGAATTGATAATGAGTGGAGACAATAGGAGATAACTGGAAATAAATGGAGTCTGAGTGCTGAGTGAAGTGATAGAGTTTTGCTTCTGGTATCTGGTCGGTAATTACCCGATTGGGCGATTCGCAACCATTACAATTGATGTCAACTTCAGTCTACTTCGGTCTACTTTCGAAAAGAATACTATTCCTATCATAAATCATTAAATATGTTCTTGTTCTGCTTTTTGAGATTCGGCGTATCCCATGTCGAATGCCATTTGCTTGGCAGATGGAGGAACCCAAGAAGATGACTTCCATGGAAGCACATCTTGAGAGTACAATTCATCCACTTCCTCCAAAGTCAAACCCTTGGTCTCACGGACAAAGAAGAAGACGTAGAAGAAGGAGAACAACAAACACCCAGCAAAGACAAAACCATAGTAAAAGTGGATAGCCGAAGTGATGAATGGAGTGAAGAACGAAATCAAGAAACCCCACAACCAGTTGGCTGCGGTAGCCACCGACATAGCTTTTGATCTGATTCTCAATGGGTAACTCTCAGACACGATACAGAACACACCACCGGCCCAAGTGGATGCAAAGAAAAAGATGTAAAGACAGGTGATGAAAATCATGGCATTTCCGGTGGGTTTGTTGGTATCAGTCAAGTCGTCATAACCATTGTTGTACAAGTTAACCGAACCCAAAACCGAGTAGATGATGAAACAGACAAACATGCACGCGGAACCGGTTAACAAACACTTTCTTCTTCCGTAACGGTCAATGACATAGATACCAAGGAAGGTAGAAGCAAAGTTGACCACACCCAAAATAATCGAGGTTTCGAAAGAATCTTGCAAACCAACAGCTTTGAAGATGGTTGTTCCATAGTAGAAGAAGTAGTTGTCACCAGTCAATTGTTGCAAAGATTGCAACATAATACCCATAATAACTCTTGACAAAATCTTGGGTTTACCGGTGATCAATTGAGTCCACGAAGCATTACCAGCAATTTTTTCTCTCTCGATACCAGCTTGGATCAATTGCACTTCAGTGTAGACAGCGGGATTGTCTGGGGTGGTAGAGTTGGATCTGGCAATAGACTTTTTAGCTTCTTCAATCTTGTTCTTTTCAATCAAGTAACGAGGAGATTCAGGCATCAAAAGCATACCAGAAACCAAAAGAATGGCCCACGCGAAACACAAACCCAAGGGAATTCTCCACTGTCTCGAATCGTCATAAGTCTTTGTTCCATAGGTGGTACAGTAACCCAAAAAGATACCCAATGTGATGAACAACTGGAAAACCACCACCAAAGTACCTCTCAATTTCTTGGGAGCAGACTCACCAATGAACAAGGGACACAACACAGAAACAATACCAACCGACAAACCAGTAATGGCACGTCCAATACAAATTTGGTACCATTTATCCAGAGACGAAATTTGCACAATGATACCAATCACATAGATAAGCATGGAAAACATAAGTCCCACTCTTCTTCCGTACATGTCAGCCACCTTGGACAAGAAAATACCACCGACAGCACATCCAATGTTGAAAATGGCAACCATCAAACCAGTTCTGACGTTCGACAAAGTGTATTCATCATGTTCAAGTTGTCCGAATCTTTGCTTAAAGTCAGGCATGTTAACAAACCCGGAAATGGTACCGGTATCGAAACCAAACACGAAACCACCAAACGCAATCAAAAGACAGAAAATGGAAACGGCAATATGTTTCTTGTCACTGTCGTCCAACGTAGGTAATGCTTCTTCTTCCTCTTCTGGTTTGTCATCTTTGACTAACAAAGAGTCATTATTGATGGGAGTCTGAACTCCCGAATCAAGTTCTTGTTGTGACATTATAAAATAGTCTGAAAATGTAAAGTTCAGGCCAAGATATATTGCCAGCCTTTTATACTATGCCATATATCCGGCCGGATAAATTTTCATGCAATCACGCTATGCTGAAAAATTTATAATCACGCACGTCGTCCAATTAGGAAGGTATCATGCATAATTATGCAGAGTTAACCCGGTCGCACTCCAGTTTTCTCCGTCGTCCCCAGCAAAAGTGGCACAAAAATGAGGGCATAGTGGGGCACCGCGCGGGGCTGAAAGAAAGGGGAGGGTCATTGGGAAGCTAGTGAACGATTCTTTCAGGGCTTTGAGAAATGAATGTGTTAACCTTGGCAAATAAGCCTCATGGCAATTCTTTGAGCAAAAAAATTCATTACTTGCCGATCAAATATCGAGGTTCCCCGACAATTGCCCCACTTCTCGCATTTCATTTGAAAATGTCAACGTTCAATGCTCCTAATGAATGCGGCTCTTCCCGGGTCTTCCTGTATGCAGTCTCGGCTGATCAAAAAATTCCGAGAAATAAAGGTACAATGTGAGAAGAAAACAATCGGGTCTAGTGCAGGCGGTGGCCCATATTGGTTCTGATGTTGTTTCCGCGAAAGTTTCACCATATTTTTCCACTTTCAATCCCAATTTCATCTCGAACTGAGGCCCGGAAAATCCATCCTAAAGTTTTTCCGATGACGCAGGGCCTGCAGGTAGTCCGATCGTCGCGTTGGATCCCGCAGTCGGCATCGTGCATAAATCGTTTTCATCATGCAATAAGCCAATCGGCTTAAAAAATCGGCCTGAAAAACCGGCACTATTGTAAGCGCGAATGACGTTATTAGAGCGTGATGCAGAAGTTATTCCGTTTTGTTCCTGTATGCTTCTCTTTTTTGTGGAAAGTGTAGTCGTGTTTGACATTTCCATTCCAATCGTATAACCAGTATGCTATTTTCTTTGCTTCGTAGTAGCAAGTTTTCGTGAATCCTAAAGCATTCATAATCTCATCCATAGACTGATGATCAAAATAGCGAGAGTTTGAGACGCACGGTAATGGTAGAACCATGAAAAGTGTGCTCATACTACCATTTCTAGGAGGTTTCAAAAATTGGGTTATTCTTTTGAGCATGTCACCTCTTTGACTTGGAGAGGGAACAAAGTTGATAACGAGTGAGCAGGAAATCAAATTGAATTTTTCAGAGTCATTTTTGGGCATTGGTCTTTGCATGAAATCCTGTTGTAGAATCTTGGACTGGTTTTGCGAATTCAAATCGATCTTGATGACTTCCAGAAAAATCTTGGAGGTTGATATGGCATTATTGGCACTTAGACATCCGATTTCAAGAGCATTTAACATGTTGGAGCCAGAAATTGTGGAGGTATAATTAGCTTTTAGCCATTCTACAAGCTTTTTAGAAGAGTCTCCACCTCGTAAACTGTCCTGTCCTTGCGTAGATGCAACCTGGTATGCTTCTATTCCTCCCAAGCTAGCAATTTCTCCGTCGATGTCGCCTAATTGAGCACATATTTTATGGATATCTGAGTTCTCATCATCGACCGAATTGGTTAAGTTCCCAGATTTTTGAGCTCTTTCCCTGTGAATAACATAAATTTTTAGATGCTGTGGGTACTCCTTTTTGAGATACTTTGCAAGTTCTGAACTTGAATCCAAGCCAAGTTTTTCCGGTTGAGCTTGTATGATTCTCCTCAATAATGTAGCTCGCTGTTTTTGCAATACATGATATCTGCGTATAAGTTTCCTAGCTTTTTGTGGCTTTAAAGTACGTGGGGTCTTGGTGGCGGTTATGGATTTCGGGCGATGCAGCAAAAGGCTTTTAGCTCTAGGCATTATGGATCGCTCTCTCTATGAGATCTATGAGATGGCTAAGTGATAGAATTGTGTGGGTGTGTGGATGTCATCGCCATATTTCTGCAACCACTTGTGCGTAGTATCAGTCTGCAATATGCCTCCGAACAAGAAGAAAGGAAAAGGCAAAAAAGAACCCAAGAAGGGTGCAAAGAAGCCTGCAGTGCGCAAGCCGCTCACCTTGAAGCAAAAGCAACGCAAAGAGTCCAAAGTCGTCAGGGCCGACAGCTTAAATTGGAAGCCAGTAGAGATTCCCGATAATCTTGAAAGTTACGAGGGTTTATATGGAATTGAGGAATTGGACGGGGTGGACGTCAAATATGTGGATGGAAAGGCCGAGTTTGTTGTAAAGGAAGAAAAGAAGGACACCAAAAAGGAGGAAAATGAAAATGAAGATAAAAATGAAATTGAAGATGAAGATGATGAGGAAGAATTCACCGGTTTTGATGATCCAGTAACAGAAACCAAACGTCCTTCAGATGAACCTGATCTCAAATCCAAGAAGAAGCAGAAACCCAACAAAGATGACGAGCTTCGTGAAAACGCATTTGTTGGAGTTGACGCTTCGCTTCCGAAAGACACCGATCTTCCAAAGTGGTCTATGGAAAATGTTTCTTTGAGCACCTATACTATTAATGGTTTAGCAGGCTGTGGTTTTAAGGAGCCCACGGCGATCCAACGCAAGGCAATTCCTCTTGCTCTTCAAGGAAAAGATGTCATAGGTAAAGCCACTACGGGTTCAGGTAAAACTTTGGCATATGGAATTCCCATTTTGGAACGTTGTTTGGCTCAGCTTGAGTCCAAGACAAACACTATCAAACCACCGACTGCCATGATATTTGCCCCTACGCGAGAATTGGCCCATCAGGTGGTGGACCACATGAATAAAATTGCCAAGTTTTCTCCATTGGCACAGAATGGCATAGTTAGCATCACCGGAGGTTTATCGATTCAAAAGCAAGAACGGCTCTTGTCCCATGGACCAAGTATCTTGGTAGCGACTCCTGGAAGATGTCTAGAATTAATGGAAAAGAGCGTTGATCTTGTCAATCGAATGGCATTGACAGACATGATTGTGCTTGATGAAGCCGACCGGTTGCTCCAAGATGGTCATTTTGAAGAATTCGAAAAAATTCTCGATATGCTCAATAAGCACCGACCCAAGAAGACACAAGGTGTTTCTCGCAGATGGCAGACTTTGGTTTTCAGTGCTACATTCTCCAGAGACTTGTTTGGCAAACTATCGAATAATAAACCAAGAAATAAGGAATCCTCCTTTATTGAAAATGACGAAATTCTCTCATTGCTAAACACCAAACTCCAATTCAGAGACCGTACACCTGCTGTCATCGACGCAAACCCCAAGGAAATCGTCTCTGGAAAAGTTACAGAAGCATTGGTCGAGTGCGGGCCGTCAGAGCGAGATCTCTACTTGTACTATTTCCTTTTGATGTATCCTGGGTCGACGTTGGTTTTCGCAAATGCCATTGATTCCGTGAAGCGATTAGTACCATTTTTGACAAACTTGAACATTCCCACCTTCTCCATCCACTCGTCTATGATACAAAAGCAGCGCTTGAGAGCGCTCGAACGATTCAAGGCTGCTGGCGAAAAAAATCAGACTGCAGTTTTGATAGCTTCTGATGTCGCTGCTAGAGGCCTTGATATTCCCAATATTGACCATGTGGCCCATTACCATCTTCCTAGGTCTGCGGACGTATATGTCCACCGTTCTGGAAGAACCGCAAGAGCAGGGAAAGAGGGTGTCTCCGTCATGTTCTGTTCTCCTCAAGAAGCTTCAGGGCCGTTTAGAAAGTTGAGAAAACTTGTAGCTGACAGTGCAAATAAAGGAAGCCGGATGAACATGCATAGCGACGTCAAGCTTCTACCCATTGAGATGGACTTGGTTACGCAATTGAAGCCTCGTGTGAACATATCTTCCAAATTGGCCAATTCTACAATCTCCACGGTTTCTACAAAGAAAAGTGATTCGTGGATGAAGGAAGCCGCCGAGGAATTGGGTGTTGATATGGAAGAAGAATTTGTGGACGACCACTTGAGAAAGCAGAGATTGAGAGACGATAACAAAATTTTGACAAAAGATCAAGCTGCCAGCTTGCGAGCAGAACTCAAATCGCTTCTAAATGAACGTCTTCGCATAAACAAAAGAAGATCCTATTTGACTAGCGGAGTTGATAATTTGGCTCATCAAATGCTCACCGGTGACTCTCACGAAGCAGTTTGGGGACATGCAAAAGTCAAAGCATTGGACCAGTTAAAAAAAGGAAAGAGCACAAAAAAAAGCAAATAGAAGCTAGCATTCTATATGTAAATGCATCTAGTAGTACACACCCCTCTCGTCTAAATGAAATCCTCGTCGTCGTCATCATAGTATTCGTCATCACTTTCGTCGTCAGTTAATTGTTCAAAGTTGACGTTGTATCTCAACAAGGCACCAATACCACCAAATCCTTGACAAAATTGAGCACCTTCGGACGACCGGTCGGTAACAAATTCAAGATTGGCACCGAATGATTTGTAGTTTTCTGCCAACCATTCCAAAAATGATTCTTCCTTTATGACTTCCATTTCTGTGCCAGTTTTCTTGTCAAGCAAGTATGATTTGTCGGGCAATTCTGGATTGACATTTGCAACCACCTCGTTACCTTCTATGTCCTTCATGGTATAGCGAACGATATTCAAGTTCTCGTATACAATCACCACCTCACATGCTCCGAGATCCAATGCCTTGAGAGTATCCTCGATACCGTAACAGAACTTACCCGAATCTTGAGAGATCTCTTCGAAGTAACTCTCAAGCAATTTCTTTTCTTGCACAAATTTGACATTGGCCAAAGTTTCGGCTGACAATTCGATAGCTTGGTTGAACCCGTTTTCTCCACCGTAGGAGATATCGACAATTTTAACCACCTTGGCGAGCAACCTGTTATCAAACAAATCGGATTTGGAGAGCTCGGTTTTGAAATCAGCTGAACCAGCCAAAATCAATCCAGCAACATTGACTTTATCGTTGGTGATAAAATTCTGTACCGCAACTTCGGCGACTTTTCTCACATAATTGTGTCTCTTTTCTTCTCTCAATCTCGAGAAACGAAGCGCGGATTGACCTCCTCTACCATGCTTCTTGGGCAAATCAACCGTGAATTTATGCAACACTTCTCTGGTGTTTCCCGATACCGCTCCGAACAATGCTCCATTACCATCCATGACAATGAATCCAAACCGGTCATCATCTTCCAACAACTCAGACAACGCCTCCACGTGGAACTTATTGTCACATAAGTACAAAGATGTGTTAATTGGCTTGAATGGTTCGAAATCAATGTTCAATTTCTTTTCCTTGCCCTCTTCAGTAATGACATCACCACAGTATACCACCAAACCATTTTTGGGCACCGAGTTGTACAACTTAAGCTTCTGCTGGGTGGAGGTGATGGCTGATAACACCGACAATCGATTAACTCTGGATTTAATGTTGGAAGCGGTTCCGTATTCTTCAGTTAACATCTTTTGAATGAGAGAAATTTGACCTTTTGGAGGTATGACCAACGAGATCATGGAGGTACCATTACCCCTGGCCTGTTCCAACGACTTGATCAACTTTTTGACCTTCCAGATCTCAATGTTCTTCTCCGCTGCGTCTGCCATGATTGTTCTTTGCCAACTGAATGAAAAAATTTAAGACTGTGCTCGCACCCACACACCAGTGCTAACCCGGATTCTGCGCGATCAAGTGGGCCCCGTCTGCAGGACCAGCGTTTTCAGCTTCATCTACCGCCCTATCCGATCAAACAACCCCCGGTTTATGTCAGAAATAAGAACCAACGGCGCCTCTACAGCGCGTGATACAGACTACGCGCAGTCGCTGGACCGTCGAAGTAACGTTGATGGCAGTGAATATGCCTCCGACTCCTCGGATACGGATCTTGAAGATGTGCCGCAAGAGGAAAAGAAATCTAGACGGCCTCCAGAAAATGCTTTTACTCAACAAAGGTTGCGTGCGTATAACCCGGTGCTCACTGCCAAGACGGTGATTCCACTTTTGATTGCAATTGCTGTGATTTTCGTGCCTTTAGGTGCGGCTATGTGGTACGCATCGGACCGAATTCAAGATTTTGCCATAGATTACAGCAAGTGTGAAAAGCTAGCTAGCTCCAAATACTGGACCCAGGTGCCGGACGAGTTTCTCGAACTCAATTTCAAGACGAAAACCAAGAATATTAAGCACATGCCACAATGGAAACTCGATACCGACGAGTCGCAACAATTTGAAGATGAGAGAAATGTGTGCCGAATCCAGTTTGAGGTACCTGATGATATGAAGGGACCTATTTATTTCTTCTACCGCTTGCACAACTTTTACCAAAACCATCGTCGGTACGCAAAGTCGTTTAGTGAGGAGCAAATCGAAGGCAAGGAAGCTTCTGTGAATACCATTAAGAACACGGTGGGTCAGAACTGTGAACCTTTGTCTGTTCGTGATGGAAAGAAGATTTACCCTTGTGGCTTGATTGCTAATAGTATGTTTAATGATACTTATGGACACACTTTGCAGGGAGTGAACGGAACTTCCAATGATTACAAATTTACCGCAAAGGGTATTGCGTGGAAAACCGACTCGAACCGGTTCAAAAAGACAAAGTACGACCACACGGAAATCGTGCCTCCTCCGAATTGGTACAAGTGGTACCCCAACGGATACAATTCTACAAACGTGCCGGATATTTCAAAGTGGGAAGAATTTCAAAACTGGATGCACACCGCAGGCCTCCCCACATTTAACAAATTGGCCCTTCGTAACGATCACGATTCGTTGAACAAGGGAATATACGAGGTGACCATTGGGCTCCATTTCCCTGTTCTTCCTTATAATGGAAAGAAGTATATCTATATATCACAGAGATCGGTTATTGGAGGTAAGAACGACTTTTTGGGTATAAGTTGGATGGCTGGAGGAGGAGTATGCTTCCTTTTGGGGGTCACTCTTCTTATTGTGAATTCCATAAAGCCCAGAAGAACGGGAGACGTGAGTCTTTTGAGTTGGAATCAGGAACCAAAGCAAGAAACCAAGTAGGTCTATGTAATGAAAGTATGCATTTAGGTGGTGTATTGGTGTGAAAACTAAGGCTAAGTGGGAATGAGTAGGTAGATACAGTTTCTCTGTTTCATTGATTGGTATATGTCCGCCTCGGCCGAAACGGACGTATCGGTGAATTGATATGTTGTTTAATCAGCTGAAAGCCATACTTCGAGGAGAGGCTTATCTCCGTCGAGGCTCGGGTGTTATCTCCGTCTCCAAGTTGGGCCAACTTTCGAGTATAAATAGGACATTTTCGTAACCAGGCGCCAGTTAAGCATGACAGTCAAAGAATCTAGAGTATTTTACCTCAATCAGCAAACTGAAGGACTTCCCAATGTTGAATTGGGTGAGCCTAACTCCACTTTTAGGCTCGTAACAGAAGAGTTGCAGCCATTAAAAGAAAATGAAGTATTGGTGAAATCTCTCTATTTTTCCAACGATCCGCTCCAATTGGGCTGGATCAGAAAGGCAAGCTACGAAAACGCTGGTATTAGGCGGATTTTTCCGGGTGAGCCTATGGGTGGGTTCGGTTTGGGGCAGGTTATTGAGTCAACGGCAGACCAATATAAGCCTGGGGACATTGTTAATGGTGCTTTGAACTGGGCAGATTATAGTATTGTAAAGGCCGGAGCTCTTACAGGCAAAATTCCAGATTCTTCATTGCCTTTGACTACCTCGTTATCGACTTTAGGACTCACCGGTTTGACTGGCTACTTCGGAATATACGGCCAGGTCAAAGAGGGAGATACCGTAATTGTATCGGCAGCTTCTGGGGCCACGGGTTTGGTAGCGGTTCAAGTTGCTAAGGCTTTAGGATGTCGGGTTGTTGGGATCACTGGAAGCGACTAAAAGTGCAAATTTGTTGTAGGACTTGGAGCAGATGCGTGTGTCAATTACAACGACCCTGAGTTGATTGAAAAATTAAAGCAAGCGCTTGGGGAAAAAGGAACGTGTGATTTCTTTTATGATACTGTTGGTGGTGAGCTTTTGGATAAAGTAATGACATTGATGACGAAAAACGGTTTGATTTTGGTAGTTGGAGCAATTTCAGGTTTCAAGGATGTGACCAAGATGTATGTCAAAAACTGGCCACAAGTAATTGCCAGTAGACTTACTATCAAGGGCTTTATTGTATCCGATTATCTTCACAAGGTAGAAGAAGCAAGGGTCAATCTTACCAAGTGGATTCAGGAAGGAAAAATTCGGAACGATTCTAGTGTTTTAAACGTCATTGATTTGACCGAGGAGTCCAAATTTGCAGACATTCCCAAAGCTTGGGCGTTGATTCTTGACGAGAACAAGAAGCCAGGAAAGGTATTGACGAAGCTTGCTGATCCGGAATAACCTTTCCTGAAACATACGGAACATGAATTCAGGGTCCCATAGACACCATTACACCAATGCAGCACTTTTTTTCGCAGCCGAATTGCTTACTCATCTTATTGTACTGAGTTAACTGAACTTAATCGATTGCTTTCTTCTTAGCACCTCAATTAGCTATGTCTCCCAAAGAAACAAGAGCCCTTATACTCAACGAGCCTCCAGTTGGTGAGGTTGTTCTTGAATTGGGCAAAGAAAACTCCACTTTCAAACTTGTAAACCAACCATTGGAGCCATTATCCGATGGCCAGGTTTTGGTCAAAACTCTTTATATGTCCAACGATCCCACCCAGAGAATGTGGATTCAGAAGGGTCAGGACCCTGAGAGGATGTACACTGCCCCAGTATTGCCGGGCCAGAAAATGCGGACTAGAGCAATTGCCCAAGTTGTGGAGTCCAAGAGCGCTGATTACAGCGTGGGAGAATTTATTCTTTCAGAGATGTATTGGGCAGATTACTCTGTGCTTGAAGCAAGCCTGATCCAAAGAAAAGTAGACAATTCGATTCCATTGCCCTTATACTTGTCTACCTTGGGTCTGATTGGAATGACGGCTTACTTTGGTCTTCTTGAAGTAGGTAAGGCTAAGAAGGGAGATACCGTAGTGGTTTCTGCTGCTTCTGGGGCTACCGGGTCAATGGTAGTTCAAATTGCCAAGGCAATTGGATGTCATGTCATTGGTATTTCCGGTGGTGAGGAAAAGTGTCGTTATGTTGAAAGTATTGGTGCCGATGTTTGCGTCGATTATAAAGACCCCAATTTCAAGGAAAATATCAAGAAGGCTCTTGGAGACAAGAAGTTCTGTGACATCTACTATGACAACGTTGGAGGAGAAATCTTGGACGTAATGCTCACTTTGACGAAAGTCAATGGCACTATTATTGCCTGTGGTGCCATTTCAGGTTACAACGACCCTGCCAAATCGAAAATTAACAACTGGTCGGAAATCATCCTCAACAGACTCACGGTCAGAGGATTTATCGTGAGTGACTTTAGGGACAAATTTGCCGATGCAGCCAACCAAATCAACGCTTGGATCAAGGAAGGAAAAGTTAATGGCGACTCATACAACTTGGTAGACTTGAGTGAAGAATCCAAATTTGGCGACATTCCAAAGACTTGGAACTTGCTTTTCCAAAACGAGAAGAAACCAGGAAAGCTTTTGACGAAGCTTGCCGATCCGGGGAAGATATAGAGTAGTCTAGGTGACAACAAAGTAACGAGATACCATTTTCGTAAAAGCAAACCTACACGGTTCGTCTACAAGTAGCTACAACATTTACCATAAATAGCACATACTTCAAGACCCTGCAGCTCGGTATTGCTGTCCTGTATACTCATGGCAAAGCATCGCGCCTGTGTTGAAGTGGAAGATGAAGTTTGGGTCTATCGATAAACCAACAGAACACTTGCGAAGTCCGGTGTCTGACAAATCAAGTTCAAAACCCAACGGCCCGAGTTTTTTTTTTTTCGCAGCCGTTGGCAGCATCGCAAGCTGACATATTGTCGCAATTAACTCCCGCGACTTACATCGGACACTTTCCTTTTTGGGCCATTGTTCCGTGGTTCCGAGTTGCTTTCTCAGGTATAAAGAACCTGATCTTTCCAAAAGTTTCGAAAAAATCCACCATGGCTCCCACACAAACAAAAACTTTTATTGTGAACGAAAACCCACTTAAAGACGTCAATTTCGAATTGGGTCAAAAGGATTCTACATTCAAACTAGTGGAAGAACCCTTGAAACCCTTGCATGATGGACAAGTTCGTGTAAAGACCCTTTACTTGTCTAACGATCCAACTCAAAGAAATTGGATCCAAAAAGGCATCGACCCCGAAAGATTGTATGTTCCACCTGTGCAACAGGGTGAGCCAGTGAGATCGCTTGGTCTTGGTCAAGTTGTCGACTCCAAGTCAAGCAACTATAAGAATGGAGATCTTGTGCTTTGTATGATGTACTGGTCTCAATACTGTGATCTTACAGAAAAGCAAATTAACAGCAAGATCCCTGATCGTTCAATTCCTTTGCCCTTGTACTTGTCCACCTTGGGAATGACTGGTTTGACCGCTTACTTTGGCCTTCTTGACGTAGGAAAGGCTAAGAAAGGAGACACTGTGGTGATCTCTGCTGCTTCTGGAGCCACTGGTTCAATGGCAGTACAGGTCGCTAAGGCAAAGGGGTGCTATGTCGTTGGTATTTCCGGTAGTGAAGAAAAGTGTCGTTTCGTTGAAAGTATTGGCGCCGATGCCTGTGTCAATTACAAAGACTCAAACTTTAAGGAAAACATCAAGAAAGCTCTTGGCGACAAAAAGTACTGTGACATCTTTTTTGACAATGTTGGTGGAGAAATCTTGGACGTGATGCTTACTTTGACCAAGGTGGGCGGAACCATTGTTGCTTGTGGAGCCATTGCCGGTTACAACGACGCCTCCAAAATTCAAATCAAGAACTGGTCGGAAATTATTCTCAACAGACTTCAAGTCAAAGGGTTCATTATCTTAGACCACACAGACAAGTATGCTGCTGCCATTCAGGAAATCGCCGGTTGGATCAAGGAAGGAAAAGTCAAGGCCGACGAAAATGCTTTCCATTTGGTCGATTTGAGCGATGAATCAAAGTTCGCCGAGATTCCAACTGTCTGGGGTACCCTCTTCACCGACGAGAAGAAACCAGGAAAGCTTTTGACAAAGCTTGCCGATGCGGAGTAGGTATCGAGTAAAGGTGATAAGTAGGTAAATCACGATTAAAAGAGCAAACCCAATACATCTCCGAAGCCTCGGACTAGTTAAGACCTTGCAGCTCGGACTCTGGTTCAGACCCTGTAGCCCAGACCCTGTGCCTGTATACGCTCCACGGCATCGCGGGTTATTTGGTGCAAAGATGAAATCTGGGTCGAGGCGGAGCCATAAACCAACAAAACTTACTAACTCCCGATATCTGACAAATGTAGTCAGGCCTCAATGACACGAGTGATCTTTGCAGCCGTTGAGAGCCACGAAAGCGCTGACATACTGTCGCAACTAACTCCCGCGACGTACATACGGAACCTTCCTGTTTGGGCTGGACTGCCGAGGTATGAAATTAGATTTCCCCACACATAAAAAGATTCGAAATTTTAAAGTTTTCACGAGACACCACCATGGCTCCCACACAAACGAAAACTTTTATTGTGAACGAACAACCAATCAAGAATGTCAATTACGAATTGGGTCAAAAACACTCCACTTTCAAGCTAGTGGACCAAACATTGCAACCGTTGCAAGATGGACATGTTCGAGTAAAGACACTTTACTTATCCAACGATCCAACCCAAAGATCTTGGATACAAAAAGGTATCAACCCCGAAAGAATGTACGTTCCACCTGTGGGCCAAGGTGAGCCAATGAGATCGCTTGGTATAGGGCAAGTAGTCGAATCCAAGTCGTCGACCTATAAGAATGGAGATCTTGTGATTTGCCTGTTGTACTGGTCCCAATACTGTGATATTGATGAGCAGCAAATTGACAGCAAGGTTCCTGATGCTTCAATTCCTTTGCCCGTATACTTGTCTACGTTGGGAATGACAGGGTTGACTGCCTATTTTGGTATCAGAGAAGTTGCCAAAGCCAAGAAAGGAGACACTGTGGTTGTTTCTGCTGCTTCTGGTGCCACTGGGTCAATGGTGGTTCAAATCGCCAAGGCAATTGGGTGCCATGTCATTGGTATTTCCGGTGGTGAAGAAAAGTGTCGTTATGTTGAAAGCATTGGAGCCGATGCCTGTGTCAATTACAAAGATCCAGCGTTCAGAAAGAATATGGTGAAGGCTCTTGGTGACAAGAAGTTCTGTGATGTATTTTTTGACAATGTTGGAGGAGACATTTTGGACGTAATGCTCGCTTTGACCAAGGTGAACGGTACTATTGTTGCGTGTGGAGCCATTGCTGGTTACAATGACCACACCAAAATGCAAATTAGAAACTGGGGGGAAATCATAGTCAACAGACTCACCGTCAAAGGGTTCATTATCTTGGATCACAAAGACAAGTACGGTGCTGCCGTGAAGGAAATTGCAGGTTGGATCAAGGAAGGAAAAGTCAAAGCTGACGAAAGTGCTTTTAACTTGGTCGACTTGACCGGGGAATCCAAATTTACCGAGGTTCCTATTGTCTGGGGCACTCTTTTCTCCGACAACAAGAAACCAGGAAAGCTTTTGACAAAACTCGCTGACCCTAAATTGTAACGAGAGTCTATGTTGATAAGAAAATTGCAATACCGATTCAAGTGGAAGATGTCAAATTTTGAATTTTGTTGGTGTTTCAATATTTCCGGTGTTTGTAGATGTTCAAGAATTGATGTCAATGTTTAAATGTTGTCAGTGTTTGTAGTTCAAGGAATGTTTCAAACTACTGTTTACCCTGTTCATTGTAACAAATGTTATCGTCATATCAACTTAATATAAACAAAACTCAAATAAGGCACATTCTACAAATGTTTTAGTTTTGTACAACCAAAATAAATACAACGCATTTACGGCTTCTTATCTTAAACTCATTTCCTTTTTTTTTGCCATCTAACTCGTCTTTATTTTATCGCGCGTACAAACATTCCAGCTGCGAAATATTCTCGATTGATTTTGCGATACAAACAACTCGTGTAACACAGCCAGAACAACTTGTGATGACCCATGGCTGATCTTTTCTGGAGGCAAGAACCACAAGCTGACATGTCGCTGACTCCTGAAAAGCCATCAGAGTTTGCCAGTCAACCATCGTCAAATTCGGAAATTCTACTTCGCTTCAAGGAGCCACTGGCTGCGCTGCCGCGAGACGAATTCGTTCAAGACTTTGATCCCGACCAGGAATTCGACTTTTTATCGTCAAAACATACAAAAACAAAAGGTATCACATTTATTTCCGACTCAGAAAGTGCCACAAATTCCAATCAATCGCCGTTTGTAGAACGAGCTCGATCTATACATAATGGAGTCAAATTTGACACGGAACCGTACGCCAAAGAGCTCGGATCTTCTTCACAAAATACCAGGACCACCCGCTCAAAACATCAAAGCAAGCAAAACTCAACATCTTCGACAGATTCAAGGCATGAAAAATCCACAAACAGAAGATCACTTAGTGGGCTCGATTTGAATTCTAACCTGTCACTGAAACACTCCACCCATCCTCCTGTAGATTTACCAAAGAGACGACCCGCCAACCTCAGTACTCCTGTGACGAAACCACGACTAGCTCTGGTCAAAGTTTCATTGACACCAGCTCAAAAAGTCCAGAGAAATAACCAGGTGAAACTGAAAAATGCTCTCGAGGACTACGAGTTTTCGTCTTTGGTTGGAAGAGGAGCATTTGCAAACGTGTACAAGGGTACGAACTTGAAAACCAATCAAGTTGTTGCAATCAAGCAAATCATCTTGGAAAGAGACCAAGATGTAGGAGACCTCATGAACGAAATTGATCTCTTGAAAATCTTAAGGCATCCACACATCGTCAAGTACCATGGATTTGTCAAGACTTCGGCCACTTTGAATGTCTTTCTTGAATATTGCGCAGGAGGCTCCCTTCGTCAACTATACAAACGACTTGGCCATGGGCTTCCGGAGAACAGGCTTTCGTCTTATGTCAAAATGATCTTGCTTGGCTTGGAGTATTTGCATGAGCAAGGTGTGGTACACCGTGATGTCAAAGCTGCCAATGTGCTCCTATCAGAAGGAGGCATAATAAAGCTTGCGGATTTCGGTGTTGCTTCAAAAGTATCATCTCAACACCAAACCGTAGTTGGAACTCCCAATTGGATGGCACCAGAGACAATTTTAGGAGGAGACGGCCTATGCACTGTATCAGATATTTGGTCTCTTGGAGCCACCATAATTGAGCTCTTCACCACAAACCCACCGTATCATGATTTGAATCCTATGGCTACCCTTCATGCCATCGGAACTGATGATCATCCCCCTTTACCAAAAGGACTAACACCCCTGGCTCGTGATTTCTTATTGGAATGTTTCCAGAAGCAGCCTGGATTACGTATTTCAGCACTGTTGCTCTTGAAGCATAAATGGATTACAGGCACTAGAGAAAGAAAGTCTCAAACCGATTTGAAATCGAAAAGGCAGATCAATGATAATGATCTGAACCAATTGGTAGACATGTCTCAGCCAACCACCTCTAATGTGTACTCTCAAGGAAAAGCAATAGGAGATTTCAAGGAAACGAAAGTTGAGGAAAACTGGAATAGTGACTTTGATGGCCCCATATCCAATCTTCACAGTAAGGTCTCCATACATGCGATCTCCAAGGAAGTGCTTCTACATAAGTTTTCCGATTCCAAAGATGACATGGAATTTGGAACCCAGAACTTTAAAGGCATCCTTCAAAGAAAAGATACAACAATCGATAATCTTGATGATAGTGATCCTTTCCTAGAAATTGACATCGATGATTTCGATACCAAAGAAATTGAGATTCAAACAAAGATGGAATATTTGATGTCCAAGCTCTCCTCCAGAGTCGAAAATTTGAGTATGGGCGAGGAATTAGCACCGTCTTTACTCAAGATCACTGGCCGTATGCTTCATATGGTGAAAAAATACGAATCTCTGCATCTGGTCTTGATTCGAGAGCACGGCATCCTCACTCTCTTAGAGCTCTTGGATAGCTTCGAAATGATAAAGGGCGAACAGCGATTGTGGTATCACACATTATCGGTCTTAAACATCATATTCCAAAGAAGCATTGCCCAACTCGAAAACTTTTGTCTTTTAGGAGGCATTCCATTGGTAGCTCAATTTCGGAGCTCTTCCTTTGAATCGGCTGTACGTCTTCAGGTGATTAAATTTGTGAAGCTACTTGAGAAATCAGACAAGGCTCTTTCCATGTTTGTCTCTTGTGGAGGGTTGAGGGTGCTTGCAAAATTTGTACAAGAAGACCTCGAGAGTGCTCCAGAGTATTCATTGGTTTCGATTGACTGCATCTACAAAATAATGACCAACGACTTATCTAGGTCCAAATCAGACCTTTGTCGGATGCTTTCGAAATACGGCATAGTATTTTGGTTTGTTGTCTTGTTGAATGGGTTGACTAATGGGCATAAAACGATTGAATCAAAAGAAGTCTCAGAGTCCATATCTAAGATTATGGAGATTATCAAGTTCTTTGGTCAATCGGAAGCAAAGGTTAGAGCTGCAATTTCTAGCTCGGAGCTCTTCAAGCTAGTGATGAAAGTCTACTCTAAGTTGGATTTTTCCCATAGATTGACCATTCTCAAGTTCTTAAAGTCTATCTCTAGCGTTTCTGGAAATCTAAGACTGCTTCAAAATGCTGATATTTTGGAGTTTTTGGTCGGGTTAATGAAGCAGTACACACCAACAGAGCCTCACTATCGAGAAGTTATCAACATTGTGAGTCCATTGTTGTACAATTGCTGCTATTTGAACGGTACTCAAGAAACAGAGTTGGTTCGACTTGGTGCAGTTCCCTTGCTCAAAGCACTTTCAGTTATCAACCTTCCATTTCGCCAATTCATTCTCCCCATACTCTGTGAATTGGTGCACTGCAATGACTACGTTCGCCAGGTTTTGAGAAAGAACGACGTATTCAAAGTCTACTTGAACCTTGTACTTGATCCGTATTGGCAGTCAGCAGCTTTGGAGGCCTTGAGTTTGTGGGGTCAATATAACCCGGAGCACATGCAACTAACGTCTCCACACACAGTCAATTGCTTTATTGGGGGATTTTCTGTTAATCAAGTGCCCAATTTTGAGTCTTCGTTGGATTCGTATTTGAAGCTCATGGTTTCTAGTGATCAGTTGCAGGACCAAATGGTCACTTCCGACTTCATTGATAGTATACTGGCAAAGCTTTCCAAGCATTCCAAGTCTCCGGTGATACAGCTTGGAATCCTACGTATTTTGAAGCTATTAGCTTTCAGAATCTACAACCATGGACTTTCTAACAAGCTCGTGGATCAGTTGGAAACACTCAATCTTGGCAAAACGTCGGTGCTTGTATCGGAGTTGGCTCGAGAAATACTACAATTGTGGAGCCAAACATAGGCTACAAGCCAAATATTTTCGACTGGTAGAGTTCTGGATCTCCATATAGGGTGTTTGCATGCAGTAGCGAAGGTCGCAGATTCGCTCTTTTTGGGAACATCGTGCCAACTGATGATAGGTACAGATACCTATCGAATTGTTATTGAGCTCCCGAACCAAAACACGCAATCCGCCCGTGACTACAGATACTCTCCTATCACTGTTGTTGCCATCGATAAGGAGAACTTTCCAAATATCAAAACCATGTCACTCGAACCGCTCCGAGGACAACATCTAGGAGACGGCTATATCCGGCTATATCGCGAGTTCGAAGCCGATGACTCTGCTTTACCATCTCCGGAGCACTCTCCGAAGCACTCAATCACTGAACCAATACCCAATCATATCGCAGGCGATGAGACGATGGTATCGATAGTGGCAGTGCCCACCTATTTTACAGCTACCGATCTTTTGGGGTTCATAGGAGAGGAGTACATGGCCAGCATCACACATATACGTATCTTGAAGAGCGAAAAGCCCAATCGGTTTCTTGTTTTGATCAAGTTTGATGATATCGTGAAAACCGCTGAATTTCAGTACAATTTCAATGGCAAGCCTTTCAATTCCATGGAGCCGGAATCCTGTCATGTTGTATTTGTGAATTCTGTCAGCTTAACCGCTCAAGAACAAATACCTTCTACGGGGTCTTTAATACCTTTTCTTTTAAACGACCCATTCACTTCCCTGAATTCAGATACCTTAATAGAGCTTCCTACATGTCCTGTTTGCTTGGAAAGAATGGACTATAATATAACGGGCCTACTCACGATTCCGTGTCAGCATACTTTCCACTGCCTGTGTCTTTCAAAATGGAAAGACGATACCTGCCCCATTTGTCGGTATTCTAATGACGTCTCAAACCAGAAAATACGACGCAGTATCAGACGACTACTGCAGTATCGTCAGCGTACGGGCTCTTCTTCCGAAGCTGCCAACATGGAAGCTGCAACTTCGTCAATGGCAGCAATGGCTATCGATGAAGAACAAGAGCACTGCGCAGATTGTGCCGTGGATAACAATCTCTGGATCTGTTTGATATGTGGTAATATGGGCTGTGATAGATATGCTCCTGAACAGCACTCTCTCAAGCATTTTATCAACACCGGTCATTGCTTCGCCATGGAGTTGGAAACCTCCAGAGTGTGGGATTACGCAGGAGATAATTATGTGCACCGTCTTGTTACCAACGAGGCCGACGGCAAGCTAGTGGAGCTTCCAGAGAAGATTGCTACGTCTTCTGGTAGTTTTAGGAAAGGATCAGAAAATTTCGACAAGGTGGATGAAGTGGGTTTCGAATACTCGCAATTGCTAATCAGTCAATTGGCTAGTCAGAGAGAGTACTACGAGGGACTCTTACGTTCTAAGGGTTCAATAAGTGGGCGAGGTCTGGTATCTGAGGATACAGAAAAGGTCAAACGGTTGCAAAGTATGGTCGATGATTTGAAGAGTGAGATTCACGATACGATACCAAACTTGAAATCGAAGCTCGCTGCCAAAGATCAGAAAGTACAAAGCTTATCTCGGGACTTGAATGAAGCAAATCGACTTAACGATGCGCTCTCAGAAAAGGTGGAGTATCTAATGAAAGCTAACGAAACACTTCAGGCTACCAATAATGACTTGAGCGAACAGGTGAAAGACTTGATGTTTTTCTTGGAAAGCCGGGAAAAATTCAAGGATCAGCCACAGGATGTCAAAGATGGCACCATTGTCATTCAGGAGGATAAGAAGAAAAAGAAAAAGTCGAAAAAGAAGTAATTTGCATTGGTATAGGTTAGTGCGACATTTGTCGTGATACCCTTTTAATCACCTCAATAAAAATTTCGGTGCTCATCGCGAACTCTTCTCCATCTCATCTCCTACATTTCTTCATAATCCACGCCTATAGTATGTCGGAACAGACCTCCAGCTCTGTGCTAAGCAGTAGCGAGGTTGCCTTCCCAAGAGGAGGTGCATCTGTTCTTACGCCTCTTGAGGTCAAAGAGATTTCTAATGAAGCTGCAAGAGATGTGCTCTTCGAATCATCAACCGCTGCCAAAAGAACCAGCGGTGAAAAGTCGCAGCAAGCACGCAAAAAGAGCAAGAAGAGCAAGAAGAACACTAAGGAATCTGAGGAAGTGGAAAATGTTATCACAATTGAAAGTCTTTCCTTCAAAAAACTCTTTCCTGGAACCACCGTGTTGGGACAAATTTCCAAGGTGAACAAGCTCGATTTAGAAATTGCCATAGGAGACAACTTGATCGGATATGTACCCATATCTTCCATCAGTGACGAAATCACTCGCAAAGTTGAATTGTATCAACAAGAATCGGACTCGTCTGAAGATGAAGAAGAGGAAGGTGTTACCCGTACTGCCACCATGAAAGACAATGAACTTCCAGATCTCCAGTCCATTTTCAAAGCAGGTGAGTGGCTCCGTGCCAAAGTGACAGAGGCCGAACTTTCCCAGTCGAAGAAAAAACGTATTCAATTCACCATCGAGCCTGAAAACGTCAATGAATCGATAGAGGATGAAGATTTGATTCCGGGAAACCTCTTGCAGTGTTCTGTTGTATCTGTTGAAGACCGAGGTGTCATATTAAACACTGGAGTCTCGGGAAAATCCGGTTTTATTTCCAACAAAGAATTATCAAATGCCAATATAGATCTCCAATCGTTGAGCGAAGGTTATGTCATGATGACCAGCATTGCTGCCAAGCCCACAACACGAACTATCAGCTTGCGACCAGCGACTCTGTCGGTGTCTCTGAAGAAGAACAAAGTGTCCAACATTTCTTCCGTTGATGCTATACAGCCAGGAATTATCGTCGATGCCCTTGTTGCAGAAATCACGAAAGAAGGTATCACAACCAAAGTCTTTGGTATGGTGGACGGAACCATCAGTCTTCTGAACATTGGCGAATACGATTTGGACTCGCTTAACCACAAATTTACCATTGGTAATTCGATAAAAGCTCGCGTTATAGCCGTTCTCTTGAAAGGTGGAACCAAAAAGCTCGTTTTATCGATTCTTCCTCGAATCTTGTCATTGGACTCTCAGGAAAATACCGATGCTTTGGAAGCATTCCCCATTGGTTTCGTCTTTGACCAAGTAGAAGTCATAGGCTTAGATTCAAATTACATCTTTGTGAGCACAGGCACTTCGTCTTACCATGGACAAGTTCATATCTCCAAAATCAACCAGGAAAAGGTGATTGACGACTACTTTGTTGGCTCCAAACACAAGGCTCGTGTAATTGGACTCAACAAATTCGAAGGACTTTTAACCTTAACGATGGATCCAAAAATAATAGACACTAAATTCATGGTACCACTGCAAATTCCAGTTGGTGAGTATATCAATGGAGGTGAGATTATCAAGGTTTTGCCTGATGGCGCTGGAATTCAGGTTAAGATTTTCAACGATTTCGACGCTTTCGTACCACCAGAACACATGTCTGATGTCAGGTTGGTGTACCCAGAAAGAAAATATAAGGTGGGCTCTAAGATTAAAGGAAGAGTATTGAAGGTTCACGGCTCCAAGATTTTCATCACATTGAAAAAAACCCTTGTCAATATTGAAGATGACGAAGTGCTTTCGAATTTCGAACTGGCAGAAATCGGGCTCAAAACTCCCGCTACGGTAGAAAAGTTTGTCCACAACGGAGCTATTGTATCATTTTTTGGAAACTTACGAGCATTTTTACCCAAGAACGAAATTTCAGAGACTTTTGTTAAAGATGCTAAAGATTTCTTGAAGAAAGGGCAGACTGTCAATGTGAGAATAATGGACAGAGACGAAACCCAACAGAGACTAATTGTCACTCTCAAGCAAAATGATGTGACAAAAGCTCAGCAATCAGCTGTAAGTTCTGTGGTTCCTGGCAAAACTATAGTAGAGGCTTCAATTGTTGAAAAATCTAAAGACAAAGATTCCGTCATTGTCGAAATCGAGGGATCAAACTTGCGTGGTGTAATCTACGCTGGTCAGCTTTCCGATGGAAACTATGAGCAGACTCGTGCATTGTACAAGAAAATACAAGCTGGTGACAAGCTTGAGGCTGTGGTACTCGAGAGAGATATGAAGACAAGGTCCGTGATCTTGTCAGCCAAACAGTCTTTTATCAATGGGGCAAAAAACAATCAGATTCCATCGCAATTCAGCGACGTCACTGTCAGTGATAAGGTGTTGACTGGATACATAAAGTCGGTAACCAACTTGGGTTTATTTGTCGCTTTTGGTGGAAAATTGACAGGATTGGTGTTGGCAAAATATGCAACTAAGAATCCTAATGAAGATATTCTTAAGCGCTTCTATAAGAACCAATCGGTATCTTGTCGTGTTATACGTTTGGATAACGAGAACAAAAGATTTTTGTTATCTTTGGATTCTGAAGACAAATCTGAGCATGGACAAGAGCTCGTTAATCCTGTTGATAGCACCAAGAAACTCATCACTGACTACACTCCCGGAGCAAAAACACAGGCCAAGATCAAATCCATCAAGGGAACTCAATTGAATGTCCAGTTAGCTGACAATTTGCAAGGTCGCTTGGATATCACACAATGTTTCGAAAAGTGGTCGGACATCAAAGACAAGAATCAACCATTGTCTCAGTTTCATAAGGATGAGATTTTGTCAGTAAGAGTCCTTGGTTACCATGATGCAAAGAACCACACTTTCTTGCCTATTTCCCACCGCAAATCCAAGAACACAATTCTTGAGCTCACTCTCCTAGAAAAGGATCCTATAACCGAGATCAAAGATGTCAAAGTGGGCTCTGAGCATGTTGCATTTGTAAACAATCTTGCTAGAGGTTTCGTTTGGGTTTCCATGAGTCTATCCGTTAAAGGAAGGGTTTCTTTTATGGATTTATCTGACGAAGTTTCTATCTTTGAAGACTTGGAAAACAGGCTTCCAATTGGTGCCGCAATCAAAGCTAAGGTCAAGCAAATCGATGAAGAGCACAAGAATATCATTTTGACTTCAAGAAAGCATACCGTTACCAAGTTTGAAGATGTGGAGTTGAACAAACAATATCCAGCTCGTGTCTTGAAGGTGCTTCCATCTTTTGTTCTTGTTGAGTTAGCTCATGATGTGGTAGCTTCTTCGTATATCACTGATGCTTTGAACGACTACTCAAGTGCTCTCAATGAGGTATTTCATGCCAATGACTACACCACTGCTACTGTTCTTGCTGTTGACAAAGACTCCAAGAAGATCTCAGTTCTGTTGAGAACCAACAAGGCCGTTGACAAAGTTATCAATTCTGTTGAAGATTTACAGCGTGGTGATGTCGTGAAAGGTTTTGTCAAGAATGTGGCTAACAACGGAGTTTATGTGTCTCTTGGACGTTCAGTGCATGGTTTAGTGAGAGTAAGCGATTTGTCTGATTCTTATTTGAAAGACTGGAAAAAGTACTTTAAGCAGCACCAGCCAGTCGTGGGTAAGGTGGTTAACTGCAAAGAAGAAGGAAGAGTTTTGATCACTTTGAAAGAAAGCGAAGTTAATGGTGAGCTTAATGTTTTAAAGAAGTTTGAAGACTTGAAAGAAGGAGAGGTATACGAGGGATCGGTAAGACAGGTTACAGATTTCGGAGTGTTTGTCAAATTGGACGGAACCCTCAATGTCAGTGGTTTGTGCCATCATAGTGAAGTTGCTGATAACAAGGATGTTGATGTCAAGGCTTTGTTTGGGGAGGGTGATAGAGTCAAGGTGAAGATTCTTGGCATCAATTCAGAAAAGAAGCAATTGTCTTTGGGGATGAAGGTTTCGTACTTTGCTCCAGAAGCAACACAGAATGAAGATTCCGACGACGATGTGGAGATGGCTGAATCTGAAGAAGCTACTCCTAGTGCCTCAGAAAGCTCGGATGAATCTGATGAGGAAATCGTTGAGGGTGCATTTGAAGCCGATTCGGATGTTGACCATGACGATGAAGAGACCTCCAACGTTGTAGCTGAAGACTCCGGTATGGGATTGTCCACCAACGGATTTGACTGGACGGCTTCAATTTTGGACCAAGCACAAGAGTCGGACGAGTCTTCAGACGACGAAGATTTCGTCAATAAGAAAAAGAAGAAGCGCTCGACTAAGGTTGTCGAAGATAAAACTGCGGACATCAATACTAGAGCACCTCAATCTGTTTCCGACTTTGAAAGGATGTTGATTGGATCGCCTAACTCCTCAGTTTTGTGGATGAACTACATGTCGTTCCAGCTCCAGTTGAGTGAGATTGAAAAGGCAAGAGAAATCGGAGAGAGAGCTCTTAAAACCATCAACTATCGAGAAGAACAAGAAAAGTTGAACATATGGATTGCATTGCTAAACTTGGAAAACACCTTTGATACAAAGGAGAGCCTTGAGGATACTTTCCGTAGGTCTTGTCAGTATATGGAACCATTGACCATGCACCAGAAATTGGCAAGCATCTATACATTGTCGGAGAAATTTGACGAGGCTACCAGGCTCTACAAAGTGATGATCAAGAAGTTCTCTAAGAACGTCAGCGTGTGGGTGGCATATGCTTCCTATTTGCTTGATCGCCAAATGAATGATGAAGTTCACGAAGCGCTCGCCAAGGCCATGCAAGCTTTACCTTCAAAGGAAAGTATCGAGGTGGTCAAGAAGTTTGCTCAGCTTGAGTTTACCAAGGGGGATCCCGAGCAAGGACGTTCGTTGTTCGAAGGTTTGATGGCCGATGCACCCAAGAGAATAGATTTGTGGAATGTGTATCTTGACCAAGAGATCAAGTTGAACGATAAGTCCAAGGTTGAAAATTTATTCGAGAGACTTATCACCAAGAAACTCACCAAGAAGCAAGCCAAGTTCTTCTTTACCAAGTGGCTCAAATATGAAGAAGATCAAAACGATGAAAAGAGTGGGGCTCGAGTGAAGGCCAAGGCCGCTGAGTATGTGGAGGCTCATACATAATATTGCATCGAGTACAAAAGCGCTGAATTTAAATAGTTCTGTACCGTCACAAATGAAAACGTTATGTTATCAAGAGTAAAAGAATTATATCGTCCCATATTGCTGGTTATTTTATTGGTAGGAATGCTTTGGTATCGACCTTTGACGAACATTATGGCCCATGCTGAAGAAGACGAAAAAGTATTACAGATCCAAAATTCACAAAAGGAGCTGTATAGTCCTATCCTTGTGATTGCTAGTACAGTTTTCATGGTGGTTTTCGCAGCTATTGTCTTGACTATTGGGTGGTTAACTATTCGTCATATCGTCAAGGTTGCAAAATTTGAGATTATTGCAATTTCCACAAAATTGGATAAAAAATACAACCTGCTACAAAAAGAGGTTACGAGACAACTCACGAGAGCTAATGCTCTTGCTGACCAAACCCAGGCTGTTTTGGATGGGTTCTCCACCAGTTTAAGCGCCCTGAATGGAAACGTATGACTTGCAGTTCAGTGCAACACCAAGTCCGAAATTGACTCTGGTTGTACAATACAAGCGCCCGGAAAAGAAGCCACCAAGTTTGACCTCTGCACTGAAATCGGTCGGTCTCAATGGAAATCGTATGTCCAGGCGCAAATGCAGCCAAAATTACGCTACAAAGACATCGTCAAACGTGATGCTAATAACAGGCCATACCTGCGAGTGGTTGTCCATGGTCGCGGATGGGTTTCAATTCGTCAATTGGAACAGGAAGAGCAACTCTATGGACCCAATGCCGAAGTTGTGGGAACGGCAGAGTCACCTTGCCGAACCAAGAGTCTAAGTCTGATGCCAAGAAGAACGGCAGTTTCCTCGTGAACAGCTTTTGATCTGGTTCAGCGCTTGTTTAGCTATTCCGTCATAGTGGTAGATATAATAATTTGTGACTCAATGCTAGCGCATGTACTTATTGACTCTGAACTTCGACTTCATTTCGCACCCAAATTAGATGTCAATATGCATTCAACCTGTCAACGATTTCGAGTGCGAGAAGTTTTGTTCGATGAGTGACTCTTTGGAGAAACCGGTACAAACTCGTTAAGCTCAATTGAATATGACAAACGTCAATCAGTTTTGACAAGGACAAAATGACAAAATGCAAAATGACAGCTAAACAATCTCCAATAAGAAAATAGAAACGTTGAATTTTCTTCCGGTGGTCAATACTGAGCAGCCCGAGTCTTAGTTGTACATTGTGTTGGTTGCAAACTCCTGCAAAAAATTTTCAGCAAGACGAATGGATGTAAGTGCTTGATACAACTAGCATTGAAGTTGCAAGAGAAACATTGGTTTCGAAAATGAAGGTGGTATGATTGCTTTCAGAAGAGTAAGCAATTTCATGAGTTGACACCAATCAACTAAAGTAATTCACGTTACGGCTCAACCAAATCATAAGATAGTTTTCTGATTCGTTCAAATTCGCTGTGACCGTATAGTTCATCAGAATGACTACAACTTCAAGAAGCAACCCAATATCTTCGTGGAGAAAGAGACTTTCGACTCTTGTTGACTCGGGAGCATCTTGTGAAACTCGACCGCGGTTGCTATGAATTATTTTTTGTTTGAGTGCATTGCAATAGTCGATGAATACTGCCTTTGATCATTACTTCACAAAACACAAAAAAAGTCGCCATTTTATGGGCTGCCGGTATCCCTAGACAGTGTTTGGATCTGTTGTCTTTATATCTGACTTCCAAAATCATAATCCGGGGTAGCTAAGCGAATTCCCTCATTGGGAGAGGTTGCAATCAGCAATTCGTCTAAAAGTCTGCGGCTCGCACACGGCGAAAAACCAATATTGTCTCCGCGATCGGGTTCGCAGAAAAAGCATTTATACGACTAAAAAGCACTTGGCACGCAGTTTATTTTTCGATAAGACGCCGCCCCATGCCAAGACTTTCCACAGAAAAAGAATAACTATTTACGTGTTCCAACCGAAATGCAGGGACTTGCTCATTTCTTTTGACAACTACCAAAATGGGTTGTAAGGGTTCCTATTATTAAGCCACCAAGCTCCTAGTCGGGTATCCTAGTTTTTGTGCGCAAGCTGCGTTCAAATTCGGCATCCAATAAGAAAACCGCAAAACGGCGTTATCAGAGCCTTTCGGCGGCTCGGCTCCAATTAAAGACAGGGCTCATGGCACAATGCCAGTTACCCCGACCGGAAAAATGCCATGCAGATGTGACGTTTTTTTTCAGTGCGGGTGTCAGGGCGTGACACCGGCACAATATGCACTGTACATCAGCAGATGAACGGCGTTTTTACACTGTGATGCGCCCATATGCCGTGTGAGATGAAAAACTACTCATCCTCATTGGGAATAGATTGTGGCTCGGGGATAGTTAAAAAGTCAAAAAATCTTTTCTTCATTCACAAATGAGCTTCGAGGAACCCAAACGAGACCCAGTTATAGAATCGAATATCGACTCCACCACCAACAGCGTCTCTGTTGAAGGTGACCATGAGGTGCCTACCGATGAGGAAATGAAAACTTTGCGTCATGTTTCTGGAAAAATTCCTCTTAGATGTTGGTTGGTTGCAGTGGTTGAATTAGCCGAAAGATTCAGTTACTATGGTTTGAGTACCCCTTTCCAAAACTATATGCAAAATGGACCTCATGGAACTCCTCCTGGTGCTTTAAGTTTGAAAAATCAAGGTGCAACTGCGTTATCTTATTTTTTCCAATTTTGGTGTTATGTCACTCCCATCTTTGGTGCTTGGGTTGCTGATACGTATTTGGGAAAATACAAGGCTATTTCTGTTTTCGCTGGTATCTATGCCGTTGGTTCGTTTCTCATTTTCGTCACCTCCATTCCTTCCATCACCAGTTACAACACCGCTTTGGGAGGTTATGTCAGTGGTATTATCATTCTTGGTATCGGTACTGGTGGTATCAAATCTAATGTTTCACCTTTGATTGCTGACCAAATTCCAAAGACAAACCCTGTTATTAAGGTGTTGAAGTCAGGTGAAAGAGTTATTGAAGATCCTGCAGTCACAATTCAAAATGTGTTCATGTTCTTCTATCTTATGATCAACACCGGTGCTTTGTCCGTCATGGCTACCACCGAGTTGGAATACCACGTTGGATTCTGGGCTGCTTTCCTTTTGCCATTTTGTTTCTTTTTCGTGGGTATTGTTGCATTGATTATTGGAAGAAACATGTATGTCAAGGTTCCAGTTTCCGATAAGGTGATTTCCAAGGCTTTCAAATGTACGTGGATTGCAATCAAGAACAAATTCAACTACGATGCTGCTTTGCCTTCCAGAAACCCTGAGGCTGGTTATACATGGACCGACCATTTTGCTGAGGAAGTTAGAAGATCCATTTCTGCTTGTAAAGTGTTTGTGTTTTATCCATTCTACTGGGTGGTTTACGGTCAAATGATTAGTAATTTTGTTTCCCAAGCCGGTATGATTGAATTGCATGGTATTCCAAATGATTTCCTCCAGGTGTTTGACTCGATTGCCATTGTCGTTTTCATTCCAGTGTTTGAATCCGTCCTTTACCCATTCATCAGAAAGTTTACTCCATTCAGACCCATCACAAGAATCTTTTTTGGCTTCATGGTTGCCTCATCTTCTATGGTTTATGCAGCTGTTTTACAGCATTACATCTACAAGGCTGGTCCATGTTATGACAATCCTTTGCAATGTAAAGGATTTGTTGGTGTTCCAAACCGTGTCCATGTGGCGATTCAAATTCCTGCTTACGTCTTGATTGCGTTTTCAGAAATTTTTGCATCTGTTACTGGATTGGAATATGCCTACACTAGAGCTCCAGCCAGTATGAAATCATTCATTACGTCGTTATTCTTGTTGACCAATGCCGTTGGTTCAGCCTTGGGTATTGCCATCTCATCTACCTCGGTCAATCCCAAGTTTGTATGGAGTTACACTGGTTTGGCCAGTGCCAGTTTCATTGCTGGATGTCTCTTTTGGATCTGTTTCCAACACTACAACAAGAAAGAAGACGAATGGAACAAGATGGAATACGGTAATAAACAGAACGAGCAGAATGCCATTCACCCAGTTGTTTCGTTCCAACACTCGGTCAAAAGTCTTGCTTAATGATATAGACCGACAACTAATGTATTATTAGCGTAATTCAGTAATGTTACGAATCTACCCTACAATTACCCCACGTAGCCCAAAGGGTTGCCCAGGTGCCCAAAAGCTGAGTCGGATTATTTGAGCCAATTCGCATCTGAAAGTCCGAATTCAGTGCAGGTCAAATCTCACTTCAAGATTCAACATGTGCACTTCAACTCTTTGATCACAAACATTAGTCAATAAACAAATTCCTGACAAACCTCAAATCACAATCAAATCACAATCAAATCATTTCTTCTCCATTGTTCCTCCTTTATTATAGTCCTTCACCGTAATCGGGCCGATGAGGGGCTCTGTCACGTGCACAACTTTCACATGCCGCCCACACCGATTCTCTCATAAAAGTTGCAAACTTCTCACGATTCACCACATGACAGAAACAACAATCCACGGGAAACGCAAATTATCGTCCCACTGGCCTCCAGGGCCCGAGTACACGTCGATGCCTCCCTCGTCCCCTGGTGTGACTTTGGCCACTCTGGATGCTCATGCTGAAGCTCCTCCACCAGCCTACAGAGAAAAGCGGAAAAACGACCAGGAACTCGTTCTGGCAGCTGAGGCGCTTGCGCTGCTCACAAAGAGGACCCCACCACCTCCGGGTGCTGGAGAATCAGAGGATGGAAGCGGGGCTTCACAGGGTCACTCGGCGATCGCATCTCCACTCTCATCGCTTCTGATTCAAGGTGACGAAGATTACAAAATACAACATCCGTTGGTGTCACGAGTGAACCAAGTATCCCGCCATCCGATAGTGACCAACGCGGTGCGCTACTACAACCACTCTAAGCGCAACTATGCTCTGTTCAACTACGCTGCCGAATTTGTTGAGAAGGCCGCAATACCGGTTGTTTCTCGCATCGAAGCTGACTTGAATAGTCGCCACCAGGTCAAACAGGCAGCAGCCGCCATCACAGACGACAACGAAGTGTCGCCGCACCGCAAGTTGAGACGGCTCTCGTCTTCAAGTACGGTAGCTACGGCAAAGTCTGTAAAGTCGAACTCCGCTTCCACCGCCGATACCCGTAAACGTCTTCAATTCTGTCTCCATGTTTTGAAACTTGCCAACGACCAGATCACCACCAAAGTTAGCGAGCTCCAAGCGAAAATCCAAGAACGAGAGCAGGAGCGTGAGAAGGAACAAGCCCAGAAAATCGAACGTGCAAGACGGGCCAGTGAGGCCAGTCACGCCAGCCAGGACCAAACCGGCCCGCCTGGAGCGGGTCTCATTGCTCCTGAAGCACAGCAGACAAAGACGGAAATTGTATCTACCGTCAAGAAGATAATTCATGTCATTTCCAATTTCCGCCCGTCGTCACTCAGCACCTCTAATGGACTTACTCCCACTAGCAGCCAATCCAGTGAAAACTGTGATTTCAAAACCACCATCCGCGATATCATCCTCCAGCTTCCTACCACGGTCCAGCAAACAACCGCGGCCAAAACTGGTACTGGTCAACAAGCTAACGACCGCATCTTTTTGCTCGCCAAAGAGTCGCTCGACATGATAACGAGACTAACTACTGTGTTTAGCGTCCAGTTGGAAAAAGCCGATAATTGGGTAGCCGGGGAGCAAGAAGAGGATGAACTGACACTCACCGAATATGATAGTGATAAGAAAGAGGATTCGAAATACAGTTAGGTCGTTCTATAGATTGGATTTTTTTTTTGCAATAGTTAATCAATATTACGTCAGCGACGATAAACCTTCGATATCAGCGGACAACCCCCCTCCATCTTTTCACGTGAAAAACTCTTCACCTTCCCAAGCCACTCGTGCGCCATCATGCAGTATGAGTGTCCAAACCCAACTTTCGTAGCCACGAAGCCCCTGCCCATCTCATTTCCAAATGAGGAAAGGATAGTAGACAATTAACTTTCCTAAACCGGAATATTAATTAATGGATCATGCAGGAAAAAGCGGGATGCTGCAGTCAGTACGGGTGCAGAGGATGGGACACAGTTGCCTAAAGCAGGAATAAACCATAAATTCAAAAGTTGATTCCCCGGATTGGAAATTTTATGTTGCAAAAGTTACCGGATCGAGAAACATCATGACTACCCCAACTGCAAAAGGATAATTCATAATATAAAGCCAGTTGGTTGTCAAATTTTTGGCTTCACCGATACATTTGAAAACTATTGTGAAAAATTGTACTGGCCATGACCCTGTTACAACTCGCCGAAAGCGATGTCAATCGCATCAGAAACTCATGGGCTGACTTGCAGACCAACAACCGATACCACAAAGACCAATTTATCTCAAGGCTTTTTGCCAATTTGATTGCTGGTAATGCTGAACTCAAGTCTGTGTTTTACAGCGACAGTATTGTCAGAGAGCAATCCACGTTATTTGGAGACTTGTTGAACATGGGAGTAGTGTACTTGGATGAGATCCCCACGTTAGACAGATTTATGAATCAATTTTTCAGAGAACACTTGAATATGGTTGATGTTGCTGTGCACTATCTCGAACCAATGGGTGTTGCTCTCATTCAAACTTTCCGCCAATGGCTTGGAAAGGGCAAATTCGACAGTGATCTTGAAAGCAAATGGATCCAGTTGTATATTTATATTGCAAACTCCTTGTTGCAATTCTCTGAGGATGACAGCGACGTTGACGATGCTCCATCTACTCCCACCGATGCTCCACAAACCACTTCTTTGCTCGACAGGACCAACACCATCGAGTTTCAAATTTCTTCCAATGACAAATACCGTGGATTTAGAAGAAACGACCAGCTGTGTCCTGAACCAATTGCGATCAAGGTTCCTACCACTTTTTCCACCCCCACATCTACCCCAGCTCCCAGTATCAGAGGTAGTATTCGCTCGGTCTCTGAGAGCACCAGCGACAATAGCGACGACGAGAAGTTTGACCCAAGACGCCGCAGTCGCAGAAGACGTTCTCCCGAGTCAGATGCCGAGCCAATGCTTACTCCTCGTTCTTCCAGGAGACCTTCTATCGACATTAAGCGCGAGTCTGTGGAGCCACCAGCGCAGGAGGAGATTTCTCCAGTTGCTGAGGAAGCTCCAGTGGCACCTATCGAGCAGCCAGATGCCCGCAAGATGGGTTTTGCCAGAGCACCTCGGGTGATCACCGACGCTTTTGACAAGGACGACGACTTTGCCGAGTCCGACAAGAGCTTTGGATTCGACCCACGCCAAACCAGTCGCAGAAAGTCCAGAAGTCCCAGCAGCGAAGTTGAATCTGAAGAGGACGTTGCTCCGTTATTTACAGCCAACCGCGAAGAAGAGAAGGCGTTGCCTGAGACTCCAGTGGAGCCAAAAGCCAGCCGCTTCGACCACACCAGTTTTGGAATCAAGGGATTGGCACCAATTGTCGAAGGAGACTTTGATGACGATGCTGCTTCTTCGAGATATGCCAGCGACGAAGACAACAGTTCTTCAAACTACGGTGACAGTCTTGCTGACAAGTCGTCCAGTGACATGGACGAGGTGAGCTCTGGGGTTTCTACGTTGTCGTTGCACAACAGCGATTTCCGTTCTTCGATCGGCTCGTCGTCCAGTCCTCCAATGAGATCACACAAGAGCAACCACAGACAGCAGTCTTCCATGGCTAGCGACTTTACCGATGTCAGTGTGCCTTCTACCAGCCCCAAGCTTTTGTCCAGTGCCAATATGCCTTCCGCCAAGGCCATGCTCTCGCCAACTCCTTCGTTGTTGAGTCTTCCAAAACACCAGGATTCCACCCAAATGAGACAAAGAGTGTCGCTCGGGTTTATGAGAAGCAGCTTTGTGTTGAAAAAGGAAATGGAGCAATTGGGCTACAACCAACCCGAACACGTCGATTTGGCCAAGCCTCCTACCATTCCTGCTGCGGTTTCATCGTCGAATCCTTATGGAAATATGTCCCACAATGGTTCGCGTACAAGCCATGCAGTTCGGTTACAGAGCTTTAGCAGCAGTGATTTGCAATCGCGTGTGCATTCACTGACTACTTTGGGCACCAACAATGGATCCAGTGCCAAGAACGTGGGTACCACAAAATACCCCACCAGATCACTGCCTGTACTTAATGCCAGCTCCGCGCTGTTGTCTACATCTCGTGGATCTATGATGGCCGAGAAGAAGTCACTTAAATCGAGATTTTCCAAAATGTTCAAGTCAAAAAAGAAGGACTCATCTTTGACTTCTGCCTCGGTTGACGACTTGGCGTCAATGATGTCTGCAGGTTCTGAAGACTCTACTATGTCTGGGTTCTCATTCTTGTCCAAGAGAGGCTCCAGTGAAACCTCGAGAACCAGAGGTGCCAAAAACCGCCAGAGATATAACGTGTCTAGTGTTCCTTACAATGTGTTGTTGCCGCAAAAACCTATCCGCAGGATTCCTGCGTAGATGCCTTCAGGCAACCGAGCATGATTGTGAGGTGAACCCACATCGAGACGCTCGTCATTTGCATGGACCACTGGCTGGTTACCTATATAATTAATACCACATGAATACCACATGAATACCACAGCAATTACAGTAATTACAAACTACAGTAATTCAGACTAGAAACGAATAATATATTAGAAGCTGTATTTCCTTCTCTAACTTGCTCATGTTCTTTGCTCATATTCTTTGCATTCGTTTTGGTCGTCTCTTCTCTGCTTTCGCTTTGCTCTCGTTTCTTCGCTTCGTATTCTCCTCACATTATTTCCTATCCAAGCAATCTCCTCTTTCCCAATGGGGTATAATTATCTGCAGCGAGATGTTTCGCGATTTGCTGCAGGTGTCAAACGTACCACCAGATGCTCCAAATTGAGTGCTTTTCTAAAAATCGAAGACTCTATATATCTACATTGTGTCTGGTTGTTGTAGCTTCGTCGTGACTAGCCATTTCCAACCTTCCAGAAGAATTGGGCAACCATCGCCTCAAGTTGACCCCTCAGTGACTGCTGCATTCTCATGCACGATTAAGAACGTGCAGCCAATCATTAGAACTGATGCATGATTTTGCATAGACGCTATTGTTAGCATAATTTGAATGCCCAAAATTCTGTTCCTTTACAAAAGCATCGGCACTTATTTCTCGGGCGATCATTTCTTATTCGGATAATATACTGCCGCTGGCCGTCATTTCTCAACAACGAAGGTCATTTACTTTACGAAGTGAGAATTTGGTCTTACTCAAAGTTTACTATTTAGGTCATTCACTTCATTTGAAACTCAACAAATTAAACTTTTCGTCTCGAATTTGGCTACTTTTGCCGACGTAAGGCGACCAGATCAACGTAATAATACGCGGCAATCATTGATTTATTAGAGGCGTGATCAGACCCTTCACATTATGGTTTTTGATCTCCCAACTATGGATTTCACCAGTGGTGAAATAATCCATCTTCGTCGATTATGGAGCTCATTACGACTATTCAAAACCGAAACCGTGAAACCAGATCAAATCAAAAGTCATAATCGGCCATTGCTGTCTTGCAAAACCACAAGAAACACAAAAACCATCGACGATATCAAAGCCGATGCGTTCATCAAAATGTGGTCCACCCATGTTGTCGATATGGAAACACCCAGATTTTCAGAAAGTTCATCGTTACTTGACAAAAGTGACGCCGTGATTACAAAGTTCCAACTAGTATCCATGTTCAAACTCCTCACATTCATGCTTGACAATTTGACCCAACCAAGCATCACCTCTATGGATGTTCTCGTTCAAGTCAGCAAAGTGAATGCAAGGATCTGGAATCTTGAGGAGAGTGCCTACATTCTTGTGGGCGAGGCATTGACATCGACTATACTTGACATTTTGGGCAGGAATGTGTTCACCACAGAAATCGAAATCATCTGGCTCCGATTTTATTCCACAGTTGCTTCCAGCTTGGTATACTATGCCAAAGACCCAGCTTCCACATTCGTCCCGGAAACTCATCCTCATGTTCACAAACTAAGCATCAGCGAACAATCCACCATTACCTCCCGTCTTTCCTTACTGCATTCTCGAGACGATTCGTCGTCTTTTACTTCAGTGGAACAATCTTCAATTGCTACCTATACCATGGGTACCTCCAAACCCACCGTCATTGACGAAGATTCCGACGAAGATACCTCTTATGATTTACTCAATTCCTTCGTGCCAGAAACCACCAACATCTCAAAATCAAAAAGTGCAAAGAAGATCAAAAAGAATAAGTACGGTCCCACAAAGGGTAAGCCTCCTGCTTTAGTAGGATGGAACCACCCAAAGAAGCAGTCTGATGACTGTGTGATAAGTTAGGGAGCATTAAGCGAAGCGATAAGCAACGAGCGATGAAGAGATGGAGAGACCCATTGGGACCACTTTGAAAAACTGTACTATTAACCTGTCTCTATATCACTTAGCGTCAAACGGTTTAACGGTCTACTGTCGTACCACTATGTATATTAATATCCATTGACAACTGTAATCTCACTTTAAGCAGTCTGGATCACACCCAGAAACATCATCAAGCACACAGCTCGATTTATTGGTGGCTCCGTACGCACTTGGTCGTTTGGTTAATGCCTGTTGTCCCGTCCTCAAATCGGAAAACTCGGGCTGTATGGTAGCACTGTGAATGCCATAAGCATGAAGGATTTCACGTACTTGGGCCACCGCCTGTACGAATGCTGGTTTGTTGATTTGTTGTTCTTCATTTGAAAGATTTTCCGTTTCGGTGTCGTTGAGCTCCAAATGCAAAGAAGCAATTAAAATATCTTCATTCAAATTCCACACGTGGAAATCATGAATAGACTTGACACACGGCAAGCTGACGATCTTTTCAACCACGAGATTGGAGTTAACATCAGTGGGAGTTGCCTGCAAGAGGATTTTGGAAGACCGGCGACACAAGGGTAATGCGGAGGAAAAGATAATAGCAGTGATCACAAGGGAAACAAGTGGATCGGAATAAAATCTCCACGAGTAGTTTGTTTTCCAGATGAAAAGTGCCGTGATAATAACACCAACATTTCCCAAGGCATCTCCCAAAACATGAAGGAATACACCTTCCATATTCATCGACTTCTTCTTCTTTTTGTGCAGCTTGGCGTGATCTTCATTAATCAAAGGCGTGCTTTCACTGTAGTGTCTCACAACATTGTCTGGGAAGTAAGACCGCAAATCGGCTTCGGATTCTTGTCTTGAAACCGCCTCTTCATCGCCATGGCTATGGCTATGTTCACCACTTTCAACGTCGCGTCCAGGCGATCCATGGCTGTGTGAGTGACCATGTTCGTGAAACAACACCAAACCAAGAATATTACTGAGCAACCCAGCAATTCCAACTCCCAAAACAAGCTTTGGCAGACTGATTTCTGGAGGGCTAACAAAGCGCTGAATCGCCTCAATGATGATGGTGAAACACAAAGCTAACAAAAACACCGCATTGATAAGCGCACCCAAGATTTCAGCTCGTTGCCATCCATAAGTATAACGACCATCAGCCGGTTTGTTATTCTTCACCCGAACCGCCCACAACGCAATAATCAACGAAATTATGTCATTGAGCATGTGAAAAGAATCAGCGATAAGAGCCAACGAACCAACAGAATAACCCACGATAACTTCCAAGAGGAAGAACACCGTGTCCAAGGCTAGAAGAGCACCGATTCTGATCTCCTTACTTGACACCATCGTTGTAAGAAAAGAAAAATAGGTAAACCGTGCATGTTTTGCGCTTCGGGTAAGTAAGCCACAAATCCAAACACCCATGCATAACTACTATAGTACAAGAACAATAGGCGTGTATTGAGTAGGTAGAAGAAGAGATGTTCTTGAGGATGAAGATGAATGGGGGAAGGCTCAGCGCTAGCGAGAAGCGGCGAGCAGCTAAGCCACGGTTGGGGGAAAGGGTGATAATGAAAAATAAGTAGAACAATGCTGAACGTGCTGTAGGTCTCGCATCGCGATGTTGACGGCGGAGTTAAGTTTTTCACCTAATTTAAGGTGAGTCAGTAGATGGGATCAGAATGAGATCATGATGTGAGATCACGATGTAATGAGATCACGATGTAATGAGATCGTGATGTGAATCAGATCACGATGATGTTGCATCGTGATGTGGATGTTGGTGACGACACTACAGCAGCTCTTGTTCATGGCTGCGTACCCAACAACTGATTGAAGGTGATCTTCTGACCATTTTCAGTTTGTGATGGGTGAGCAGCAGGGATGGGCTGAGGTTGAGGTGGAGCCATCTGGGGGTAAGGTGGTTGGTGTGGCATATATGGTGGATATTGGTAGTTGATATAGCCTTGTGGTGTGACGCTATACGAAAAACCGGGTTGAGCGTACATGTTCGGTGGACCAGGAGGAATGACAGCACCCATAGGAGGCATTCCTTGGTTGGGGCCCACCATTCCATTTGGATACATTGGACCAGAACCTGGAACAGAACCTGAAACCGAAGGAACTGAGCCTGGAACAGGCCCTGATGCTACAATGCCGGCCAGTCCGGCTGGCAAGGTGACCGGACCAGTTTTAGGAGAAGACTTGAACGATGGTTTGGGCAAGTTCAACGCTGCTGGTGACGAGTGAAACGATGAACCAGCATAAGTTTCCTCAGACTTCACAGCAGCAGGAGACAGTTGTCTCTTGCCCTTTTTGTTCTCTGATGGTCCTTTATCTTTCGAATCCTTTGGTGACTTCTTTCTTGGCTTGGCGTCATTTGAAAACCGAGGTTTCTCACCATTCGGTAAGCTTTGACTTTGAACCGAATCTTCAACTGCTTTCTTTGCCGGTTTCTTGCCCTTCTTGGGACCACCATGACCAAAATTAACTGGATTACCACTTGGAAGGATTCTTACATCGGGAGCCTTTTTTGACTTTTCCGGTTTACGAGAAACATTGTTCTTGTTGTTATGGGGCACAGGTATCGGGCTTTCGTGTGCCATCATGTTGCTTATGATCTATACTTTGAGGTTGATATCGTACTGTATGAGGCATATAACGATAATAAGGATGGTTGAATTTGCGCTGTCATGGGGTCGGGCTCAGAATTACGCGCGGACTTGCTGGTGAACATGCAGGATTTTAGCTCTGAGTCAAGTCCAGATTCACTACAAGATACCAATGACAAAACTGGGAAGGACGACTTCTGTTCATGTTCCGATAGTCAATTCTTCGTATACGTAATAGAATTAGTCCAATTTCTTGAATATATGCATGGAATTAGTCCAATTTCTTGAATATATGCATGGAATTAGTGGGCTACATTTAAATAGTTAGAAACCAATCTTCATTATTGAACTCTCCATACAACTATATCAACGAGATAAATCGAAATTACTTGGAATTCTAGTGCACTATTCCTTTAACTTGTTTTCCTTTAATTCCTTTTCCGTCAATTTCTTTCCTACACTTGTTTTCCTTCAGCTTCCTTTCCTCAACTTCTTTCTTATACTTATTCTCCTTATATTTTCTCAATTTGCAGCCGTCTAACTAGTCAACAGATATTACACTAGATATTCCAATCACAGACATGCCTACCAAGCACCACACCATTATCAAGTGCAGTGAGCCACCGCTGAAGGCAACGGCTGACCCATACATGGAAAGTCCAATTACAGTGAGAAATCCACTGGTCACAGCCAAAGTCAATCCTAGTATATGATTAAGTTTGTCCACGTCCAAGTTGCCATCCCCAGGAGTGATATTGTTGAGGCGCAAGAAGAGAATTGCTCCAAGAGCACCAAGTGGTTGGGAAATACCACCTAGAAATGCACTGATGGTAACAGCCTTCAACTTGGCAAGCCGCATCTTCAGAGATGATGCAAACAGGTAGTATAAGGGCAAGCACATCAGAAACCCCTCGGTAAAGTTGTGGAAAAGAAGACTTATAAAGATCAGGACCCCTAATCGCGGATCGGTTGCGGATGTGATATAAGTGATAAACCCTTCGGGGAACTTGTGGAGAGTAATGGCCAAGATAGTCTGGATACCAATGAGAAAAAGCTTGGAAAATGCAGAATTGACATGGTGATGGTGATCGTGGTGATGACTATGGTCGTTGTGGACGCTGTGGCTATGGTCGTTGCCGTGATCGTGGCCATGATTGTGGTCGTGGTGTTGATCGGCGGAAGCCTCGATATCGCCATGACCATGGGTATGCTTTGAGTTTGCTTTTATGGGAAGCGTTTCTGTCAAGTCAATGTGGATAGCACCGTTTTCGTCTTGTGGAAGTAACTTGGGAGAGATGGCAGGAATATCGCAATGGTGTAGACTAGCATTCTTATCGCCGTGAAACAAGCAAAGCTCGGCCGAAGAGTAGCCCTTGCATTCGCCCTCAATGCACTCGTCGTTACGCTGTGCTGACAAAAGGTGGAAAAGCGATTTCTTTCTCAGAAGTGTTGGTAGTAAAGGACTGTCTTCATTGATTTCTGTTGTTTGTGGGGGTAATGATTCACGATCTTGGTGAGTCGCATTGTTTGCGCCTGCTGGGTCGTGATCGTGTTCACTACAATGGAACACTGACTCGCTGGTGGCAATATGAAGTACGGCATTGAATGTAAGACTCAAAATAATGCCACCGATATATGCCATGAACATTTTGATATGAAGCTGTCTTGTTGAGCTCAAGATCATCTTGGTGCTTGCATCAGCGTCCGTGTCCTTCAAGTACGCCAAAGCTTCAGGCAACAACCGATATAAAGCGGTAAAAAGCAAGCAACCTGAGGAAAATGCTAACGATGCGTTCATAAACTTGTAATTCTCCTTAAGACGAAAAGGAAACCTCTTGGTGATGAATTTCGGGAACAAGAGGTAGTACAAATCATCCAAAAATACCACTAAACATCCCGATATGCATAATGCCGAAGATAGAAGGGTCAAATACCAACCTTGCGACATGGTTAGGTAGTAAATATTCCCCTAGTAGACAACGATTTTTAGTGCTTTCAATCTATAAAGGTTCCACCAAAGTTTATAAAGCAACGAAGCCGTGTATCTTTTTTCCTAACCAAAGAATTTAAACAATGTATGATTTAACAATGTGTGATTAGAGCTCACACCGCAGTGGTTACAATAAGACCCAAACATCAGATCTTGGGGACTACAGAATGGGGCTGCATACAGTCCGCGGCTAGTAGAACCGAGTATAAGCGAGAGAACATGTGCCGACAAAACCAATTGGCGGTTGAAATGAGTGTTATGCTATTAATCTAATTTGTTCATGTCCAGAAGTGGAAGCTCGGTTTCCTGTTTCTTCTTCTTAGCGAACGGAATTCTCCGGTGGTTGGTGAGTCTTCCCAACGCACGTTTTGGCCGCAAATGGCTTAGATCGGTGTTCTTTTTGTTCACCATGACAAAGAAGTACATCAATAACCCAGCGATCGCGACACACGTAGGCATTGTCATCATTATGAGGTATTTCTCCATGTTGGGTCCTTCGTCATAAACCCCATCGATGTCTGCCTTGTCCCATTTTTCTTCGAGTTTCTTCAAATCAAGCAAATGTTCTTTTCCAACCTTGGCACCCTTGGCTATCTCTATGACAATAAAATTGGCCTGTGGGTCGAAATCCTCGTCCGAAACGTTATCTGGTTGGAGAGAAAGCATCACTTTACGGAAAGGCTCTTTCATCGTGAGCCATTCGGGATCAATGGTCAATGGGTAAAAGCCCTTATCATTTTCGATCCAGTCCGAGGTGAAAAATGAATTTGCATGTGCCTGTCCTCCTTTATCCATCACCTCGGATCTCTTGGTTCCCTTGTACATGTGATGTTCTTTGACATAGGTCAAATGGAGCTTGACATTCTTGACTTCTGGAGCGAAAAACCGGGAAAACCAGGTCACAAAGTAGGTTTTCTCCTGCTTAAGTTGTGCACTATCTTGAGGAAAACAGAATGGTTCCGGTGACTGGTCCTTAGCCACACCCTTCAACTTGTAGTAATCCGGGGTACATCTGATCAACGGGTTGAGCGAGTGGTACGTCTGGTCTTCTTCTTGGTACACAACTTCTTCGTGAACCTCATCTTCATTGCCCAAGTGCTCCAACCCCATTTCTTCAGGGGTATAAACGATGGTGGAGGCAGTCTGGAACCATGTGCCATACGTGGGCGAGGGCTTTCTGATACGACCATTTTTGATGTCTGGTTTGATAGTCTTGGGCGAACCATCCTTGTTCAACGATATCCATGGTTCCAATCCGTCTGTAGTTGCCGGTGGTTTGGCGCTGAAAGTGACACCAGCAATGACGGTTGGTATCACTCTCTCGGTCTTTGTAGAATACACAACACGCATCCATGCTTTGGGCTTCAGCAGCGTGCTCTCTGCTGCCTTTTTCTTGGCTTCCATTTTCTCCCTATACTCTTTGTTGATGATGGCATTTTTGTATCTCTTTTCATGGTGAATGGTAGCAGCTCCCAGATCTGATGTGACAGGCGCTGATGTAATGTGGGGCTCTGGAACGTGTTGCACTGCTGCAGCACTGATCACTGACACAAAAAGTGAAATAGCGAGTGACAATTTCATCTCGTTTAGCTAGGATTAAGTCACAGCAGTTTTAGTTTCGGTCGCGAATATATATGTATTTTCGCGATCTGCCCGGATAACCCGAAAAAAAATCTACGAAGAATGGTGGGTTAGAGAAGGAAAGTGCAACGTTTGGGAAGAAGAAAACACCAAAAGTCAGCATAGTTCCACAAACTTCTTTCATAAACTCTAAAATCTACTTTCTACAGCTTAATCTCTGTCTACTCCATGTATGCCTCTTCCAGAATAATAAACTTGTCTCCGACTTCGAAGCGCAATATCCTAGATGATGCAGTTGCTCTTTGGCAAGGTAAATTCCATCATTAAATACATGATCTAGGTATAGAGTGAAACTATGCTAATTTGCCATGAAGTTTTTCATCGCTTCGCGGACGTTTTATATAAGTTAGGCTTAAGTAATCAGAACCGCTGATTCAGTAGCCCAATCTATACCTGACTTCGTTGATTAGATTAGGAACCTGACTGGAATTTGGCGGTTGAATTGCTGAGTCATCGAGCAATTGGTTGAGCTCGTTGATTTTTGTTTGGGAAAAGTCTGCAAATGACAGATATTTAAGGCGGATGTAATCGTGAATAGCATGGTCTGGTAAACCATCGTATGTGAGCGAATGGATGTATGCAAAGAGAAGCAATTCTGCCACAGATATCTTGCTTTCGTTGAATATTAATGCAAATGTGTCGTCGGGGCGATGTGGATTGAGCTGGTGGTTGAGCTTGACGATATCGTCCAATATTTCTCCCAAATAATTCAAACATTTTAAACTGTTTTTGGATTGTCTGAGAAGTTCTCGCTTATTTGATTTGGCTGTCATTTGTCTCTCGTGTAATGCACTCAATGCCACTTCTGACGTCTCCTCGTCGACTTCGTCATGGGGACCAGAAGAGCCGGAAAACACCCCAAAAAGGCCTGGGGGGGAGGGTAATAAGCCTGCCATACGTACTTGGTCCTGTGCGACGTTGTATAGTTTCAAAGGTTGGTTGTACATCATTGGAAATGGAAGATACTTCTTAAACTGTTTCCTGGTATATCCTTCGTAATTCTTGAGATTCGAATAAAGATTGAACTGGTGGACACGGACTAGCTTGTTTTCTATCAACAGAATCACAGCAGACTGTGCCAAGTCTTTGGTTTCAATGACGTTTTTGCCAGAAAACTCTGAAAGAATAAACGATGAAATCGGCCCAAAACCCTCGTATGAGACATCTTTAGTGAGCAACACTGGAAGTACACCGGTTTTCGAAAGATTGGTATTGGACAGAGTCACTATATTTATCTTTTCGTGCGGTATACATGTGGTTACCAACCAGGCGGCTGCGAGACATTCTGGAAAAACCACTGATATGGATTTATCGCATCCCCAAACATGTAGTTCATAATCCACCATAGTAGATATATCTGGTATAGACACAAGAAAGAAAGACTTGAAGTTATTTAATGTCTAACCTTTAATTCTCGTGGTGACTTCTCGCAGTGTTCTCGCAGTGTTCGCGCTGCTCTCGCTTGATGTTGGGGTGTGCGAAAGGGTGTATACCGGATTTCTCACTGGTGGTTTCGTTTTTCCTTCATCCCCATCCATCATCTCCATCATGTCTGACGTGCCCAAACGGAAAGTCAATCTCGACGTCATCGGCCAGCTCGAAGAAGACCTCGAGGAGTCTCCTTTGGACTATGCTAGGTGGACCAAATTGATCAAACAGGTGGTGAACAAAGACAAAGAAGAGCAGGTCCGGCGAGTGTTTGAAAAGTATTTGCTGATATTCAAGCATGATGGGGCCCAGTGGTGTGGCTACATCAGCTATGAGATGAACCGTGGAGAATTCCAAAAGGTGGAGACCCTCTTTGGCCAGTGTATCAACTTGGTGGATGATGTCGAATTATATAGACTTTATGTTTCTTATGTTAGGCGAACAAATGATGTTATCACTGGCGGAGAGAAGGCCCGGGGAGTAGTCATCAAGGCTTTTGAGTTTGCTGTCAATAAAGTAGGCATTGATATCGCCAGCGGACCATTGTGGAACGACTATCTAGATTTCTTGAAGTCATGGACTCCAACAGCTTCGTGGGAACAACAGCAAAAAGTGGATTTGATTCGGAAAGTATACAAGAGGTTTCTCGTTATACCTACAGAAAAGATAGAGCAAGCATGGTCAGTTTATACCAAATGGGAATCAGACTTGAATGCTTCTGCCGCCAGCAAATTCATCGCTGCAATTTCGGCAGAGTTTATGGAAGCCCGTTCGTGGAACACTGAATGGCAAAACATGACTCAAAAGCTGCTTCGACGTTCTATCATTCCTTTTAGTATCACCGACTCTCAGTACGGCCACTTGGTTCGCAGCCAATTGGACCTTTGGTACAAGTGGATTGAATTAGAGAGGAAAAATAATTTGGCAATTAAGGAAGAATCTTTGCTTCAAGCACGTATTGAATATGTGTTTAAACAGGCTGTCAAGTGCTTGCCATTTGTTCCAGAAATATGGTTCAAACTAGGTAGGTTTTGGTCAGCCTCCAACGAAGATGCCAATGCAAATAAAGTTATGACTCTTTTAAAAGAAGGGTTGGTCTTGAACCCAAGAAGTTTCTTGATAGGCTTCGAACTAGCCGAATTATATGAGAAGGATGGCAACTTTGGAGAAACAAAGTCAGTTTTTGAGGGAATCATTGATCACTTTGTTAAAGACTACAGCTCAGTTACAGAGAAAATCAATTCAATCTTGGATACCATTAACAAGCCGAAAAACCAACCAGAAAACTCCAAAAATAATGAAGATGACGAAAACGAAGATGAAATAGATTACAATCAGGTATTCAACCAGCTCTCGGAACCCCAAGTTCTCGAGCTCCAGAAATTACAGAGACAATTGGAAGAACTAAACAAGTGCATCACTCTTCTTTACTCCAAGCTAATGTTGAGTGCCAAACGTGCCAACGGAATCACAGAAGCACGGTCCATTTTCAAACAAGCTCGCAAAATATCATACATAGGGTATGGGCTTTACGTGGAAAATGCCATGATCGAATACTATTCGGACAACAAATCTACAGCCATAAAAATCTTGAGGCTCGCCATGAAAAAGTTCGGACAGAACGGAGAATTCTTATTGGCGTATTTAGATTATTTAATTACTCTTAACGACTTTGAAAGTATCAAGACTTTCTTCGAGCAGGCACGAACAAACTTGTTGAAAGATTACAACACAGAAAAAGAGGATCTCGATGGTATGGCCAACAATTCAAACTCGGTTGAAAAATTGAAGAGAGAAGCAAAGATAAGAAGTCTCAGAAAGTGCAAATGGTACTTGAGAAAACTCACTGAAAAGTTTGCCCGGTATGCCGCTAACAATGATTTACAGATGGTTATGTCGTTGGAAGCGAGGTATAGTCAATACTTCCCCGAAGACGATCCTATTGAATTTTTCAGTGACAGGTACTCTATAGGTTCGATGAACCTTATCGAAAAATACGATCTTGGGACTGCAAGGAAGAATGAACTTGATTCGCCAGTAGAGATTCAACCGCACTCACCAAAGAGAAGAAAAGTCCAGTTGCCTAATATACCCAAAGACTTTCCAGCCATTGCCAATCCAGAACCACAAATGTCTACCCCGGAACCACAGGCTCAAAAATCTTTTGTTGGTAATAACATTTACAATCTTTTGAGGGTTCTTCCCAGTGCCTCGTACTTCGGACCTCCTTCTGAACATGTGTTTGATGGCAGTAAGATTGTCGAGTTGTTGGCAAATCTTCCAGATAAGCCAAACTAAGCGATGTTGGATAAAACTATATACAAAATCCAAACTACAACTGATGTGCTATGTAGTTCAAAACGTCCGGGTGTCCTCTTGTACAATGTCTATTCTATCCGCGATAGAGGGCTTGAACGCCCAGTTGTCGACAACCTCAAAAATGCTCATGAATTCGTCAGTGGTGAGATCTCTGGGGCACTTCTCCAATAATTCAGGTGATAGTTTAGGAGCCAACTCGACTTCTGCGCCTGGAGCAATTTGAGCAAGCGAATCTATGACCCTGCCAGTAGCTTTATACATGAGAATTTGAAGAACGTACTCTAGCAAATCCACGTCGAACAGACCGAGATCTTTTGGCTCGATCTCTATGACGCTCAAAGTTGTTCCTGGAGGTAATATCGCCTTGGATGAGATACAGTACGGCTGGTCGTTGAAAAGGGTATTAGGGTCATATTTGAAGCCTTCTGGAGAAGAACTTACTTCGAGGATTTGAGTTATGGCAATAAGTTTTGTATCGGTGAACATTTCTCGCTTTATGGCAGATCTATTACGTTTGGGAAACCCTCTTCCGGAAAGAAACTTGTGGGCAGTACCTTCAGGAATTACGCATATCATTCGTACTCTTCCATATTTCTGGAGCCAGTTACGATAAACTGAACACATTATCCATTGTGCTAACAACGACTCTCCAAAGGAAGACGAAGTCAAGTTACCAATGATAAGAAGCTCATCGTGAATTTTGCTTCTATCCACGGTTCGTGGCGTCACAATTTTGTCCTGGTCAATCAAGCGATTGTAGGTGGCCCAATTGAAACCATCATGAGGGTAGAGAATAAAATTCTCTTTGTTGTTGGTTGTTTCTTTCAAATGATTGATTCTCTTAGTCCATTCTTCGATGTTAGCCTTTCCCGCTTCAATAACTACATGTTTGCGTGGTTTAAGTTCGTAGTTAATCATTGAGGAAAGTAATCCATAACCAGTAAAGACATCGATTATATCCAAATTCTGTGAATCTGGATACTTCTTGCGTAGATCTAGCCTATCTATCACCTCCTGGCATTCTCGAGAACGTACTATGAGCTTACTTCCATACAGAAATCTGGGTAGTTGCTTCATAAACGGAGCCAATGAGGGGTTAAAGGAACGAATGACATTCATGTTGCAGCCATCGAGAATTGTGAGAAAATCTATAAAGTACTGCGCGCAGCACCTGACTACAATTACCTCACACATAATCTTTATCTTTTCTTTTGTAATGTCCTTGAACGTGCTACAGCTCAAGGAAAACTACGGTCGTGAGCTACAGAAGAATAAAGGATTTATTCCCTTTGATCTAGAGCCTGGAGAACACATCAAATTTGCAACGAAAACCGCAAGACAAACCTTAGTTTTGACCCTGAAGTCAGGTCAAAAATCTCCCGGTATCAATATCAGTGCCAAAGATGGATATTTGTACCTTACAAACCAACGACTTGTTTATGTGACTTCATCTCAAGGAGATATTAATGACTTTTCAATCACCATCAAATCACTACCAAACTTACAATTCTCTCACTCGATAAAATCTCCCTGGTTTGGTGCCAATTATTGGCTGTTTTTGTACCATTCAGCTGGCTTGAATGGTGCAATTGCAGGAGCCGAATGGGTTGAAGGTTCTGTCAAATTTTTGGATGGTGGCCTCTTCGAGTTTGTTAATTTGTTCGATACTGTGGTGAATAACGAGGTTATCAACCACGATATCGACGAGGAGTTACCTCGCTATAGTGAAGTGTAAATTATTATACAATATTTAAATAGTGCCCAATCTATAATAATGGGTCTCGCGTGTCGTCGTCGTCGAAAGGAAAGAAATCATTCATCAGCCCATGATCTACAGAGTCAGCAAGTTGATCGTCTGCCTGGGGTTCGATATTGTCGTTTGCAGCGGCAGACCTCTTGACCTCTGCGCTTGGAACAAAGGGTTTCAAACCAAGAACTTCGTTTACCTCTTGCATATCAAGATATTTCTCGATATCCTCGTTGCTCATATTAGCCGCTTTGGCGATCTCTGCAAATTTTTGATATCCCAAACTTTCAAGAGTATTAGCATCTTCGTAAACGATTGACCCTTCTTCGTTGTATACTCTGGCATTGCTGAACATGAGGTGAATATCTTCCAACATATCCTTCACCTCCATGTAGGCGTTGGAAGTGATTCGCTTCTTGATGGTATCCAATGCCATAGGATGTTTGATGAGCACAAAGTAGTCGGGATAGAGTTTCTTTGAAGGCCTCACCATGAACAAATCGCTCAATCTACGACCATTTTCATCTGTGTAATTCAAGATGGTCTCGTAGATTTCTTCGAGTTGCTGTTGCAAGTTATCTCGAGCATCGTCCAGTAATGGATCATTCGCTAATGGAGTTCTTGACAAGAAGGAGGCTTTACTACGTTTCCCTCTCTTCGCCATGGCCCTTCGCTTGATTATTGACAGCGGTGTGGAAGACCGTCCTTGACGGGACGAGCTCTCGAAATCACTCATATCGTCGTTGGAAAGTCTTCTCTTGCGACCAAATCCGTTTTCACTGCCACTTTCTTCTTCATTTTTCTTGATTTTAGACCTTCCTCTTGACCTTTTACCCTTTAGTTGACATTTCATCGTCACTTGAAAGTACCCCATCAAATTTGCTTGAGCCACTGTTCTTCAGTGAGATTGTCATCATAAAGCGCGGTCTTTCTTTCACGAGCTCCCCGTCCATAATCATCAGCGTTCACAATGTCCTTGTCGAAGTATATATCGAAGTTGGTCTTGTAAAAGTCTGGAAGCTCCTGCTCTGAAAAAAGTCTTGTGGGATACGAAGCCTGCTTTGTTTCCAAATTTCTAGCTTCATCCAATTGTCTGAATACAACTAATTCAGTATCATCACGCGACAATATTTGATTGAGCTCATCGTCGTCCAACTCGTCGTCGCCATCCATTGCAGAGGTTTTGGCTTTACGCTCTTCTTCCTTCACAAATAATGCACGCAAGAGCGCTTCCTGCTCTTCGGTGGTGGATTTATTATCAAATTTTCCTGCTTGAATGACTTTGCCATCAATCTCCAACTTGGCATGAGCTCTTTCTAAAATCATTTCTTCGACAGAGTCTTCCGTGATCAATCGGATGATACGTACCTCGTTCTTTTGGCCAATACGATGTGCACGATCTTGCGCCTGAAGATCTTGATGAGGATTCCAGTCAGAATCAAAAATAATAACCGTGTCAGCAGTTTGCAAATTCAATCCTAGACCACCAGCTCTTGTAGACAAAAGGAAGCAGAAATAATCGGAATTCTCTTCATTAAAAAGCTTCAACAATCCCGTTCTATCATCTGCCTTAGTTGCACCGTCCAATCTCATATACTTGAGATCACGAAGACGCAAAAAATCCTCCATAATATTCATGATCAGGGTCATTTGAAAGAAAATCAATACTCTATGACCGGTGGCTTTCAATTTGGGCAAGATACGGTCAAGCAACTCAAACTTTCCAGCAACTCTCCAAATTTCATCATTGGTATCAGCAGTGGGATTGATCATATTTTCAACTTCTTCATACACAAAAGGATGATTGCAAATCTTTCTCAATTGCATAATCTGATTATTCGTGTTTTTAATGGCAATCGGCTTACCATCTCCATCGGGATTGCTGGAGAATAGCAAATTGTACTTCAACATTTGTTGATACAATTTGGATTGCAAAGATGACATGCGACACTTTACAACTTTTTCAACCTTGTTTGGCAAGTCCTTCTCGACATCCTTTTTCAATCTTCTCAATAAGAAAGGACGTAAAACTTTATGAAGACGCCTAATGACTAAAAGAGTCTCTTCTTCACTGAGTTCGATTTTGTCTTGCCCACCGGTGTTTGCAAAAGGTGTGTTAAACCACTCGTCGAAAGACTTCACAGAGTTGAAGATTTTTGGAAGCACAAAGTTCAAAAGTGCCCATAATTCGGGTAAATTGTTTTGCAATGGTGTACCAGTCAAAATCAATCTGTAGTCACTGTGGTAGTGATGGGTTAAAGTTTCGGATAACTTCGAGTTGGCATTCTTCATTCTGTGACCTTCATCAATAATCATGTGAATCCATTTCACCTTTGCCAACACACTCTTGTCCTTGATGATGTATTCAAAAGTGGTCAACAAAATTTGGAAATCCCCTTTCCTCACTTCAAACTGGAGGCTCTTTCTTTGGTTAGGAGTTCCCTTGTAGGTGATCTTCTTTACCGATGGAGCCCATTTCTCGAATTCTAAATTCCAATTAGTTAACGTTGACAATGGAACAATCACCAAGAATGGGCCATTGATCTTCTTCACTTCCACAATGTAAGTAATGAGAGATATAGTTTGAATGGTCTTACCCAAACCCATCTCATCGGCCAATATACCATTTAGCCTGTTATTATAAAGAGAAACCATCCACTGTAAACCCTTCAATTGATATTCTTTCAATGTACCTCCTACAGAATGGATGGCTGTTTTGTGACATCTTCCTTAATTCTGTGAGCAACGTTGTAGTAATCAATCTTTTCTCTCTTTTCGTCGTTTATAGGTTCATCAACCTTACCAGAGTCGCGCTGCTGCGCTTGAACGGCTTGGGCCAACGTATCCAAAAATTGATTTGTCTGTTTCAACAAATGCGTAATTCTGGTATCTTTAGTATGGTCGAGCAATTTCAAGTATGCTTCCTCATCGTTCAGTTTCAAGGCTTGTAAACGTTGCTTGGCCATACGTTCGAGCTTCTTCTGCTCTTCTCTCGCGATCTGACTGTGGAAACTATCAATCTTGCTGCAAATCTTCGCTCTTTTGTCTCTCTTGGCAAACAACCTATCACGCTTCTTTGATTGATGTGCAATAATTTCATTCAATGTGACACGAAGCTTGCGGTTCTGGGCTTGGGCAAGCGAGTAAAGCTGCCTCTTGTACATGTTTTGAGTCATTTGAGCATTTTCGGAATTAAGGTGCGAGCACTTTGCAAGCACATTGGGGTGTGAATTGGGAAGAAGAGACTTACTGAACCAAACGTGAGATAATATCTTTCCACGCAATTCTTTCTGGAACGGTAAAAGTTCAAGTTTGTAAATCTCAGCTTCGATCGCAGCCTTCTGGTCTTCATCGGCAGACTCTAATTTCATATTCAAACGAGTTAACTCAGCGTCTATCAATAGGAGAATCAGCGCCTCTCTATTCGCGGCAATCGAATCGGGGTCGAAGCTGGTTGGCATGAGTGCTGGGAACAGCACTTTACTCTGCAGCGAATATAATGATTTGAACGGTATATCTTTCGTGTCGATTAATTGAGGTACTTCAAACGCATCGACCTGAATTTCCGGCTTCAGGATAGGTACAACAACATTATCCTTGTCTTTCTTTGGCACATCAAGGTCATCAATGTACACTGGTGGTTTTGGTGAGAGGGTAACAAATGCTGACTGTTGCACATTTTTAAGCTGACTTTCTTGCTGTTGTAAACTTGTCGTAGGTGCAATTGCTGGTGTGCTGGCATTAGATTTCTGGTCGTAAGGTTCGAAACTAGTAAGGGGAGAAGCAGTTGTGTGCACGGATTGACGCTGAAGTTGGCTGGCTTGCAAATGTGGGGCGGCGCCAACAACTGGATTAGAGTCAGCAAGACCTGCGCTTGTTGGTGCTGCTGCTTGTGCAGCCGCCTGTGACAAAAGCAGTTCTTGTGGAGCCGCCTGGCGGAGGTTAGCCTGTACTTGAGCCTGCTGTTGCAATTGGGCAGCTTGTGGGTTCATTAAGTGAGGACTCATCTGGTTGGCCGTTGGTGCGTTTCCTAGCATTGCTGAGTGGTTTGTTGGTGGCATTCCTGAAAGCTGATGTTCCTGTTGCGGTATGGAAGGGTTTCTCACGTTAGCAGCCATGCCCAGGTTTCTTGCTAGTCTAACATCATTTTCCGCACCAGCTACCGGGCTATCAGAAGGCACGTTAGCCGCTGGAAGGTAAGAGTTTTGGGCGAATGCAAGTCTGTCGGAGCACACGATTTCCACGAGGTTTTGGGGAATTGGCGGGCTGCCTGGAGCAGGTGCTTTGAGCAAGTACTTCAAAGCCTGATACTGCGACTTGAGCAACTGGAATTGCTGAGCCGAAAAGGCAGATTGTGCAGCAGTTGCGCCTGGCACTGGGAAAGGTTGTTGTCCCGCGGAAGCTTGTTGGTTCTGGTTTGTAGTTTTGTTTAGCTGCATTCCTCCCTGCTGCATGTGGTTTCTATTGCCCATGACAGGATTCTGTTGCATTTGAGGAGTTGAGTGTTGTGAGGTAGACATGGGAGTGCCTACGTTAGTACCTGGTGGAGCTGCTGCAAACCGTTGTCTTTGTTGTTGTTGTTGAAGCTGCTGCTGTGTCTGTGGAGGCATGTTATTCATTACTGGAGACTGTTGTTGCGAAGACTGGGAAACCGGTGAGGCCATGTTCATCATATTGTTTCCCATATATCGGGCATTCGCACCGTTCATGGTCTGCGCCGACCCATTTCCTTGCTGAGGACGAGGAGCCATATTTGCTGAATTCATAGGCACATTTGTGTTTCCCATAGGGGTACCGGTCTGCTGAGCCTGCTGCATATATTGATTGGCCCCGGAATTGGGTTTATTTTGCTGCTGCTGTTGCTGCTGTTGTTGTTGTATGGCTTTGAGAACCTTGCTCAAATGGGCAAATTCCGGCACGTTGACGGCACGATCACCAAACTGCTGGCGTAGCTGCTGCCAACGCTGGAGCATGCGCTGAATTTCTTCGCGTTGGTACTGTCGATTCATGGTGAAATACAGCCACCAGTGTGAATATGATTGTAGAAAAATCCGCACCGCTACGGCTACGGCTGGTATGCAGGAGATTGACCGCTAGAGTGTGTTATAAGCTGGGGTGTGTTAAACTATTGATTACAATGGCTCTATCTACTTCCCGGGGTCCATAGTGTTCCGGAGCCACGAGGAGCATGGTTGATTTTGTCAAATTGCTCTTTTTGAATTCCTCGTTCATTTCTCACGACTGCGTTAACTTTAGAGTTCCCACGGTGAGGTTTGTGCTTGTTGGCTTTTGCTGCTTTTTTGGGCATACTGGTCTCTGTAGGCTGGTAGGGATAGGAAGAGGTATCGACTGTTTCTTGGAGAATGCTGTTGGGACCATTTTGATCGAAAATTGTGCGATTAGGATCGTACTGTCTGAGGTTGTTCACGTCATATGCTTTGAAAAGAAGGAGTTCGGCCTCGGTGATGTTCATACAGTTGATACCAAAGCTACTGGCCCATATTTTCGTGATGGCATCCTCCGTTACTAGTGTCCATTTGCTCTTTTGTTGGGGACTTTGGAACATCATCTTGATACATGGTCTGATGATGTAACGAAGTCGAGGTGGCATCTGAGCTGGCTCATTGGCATGTGCAGCTGCGCTCTGGTACGACTCTGAGTTCTCGTACGAAATGCTCTCGTGGTCGGGTCGAGACCTTCCATATTTCGAGGACCGAAATTGCGTTTGGTAATTGGGAAACTCTCCAATAACCGGGTGGTGAGCCTGGTATTTTTGACAAGCTTCCCACGAAATTGAGGAGTGAGCTTCATCTTCCAACTGAATGTCGTATTCCAATGGTGGATTTTCAACTCCTTCAGATAATTTGTCGATAAAATCAATCGCTTCTCGAGCATTACTCGCTGTCATTGTCAACCCACGCTTCACGTAGTCAAATTCGTGCAAAGTGTACGTAGGAATGAACAAATTGAGACGTGGTTTCTGCTGTGAACACTCGGTTTTGACGTATTCCGGATTAAACCACCGTTTGATGTTTCCTATTCCTTTTGTGAACGCAGTGTGGTCAAGAATAAAATTCACTTGGGGGTGTACTTCATGGTTGACTTCTGGACCTGGAGACTCAACTGTGTCAAAGAGCTCATCTACAAGTGGCACTTCTGATGCTTTTAGTGGACTGCCATCGTGGGACATGCTGGTGAATCGCGGCGCTGAGATGATGTATATGGTTGGTGTGCGGATGGAAGAAGACAAAAGTTAGAGGAGAAAACCCAGGTCAAGGAACAAGCAGGACCAAGGAACCAATGGGCAACAAATCAATGTAGAACCAGTGACAAGGCCAACGATGGTGTTGAGAGATCGGAAATGGTTTCTGAGCAATTGGTTAATTGCTAGAATTGGAAGAAGTTCAGGTCAATCTGACTGAACCACCATTCTACATTCTACACATCTGTTTCATATTTTGTTAACAATCCTTCAGTTAGTACATGGTCACTTAAAGAAACAACCCGCATTGCGGTATCAGATAATTGTCATAGGTTGTATTCATCGACACAGCAGAGCTGGTCTAACATTAGAGATGCCAGAAAAAACATATGTGAAATAAAAATTCATCCTGTTATTGTTTCGCAAGCAAGAGTACATACCGTTGTGCAAAACTTCATAGAAGCTCGATACACTTTCTTTAAATAATGAATTCGCCTGCAAACTTAAAGAATAGAATCTCACTTGCAAATTTTTCCTTTTATACCCCGGTCGTGTGCATCTCACTTTTCGGCTGCAAATTACATTTATTCAATAGAAGCTAACGACATATCTTCGGGAGTAGTAAGTGTGTCGTCCAATACATTCGACTCGCTTGACTCGTACATGGCAATTTCCCGTTTCAACTGAAGACACTTTTCTTGCATTTGGTCGATATCTTTGTTGAGGAAGTCTTGGGTTGCAACTAGCTCTCTTTTCCACTCTTTGAACTTGTTTTCCTGAACCTGTACATCTCTGGTGATTTTGTTTTTCATTTCTGCTTCTTTGCCTCGTAAAGAAACATCCTCGAAAATTAGGTTGTTTGAAGTCAATTCCATCGACACCCGATGGTAAGCAGCATAAACACTTAACGAGCTAGACTTGTCCACAGGACCACCATAGGTTCTTTCGAAATATTCTAATCGTTTTGTGAGACAAAATTCTCGAAACTTCTCGTAGTGGACCTCAGTTGACTGGATAAAGTCCAACATGTGGTTTGTCATTAGCAAGGTTCGAAGAGTGACGAAATCACAGTGGTCTACATTTTCAACCTCGGCAAGTCCCCATGCATATTTGCGCCCTCTGACCATCTTTCCTTCGAAATTAGGATGGACTTGATTGGAACCAATTACCGCATATGGCATTTGTGCCCTGATCTGTTCAGTCATATCTTGATACGAACCATCAGACGATAAGTCACACACTATTGAATTTTGTTGAAGGGTTTCACGTACTCTCATCTTGATGGTTTCCAATTCTGCCGGAGAGAATGTATCACACTTTCCCAAAATAGGAACCAAATTAACCCTCGTGCTCAAGTCTCTCATGGCATTCAATTCTTGGGTAGTTATTTCACGGTTCTTTGGTGAAATAAAGTAAAGACAACAATGGATCCTATCATCTCTCAAGTTTTTTCTTGCTGGTTGTTCTTCTTGAAAAATGTGTTGGAAATGTTGGGCATCAATATACCGAGCAACGCTAGAATAGGAATAGTCAGATGGGTGCAATCCACCAGTATCAATCAAAGTAACTTGTAAATTGACACCGTTTTCACACAATTGGTACTCATACCTATGAAAAGTGTCGTGCTCCAAAGTATCGTAAGGAAATATTTCTGCGCCAAACAAGGTATTCATTAGTGTTGTTCGACCACTTCCAGAAGCACCTACAATTATAAGCGTGAACCGACATCCATCACGAGCACACTTCTTGACCTGCTGGCTGGCAACAAAATGAAGTCCTACTTTTGCAGGGTCGTCGTCACTCATTTAACTAGTGGCACAAATAGATGCAACCGTTTTTGCACCCAATACTGGATCCTGTATATGGTTTCCATCACGTGATCGGTAAGTCTAAGTCTGCAACAGATTAAAGGGTACCAGTTCTCATTAATGACAGTAAAGTGTCACTTTGAATTAAGCCTACATTTTAGCTATTACAATGCCTCTGTCATAATTGGCCCCCTCGCCGTCCACTTCCATTAATAGATACGAAGGTTGTGAGAAGAAAATAAAAACCCGCCCGCATCATGTCGCCAATTAAAATTCCCGATGTGGAAAGATGTAAACACCTGGTTTTCCCATTTAACCCGACATGAGTTTCAAACAAAGACTTCCATTGTCCACACGCCCCAAGTGCTTGCAGGTAGTAAAGCCACCTGTTATTATTCTTATACGGACTGCCTCTTTGTTCTTTTCTCCGTACGTGAGCCAGCAGAAGACTGAAAGATCCCGTCAAAGTTCAGCATTGAAAAACTACAAAATCAATTCAGGGACTTCTTCAACACGGTTCAATGCCAACCCTTGACGATCAAGTATTGAACAGGAGTGGTCGGCACCTTGATGGAGCTTATGATCAAAGAAGAGCACGATCCAGCTCTCCCATCAAAAAGAGAATCACTCGTGTGGATCTTCCTCCCATACCTTATGCCACCGAAGAAGACATCAAATCGGTCTCTTCTGGAGGTTCAAGAGTCAGCGATGAGCTCAAACTCCTTTCAAAGTCTCCGCTATCAAAACGCTTGCATATCAATGCTGCTGGCTCTGGCAGCAAGTATGTGATTCCCATTCCATTTACTCTTCAGTTGCCCCCAAAATTGAGTCCGAGGAACAGAACCCCGGCATCTTCTTGTGCTCTGTCTCCTGAACGCCAAAAGTCCCCCAGTCGTCTCATGTACACTGGGAGTGGATACGAAATGGTTGACTCTGATGACGGTAATAGTTTCCTGGAAGCTCAACTCAACAAGGCTATTGCCATGTCTCCAAAGACACCCACCAAATCTCCAAGTGGTCCCAAGGGAATTTATACCAAACCCAAAAAAGATCTTGACGAAATGAGTGTGATCAATGAGGTTCCCAGCGCTGGAAATTCTCGTGCATCAAGTTTGCATTCAAGGCTTCGTGAGCTTGCTCAGGAAACTCCACCTGCTGTTCCTGCAAAGCCTGTAAAATCCATGAAAACTTCCAAGTCTGGACCAATACATCCGGTTCCTTATCCAATGGACTTGGAAGCAGAGAAGCTTCGCTTCGGTTCAGTAAACCTTCAAAGAAAACCTCCTCCGGCTGCCCAAAATGACCATCAATTGCAAAAGACCACTACAATTGCAAACTTCTCCCAGGTAAGAGACTCTGACAATTCCCCATATAGAGAGCAAATTCGACTTTTCAGCGAAGGGTCGGCTGTCTCTTCCTCAAGGTCCTTCAGCTCCGTTGAAGAGGCTGTTCGTGGTCGACTGGTGTCCGATTTCAGACGAGGGTTTGGCAATTTTCCTAACAAGGACGAAAGTGTGGTGGCAGAATCTGATTCTGAGTCCACTTCTGCATCGTACTCCGAGTCAGAAAATAGCTCCATTACAGCGAGCTCAGCATCTTGGGACTCGCTCCAGAACAGTGTCGATATTACTATTGGTGATGGTAAGTCCATGGTAGCAGAAGAGTCAGCTGAAGATTCTCAAATAGAATCTGAAGGCGAAGATTCATGGACAGACTCCAGTGTGGAAAATGCGTCCGAAACAAATAAGAATACCGTCGTCAATAGCCTTTACTTGTCCAATGTCGACCTTCCAATATCTGTTGAGCGGAAAGCGACACTGGAAAGTGAAAAGCTGAAGAAACCAGACGACGACGTCACCTCACAACCAATCTTGAGCCACGGAAATAATGGCGCAGGAAGAGAGTTCAGCTTTCCGAATAATACCACTAATATCACCAACAGCCCTTCTATAAAGTCCCGCAAGGACCCATATGAGAACAAGTCCACAAAATTCAATTTCTCCACCTCTGCTGGACAGATTGAAATTCCTGATATTGATAACCTTAGTTCCAACTACAATTGGAGTGAGAGTTCTCAATACTTAGCTGTATATCAAGGCACTAAAGAGGACGCTCGAGAAACTAAAGATGAATCAAGTTCCAAGTCAGAGGCTGGACTGCTGGTATTGGAGCCCATAGGATTTCCTAGTCAAGCTGCCAAACAGGTGGTTCAACTTCAATTTCAAAACATGTACCATGGCTCCGATGCTGATTCGGACAGTGGTATGGAATCAATTACCTATTCCGCATACTCAACTACTCCAAAATCTAAATCAACTCCATGTCTTTCGTCAGGAACCCAGAAGTCTCTTCCTCCATTACCTCAAGAAGTTACCGAAACTCAACCACAATTGCAGCCTCCTGTCAACATGAGAGCAATGGGCCACAGACGGGGCCATACCAGATCCAAGTCTGTCGACCTAGACAGTTTGTTCTCAATGAATATGAGAGAATCAGTGAGAACGAACGAGCCTTCAAAATTTGAAAGTGTGAAAGATACTGAAGAAACGGAAAACATTATCGTCAACGAGCCTCCGAAAAAGATCTCCTACGAGGTAGACTTTACAGAGGTCGAGAAGGGTGATGACGAAATGCAGACTCCACATGGATTGGACCGCACATTCACTGAACATCTCAGAAAGACGTTAGGAAAAATGGAGAAGCTTGACTTGAAGGGTAAAGCTACCAATGACATCTATATTCCCCCACGACTGTCTGAGAAAACGGTTCCATCTTTCGAGCGTCAAATGTTCAGGCTCCCTCCAAAGCCAAGATTTGACGACAATTCGTCGAATTCTGCTACCAGCTATCAGTCGAGTAGATCAGCTATTAGCAATGACTCTACTGCTGCTTCAGACACAGAAAGTGTGGTAATAGATTTGACAGAAGACAAATTCGACATATGCACTGTGAAGAGAAATAACTCCACCGCATCTTATATGTCAATCACAGAGAAGACAAAGGAAGGTAAGCCAGTTGAAGTTGTCTTGGTCGACGACGACCAAAAGGATGAGTTGGAGAGTATCTACTCCAAATATCGCAACGACAATTGGTTATTCAGAACCAACTCTACAACCTCATCATCAGCTTCTTTCTCCAGCGGTGCTTCTTTCGACTCGAATGCCAGATCTGAAACAGCCTTGAAGCTCAAACCGAGAGACCAATTAGCGGCAATTGGCCGTCCTCTGATATCTCAGAGATACCAGAAGAGTTTGGCTGTTCCTGGAAGGGAACTTTCAAAATCAAGCAGCCGCTATTCCAATCGTCGTTACTCCAAATTGCAGACCATTCGCCAAGCTGAAGGACAGAATCAACTCCCGATTGTTCAAGAGAAATAGATTTAATACATTAATATTAAAATAGTTGTGCTTAAGGCACATATGCAATTTACTCATTCATTCAAATTCAGCTCTCGTTGGAACGCCTGGGACTATCGGACTCACAGATGGTTCCTAGTAACGAAGGAGTTCTCTCAACGTCGAAATTATCGTCCCTACGCACCGTAAGCTTAAAGGTGGGTCGGTTCGCCAGACTAGACTTTTCAGCTCTTGAAAGAATATCGTCCAATTTTTCCTCGTTGTTCGAAGCTTCTTCATTTTCAGGTTCCTCATTCATGGACACGAAAGACCTCATTGAGCGGGTCGATGGTGCACGGCTTACGCTTCTGCTTCTAGATATATCGAGGTTCAACGAGTTGCTTCGGTAAAACGTTACAGTTTTTCTACCGGTTTCGATCTTATTGTTTGCAAACTTGTAGTCCATCATAACCTTTAAAGGCCTCTTTTTGAATGAGTTGGACCTTAAAAATGCTCCTTCGAGATAATTAGCGCTCAAGTGATTGTTACCACCTTTTTGACTTTCAAAATCATAATCCTCTGGTATCTGGTTAACTTCATCTAAAAGTTCCTCGTCACTATTGCGACGTTCCATTGGGGCATTTTCATCGTCTATGTGAATAGATGGCGCTTCATCATCATGGAAACTCTCGCTCTCGCACCATGAATACCTCTTTCCACTTACCGTCCTCTTGGTTTGAAACAGATTTGGTTCTGTAGTATGCTTCATCTGATTGTTCCTGTTTCTTGTATCTTTTTCCTCGCGGTCAGGTTTCTCCGAATGATTAGACTCTAGAATAGCAAGTCGTTTCATCATGTCGTCTACAGACTCACGCTTGTTCTTAGGAGCCACTTCTTGGCCAATTCCGCTCAAAATGTCCATCATCTGAGTGATTGAGCTTCTCACTTGATGATTGGGCTTCGTGACCTCTGAGTCTTTGCCATTACGACTTCCGCTAGCCTCAAAACTCAAAGACAGGTCGTTCGATTCCTGAACCGAACTGGGCAAGATTCCCAAACCCACATGCTCCAGAGGCTCTGGAGTCTCTTCTCTCAGATTATTGACCTTTGATGAAAGCTCTAAGCGTTTCTTCTGAAAGCTTTCAAACTCTTTCACCTTTTCTTCGAGAGCTGAGTTCAAGCCATGATCGACTGATCCGTGAAATGCACGAATCTTTTTGAGGCTATGATCTTTATTCTCATTGGTTGCAATATTTCTTGCTTTGTCGTGTTCGTTCAGACGTTGGGAGTCGTGCCTATGAATGAACATCTTATTAGCACTGCTCTCCAACCTTTTTCCGTCGGTATCGCTTCGGATACTTCCAAAGCGGTGAAACAAGTTGTTTCCAATTGTAACGCCGTTGATTAATGGTGAATTAAGGTCGAATAGCTCAAGGGAAGGAGAACTTGTTGGTTCGGGGGTAGCCTCGTAAATACTGTGTTGTGAATAGGGTTCATAAGGCAGCTCTAGGTAGTTTTCTAGAATATCCTCACCCAAATCCGAAGCAGATTGAATGTCCAGTTCCTCGAACCCATCGATCGATAAATGATAGCTTTTGTTGTATATGCGACGGCTGTCTTGATTTGAAGATAACGATGCCAGCTTGCGTCTCGAAGTGTCTTTAGCTTCATCATCTTTATGTCGCTCTGCTAGCGGACCCCACAATAGTTCTGAACTGCTATGATTTTTGTAATTTGATTGAAAACTGAAGACAGGAACGGCACTAGGTTCAAGTGCATGAGATTCGATAGGATGACTAGCAGGAGCGTCATCGTCATCAAAGAGCTTGTTATAGTTAACTTCTTCTTCTTCTTCACCACCGGAGTCGAACATGTCTTCGTCGTCCATACCATTATTCTCAAAGTCGTAATCAGAGTAAGCATCGTCTTCAAAGCCAAAGTCTCGTGGGTTCAAAGTGTTCAGGGTTTCGAGATTTGTATGAGGAGTCTTGTAATATTTTACCGAAGTATTTCTGCCACCTCGTTTATCTCTGACAAATGAGAATTGCGATGAGTTGTCAGATACATCGTCATCATCGTCTTCTGTTTCTGCTGATTCATTTTCGTGTGCCTCCTCTGAGGTCAAACTCTGCCTCACAAACTTGGGTGTCAGAAACGATACGCCCTCAGTACGAAAGTTTTCCACGCTATCCACGAGCGAGCTGTTTGAGTCATTCGCAGTTTCCTCATTCATTTGAAGTGGTTGTAGTAGCTGGCCATCCACAGCGTAGCGTGAAGAAGGATCGTTTTTTCCAATGCTACTTGTAAATGGGTCTTGTTTCGAGTTGATCGAGCTTTGCTGCTGCGATACTGAAGTCTTTGAAGTCTTATCGTCGAATAATGAGCCAGATGAAGAAGATATTCGATAGCTGGGACGGCTCTTGCTATCTATATGGTTTCTTGGAATGTAGTCTGATAATGCATCTTCATCGTGTTCTTGGGGCTTGTTTGCAAACCTCGACAAATTGGTGAACGAGGAGTGTCCCTGGACATTGAATTGGTCCTTTTCTGACCGATGCTTAGAAGGTAAAGCAGAAGGTGGTCCCGATTGGATCACATCAGTCAATCGATCTGAAGCAGAAGAGATTGAATTTGTCTTACTGTGGTGTCCCAGCGAGGAAAACAAGTTTCTGATGGGAGTCAATAGCTTTTTGGGTGAACTTCGGGAATGGGTACTCGGTTGGAATGGAGGTGTAAATTGCGGATTGTAGGGGAACTGAGATGAAGTTGGAGTTTTTGCTTGGTTCTGGTTGAAATCATCGGAGATTTCCGAGCTAAATGAGTCATTCTTTCGATGTGATTTGATAAAAGATCGCATTTGGGACCCTAAGTCATGCTAGTGGAGTATTGGTATACCTTGGATCGTGGCTGGTATTCTGAGGCTCTGCGCTGTATGCAGGATCTTTGGGTGGTGATAATGTAACTCTGCAGGATCACCGGTATCTGATAGAAACTGGGATCAAAGGTGTAATGAAAATTGAATTAAAAAGGAATGAACAACAGGGTTTTCAAACCAGTAAATAATGACTTTGGTGTCAATGCAATCTTTTATGTTTTTTTTGCTGATTGTTTAACACATTGCCTCACTAGGCTGTGTTTATAAATCTTGTCACCTATGCAACACTTCTGTAACAAGTGACAATGCCCCTAACACTAGCTATTATTAGATGTTGGTGATGGTGGTCTAGGGCACCAGCCCCGTGCATCACGTGCCTGGCATTCGCGGGTTTTCGAGACTGACTAAGCAATTAACAATCATCAAATTTTCGCAGTGAAAAAAATTCGAGATTCAGAACTCTACTTGTCAGTGATTCATCAATATGCTTATTCCAAGGGAAGAAAGAAAGAAGATCCACCAATACCTCTTTCAAGGTATGTAAACACGTGTGGTTACGCCAGTAACCTTTATCAATTTAAATGTAGCCCGTGTCATTCAAATATGGCATATTGAAAATTGGGCCAATTCCAACTTGAATACTAACTTTCAGAGGGTGTTGTCGTCGCCAAGAAGGACTTCGACCAACCAAAGCACGAAGAAATTGACACCAGAAACTTGTACGTCATCAAGGCTTTGCAATCCTTGACCTCCAAGGGTTACGTTCAGACTCAATTCTCCTGGCAATACTACTACTACACCTTGACCGACGAGGGTGTAGAGTTCTTGAGACATGAGTTGAACATTCCAGAGGGAATCTTGCCTTTGACCAGATTGAAGGGTGCTCCAGCTGAGAGAACTTCTCGTTTCCCATCTCGTGGTGGTCCAAGAGGAGGTGCTGACGGCTACAGAAGAAGAGCTCGTGATTAATTGCGATCTGTAAACTACATACGGTGTGGAATACTCGATATACATACACGATCATAATAAAATATCGATAAAACGGTGTAGACTAGGAAGTGAGGAGGAATTGAAGAAGTTGAAAAAATTGTAGAACCGGTGAAAAAAATAGGATGAAATTTCTAAGTTCTCAAGTTGAAAAAATCGAAAAGGAATCATTTACGATATCTATCGTTGCGTTCCATTTCAATCATGTTTTCTCTTCCCTTTCTCCTCCACAATTGCTCCACAATTCGTACCTCTCGAGTTACCCTTTCTTGCTCGTTTCGTCTCTTTTCCTGCACACATCCCGTCACGGTCGCATCGTATTTTTAGCTCATTTAAAAACGGTCCTCACCATCTAGTCAACATGCCGGTTGACGATCTTCCAATGTATCCCACGCCCCAGCAGGCGGCCTACGTTGTCCATGATAGTCCTCCAAGAAGCTCCAGAAAACATCAACCAATCCAGAAACATTCTAACCATGGATACGCTCCACCACAGCAACAGAGCTCCAATCTGTATCATCATTTACAGCCTCATATTACCCAGAGTGGCTACTCCCAGCAACATTCCCTGCATGCCCCTCCTCCTAGTGCTCCACAGCAACATCAACCTAGTCCTTATCAGCAACCTACTCACTATCTGCACCAACTGGGAGTTCAAAACAATCAACCACAACTGTACTATAGCCAACCGCCAGGTGCGTACTCTCAACAGTATAATACTCCCGCGGCTGCCCCGACTCCGCAACAGCAGTATTATCAATCCCAGCAGGCTCCAGTAGCCCCAAAGGTTTCCAATCCTCCACAACAGGTGTACCAATCCCAGCAAAGATATCATTCTCAGGAGCATATTGCTCCACAACACGGAGCGCCCGTGCAACAGGCTCCTTCTCAGCAGCGATACCAGTCTCTGTCGCAAGCCCAACCGCTGCCCTACTCGTCTTCTGCTCCTCTGTCAAATTCGGGCCACTTGCAAAAGAAGCCGCCAGCAATGGTAAACCGCTCCAAGGAGTCGTTGCCTGATAGTAGTTCTGGTGGCAGGCAGGTTTCGTCGTCGAGACAGAAACTCGAAGTGGAATTGCGTTCTGTGTTCGAAAAGGTTGACATCAATCGTTCAGGACGCATATCCGCAAAGGAACTTTCCATGGCTCTCGTCAACTTTGATCACACCAGATTCCAGGACTCAACCATCGGGCTAATGATTAATTTGTTCAGCTCACCCACAGGCAACGCTGGCTCTCCATCAAACTCATTAACGTTCGACCAGTTTGTGTCCTTGTGGAAGTATTTATCCGCTTATAAAAAGCTCTTCCTTGCTGCTGACTCAAACAAATCTGGAGATATCTCATTCGGAGAGCTTCAAAAAATCATCGAACAGATCGGCTATAATCTCAACATCGATTTGGTTTTACATCTTTTCCAAAAGTTTTCGCAAAAGGGCCGCGAAAACAGTACGGTGAACGGAATATCGGTCGGTAAACTCAAGTTCGATGCATTTATCGAACTCTTGGTTTACTTGAGAAAGTTGACCGATGTATTTAAGAAATACGATAAGGACTTGTCAGGAGTGGCCACCATTGGCTTTCTGGACTTTTTGTTCGAGGTAAGTAATCTCACATAAATGTACACTTTGTCCACTACGACAACATCGTATCAATAGGCCCAAGAGCCAAACTCGATTTTAGTATCAGAGCTCTTGCCATGTACGTTGTGTACGTACATACTTCAAGTTTTACTCGTAAAAGTCCGAGATAGTTTAGTGGCTAGAATTACCGCTTGTCGCGTGGTAGACCGGGGTTCAATTCCCCGTCTCGGAGTTCTTTTTTTTTCAATCAGAGTACGCTTTATCAGAGTAACTGCTTGCTAGTAGGTATACCGTCTACTCATTGTCTTTCGTTATAAATTTCGTTATGAATTTCGTTCAGATATAATAACTTCGCCAAAGAACACCTTCAAGATCTTGGATCTGATCCTCGTTGAAAACCTTACTGTCAACATGCCAAGTATCTTGTCTTGTCTTCTTAAATCGTCCCAAGGTGTCTCTGGATGTTTTACCAACAACCCCAGGAATTCCAGAAGCCTTATTAGCAAGAATTGACAAGACCTTTGGCACCCAAGGAGGTGGAGGTGATTGAAACAGGAAAGCGTGAACTAGTGCGCCCAAGCCTAGGCACGCACCATGAATAGCTACCGTCTCTTCTGTTGTCATTTGCTTGTATCCTGACTTTCTATGCTTTTTCCTAACATCATCAAGCTCCTTTTCGTATTTTGCGCATGAGCTCTTAACTATCTCATCAACCTCCTTCGGTGGAGAAAGATGGATAAGTCCAGCAAAAGTTGATGCTTCAGATTCTCGGACCTCGACGTTTTTGTGATAGAGCAATTCACTTGTCACGGCAATGATTCTATATCTCTGCGACGGAGAAAGCTCGAAAAGATTTTTGAAGAAAAATGTCTCTGTGAACTCGCCCATAATAAAGCACTGAACTGCATTCAAATCTTCCTTGGCGTACAACTCAATAGCCTTGACAATCCGTTCAAGCATGTGGGGAAGGTATTGAATCTGGGAAGCGTGTTTGAAGACAGATATTGGATCAATATCGCCCAATTGACACACCTCTTTCATGTTAATCAAATCCAACAAGAAAGGCATGATATAAGTATCGATGAACTCTTGGTAAAGTGCTGCTACGCTGGTGTTCAAGACTTGTCCCAACCAGGTTAACAAAGTAGTAGCAGCGGCAATGTAAGGCGACTTCAAGATGACTTGTGTTCCTTGACCACGTACCTCTTGTTTCATTTCTCCCACTTCTTTGAATAGTTTTGGAATACGCTCAAACATTACATTGTTCTTCAACCGCTCAAGTAAATATTTGGGACCCTCCTTGTTGCAAAGCTCAATGAACTCTGTTGATGATCCGATTGAGTCGGCAAATGAACCAAAGGATAATACTGCTAATATAGAGCCTGTTTGGTCTCTGATTGCCCGGTATTTGTTCGTAAGGTTATCGAGGCTGGCGCTGAATATTTCCTCACTCATACCAAAGCCCCATGTAACAGCTGCTATATGTGACCTGATATAACTGAGTCTAGTTGCTTCCTTCAAAGCAGAGGCGGAGTCTGGTTGAACTTTAAATTTGACAATCACATCATTGATGAGCGGGAATCTTCTGCAATCAATGTGAGCCGGAATCCACCAGGAAAAAATGTTCCATATTCCTCGAGTATCAGGAGACAAATCATTGTCCAATATGTTGGTCAAAAGCTCGGAGATATGCTTGTCACGCTTCTCACATAATGCTGGGTGCAAAGTTTTTGAACACACTAAGATCCCTGCGATTAGTTCACAGGTAACAATGTGTGTGCTCTTTTCATCTCCAACATAAATCTGCTCTACTAGGGACAACAATTCGTCAAAAGTAAAGTTTTTGGTGTAGCCACATGATATAAGATGGGTAATGGTCGTTGTCACAAACACATCGCTGCCCTGAAATGCAAAATTTGCTTCATTATCTGAGATCCATAGGTTTACTATATTCAAGAACCAGTCTCTCGTCATTCGGCTGCCTAGTTCTCGGAGAGCTTCATCTTCCGATTTGGAAAGATTCATGGAGTAGCTTGCTTTATTCGAAACAGCTACCATAGAGTCTCCCCAGAAGAGCCAACCCGTGTTTGCTTTGTGATCAATAAAGTAGGATGGATGTTCACGCTCTTTCATCTCATTATGCCAGGTTGAACTGTAAGATTGCCCCACTGGTGAGGTGGTAGGGATAATTTTGAAATCCGGGGGTAAGTAATCAAAGTCATAACCATTCATAAGCTTGTGATCTAGCAGTGCCATGACATTCAACTTTGTGACAATCTTTGTTATTCCCCGTAGTGATAAGCGCGATGTAATAGGGTGATCACTTGCGCTTCTTTCCCATAAAATTTGGAGCGCATCCTTATTAATTTCCATTTCCAGGTCAGATTGTAAATCCACTAATAAATGCAAATTCAATGATGACACTTTCCAGTGGGTTGTAGTTTTCTCGCTGGCTATCACGAAATTCTCGAGGCTCTTTAAACGTTCAAAATAGGATTTCCGTTTCCGTTCTTTGGCAAGACATACTGCCTTGATTTCCAAGTCAATGAACTGATCTGGTGGTCTAATTGTATCGATTTGCTCCAAGTCAATTAAGCAAACACTGCTCGGGAGAGATATACCCTCGTGAATTCCCTGATATAGCTTTTGGGCAATTGAATTAACCTCTAGATTACCTACCTCCAACAGGGCAAGTAATACGGAAACAAATTTTTGAAGGTTGTAGTAATCGTTTTGAATTCTGGTTTTTATTCTTTTGATGGCAAAGACTCTCAAGGCACTTTCTACTTTCTTGTAGTCCTTTTTGTGGAGAGCATTTTCCAAATGCTTGAAAATTGAGCGAACTAAAACGTTGTAGGAGCCGTTGAGTCTACCCATGGCATCAACGAGCGTGGCTTGTGCTGGCTTTGCAATTGATGAATAAGTGGATACTGCCAATTTGATCACATCTTCCAACAAAACTTTGTCGAGGTCCGTTTGAGTTCTTGAAGTTGCATGTAAGGCGACCCGTAAGTGGTGGTATGACTCGATTCGACTTCCAAACGCCATTCTTGTGAATGGTTTTCTCACTCTATTGACGTTCTGGAGAGTTTTGAAGTAGCCGTAACTCACACATGCCTCACTGCTGTCGAGTTTCCTTTCCCGACCCAAATCCGAGAACCACATATTCACTGCAAATAAGTAGTGCTTGAATAGCTGGGTGTTGTCAGTAAAGTTCAGATTCAAAAACTTTCCTATGACATGCAAGGCCCGTCCAATTAAAATTCTGATTTTATGCAACTTCAAGTATGATGGGTTGGCTCGCCGGGTTTCAATGTCGTCCCCAAAGTAATATTTGGAGGTATACAACTTTCGCTCTCTGAATGTCAAGGAGGGATTCATGCTAGACATATTCATACCCTCAATAGTTGGAGTCGCCCGGGCCGATTCGTCTGGCGGAGCAGGACTTGTTGAGTGTGACTTTACTCCTGACCGCTCGTCAAACGAAAGAATAGCAGTTTTAGATTCTGGTGTGTCTTCCTCTTTTTCCTTGGGTTCTTCGGCATCAATCATTAAAAAGTCACTCATTTTGTCGACGTCCATGAGATAATTGATGCTGTCGTCGCTGTCCAAGTCTTGCACAATTCGCTCTAAATTTTCATGGAGGTTATCAATTCGAAGCTCCCCCTCCTTGTTTTTTCCCAGTCCAACACCTCTGATTTGTTTTAACAAGTATAATCTTTGTTGAACCGATTGATACAGCAGCTGGCCAAGCTGTGGTATATCTTCATCAAACGATGGGTCCAATAAAAACGAGATTCCACTTAAAGAGTAGCTCAAGTATAAGAAGCAAGTGGTCAATTTGTCTGACATTTGCAACAGCAGACTATGAACCTGTGAAGATGTGGTGTTTTCTCTCATTAATTCCAGTACTTTTTCCAAAACGTGGCTCACATGTGAGCTGAAAGTGTCTATTGCAAAAGTTATCTCTTTCTCGCCCGGGATAAACCAGTCAAAGGTCAAGTTTTCCTTCAGGAAGCGGGAGTTTTCCGTCAGAAAGCCACCCCAACAACTCTCTGACATCCCATGTTCCTCCTGGTATTTTGGTGAGATGAGTCGCTGCTCATTCAACCGTATCTTGGTTGTAGCCTGTAAGAGTTGGTTTAAGAGATATGAGCTCGCAAAAACGGTCGGACCTTTGATGCGTTCCATCAAGTAGAAGGAGAGGTCATTGAGCTCAGTCTGACATTTGAGTACTTGACTGCCAGCATTGCCTATGCACTCGTTTAAAATCAACAAATTCCAGAATAAAACCTGGTCTCTTGGTAAAACATCAAACCCAGTCCGCGTAGAGCCTGCACCATTGTCATCCACTTCGTTCCTAATCTTTTCAATCAACTCTATGCAAAAGTGTTCAAATGCAGTGGGATCTCTCTTGATTATTCCTCCGCAGATTTCAGCCACTATATCACCGATACCTTCAATAGTGTTCTCAAGTGCAAACGTAAAAAAGTCATCTCTAAAACTTTTCAAGATATCGTCCGATATGGCCTCCAAGAGAACGTACATAAACTTTGGCAAAGAACTCTCTAGGGCCTGTTCAAGTCCCGTACTCTTCGATGGGTCTGGCACATTCTCAAGAAGAATGAAAACACGTTGATTGAGTGACTTGAGGAGCAGCTTGAAACTAGATGATGAAGACACCAATGCATTGCGCTCTAAATCGTCGTCAACTTGAAAGGTTTCAAATTCTGTTTCTTGGTATATTCTCTGCTGAAGTGTCTCCAAATGCTGCTGGGTGAATTCAAAGGCCATCGTAGGATCGCCCTCTCCATTCGAGAGGTCATAGAAGGGAACATAATTTGCAAAGCTAGCAAACACATTTAATGTGAGCAACGTCTTCTCTAGGTCATTTGAGTCGATTCCGGGAAGTGCAAGCAGTAACAATCTAGCAACGTGAACTCGAAAAATTGGTGTTGAGGCAAAGTATCTTGCAAGCTCTTCCAAACTGCGAAGCGCAACAACTACTCTATGAGTAGATAATGTACCTTCCAACGATTCATAGATGTCTAATAGAACAAACTCCAACACCTTGGGAGGGTTTAGTTGAGCAATAAGGGATAATGCAGCAAGATAGTCATCAGTAACATTAGGTTTTTTGGACTGTAATCCAATTCGAATTTTGGGAAGAAATATATCGATCATCGTGTCTTTCATTTTCTGAGTGAGTTTCATGTGCTGGGGCAAGTTGTAGAGCAAAGCGTCCTTCTCATTTTCTAAATTGACTCGCTTTTGAAATTGGTATACGAGGGCCAAAATAGTCTTAGAAATTGAACGAGACCATTCGCCACTGTTGGAAGGATGGACGTAACTTTCAATTGCATTACCAAGACTTTCAAGCTGTTCAAAGATACCACCTCTCTCTAGAGCTGCGTCGCCGTTGATGCTGAAAATGATTGCCGATGCAAACCCATGAAAAAACTTTGTCTTTGCAGAGGAGTACTTTTCCTTTCTGATGCTGAGACTGTTGAGAAGTATGTTGAAGATAGTTCTAATCTGGTCATCACTGAACACCTTGCCAGGATTGAGTACGCTTTTGCCATTGGTTATGACGATGTAGTGTTCCATGGCTATAGCCCCAAGTCTCGTTGTCATGTGGGCATCCACGCCAGGACTCTTGTTCATCTTGATCCAGATATAAAACAACAGTGATAAGTAATGGCGAATGTCACGGTCATCTTCAACTTTGTCAGTGAAATTAAGAGGGAGCAAAGCCGTGGCGGAAAGTACAAGTGAAATGTTCGGCATTGAAAAGTGTGATCCCAACTTTTGGAAAATTATAGGGAGGGAAGATGGGTCAAAGAAATTTGATGCTCGTTCAGCCAACCTAAGGAGTTGCTTGTGATCTTTCTTCTCAAAACGCTCTTGCGAAGAATCAACGGAGGGAAAATGGTGGGCGAGCTCGTTGTACATGTCTTCCCATGGTAAGGAGAACTGCTGGGATCGCAAGAATTGGATATCTTTCGTCAACAACTCGAATGTTCGAACGTAGATTTTAAGGCTGATATGCTGTCCCCTCGATAAGCAAACTGCGTAGTAAACACGAGCCAAGTTCATTCTGAGAGACACCGGCATCTCATACTTCATTTTGAGCCACACAAGAAGTTCCTGGGTCCATATGCGAACGCCAACGACGGCCGCTGACTTGGGCGATTTTTTGTGCTGTACGGTATTTTCATGGTCCTTAGCGTCGTCGTTTTCGTTATCGTATTCGTCGTCTTCGTCTTCCTCGTCAAGGCTTTCGCTTGCGGAATCGATATCATCTTGGAAGTAAGTATTGTCCTCTTCATGGTCGGCTTCGGTGCCCTTTTCGGGTCCTCCAGATTCGAAAAGATTGGTCTCAAGAGCAATGTCGATGTCCGAGAACCCACTAACGTCTCGGAGCAGCGCCAAATCCCGAGCACTCACCGACAAACTTCCCTGGATGTCCAACGTCTTAATAGCGATGTACAAATGAGACACAATATGACTGAGAAACTTGGCCTGGTTTTGGGGGTTTTCCACTTCGTATGGAAGAAGCCGAGGGAGGTTCAAAGTTCGTGGGCGACTACGGGCGTAGAATCTGGAATTGGGGTCCAATTGCAATCTGTCGAGCTCGTCTCTGTCAGCAACATAGTCCAAATTATAATGAGACTCCCGGCTGGTTTCAATGGTGCTATAAGATGCTCTTCTAGCACTGGCCCTGGGAGCCCTTTTCTGAGCATTTGGTGTGAAACTACGGTAAGAATCTTCAAAGCTGGCTTGGGGGTTCGAAGCCGAATCGATGGCCGCGGATGCTGCTCTGTCAATTTGGTTCAATTGAGTACCACGAATGGGTATCGGAGTGTTGAGGTTGACCTGATTGGCTTGGTTACCTGCTCCCGTGGAGCGAGTGTCTTTTGCCATCAATGGTATGATTTGTTTTTGGAAACTGGGGTAGATGGCTCGCCACTGTGCGACTGTTACACAAAGAGCGAAACCCCGACAGCGAGAAATGAGAAATGAGAAATGAAAAAGTGCAGAGAAATGGACAACAACAAAATTGCACAGAGTTGGCTATGGGTTATATAGTGTTTCTGTACGTATGAGAGGATTAAGAGCCAATTAAAAACTAAAGGTTAATTTCAGTCGAAAGTTCATTTGCAACCATTGGCTGCAACTAGGTTGCAAATTGCGGCTCGACAGACACTAAAATTCAAACTGAAAAATTGGCTTTCGAAGTTATTGGTCACTTTACCTCTAGTGTCTTCTCTGTTTATCTCGCCGCACTCTTTCCCCGGTACCATTCGCTACTTGCATATGTGTCCCAACAGCAATTCACCAGTGTGTCTGTGCCAAAAAAATTTCTCATCGCAGTGAAAAAAATCCAGGCACATTTGCAACGCTCAAACTAGGTCAAAATGTCTGTTTCCGCTTCCAAAGCTAAAAGAGAACAAAAGCGTGCTGAGAGAGAGGCCAAGAAGGCCGAGAGTGGCAAGACAACAAAGAAGACCAAGAAACAAGCTGCCAAAGACGCCGAAGAAAAGGAAGAAGACGATGAAGCAGCTCAGATTGCCAGACTTAAATTGCAAGCTGATGACGATGGTATTTCCGACAGAGTGGTCACTGGTGTGTTGGAGTCATTGCCCGCTTCCAGAGATGTCAAGTTGTCGTCTGTCAGTTTGTTGTTCCATGGTAAAGTGTTGATCCAGGACTCCACATTGGAGTTGAACTATGGTCGTAGATACGGTTTATTGGGAGAAAATGGATGTGGTAAATCTACATTGTTGAAATCCATTGCTGCCAGAGAGTTCCCCATTCCAGAACACATCGATATTTACTTGTTGAACGAGCCTGCCGAGGCTACTGAATGGTCTGCTCTTGAGTACGTTGTCAGAGAAGCCGAACACGAGTTGAAAAGATTGGAGGATTTGGTTGAGGATATTATTGTAAAGGAGGGACCAGAGGACCCCACATTGGATGGTATCTATGAAAAAATCGACACAATGGACCCATCAACTTTTGAGTCGAGAGCCGCCATTATCTTGACCGGTTTGGGTTTCAACTCGGTGACCATTAAAAAGAAGACTAAAGACATGTCTGGTGGATGGAGAATGCGTGTGGCTTTGGCCAAGGCTCTTTTCGTCAAGCCTACCTTGTTGTTGTTGGACGACCCTACTGCTCACTTGGATTTGGCTGCGTGTGTGTGGTTGGAAGAATACTTGAAGAGATGGGAAAGAACATTGATTTTGGTTTCTCACTCGCAAGATTTCTTGAACGGAGTGTGTACCAACATGATCGACATGAGATTGAAGGGTATCCAATTGTACGGTGGTAACTACGATTCTTACGTCAAGACCAGAGCTGAATTGGAAACTAATCAAATGAAACAATACGCCAAACAACAAGAAGAAATTCAACACATCAAGAAGTTCATTGCTTCCGCTGGTACTTACGCCAACTTGGTCAAGCAAGCTAAATCCAAGCAAAAGATTTTGGATAAAATGGAAGCCGATGGTTTGATTCAACCAGTGGTTCCTGACAAGGTTTTCACCTTCAGATTCCCAGAGGTCGAGAAGTTGCCTCCTCCAGTTTTGGCATTCGACAACATGTCGTTCTCTTACTCCGGCAATCCAGAAGACAACTTGTATGAAAACTTGGACATTGGTATCGATATGGATTCTAGAGTTGCCTTGGTTGGTCCCAATGGTGTGGGTAAGTCAACCTTGTTGAAACTTTTCCAAGGTAAATTACAACCTCAAGCCGGTAGAGTTATCCAGCACACTCACATCAAATTGGGAGTCTACTCTCAACATTCGGCTGATCAGTTAGATTTGACCAAAACTCCATTGGAATTTGTCCGTGACAAGTTCTCCCATATCTCTCAAGATTACCAATACTGGAGATCTCAATTGGGCCGTTACGGTTTGACTGGTGAAGGACAGACCTCCCAGATGGCCACATTATCTGAAGGTCAAAGATCTCGTGTTGTCTTTGCATTGTTGGCATTGGAATCTCCCAACTTGATTTTGTTGGATGAGCCTACTAACGGTTTGGATTTGACTACGATCGATTCCTTAGCAGAGGCCATTAACTCATTTAATGGAGGTGTGGTTGTTGTGTCGCATGATTTCAGATTGTTGGATAAAGTCGCTAAGGATATTTTCGTGATCGAAAACAAGACTGCAACAAGATGGGAAGGAGGCATTCTTGACTACAAGAAGAAATTGGCATCCAATGTTGTGCTTTGATTGTAAGTTCATTTATAGTGTATTTTTATCCATTTTAGCTTGAAATAACTCGACGTTATAGATTAGAATAAGATATTAGATATTTTAGTGGTATCTTGCAGAAAAGTTGCAAAAAAGAATGGACGAGTCCGGAGTCGAACCGGAGACCTTTCGCATGCTAAGCGAACGCGCTACCAACTACGCCACACGCCCTTTTGTATGGGTGTCTTGAAGAGCCAGTAACTATACGAATCGGAATTGCACTTTCACGAAGACGATACCGGAATATAATGACCAAGAAAGTTGTGAAGTATGGGTAAACATATAAAAGTCATACACGATCTTATTGGAGCGAGCACCGGCAAATCGCCAAAAATGAAAGGTTGAATAAAAATAAATGGTCCCTGGCGGGATCGAACCGCCGATCTTGGCGTTATTAGCACCACGCCTTAACCAACTGGGCCAAGGGACCTTTTCTGTATGTTTTCCTTTCCTGACTTGTTAAGAGCAGGTTGCAGCAATGGGCCCCTAGAGTTAATGATTATTGGTGGTTATATATTATACATGCAATTACTCTTCTTCGTCAACTTCCTCCTCTGAATCAGACTCATCATCAAGCCCGCCTGCATCAACAGTCATAATCGTTTCCTCTTTGGTTTCACCTGTATACTTTCTTGCAATTCTTGAAGCTCTTCCTTGCTCTTTTGCAGCTTCTCTAGCTCTCGTACGCAAGTCTTTCAACTCGTCGCGGAAGCTGCCTCGAACAGTTCTATTGGACAAAACATCCCATACCTTCAATGCTCCGCTAACACCACCAACGCATAAATGACCAGAGACTTCGATGTCAGGAGCAAATGAAGATGTCAAGACATTTCCAAGACCAAAATCTCTCGACAACACCATTGAGGGACCAGACTCGGTAGTTGGTGATTTCCAGAGCTTGACAACTTTCTCTCCCATTGCGGAAGTAGCTAACATTCCGTGGATATTCTTATTTACAGATAATGAAGAAATGCCTGCATCATGAGCATGCAAAGTCCAAAGTGGTTTTTCTGCGACTCTGATGTCAAAGCAGTAGACGTTTCCGCTATCGGTACCTCCGTAGAAAATCTCGGGAGTAGCGCCCCAAGCGACATTCTCAACCTCTTCGCCTTGACCCACTTTATAGTTTCTTGAAATTTTACTCTCATCCGATATTCTCACATCCGAAACAGCACAAGTGCCGTCGTATCCTCCGGTAAGTAAGATAGAGGCCTCTTGCGAATGCCATTGTGAAGACGAAACAGTGTTGTTGGAATGGATAGAGTTGAAGGACCTCACTGCTGTGCCGTGGTTCAAATCCCACAACTTGATAGTTTTATCGGCCGAAGTCGAAGCCAAGACTGAGCGTTGGTTCTGGTTGTGTGCTAAGGAAAGCACAGCATCGGTATGATGTGTGGTTGTATGCTGAGACTTCTTCTTCTTCTTTTTGTTCTTTTTCTTAATTCCTGCAAGCGAGTTAGCTTCCGGTTCTCCCAAAATCATGTCAGGAAATGCCTTGTCAATGCAGTCCAAGTTCCATATTTCAATCTGAGGGTCAAATGTTCCAATGGCTGCAAAGTTACCAATCTTATCACTGGCATCCGGTCTGAAATTAATCCACTCAACACACAATGGAAATGCTGGAAGCATCAAGTCGTGATGCACATACAAACTTGACTCTCTCACCAAGCCCTTGGCCACGTCTTGGTCAAATTTGTCTTCTTCTTCCTCGGTAGCACCCTCTGGTGCGCCTGCTCCATCGTCGTAAATGTACACATCGAGATACGAAATATCGTCCTCGGTTCTCGTGGCAAGAACCAAGTTGTCTGTGGGGTAGATTTGTGATTCCTGTTTTTCTTCTTGCATGTCTTCCTCGGTAGGCAATGTCAAGTATGTTCCATCTTCACCGTTGTCTTGAATAGTGGCATCCATTCCGGGAAACATGGTGGCTGCCTCGGACTCTCCTTCTTCTTCATCGTAGTTCTCCAAGTCATACTCCTTCAAATCATCGTCTATATCGATTTGGGAGCCCAACTTGGCTTGTTTTTTGGATACTTGTTCGGCGGAATCGTCTTCTTCATCGCCGTTTTCCGTGGCTTCCTCCAATTGAAGTTTTGCCATTGCAGTGATTCTCTCCATTTCCGAGTCATCGAGTTCGTACTTTTCGGGAAATTCAGAAGCAAATCCACGCGGGACCCATCCGCTAGCAGATATCATTGTTTCTTAACTAGAATTGGCATCGCGATGAGCTGAAATTTTTCACCATCTGCAGGATTTTTATTAACTATGCTAAAGTAACACCACACCGACACCACTGGTTTTGTAGTCTTCCACTTCCTTCGTAGTAGGGTCAATTCCTCCGTGGAGAGGCCATACCTTATAATTGAACAAGTAGTAGTTGAGATAGCCATCTCCACTGCCAAACTTGAGGTCCTTAATAAAATATGGATTGTCTTGTGACGTCAAACAATTGAACACATCAACGTTGAATTGCTTGGCGGTGACAAGAGCATCGCCTATAAGCTGTTGTAAACGCTTTTTGTAGACGCTTTCCTCTTTCTTGTAGGAGTCGGTAGCATAGTAGTAAAGATAAGCAATGCCCAATTCGTCATGGTTGACATCATTGAGAACTGTAAATGGCAAAAGATAGTACGAGAAAAAGTCGGTGATCTTGCCCCCTTGCTCAACAACGTATGTCTTGATGACGGGAGATTGGCCATTGGCCGCACTCTCACCGCCGAGAAACCAATGGGCAGCTTCTTCCTTGGTGAACACTTGAACAATATCGAACCGTTTTTGATATTCGTTAAGAAGTTCGAGAACTTGATCAACGTCTTCTTCCCTCATTAAACGAAGACCCTCGGTCTTGGTGACATTTGCAAGACTATACCGAGCAACCATGGAAGCTTTGGTCTGTTTGGGAGGCAAATGGGAGAATCCCACATCGTAGAGTTTGGACCAGTTTAGTGGGCGGTGAGTGTAGCGACAAGTAGCAATGGGCAGCGGCAATACAGCACCCACAGTGTACAATGCCTGCCAGATATCGTCCTTGTTGACTCTTCTGGTGATCTCCTTGATCAAAACCGGCGCCAATCTCTTGGCTCGGAGCTTTTTGTGGATGCACAAAAAATTAATTTCCACACTGGGTATCAATTTACCCGATTTGTTGAGTTTTAACGTCACAGGCACTGCAGAAATAAACGCCACCAATTTTCCCGTAGCCTTGACTCGGACACCGGCGTGCCACACCTTTTTCCATCCTGGAGGCTTTAATGCCCATTTGAAGAAATCGTGGGAATATTTGAATCTAAAAGTCGAGTCTTTATCTTCGACGTAGTGTTCATACAAAAGCTGGTACAACTCCTCAAGTTCGCTATTCGCGGTAATGTCGATGGTGGACCACTCAAACTCGGAAATGAGCGGTAAGGGGGTATCGGGGATATCATCTGGAGTTTTGGAAGAATCGATAGGTCCCTCAGACTCTATCTTTTCGTCAAGCAGTGGAACAGGTTGAGTTTTCCAGAACTTGTAGTCCTTCATTTGCTTCTGCTGCTGTTCATCCAACGGTTCTCCCGCCGTGAGACGCTTCAAAAGCTCCTCAATTGCCTTGGGTGTGTTATCGGCCATATTCGGTACTTGTAAAAGTAAAATAAATCACCGCCGCGAAGCGAGGTACCGAAAAATGCGTGCCGCGGAAATGGAGAGGAGGAAGAGTGTAGAGGGAGATATAGGAGTAAAATGTGAAATAATTGCCATTGCAGCTTGTGGTTTTGTATATATCACAAAGACCTCACAATGGTTTGAGTTTTGCATTTCTTTTACTTGTCACTCGTTTGACACTTATTTTCTGTCTCTACTCTTTGGCCCTGTTCGCTCCATTTTGCGCATTTTTGAAATTTCGCAGTATTTATCATTTATAAAATTATTCTCGTCTTACACTAAAGCTTACAAGTATGGTGCTTAAAGACTCCAAATGGGACCGCAAAGCCAAATCACAGTACCTCCGTAAACACGGGCTCAATAAATCAAAGGAAGAAGCCGTCATAAGGCCCAAATGGAGCTCCAAAAAAGAGGTTGCAAAGAAGGTTCCTCTTCTTGAAGACTCTGATGATTCCGACGACGAGTTCCTAAAGCTCCATTACCCACAACTCGGCGAAGAGCTCACCAAGGAACAGAAGGAAAAAGTCAAAAAACAGATTCTTGTGGATCTTCAAAACGAGGTAAATGACATCTCTGATCATGAACCAACCGAAAATAACAGTGAACATGGACGCGGCGGCGAGGCAATAGATGGCATATATTTAGGCTCAGACGAAGCCAAGCAACAATTTATGGAGAAGAATTCTGAAACTTCACGGCTCGATGAGTTCATCTCCCATGATATGGCTGGCGCCGATGTCAGCGTCATACCCAAAAAGAACCGAAAACTACTTAAAAATAAACTTTCAGAGGATCTCCTTCTGGAATATGGTCTAGAGGATTACAAGCAAATAGTAAACAATGACCAGGATTACTCAAAACCGTTCATGGAGAAGCAGCTGCAGCGGAACATCGATAGAATTTCCGACGAAGATCTCATTGGTTTTGAGATCGGACAAGACTCTATCGCCTCTAGAAAGAGCCACAACACCAAGAATAATGTGACCGAGCTTACGGACGAAGAAAAGAAAGAAATGCACGAGAGATTGATAGCGTCGGAGCAGGCTAGACTTCACCGCCAAATGAAAGAAAAATTTGGAAAAACCGCTAACAAGGCTCCTACCTTGGAAATCAACAATATCAACGAAAACGACCCACAACAGATGCAAATGCTCAATTCTCGGCTTACACACCTGGGGAATGACGAAGGGAATGTCGACGACGAGTTGGACTTGCTTCTAGGTGAAAATTCGAAATCTAAAAGTGAAACCGACAAAACAAAGATCGCAGGTTCGACTGACATCGACGACTTTCTCTCCAGCTTAACTGTCAATGATAGCAAAACCGGCAAAACCAGTTCTGTTGTTCCAAAAAAAAGAGTGTATAAACCGTCACAAAGCGACGACAAGTTTCTTGATGAATTGTTGGGATAAACAACTTTCTCAAGTTTACATTGGAATCAGATTGACTGGTATACTGCCTTTTCTGTCTACAACTAGTACCGATTTTGCAGCCTGAGCGCACGTGACTTCTTACTAATTTGTTCACTGATAACCTCAGTTCAACTAATGGTCCTTGTTGCACTTCAAATTCAGCACAATGAGCACCTCACTCATTAGCAGTCGAAGCTCCAATACGGAAGATATCCGCGACTCCAGCATGATAGAACCAGAAAATGGCGACATTGGTCAACTTTCAGAGAACGACGCCCAGGCCATTCTCCTCTTCGAAGAAGCTATTGAGAAGGAAAGTCATGGAAAAATGGCAGATGCAGTGGAGAAGTATAGAAGTGCATTTCGACTTAATGATCAGGTCGACTTGTTATACCGCAATGAAAAGGTGCCTCACAACATCCACAAGCTAAAACAGAAACATGGCAAAAACACAGCCAGACGAATAGATGAGGCAGCCTTGAAAGACATGGACGTAGACAAGCTTATTGAGAGCTACGAGCATATTGAGGCACAGGCATTTGATCCTAGTAATCCCTCGCATATTCATGATGGTTTAACTATCAAGTTCAGTGGATTGGGACTCGATAACCATGAAGAAATTGCCGATGTTTCGCCAATATCACCGTTGATGAACATGCTGGCATTCATATGGGAGCAGATCTTGGAGATTTTGTTGGTAACTAGCCCTCAGTCGTGGTTCAATTTTTCTATCACCTGTCGTCACAATGCATTTCTCGGTTTTGGCAACAAGGCGATGTGGCGAAAATTGTGCTTTTTGGTGTATTCAAAGCAAGTTTATCAAGAAAATGTCGAGTATCTAGAAAATCTCACTCTTGAAGACCGCTTGAAAGTTCAAGACTGCGACTTGCCTATTCCCAACAACCAACACTTGGTGGTTCCACAATATAACAATTCATGGAAATACATGCTTCGTCACCGGCCGTTCATCAAGTACGACGGTTGTTACATCAGCGTGGTGAACTACTATCTGGAGGGAGGAAAAGGAGAATTTTCCAGCAGTTGGTCGAACCCAGTCCGCACCATAACTTATTTCCGCTATCTTCGGTTCTATCCTGACGGTACCTGTATCAAGGTTTTGTCGGTGGAAGACCCAAAAAACATCGTGCCGTATCTACTGAAGCATACAGAGCTGGGTTTAATTCCGTCTACTACGGAGTCTGTGACGAAAGACAGCCAGAAGATATATACTGGAAAATGGACGATATCTTCCAGCGGCGAAATCACCATAGAAATCGCAAACGGATCGGTGCCGTACTATAGGTTTTTCTACCAACTACAAATCAAGCCTTTGGGCGGAATCTACAGGCACAATAAACTCGCATGGGTCAACTACTATGCGGTTAGAAAGCGCATGAGTGATAATGATGATAGAGAAGGAGAGATCACCAACTTTTCGTTAAAGAAGGAGAAAGCATTCAAGTTTCTGCGCGTGCGCAGTTATACAGTAGACAACTAGCATTACAATCGATACCATTACCGTTATCATCAATACTCATGTGTAGGTTAACGGCGCGCGTATTTTCCAGCACCCCGCGTATATTGCAGACCCAGATTTTTTGTGCCTCACTGAAAATTTGATCGACAACCTACGAGCCCATCACCACCCTATAACGGTAATATGTCTCGGTTCTTTGTGTCAGGGTATGATTCGGAACTGTCCTCCGAAGAGGAGGACTTGTTGACTTCCTCCGAGGAGGAGTTGATGTCTTCTGAACAAGAATCCGACAGTGAATTTGACGATGAATTTGCCAACGATGACGACTCCGATTCCTCCGATTCCGATTCAGATGGCAGACCCTCGGGACCCGCTTACTTCTTAAAAAGCAGTTTCCGTAAGGGTGCCGGCGGAGACTCGGACTCAGACAGCGAAGATGAGGGAAGACGTGTGGTGAAATCTGCTAAAGAAAAACTCACCGATGACATGAAAGACGCCGTAGAAGCGGTCAACAGTGCTAAGCGTCAAGAGAACTGGATATCAGCTTTAACTGAGTTTGAAAGATTGGGCCGTTTGCTCGTGAGGGCTGGCCAACAAGGCTTTGGAACTCCTAATTTTTACATCAAGTGTTTGGTAGACTTGGAAGCTTATTTGATTGAGACCACCGCCAACGAGAAGGAGTCGACCAGAAAAATGAATGCCAATTTGGCAAGAGCGTTCACCTCTCTCAAGCAAAGAGTCAAGAAGCAAGTAAAGGAGTTCAGTCACCTCGTAGAATTATACAAGTCTGAACCTGAATTGTTCGACAAAGAAGAACCAGTCGAGACCATCGAAAAGGATGCAGAGATACAAGCAACTCCTTTGGCTAGCAGCACCGGTAGAGCGTTGAGTCCTGTCTTTGCTACGTTGAAGCTGGTAGCTGAAACTCGTGGTAAAAAGAATATCGACAAGTTTGAACAAGTGCAAATTTTGGAGGACTTGTTGGAGGAGGTTTCGCCCAAGGGCTCCCCATTCGAGATCATTTCCATCTACCAAATGTTGTTATCTATAAGATTTGATGCCAGCTCTCACCATGCTTTCATGCCTCTCGACCAATGGCAGAAGAACAAGGATACTCTCAATGACCTCTTGGACTTTTTGGAGAAGCACAGCAATGAATATCAAGTGTCTGAATTGGGAACTGCATCTGACGATATCGACTTGGAACCTCCAGCAAATGCTGATGGGATTAGAATTTTGCCAGGTTCGGTCACTTCTCATATTGAGAGATTGGATGATGAGTTTATCCGTTACTTGCAAAATACCGACCCTCATTCGCTCGAGTATATCGACAGATTGAAGGACGAAAAAGATACCTACAACTTGGTTGTCAGGGGCCAGTTGTATGTCGAAAAGACAACTCCAGACCATGTTAGAGGTACTTATCAAGGTGAACAGTTGGCCCGTATCGTGATGAGAAGAATGAACCATATCTACTACAAACCTGACCAACTCATCAAAGCCAACGAAAGTGAAGCATGGAGACATCTTTCTGGAGACTCTCAAATAGTAGCCAAGAACTCGGAGCCCAAGGACGTCATTAATGGATTGGCTGAGTTTTTGTCGAAGCAAGATGGAGCCATTTACCCTAAAGGTGCTCTCTTGTTCAGTGTCTACTATCACGCTGTGAACAACGACTACTCGGTGGCACGAGACATGTTCTTGTCGTCACAGGTTCACCAAGGTATTAACAACGCCGATTCTAGTATACAAGTTTTGTATAACAGAGCGATGGTCCAATTAGGATTGAGTGCCTTCAGATATGGTAACATTGAAGAGTCTCATCAGGCGTTGAACGAAATTGCCAACTCTCAAAGATTGAAAGAATTATTGGGACAAGGTTTTAACTCCAAGTATCCAAGTCAAGCTACCGTTGCAGAGAAACAAAGATTGTTGCCATTCCATATGCATATCAACTTAGAATTATTGGAGTGTGTGTTCATGACATGTTCTTTGTTGATTGAGATTCCTCAGTTGGCGGCTGCCTCCAATTCCACCAAAGAGTCTAGAAGAAAGACCAACATCAAGTCGTTCAAGAGTAAGTTGGAGTTCCATGATAGACAATATTTTACTGGACCTCCAGAGAGTATTAAAGATCATATCGTCCACGCATCTATTAGCTTACAAAAGGGCGACTGGCATAATGCTTACAAGTTATTGTCCACCATCAAGATCTGGAAGTTGCTTCCCAATAATGATCAATTGCTTGAAATGATGAGAGGAAAATTGCAAGTCGAAGGGTTGAGAACTTATATTTTCACCTACAAGTCCATATACACCAAGTTATCTGTTGTCAAGTTGGCCAAGATTTTCGACATCAATGAAGAAGAAGTGCTTCTGATTGTCGACAAGATGATCTCCAGTGGAGAAGTATCGGCTTCTTTGAGTGACGATAAAAAATCGATCAACTTTGTGAGCTCGGAGCACCTTCAAAGAACGAGATTGCAAGAATTGGCCATCGTTATGAATGAGAAGATAGGTTTACTCACCGATAAGAATGAAAAGACCGCCAGCAATGGCCACGGGAGAAAGACGACACAGCAGCAACAACAGCAGCAGCAAAAGGAGCAGAGAGAACAGACCCACGATGAGAACATCAAATTCAGATACGCAAATGTCAACACCAATAACGACGAGTTCCAGACTATTGCATAAGATAAAGATGGTGCATTACCTAGCTCTTCCACGACGACGTGTATAAACGTAATATACAGTAATTGATACGCCTTTATAGTGAGATAGACTCTCTGTAGAGAGAGTCTCTCGATTTAAAATTCGCGAATGCGATGCGATGAGACTTGAACTTTTTGAGAACTTGATCTTTTGCTAACTAATCTTTTTAGATGGAAGAAAAAAAAATAAGAAAGGTCACGTTGTGTGACATATGTCACCAGTCAAAGGCTGTTATGAAGCGTCCGAAGAACCTCCAAAAGCTATGTAAAGAGTGCTTTTATCACGTTTTCGAAACAGAAATCCACAACACTATAGTCGATGCTCAGCTATTCAAACCAGGCGATAAGGTCGCCATAGGAGCTTCTGGGGGCAAAGATTCTACTGTACTTGCCTCTGTGCTCAAGACATTAAACGAGAAGTATAACTACGGATTAACGCTTGTTTTACTCTCTATTGATGAAGGTATAGTGGGTTACAGAGATGATTCATTAGCTACCGTGAAGAGAAATCAAATTCAATACGAAATGCCCCTTGAGATCATCTCGTATAAAGACTTGTACAACTGGTCTATGGACGAAATCGTATCATGTGCTGGCATACGATCATCATGTACTTACTGTGGGGTGTTGAGAAGACAAGCCCTCGACAGAGGTGCTGCTAAACTCGAGATAGATCATGTCGTAACGGGCCACAATGCTGATGACATGGCAGAAACCGTCTTGATGAACCTTCTTCGGGGCGATATTGCCAGGTTGGAGAGATCTTGCAGCATCCTTACACTGTCTGAAGGAAGTCCCATCAAACGATCCAAACCTTTCAAGTACACCTACCAAAAGGAAATTGTTCTTTATGCTCATTACAAGAAGCTTGACTATTTCTCCACCGAATGCTCATATGCCCCAGAAGCTTTCCGAGGTACAGCCCGAGAACTTTTGAAGGCATTGGAGTCTGTCCGTCCATCTTGCATTATGGACATCATATATAGTGGAGAACATTTGGTGGTGGCCCACAAGAAGAAGAGAACAACAGAAAAGTATAAGAATAAGCCCAAGAAGAACATTGAGACAGAGGTGAATTCTGACGGTTCCGTGAACTTGACGAAGAAAACAGACGGTAGCCGTTGTGAGAAATGCGGCTATCTTTCCTCGAATAAAATATGCAAGGCTTGTGTATTGCTAGCGGGCTTGGAAATGAACAGGCCAAAGGTTAACATCGAGAACAATACTGCGGTTGAAGGTTCAGCTAAGGTGATGAAGACTTTAGAGCAGCTCAGTTTTTGAGTTTCTGATTGTGTTTCTGATTCACTTTCTAATTCAGTCTACTTAATCTCTCAGTCCTTGAACAGATTCAATCAAGAAACCCAAACTTGAGTCAGTTTAACGCTTTCTACTTCGAATCTACATTTCACTCAAGCGGCCCTCTATGAACATGAACTGCTCCAGCCTGATGGGTAGGAAACACCAAAGTTTCCGCAATGACAGTTTTGGCTTTTCTCGACACAGCAAACACAATGATTTCCGCAATATCTTCTGGGCCCAAAGGCTCGGTTCCCTCATACACCTTTTTCGCAGCCTCGGCATCACCGCCAAAACGAACCAACGAGAACTCTGTCTCTACTGCCCCAGGATCCACCTCCATGACCCTGATTTTGGAATTGATAGTTTCCTTTCTCAAAGAATGAGAAAAGTAGTTAACTGCTGCCTTTGAAGCACAGTATACTGCACCTCCAGGGTAAGGTTCTCTACCGGCCACTGAGCCAATGTTCACAATATCTCCAGCATTTTTCTTTTTGAAGATGGGTAACACCTCCTGAGTTAAGTTTATCAACCCAAGAACATTGGTATGGAACATGCCATTGATTTCCTCTTGGGAAATTTCACCAACATTGGCTCTTCCCAATGCTTTCCCCGCATTATTCACCAAAACGTCGATGCTAGCAAAATCCTTTGGCAACCCAGTAATGAACGGCTTAAGTGACGAAAACTCAGAGACATCAAGACGAGCAGAATGGATTTTAATTTGCGGGTAAATGAGGCTCAATTGTTGCGAGAGAGACTTGAGTTTGTCTTCTCTCCGAGCGGTCAAAATCAACAGAATTTTTCCATTGGCAGCAGCAGCGAATTCTCTGGCGGTAGCCTCGCCTATACCAGACGATGCCCCAGTGATCAATATGATCTTGTTGGCAAGGCGTTCAGCGGCTTTGGCACCGAAAGACATGAAGATTGAGGATTTAATCTCCACACTCACTACTGGGTGATGACATAATACAGTGCTACCGGCTGGTAAGAGGCACATTACTGACGATGGGTATGGAGCTTGTATGTGTACTTGACAAGCGGAATTAAGTTAAATTTTTACTGAAATGCTTTCATTGACAATTTGAAGAAAAGTAGTAATTAGCATTCTTCATCAATCTGAAGAACTCCGAGAGTGTGTTTAGTAACTACGAATCTCTACAACTAGACAATAATCTAATATGAACAGTTATGCTTAAAAACAATTGACAGTATTCTAATAGCAACAGACAGTTCCTCTTAAGGCCGAAAAACTTATCTTTTCAACGCTCCAAAAGCACTAAGACTGTTCTCTATACAAATGCGAGGCAGAGGCCTGGTTAGTGGAGAACACCAATGTCTCAGCGATCACGGTCTTTTGCTTTCTTGTGACTCCAAATACAATGATCTCGGCAATGTCTTCAGCAAGCAATGGCTCTGTACCCGCATAAACGGCCTTGGCTTTATCCTTATCACCACGGAACCTGATTTGCGAAAACTCGGTTTCAACATTGCCTGGATCCACTTCCAAAACTCTAATTTTGGTGCTGATAAGTTCCTTCCTCAACACATGAGAAAATGACTTGACACTGGCCTTGGTAGCACAGTAGATACCTCCACCAGGGTATGGGTCTCTGCCAGCAATGGAACCCAAATTGACAATATCACCGGAATTTTTAGCCTTGTAGATTCTCAAAACCGCCTGTGTCAACGTGATGAGTCCCAATACATTGGTGTTGAACATGGTAGCAATATCTTTTGCGTCAATGCTGCCCACTTCGTCTCTGCCCAATGCAAGACCAGCATTGTTGATCAACACATCAATATCGGCAAATTCGGTAGGAAGACCATTCACAAACGGCTCAATTGACAGCACATCAGACACGTCGAGGGTCACAGGCAACACTTTGATATTGGAGTATTCCAGTTTCAAACTTTCAGCCAATGAGTCAAGTTTCTCCTTTCTACGAGCAGTGAGTACAAGCTTTACATTGCCGTTAGCGGCGGCAGCAAACTCACGAGCAGTTGCTTCTCCGAATACCGGCACGATGCGCCCGGTGATCAAATATAGTCTTACCCCGAAAAGACGGTTCAGCAGCTTTTCCTCCGTATAGACATGGATTGCGAAAGATAAGAAAGAAAATACGATAAAAGTGAGAAATGCGACAGAAAGTAAAATTAAAAGTGAGAAAATTAAAAGTGCGACACTACAACAATCAACCTTTCGATTAATTACACATACTTAGCCTAGTAAAAAAGTGGTTGGAGCGTTACGTTGGTACAAAGCCTTGGTCTTTTGCACTCTGTGGGGCAATGGGAATTTCAAGTCCTTGGACAAGAACTGCTTGACGTATTGTCTCTTGACATCGTCGGTCTTCTCTAATTCAACGACCTTCAAGATGTGGATGCTTCTAAATCTGGCTCTGTGTCTAGCAGCCAAATCTTGGTACATGGTCTCAACAGCACCAACTCTAGTCAACATCACGGTACTCCTTGTACATGTTGTGGATACCGGATCTGGAGTCGTATCTAATCCAGATACCAAAGTTCTTGACCTTGGTTGGGTGAGCCTCAGAGACGACGTTAACGGACACAATCTCACCGGAAGCCTTCTTTACCTTGTGCAATTTCTGTAAAAAGTACCAGTAACGAGACTTGGCCACAACAGTGTTGGGAGCAAAGATTCTCATACGGTACAACTTTGGCTCTGGCGCAGAGTCGGTGGGAAGACGACGGCCAATCACTTGATATTCGTTCAATCTAGACATCTGGATGTTAGTACTCGCAATGACTTTGGAATATTTTCGGCCTAGTTTGCTGCCTGTGTTTATTTCCGGCTTGGTAAGATGGTCCACAAACTACGAATTGTCCGTTGGAAGAACAATTTTTTGACGGGTCTTACTTACTTCAAAGTATCAAATATCAACTATTTTCAGTTTTTTCAAACGCACTTTTTTCCGAGCATCGAAATTTTCCTGACACAAAAACCGCGCACGTGAACCAGGGTACAGCCCTAACACTGACATATATGGGAACCATTCATTAGTATTCAACTGATGTATACTACACTCCAGAAAGACAAATCATCAGTAGGACGTTTATTTCCGTTACTATATATGCTGGTCATTACCTCTTTCATTCGCTTACCCTTCTATTTTTTTATTTCGTTTTCGCAGCCATGTTGAGCTTCCTTTCAGCACGTTGACGCTGCATCTTTTCTCTATATGCTTTAGCCACAGGTCCGCTCTCTGTTTGGAGTAAGTAGTCTGTCCATCTGAAAGAGCTGGCATAGTTTCCAATGAAAAAATGATGGTGCTCATCATGGTGATCTGCACCTGCCCAGAATGGTAGAAAATGGTGCAACGACCATGGGAACTCATAGCCAGAATGAGAGTCTACAGCCTGTAATAATCTCAAGGAGATCCAAACCGTCAAGGTGAACAAATGTAAATCTGGAAGGGCATACTGGGGCCAATTTTTGGCCGACCAAGCATACAAGATGGGAAACCCAACGGTTCCAAATCCAAGGGCCATAACCTCCACAGGATGAGCATATTCTGCAGCTAACCCAAAGGGAGCAGCATACCGATGGTGCTGTTTGTGGATATACTTGTAAAAGATTCCCCAATGGAATGCACGGTGGGACCAGTAATGCCACTGGTCTTCCAATACGAAGAACATTGCAATCTGCGCAGCCATCACTTTAATCAGCGGAAAAGGTACCAGCACAGAAATATTCAAGCTGGCACAAAGAGGGTGAAACAACCAGATTGGAAGCGCTTCCACGAGAAAGTGCAGCTTTATTACCGACTTGAAACATTCCCATTGTTCACGGTCCAGTGGAAGTTTGGTGGGTTGAATTTTCCATTGCTGAAAGTAAGCAATTCTATCAATTATCAACCATGGCAAACATCTTCCGAAATACATCACTTCATGCGTAAGGAAGAACAAGAGCCCAGTAGCCAAGATATCGTTATTCATATAAATATACCATGAAGCCCATGCTCGCTCGAGCCAATTGAGGTGCCCTATTACTGGATTATCAAGCAGCCGAAAAACCTCTCCAACCAGATTATAGGATGTTGTCAGATTCACCAAATACTGAAGAGAACTCATATACAACAACACATATTCATCACTTGGGTTATATAGCAATTCGTATTCTCGTTTAAAATCACACCACTAAATTTCGCAACCATGCAACCGAATGCATCTCGTACCACCCGAGCCGCACAAACGTCAAGATGGCTAAAATTGTCGTATAGTCGTATAATGGAGCTATTCTAACATTGTAGATTCACTATTATCTATTAATGCTTGTCTCTTCTAGTAGACTCTTTCTTTTGGCAAAATGTCAACCAATAAATTATCCTGGGCCCAGGTCATTCCAGTCTTGCTCTTGTAGTCTTGAATATGTCCAAAGAACTTGTCAAACAAAAATGCTGTATCTAAGGGACCACCCTTGGCTTCTGGGTGGAATTGGGTAGAGAAAATAGGGCGATATTTGTGAGCCATACCTTCGTTAGACAAATCGTTGAGATTCGTGAAATATGGTTCCCATTCGTTGGGGTCAAGAGATGAAGCATCAACAGCGTATCCGTGGTTCTGCGATGTAATATGGCACTTTCCAGTGAGCAAATCTAAAGCAGGAATGTTGTGAGCTCTGTTTCCGTATTTCAACTTGATGGACTTGGCACCGGATGCGAGAGCCAAGAGTTGATGGCCCAAGCAGATTCCAAAGATTGGCAAGTCCTTGTTCTCCTGCATTGTTTGCTTGAGGTTTTCGATGGTGGCAGAACAGTGGGTTGGATCTCCTGGTCCGTTACTGATGAAAATACCATCGAATTTGTTGGCAATCTTATGAATAGGATAATTGTATGGGAACACAGTAAGCGATGCACCTCTTTGAACAAGACACCTCAAGATGTTTTCCTTGGCTCCGCAGTCCAATACGGCAACGTGAATGCCTTTGGAGTGCGATGGAGGACATGAAACGTGGAATGGAGCCTTGGTAGTAACCTTATGAACCAAGTTCACCGATCCAGGATCTTCAAAAGCAGCATCTTCGTCAGCGTCATATTCCTCTCCAATGGTTATCTTGGCCAACGAAGAACCCTTGTCCCTTAAATAAGACACCAATTGTCTGGTATCAACACCGGTGATAGCGGCTACTTCTCGAACGCTTACATCATTGCTGAGAGGACTCGACAGCAGTCTATGAGATGTTCCAAGGCAACGTTCCGCAACGACAATTCCAATACATTGAATGGAAGGAGATTCCATATACTTCAACAAGTTGAATTCGTCACGCACAGTGTCTGAAGGCACACCATAATTACCAATCAATGGCTGAGTAAAACACAAAATTTGGCCCTTGTAACTAGGGTCCGTCATCGATTCTGGATACCCAACGAGCGACGTGGTGAAAACGGCTTCACCACTGATGTTTTTGTTGGCTCCGAAAGAATATCCGTTGAAAACTGGGCCGTCCTTTATGGTCAACGTAGCTCTGTCTAATTGAGATGTCCTGTTGAAGCCAGAAGCATTGGTAGCTAAGCACCGGTGGAAGGCAGCTGGACTTATCGCCTTGGGTTTCGCGAAAACCTTGATGAAAGTTCCCAACATGATGTATGTAAAAAAACTTCTGTCTTTCTGATTGAAAATTACTGATTGCGAATCGCGGCTAATGAGTCGTGCAAGAAAAAATTACCCGTTTCTGACTCATTGGTAGAACGCACGACCTGGACATGCAGGATTTTTCACTTTCTACCCTACCACCAAGGGAACTTCAGATTTGATGATGTTGTCGGCAAATTCATTCTGATCTCCACCGCTGCCTTTGTACTTGACCACCACCTGAAGACAGTACGATCTTCCAACCAAACAACTTTGAAAGTTGGGTATTAATGTGATATTATTCTTGTTAATTGTAGAAAGCGGCACCGTTATGTCTTTGGTCCAAATTATCTTTTTACCTCTTTGTTCTGCTTTCCATCCCAGCTCGTTTGAAAGAAGCTGTGGGTGACTGGAATGGGTCACTGTCTTGAAAAAATCTTTCACGGTGTCCTTTTTGATTCCCAACGTCTGCATTGCTTTCATGTAGAGATACGAATCTCGTGAGATATATGTCTTGTTAGCCTTTAAGAAGGAAATGTAGTGGGAAACCTGGTCCTTAACCCACTGGAGGTTTGACCTTGTGATTTCGACTTCATCAACTTCCAGATATTCATCTTCGGGTTTTCTGCACGGTGGGGCATAGTAGAAATCATACAACAATTTCACAGGTAATGGGTACTCAGAATTGTAGGACCAACATACCACATTAGCCTCAATGTAGCTTATTGGCGGCGGTCTGGTGGCACTGTCATTGGCTGTGAACTGAAGTGTGATATTTACCGAACGTAACAAGTCTTCTTCATTTCGATTGTAGAGCTCCAGGATTTCCCTGGTGCTACTCACGGGAGTTAACGAAGTCATGGAGCCATCCTTGTCATCTGAATTTGAGGAGTTATACTTCATCAAGAGCCGTGGAGAAGTGTATGGTATTACGCCGTCTGGAACCTGGACGTATAATTTCAGTCTTCCGATCAAAGTCAACGACGACAAAATGCTCTTTTTTTTCTTTCCATAGATGGCATTAGAGTATCCTCCAATCATTCTTTGGTCTTGATAGTAGAGATAGTCTCGCTGTTCGCTCCACTGGTGCAGCAACTGGGGCTTGAAATTAGGTTGCTCTGCAAACTTATTGTGATTGGAATGAACCACCAAATTCAATTCTTTGAGCTCATCTTGGGTGGCTTCTTTGTTAAGCTTAGTATCAATTTCTTTCTCTATCTGGTGGTTGAGATCTTTGATAGCTTGCCAGGTGCTTTGGTGGATGTAATCATGGAACAATTTTCCACCAATTCCAAGAGTACCAAACGTCTCAAATCCATATTGATAACCCTGATTGTAATAGTCGAGGATTTGCTCCTTGATATCAGGAATGAACCGCAAGAAATATTGCTGGCTGCGAGATATGGTATAGCTGGAATCGGAACTGGGGTCGTTGATTTCATGCTCGAAAACTGCTTCGTTCTGATCCTTGGCATCGATCTTGTCAATGAATTTCGCTTCGATGGCATAACTGACACTAATATCATCAAAGCTGTAATCTCTGGTGAGAAGTGGAGTTCCACGAATATCCAAATAGCCATAACCAAGAGCTTTGTTCAAGCTGACATTTTCTCCACGATGGTAGAAACTGCTCTTGTCAAAGCCAAAGCTCGGAGGAGGAAGAACATGGGGTAGGATCAGGTGCATACAGTTATTGTCGAGAAGTTTTTCAGGGAAAGTAAAGGTGAAGAATTTCTTGTACTTTTGATGAGGTTGAAGAATTCGCTCATTCGGCAATCCCAAGATACACCCTTCGTTATCCCGAGTGTATTCCTTGTACTCTACACCGACACTGCTAGGAATGTGGGTGTAGCCATACGAAGCATTCAAATCATACATCTTTAAGAACTTTTTCATCAACACTTTCTTGTACCTATGGGGACTTTGGGTGCCATCGTTGTCCATTCTTTCTGTAGCCTTGATGGTTCCCTCCAAGGAGACGGTAAAAAGACCAAAATTGACCACTGAATCGGAAGTATTCGTAATTATAATGTATCCATTGACCACATCTCCACTTGAATATTCTTTGAGTCTTGTCTCTAATTCGTTCTTTTGGTTCGGCAGAGGAACCTTCTTTGTCACATAGATCTGAACATCAATGGGTGAAGAATGGCTTTTAGGCAAGCGATCAATATTGTCGAGAACAGTGTGTCCATAAGTATCTGTTGGTTCGTTGATACCACGGTACCTAGGGGTTGAAGAAGCAGGACCAGGCTGGTCGTTTGAGTCGTCAAAGTAGAAGTTTTGCTCTTGGTAGGCCGAGTCGTTCATCTGATACTCATTGAGTCGATCAGCCGTAGACAGAAGAAGACCATCGATATGGTTTTCATGGCCCGATTGTGACGTTGCAGACGTCTGAGGCGAAAGAGATGGCGAAAGTACTGGAGATGCGCTTCTGGAGTCCTCGTATGTGGGAGGTTCACCACTTAAACTTTCGTTGAACTGAGCATCGTCTCGTTTTAAAATTGACTGGAACATTTGAAATGAGGGTAGAACATGGAAATATTCTGTCCTTGTACCGGACAAGGTAGTGGTCAAATCTGCGTTCACATTCACGTCTGTACCGAGTTTATCGATGTGTTTTTGAAGCTCTTTCGATGGTTTATAGGGGACATTACGCTGGGGTGTCTTCTTTCCACCAGACGAAGATCCAGACAGGGGTGCTGCCATTGCACGCAAAACATTACTGCTGCTTCTCCGCGAGACTGGGGCTCTCCGAGAGGAAGGCTGTGAGCTGGAAACACTTTCCAAGTCCGAATTGGAATTAATAGCTTCTGAATACTGAGGCGGATTTTGGTCTGGTTGAGCTGATTTAGTTACATTATGAGAAGCGGCTTGAGTGCTCAGAGGTTTCTTCACTTCCTTCAGGTCATTGTGGCCGAGTTTGGGAACTGGAAGTCTCATACCACAAACAATACCTTATCTAGGCAGAAGCTATGATGCGTAGAATTTGAGAAATCGAAGCGCCGCGCACCTAAATAGGAACAAATGCCGTCGATAGCCGATGCGAGGTATCGATGCAAAGTTTAAAAGATGGCTAATTGAGGCTCTAAATTGCAATTGAACCATACTACATAGAGGGCGGGCGTTGTCTATTCCACAACAAGTGCCAAGTTTCAGGAACCACGGCCGGTCAAGGCCGAGAATATCATCAAGGTAAGGGAATTACAAGTTCCCAAACGCAGTAGACCGTCGTGAAATGTGGTAAATCATCATATACTTGGCACTCGGTGTGTTGGACATATAGTTCTTACATAACACCTACACCAGGTGAGCGTAGAGATCATGGAAAAATCTTATATATCTTCTTGTTGATATCAGATCGAAAATTTTCTTCCTAAGAATCAGACATATGCTTGTCAAAAAATTTCAGTTCATCTTGTATCGTTAGAAGATATCGATCTTCACATTAGAGAGAAAAAAATATGACTGTTGTTAGCATTCATTATAGCATTTTGGTATCAGAAAGGCATGAATGGTATTAAAATAAGTGTTGTCATCAGCGGGTATCCCGGATCTGACTCGTCATCTTAGAGATCATCTTGTACCAAATGGAAAAAAATTGGACTTACCTTACAATAAATCTTCGTTAAGAAATTTGTATTGACTTGTGGTTAGTTGGTCCCATAGAAAAAATATAGTTCCACTCAGTCACGGTGAGTTTCTGAGGCTCACCTTAATGCGTTATCACTCATGGCTTTCAGTGCCCAGTGCAATAATTCCTCATTGTGCGTTGGAAGCAAACTTACCTATTGTTAGTTTTGTGTTTTGTTTAAATTTGGTAAATCAGAAATAGTGCAAAAACTTGTCAATCATAGAGATTCAGCCAGTAATTCCAGCTTTGTTTTTGTTAAGTCATCATCTAAAGTTGTCGTTATCACATACCTATTGAACAACTCAAATGAGTTTTCGTCTACCTATTGCGTTAGTCCAGAATCCAAGAAAATGAGCAACTCAGTTAACCATGCATATGGCGCTGTGATCATTCCGTAGTCACAAACTCTAGTTTGAAAATTTTTGGATCATCCTCATTGCAACTGGAAGACTTACAAGAAATAAAAATTTTGTAGGAGAAACATCGTCAAGATGCTCTGAAAAATTACTCGCGAATTTTGGTTTTTATATGAAAAATTTTCGGTAGTGCTAGTACCAACGGCTGCAACGACAGAATGATGTAAGTATTGTACTTCTATAGCTATTTACTTTGGGGCATTGGAGGCATACCAAACATCATTGGTGGAGGCATTGGCATATTAGGGTTCATCATCATGGGCATGCCATAGGGCATTGCTGGAGCAGGCATAGAACCTGCTGGGCGTTGTCGTTTAGGATCCAGTCCATTTTCTTCAGATTTCCTCTTGTAAGGGTTTTCGAGACCCAATTCCTTTTCTTTTTCTTCGACGTAAGCCTCGATTTCTTTTTCCAACTCTTCGTTTCGAATCAACGAGTCTATAAATACATCTTCCAGATCACAGTTGGGACAGTGGAAATCGTTGTCAATAAGCGTCAGCTCAAGAGAAGGCTGATGGTAGTTGAAATTACGCAACTTTTTGAGCTTGCTGACATCCTGACAACACGGCGTCATGACAATGGGTGGTGCCAACAACTTGCGACTACTAGTCAGCAATGGGTCCACATACAAAGGATGTTGGTCTTTTTCCGCAGCAATTACCATTTTTTCATCATATTCTCGCCTGGCTTTCATGGCTGCACTTTGTTGCTTTTCTTGATATGTCAGCCATGTCTTGGTATCAGCCATCGTGAGAACGTATTCTCCTGTCTCTGAAATCATATAAGTATTACCCTGTTGGTCCACCAAGTCTCCATTCTCGTTCGTGGTCACTGAACTGTCACTGCTTTGTAGTCTTTCAACCGCTTCCTTGGACAATGTCTTCAAATACGACCGAGGAATACCGGTTGTTCTCTTGATCTTCTTTCCTTCAAAGTTCGGATCAGTATTGGTGGGGCAGTTTTTGATCCAGTGGTCCCTTGCCACCACATCTGTAGCACATGTATCCTGGCGGAGGAACGTCTTCAGGATTGGTGGGGCCAGCAGCAGGCTTGTTGTAGATGACTTTATGTGTAGAGAGATCGTCTTGAATTTGTGCCCAAACATTGGATTGGTTTTCAAACATAGCCTTTGTTCTTTCCTCCTCAGTCATATTCTCGTTGACAGGTACAGTGTTCACAGGGTTTACAGGGGCAGCAGCAGCTCCTTGGATGGCTTTCTTGTTGACTCTGGGCTTTCCACTGACGTACCTGGAAGCGTTTCCTATGAACCCGATCTTCAGACCGGGAGGCGACCGCCTTGCCAACACAAAAGACGATCTCGTGATAACATCCTGGTCGTTTTCATATTCCAAATCCGGTTGTTCTGAATGGTAGAGTCGCAAGTTGAAGTCTGTTCCCAGCCCCAACAGGTTTTGTTCGATGATTTCGTGCTTTAGATCAAAGACACTGATACCAGTACCGTCGAAATGCACGGTGGACTGCTCCTTTTGGTGGAGAAACCGATAGAACACAGTCGATGACATATGCGCCTTTAATGGAAATGTTTCTCGCCTGTTGAGAAATTCAAAAATTCGAGTCGCGAACGAAAAACAACTTCTCAACTTGTTTGTCACAAGTACAGATTTAGGAGTGGTGCCATCATGTCCCAGGCTTCTACTGTATGTGCTCTCAACGACCACTTGCCCAATACGGTCTTGAGACTTCCACTCAAATACCCAAGTACAAATAAAGAGTTGAAAAGCCATGAATACTTCGAGAGCCAAATTGCATATACCGGCTGTTTAATTGCAACAACTACTCACATGGTGGACCACATCTCGTGGAGATTGAACAATGACTTGAAAACCATCACCTTGACCCCCATCTGCATCTCCAATCCTTTCCAACTCGAGTGTCGTACCATCTCATTGCTACTACCAAGCCAGGTTTATCCCCATTGTATCGATGCCGTTTACCATGGTGAGGAAGGAGGTTACTTGGTCGTTGACGTGATTGACGAGAATTACCTTTGGATAACTTTGAGGATCGAAATGAATGACTTTCTTCACAACACCAAAAATTTCAGACCTCTCACGTTGGACCAGTTTGAGTCCTGGGGTCACATATCCGTTCCTTACTCTTTCGAGTTGCGGTCGAATCCATATTGCTTGCGTGTGTTGGACGAGCGCAATGTGGTGGTCTCGTTGAAAGATGGGGGCCTTCTACATTTCCAGAGGTCGTCGGTGCTCGCCGATTTCAATGTCTTCAACTGTGAGGAAAGCGCTCATTTTCACTTGGGAGGTATTCTCGATGGCATTTTCAAGAGCGGAAGGGCAGACTTGACTGTCGATGGGGTTTCCTCCAATGCGGCTATAGACGCTACCATAGTCCCAGATCCATCTAAATCTCTCATTGCGACGCTCACAGTCAGCAAGACCATCAAGTTTTGGGACTTGAAGGAACATTCGCTCTTGAGAGAACGTACAATTCACCCACAAGACACAAACACATGGCTCTCATTTGGTCCAGCTCGATATTTGCAGTGTTATGGTAATGTTCTCGGCGTACACTCATTACTGCAAACTAAACACTCAACTTCCATTGACTTTTGGGACGTAAGCCCGTTGAAAGAAGACCAAAAGAGCTACAAAATCTTACATACAGTTGAACTCCTGTCCCCCACAATCAATGGAGCCCCGTCAGATAGTCCTTTTTCCAATGATATCTGGTTTATTCAGGACTTCACACTCAAGTTTGAAAAAGGAAACTTTACTGTTTTGTGGAAATCTAATAACTCATCTATATTGACGATATACGACCTGAAGAACTTGGCAGAAAATGACAAACCCCCCAAACTTTCGCAGTGGACATTGAGCGGTTCCGAAACAGTAGCATTGACCACTTCGTTCCAAGACACCGAATTCTTTGAAAATCAAATTTTCAATACCGGAAAATACAACTGCCTTATACTTCGTACAGCTATGAATGTGCTTCGGGAACATGCTAATCTAGACATCGTTTATGGGGGAAGAGCCATTAGACAGCTGATTTACGAAACCGTCGATACAATATCTGCCATGGAGGGCGTTGATAAAAAGGCAACATGGCTCAAGTTGATTTCTTTATGTGACCAGTTTCGCAAGACGGGTCAAGAGAGCTTATCGCTTGCTGAATATACTGAAGATTTTAATTTTGAATCAATTGCCCTTCAGGTGGATGCATTCAGTCTTTTCGCAAAACCTCATGATTTCCAAGTCTTTTCAGTTTTCCTGGAAGATTCTGAGAAAGGAAAATTGGCCACAATTCTTTCATCTTTGACGCAGAAATTTTCCAACAAGTCAAGATTCAAAATTTGCCAGGCATTGTTAGAGCGAGGACAGATTAGCTCTTCCTCGGCCACAGAACTCTATGATGAATTCATACAGAGTAAAGTCGACGACACTGAGGCTATAGACTTTCAGAACAGGTTGGCTGAAGTATCTTTAAAGACTATTCGGGAGATGATTTTTTCCAAAACCAGAGAAGAAGACACAGAAATGCGAACTGCTTCAGACTCTAGCGTATCACCTTTCTTAAGGCTTAATGCCATATCATCCTTAAGAGATATCAAGGATGCGCACGAAAAGATTCTTATAGACATGGCAATAATCTTTCTACTTTTTGATCCTCGAGAAGAGACAGTCGAATTGCTCAATGCCATCGTCAAAAGATTATCGTCATACGCCATGCTTGAGCATATATTCTGCACCTGCTTCAACGACCAAGGTACTGAACTAGAAAGCCACAGTCTCAGCAAACCAGAAAATTCTGTATTCTGGATTTCTGTGGCAGACAAGTTTCCAGCATTAAAACAACTCATAAATGGGGGTGACATGGCTGGAGCATTCGATTACCTTGTCGAGAAACTAGACAAATCTTACGATGAAGTCATATTAAATGTGGTTATCGAATTACTCAATCGTGGTAATGGTGAGGTGGTAAGGAAGAACTATATCAAAAGCTTGAATCCGAATCGCCTAATTGACCGCATCTTGATCGGATTGGTTTACTTGCTTACAGATGATGTTGACAACTTTCGTGCGACTTTTGAAGACTTTGCTGAAACGCTGCTTCTTCAAAATGAGCAGAACAAAACAGACGCTCCACTTGAGGACCGTCTAAACTACAAAAAAGAGGTATCTGATCTCTTAAATGCAGTTTTCGCTTCGTCTTCAAATCCCGCGGCACAGAAGTCCAACTACTATCATACCCTCTTCGCTTTGGCAAAGTCACAAGCCAAGGTTCTTCGTCATCGCTCTCACGAGAATATCATCTCGCCCAATTCCACTTCGTCAGCTGAAGCGAAGTTTATAAAAGCAGCATTACTGTTTGAGCAGAAGGCTATTTCCTACCTGAAGCAAGTTGTGAAATCTGAGCATCTCAAGTTCAACTTGGATGATGCATACTTGAACGTCTACGAGTTGGGTCTTTACTTGCAAGATTACAAGTCTGTTTATGAAAGTTTGCAGAATTTGTCTCCTGTTGCTGACGAATACGATTACAACTATTTGATGAAACGGTACCTCAGCAGACTTATTTCCCAGGGTTCCATTTCAACTATCTTTCCACCAAACGACAACAAATTGTATCGCGACAACTACTTGTTGATTGACTCTGTGCTCTTGGACTTGGCAAATAATGAGCTTGTGTTGGCATCTGCTCTCACCTTTTACGAATACTTGTATTCTTGGAGGCTACTTGGATCCGCAACAAAAGTTGATCCTACGGAACTAACCGATAAACGAGGAGCAGCAGAAGCGCTCTATATGTTTATCACCCGCTTTAAACTCGAACAGCCAGACCTTTTGAGCAGTACCAGTGAACAATCAGAAGATATAAAGCAGTATAAACTCAAAGTGTTGGAACTCTACTTGATGATCTTGAACTGTCTTCAAAGTTTTGAGAGCATTGAAGATCAATGGTTGGTTAAATCACAAACCAATGATTCCTTGGCAGTGGTCAAGTTAAACGAGATTACTTTGGAATACTACAATTGGTTGAAAGAGATAAAAGACGAGCTTTAGGTATATCATAGTTAATACAGACCATAAAATAACGCTGGCGTGTGTGCAGTACCACCTTGTATTTCTCATATTTCAGGAGTATAAAAGGGTCGGCTATAATATGAGTGCGCCAGTATACTATGAAATATATCGTAGAGCGACCATTGGGACGACTTTGGCAGATGCTTTAGACTCGTTGATTACCGATCAACAAATCCAGCCCCAACTTGCTAACAAAATTTTGAATAATTTTGATAGAGTAATTTCTGATTTGCTCAAAAGCGAGCTGGGAATTGCCAAGTCCAAGTTGACTTTTAAAGGAGATTTACACACTTATAGATTCTGCGATGATGTATGGACATTCATCATCAAAAATGTGTTGATTAAATTGACTGATGTGTCTAATTCTGGTGACATGTTGAATGACAATGAACTCTCGGTAGATCGGTTTAAGATTGTGGCCTGTAATGCTAGAAAGGCAGGAGAGTTGTAATTTAGTGTATTTAAGTAATGGACATGAATGAGATGAAGAGTAGAAGAGAAGAGTAGAAGAGCTCTGAAAATAAGGTGCCATGAAAGACATGACTCAAAATTCAATGTTGGCACAAACAGTCCTAGAATAGATCTCAACTTATGCTCTATTTCACTTGTTGAAGCTGACCACAGCCCATTTACCGGAAGAGCTCCAGAACTCTCCAACTTCGTTTCCCATACTTTTATACGTTTCGATCAACTGCTCATCGACACCTTGGGGCAAGCCCACTACAACGTCAGCCTTACAAGTACGCAAACTCAAGATTGGAAGACCCGAGGTAGCCAAGTCTTGGATGGCGGTTCTGAAAGGAGTAGTTTTGTCCCAGTGGATATCGCCTGTCAATTTACGATAATTCAAGTCTCCTTTGAAAATGATCAAGTCAGATTTTTTCAACTCGGCAAATAAATCGTCTTCTCTGACGATGTCCCAGAAGTTGGCGTCGGTGGTCCAGAATGGATGGGATTGCACTCTGATTTTGCCATCTTTATAGTACTTCTTCAATGCTGAGGAAAACTTGGTGAGTGCTTCGTCTCCATGAAGTTCTTTGAAGAAAGATGGATCCTCGAGTTGAGATACGAGAGCATCAAAGTCTTTAGGCATGGTGTCACTAACAAACCAAGGAATCTCTTTGCAATGAATATCGATTTCTTGGACCAAACCTGAATCCAATGCGAACAATGCCAATACTAAATCGGTGAAAAGTTCAAAACCAGAGTTGTCAAGAACAAAGTCGATCCTTTGAGACTTGGAGGACTTCAAGTGAGCCCAAGCACTTTCAAAATCGTTGACTAAAATGTTCTTTTCGTTCTTTTTTCTGGCCTCTGCTCCTTGCACAGACTTGATATCATCTGCTGTAACATTTCCAGCAAGCAAAGAAAGGTCTGTGGCATTGCCCCACAAAGACACGTCAATGAGCTCTTTGAACACAAGCTTGAAAGCATCTTCATCGAGATTTCCGGTGTTAATTTCTCCATTGAGTTTCTGGTAGAGCTTACACAATTCAATCACTCCGTCCGAAGATTGGCGGAAAGTTTCGGTCTTGAGACGCTCAAAAATATCATAAGTGTGCCAGTGACTTTCGTCAGAAGACCACATTTGCAAATGAATCCATTGGTACAAGTAACATTCCAAGTATAACCAGGGACCAGTCAACCAAGTTACTTTTTTCATTTCGTTCAAACGACGAAGAGATTTGTTATAGCGGGCCAAGATCTCTTTCGGAGTGCCCTTCGAAGTCTCATCGAATGGCTCGACAACTTTATCACTCTTAAAATCATCCAACAATTGCTTAAAGGAATCTATGAGTTTTTCACCTGAAGACTGAAGAGTAGAATTATTATCTATTTCTTTCTTGATATCCTCAATGCAGCCCTCTATGATTGTGGGCCATCTGTTGTGTACTGTGGGATACGCAAACGACTTGGGATCGTCGTTGTAGTAGGGGAGTGGTAACATTAGGAGTAGAGGATGGAAACGGCCCGGCTGACATAAGGTAGGGGACTAGAGTGCGAAAGTGAGACAGAGAGACAAAAAGGGCAGGCCCAAACTACTGATAGAAGGGTTCAACAATATATGACTCGCCAGGACTGTAGTACTCAGCGGGTCGCTTGAAGACTCATACTCTTGTTGTAAGTTGCTATCGAAATAGTCTACTTTGATTTTGCATTCAAATCAATTTGACGTATGATTATTTGAAAACAATACTTTAGTGCTTAAAAACCTGTCCACGGGAGAGCTGGCTAACGATAGAATGAGACTAGGATCACTAGGGGAATTAGGGGTAATCAGATGAAAAAAGCCCCAGTGCCTGCATCTAATGCGAATGGATGCGAAATTTAATCTTTGATTTCAACTCAATCAAGGTATTATCATGAACTACGGCCGAGATCCAGATGCTCTAGAGCGCTATTACATCTGTAGGGGCACCAAGAAGTTTTATACAAACTTCAACATCTCGGTAGAGCTTAATCGAAAAACAGATTCCACACAATTGTCAAATGCTCTCAGAGCCATGATTTTAAAGACGCCTAATCTTTCGTCTAATGCGTTTAGAGATGATAATTCGGACGATGAAAAGTGCAAGGGACTCAACTTTAAGGTTAATTACCTCAAGAAAATTGAATTTGAAACGGCAGTCTCGTTTGAAAAGTTTGATAAATTGGACGGTGAGTTCTTTACCCTGCTTGACCAAAGATACTGTCCAATAGGTGACCAGCTCCCGTTATGGAGATTGGTGGTGTTTGAGAATTCCAAAACCCAGATTCTCAGTTTCTATTGTGATCACACGTTTTTTGATGGAACAAGTGGTGTTCTATTCATGAAGGACTTGGTTAAGGAATTGAACGAATGCTGGAAATCGCCCAATCTTTCTTATCAGCCAGTCTTGTTTGACTTTGAGAAAGATGCCCCCAGCTTGGGTAGGATCCCTCGTGGAGCTTTCTCGGGCCTGTCTTTGTATAAGCTTTCCATTCTTGAAGCGGTTCGGATCGCATTTTATGAATTGTGCGTGCCTTCTTTTGTGAAGAAATTTCTTCAATCCTACATTTGGGGTGGCCCAAATTTGTTCCAAAACCCCTTGTTTGTATCTGGGTGTCGAGGTACGGCAGTCCCCAAAACTTGCGTCCGACCAGTTTCTTTAACGAAGGATTTGGCTGGACCACTTCTCCAACTTTGCAAAGCCCACAAAGTGACATTTACGCCTCTTTTAACCACCTTGACGTTGTACTCGTTTCAGCAGACAGTGAAGAAGAAATTGAGTTTGGAGAACACCTCGTCAAGAATCAACATTGATATCAATGGAAGAAGGTACCTACCAGAATATGTGAACAGATATGGCCTTTGCATGTCCACATCTATAAGTTTGGTTGCTCCAATATCATCCACTGGTAAGTGGTTTGACAAAAATTCACCGCTCAGAAAGACAAGCAAAACGTTACTTGACGATATCGCTTCCAGATACCCTTTCAGGTTTGGAGGTATTTTGAACTACGTCAACCCTTGGAGTTTTGTGGAGAAGCAGCGAGACCTGACTGATTGGAAGACTTTGGACTGTTCCAACGTTGGCGTTCAGGATATCTCTTGTGGAGACTGGTCTGCTACTTCTGCTTGGTTTAGTCAATCAACTGGAATGACACTGAACTTGGTACTTTCATGCATCTCCGTTAATGGAGTGATCAACATATGCTTTGGATTTGCGTCTGGTTTAGTAGACTTGGTCGGAGAAGAAACCATCGATGCCTTCGAGGCTCACTTTAAAAGGACCATTCATGAATTGATAGAGACTTGATCGACATAATATGCACAGGTGACTACATTCAACAACACATGATATGATAAGATGACACATTATATGACTCACCAATGGATAATGATCTGGATGGTCCATGATCTATTAATAAGAAACCATGTTATCCATTGGTCTATGTACTAATAAATTTTATGCATTTCGCAGCCAATTCATATTCTGGCATTCATCCAGGTGATGAAGCAGACAAGGTCCAGTACGCTGTACTGATGGTTAGTGAGGCTCTCAGCACCAGTTCATTGAATGAAAGAGATATGGAATAAAAAATAATTTCCTTCAAATTTAACGGGCTTGATAACCTCGCATTGTTCCAGTCACCATTCTTCAACGGGCTCAGTATGACCAGTATGACGACGTGGGAAAGATGCTCAACCGCTGCGTATCCTGCTATGGTGTGTGTGTGGCTACATTCTGAACGAAAACATTCAACTAACTAATACAAACATACTGAACACTTAGTATACACGGTAAACATCACTGCCTAGGCACTGTTTCTCTTAGCGTACTCTGCCTTTTCCTTCTCGTATCTCTTCTTGTCAGCCTCGGCCTTAGTCTCGTAAGGAACCTTTTCGTCGGCATTCATTGCCTTCCACTTCTCTCCTAATAATTTACCAACTTGGCCAAAGGCAATACCAGGGTTTTCGGCTCTAATAATGTCTCTGTTCTCGTTGGCAAAGAACATGTAGGCAGACAACGACCTCTTGGGTGCGTCTGGGTCCTTCTTCTTTCTGGTGGTTTTTCTCTTCTCAGCCATGGTAAACTATGTTAGTTTGTTGTTGTTTGTTTACGCGTTTCTCGTGGGCTGGCTGGTACACCCGGTGCACCCACCCCTAATTTGCGGCACATGAAATTGCCGCCTCAGTGGTGAGCCAGCCGGGGCAATTTGCGGTAATCCACTGTTTGTGAGAATAGGGGTTGGTGTAGCACGTAGAAGAAACACCATAAACTTGTAGGCCACTATTGTGGTACTTGTGTGGTAGCTTGACACGCGAAAGTTGTTTTTGTACAATCTCACCATTTTTCTCGAAAACACGGTGTCAACCACAAATACCACTCGAACCGTTCAGCACGACAAGTAGACGGTGTAAGTTCATTCAAAGGTGCTAGTAGGAACCACAATTGCCAATTTAGTAGTTGCAGCCATTTTTACCAGCCGCGCGCATAATCGAAATTCTCATACATACTTAACTATGTGCTAACAAATTTGTGTGTAAAATAACTAGGGGCGGTTTTAATATGGGGCGGATAATTATGAGGTTGCTGTACTGACATATATTTGTTAGTGCTGGGATGTACGCGCGCACGCCGGTGGACAGTGCGGGAATTTACTGAGGGGAAGTTGGTGCAGGCGAGCCGCACAATGCAACAGTGAGGTGAAAGTGAAGGTGAACAGTGAAGATGAACAGTAAAGAGATGAAAATGAACATGAACAGGTGAAAATGAAGAGTTCTCATAACCCATGCATTCGCTAGTCTAGTACCATCCACGGTATTGTGAATTGTCCTGGTATCCGTACTGAGGATATTGTTGGTAAGCACCATACTGAGGCATTGGAGGCTGTGGTTGCGGCTGGCCACTTGGAACTTGTTCGTTGTCCTTTGCTTGACCAGGTTGTTGGGGTTGCGAGGGTTGCAATTGAGGTTGCTGTGGTTGTTGCTGTTGAGGGTAGTTGTATGGATATCTGTTTCCAAATTGATTGGGTTGGTAATATTGCGAGTTACCAAATCCATTGACAAATCCACCAGCAGCAGCACCGGCACCACTAGCCACTCCCGCGGCGGCTCCAGAAACTGAACCAGAAGAGCCGCTTACACCTTGAGCGTTGGAACCGGTACCATTGGCACCAATAGCTCCGAAACCGGTTTGTTGCAATCCAGCACCGTTACCGTAGAATGGAGTGTTGTAGTAGTAATTGTAGTAAGGGTAACCATATGGGGCAGCAGGAACTTGCTGTTGCTGCTGAAGAACCGAGGGATTGACCACGGGTGATTGGGTGCTCACATTACCTTCTTGACTAGTGGGTTGACCTTGACCACCTTGGGCGTATTGGTACGAAGCAGCCGAAACATGGCTGGCAGCAGGCGAAGCCACCGACTGTTGAGTGTAGTTGTAGTCCATACCAGGGTATACGAACTGAGCTCCAGGCATACTTTGGGTGGTTTGCTGGGGAAACTGTTGTTGGAATTGCGAGTAGTAGTCGTATTGAGGATGGGGCTGTTGCTTGGGGAGTTCTTCTTGCTGTTGAGGTTGTTGTTGAGGTTGTTGAGGTTGCTGTTGAGCTTGAGACTGTTGAACTGGTTGGCTTTGAGTCTGGCTTTGAACTGGTTGAGTGTGAACTGGAGCCTGCGCTTGAGCCTGTTGAGCCTGAGCCTGTTGGCTTTGCTGAGCCTGTTGGCTTTGGCTTTGCTGGGTCTGCTGTTGCTGATACTCAAACGAAGACTCGTCTAAAGCCAACGAGCCAAAAGAAAACACCAACATTGTCCAACTTTCGGCATTTTGTGGTAATAACTACATTGTGCAGCGGGTTACAGGAAATTGGAGCCTCTTTTTTGGACAACCGGTTCTCGAAGTTTCCTCAACGGGCTCATCAACAGCCATGGGACTGTTCTTCCAAGTGTGACTCAGACGCAGCAGGTGCAGCCTTCATTGGGCTTTGGGCATTAGGCTTGGATTTTGGCGCAATGGCACTGGCACCATGAAGATGTCTTGTACTGGTAGCGGGTTCGCTCCACAACCGTATCCTTTTACTTGCTCTGGTGCCGTCTCCTGTCTTGGCTGGTGCTTGGTGCCAGTCTTTTTATTATGCGACTTGGGTTCTCTTTGTTCTTTTGGTTCTTTTTCTTTGGGTTCTTCCTTAACTTCCTTGGTTTCCTTAGTAGCAGTTTTGGGCTTGGGCTTATCCTTTGCCAAGGCAGCTGCCCACGAATTGCCTGGTGGTGCACTGGCAGAAGTAGATGACGCTTCCCTCTTCACTGGGGTTTGTGATTGCTGCGTGGAAGTATGACTGGAAGGTTGAGACGATGTCTGGGATGGAGGATTTTGCGTCCGTTTTCTCACTGTTTTTTTGGGAATGGGATCCTTGGGACGGTGCTGGTGTTCTACAACCGTGGTTTGACCATTGGAATCTTCTTCTTTGTCCTTCTTCTTGTTCTTCACTTCCTTTCTACTAGGCTCCCATTTCGAAACCTTATTGTTTACGATCAAATCAATCACCACTTCCACAAGGTTGTTGTGCTCACTCAAGAGTGATGCCAAATCATCAGATTCCCAGTCTGGGAACATTTCCACCAAATTACCAAGTTCATCTGGGGTAGTGCTGGTGCCATTGGAGGAGCGCTTCAGCTGGTTTCTATTATTTCTTCGCTGTGACATGATGGATGTAAATGATATTTACGCGGGCAAAGCCAAAGAATGCGACTCCTACTTTGTCCCTGGAAAAAAAAGTTAACTATACTATCAACGAAGTTGGATGTCGAGTCGGGGACGTTAAATTTTCATTAGCGGCGCACGACCGTAATCCGTGACCGAACCACCGCGACATTATTGCGACATTTTGGTTGGTTGCAACACCAGTATCAACTTGGTCAGTGTTCCGCCACCAGTTTGGGAGATTAAGGGTCCTACCAATGTGGTAAGAGTTTGCTCAAAGAGAGTGTCAATTATGGTTTTCAATTCTCGTCCGGTTTGCTTGAAATCAGGGTATGCATTGACCTCCAAGAGTGAAACTTGGTTATCATTTGCAACCAAAAAATCTATGCCATAAATTTCAATTGCGTTGTCGAGCGGCTGGAAGTTCATTCTGTCGACGTTGACGGCGGCCTTGAACAAGTCTGCTGTGATTTCCTTGACTTGGTCAAAAATGACATCTTTCTTTTGATACTCAAGATCCCAAAACGGAACCACCAAGGGCTCGTTTCCTTGAATACAAGTATTGGTCAAATGACCATCCATGGCTACTTCTGTCTCTGAACCGTCTGGCTGTGTGTAGGGGGAATCAGCAAACAAACACAAGATATCTTTGTAAACATATACCAGAAGATTTCCCGCACAAACCACATAGGTGCGAAGATGGAACTTTCTATTATTGCATTGGCCCAATAGCAATGGATTGGAAATGTACTTTTGTACAATGAAATGACGAAGCTGTGAAACAATCACTCCATTTTCTTCTTCGTCATCACTTTCCAGTTCGAAAGAATCGAAAATTGCTTGCAATTGTTTCACCGTTTTGAAAAGTCTTATTCCTTGGCCCTTATCGGACATACTGGGCTTTAATATCCATGTATCTTTCCCTGTTTCCAACTCCTGGCGCAACTCGTAGCATTCATCTAGGGCATCATCGAGAAACTCAGCATAATCAACTTCAAGTTGGAAGGTTTCTGGAACAGCTTTCGTCAATACCAGCAGCGGGTTCTTGGCCACATAATGGTGCACTGTGTTGGCAAGAAAGTGCTTGCGAATAAGCGACTTTCTGTAAATGTATGAGCATACAAAATACCGTTCTGGGTGTTCCTGGAGCAAGTCAATGTCCAAGTCTTCGTATTCACCGTAATGGAAAACTTTCTCTGTCAGACTTAAAATATTTTTGTCCGTTGTAAAGGGTATTTTGTTCCTTTTGCAAGCCTCAACGATGGAGTCATACACATAAGAAGTCTGAGGAATGGTGACAAGACAAGTCCAGTTAGCTTTTTCAAAACTAATTTCTGTTTTGTCTTCAAGAACAATTTCTCCTTCAAGAGGATGGGTCACCGTGAATGCAGCACGCAACGGAGTCACACTGATGCCCTCGTTGAGCAAGACCCTGCTATCTGTATGGCTGGTATCTAACAAACCGTCTTTGTAAACTTTTTTGAAATCAGGATTCCACAAGAATTGTTTGCGTCCATTATCGTCGACATTTGGAGCATAAATTGAATTCCACAGGTTCTGGAGAATTGGAGCATAATGGATTCTTGTCGTACCCAATTTCAACGACTCCACAAGCGGAATATTGACAGAAAACAAGTCTACTTGTGGCTGAATTTGCAACTGGTGATACAATTTTTCAATCAATTTCACGGAAATCTTGGCAGCTTCTTTCAAAATTTGGTAGTCGTGGTCCAAACTGTTAAACGCATACGACAAGGCTATCGACTTGACGCCGTGGGTCACCGCTTCCATGGCAGCACCTACCGTACCACTGGTGAGGATGTACAAGTTCAGAGAATTTTTGCCGAAATTTGGTCCACTGACCACCAAGTCTATGGGAGTCTCGTACATGTGGTGAATGCCTATATCGGCACAGGCAGCCGGTGTGGAGTCTATAAGACACCATTCTTGGTAGTCAGAGGACCGATTTTGGGGGGTATCGTATGGGCCATCGTAGGAGTTTATATCGGGGTTTTTGACGGTTGTCGACGTCTTGGTGTATATATAGGTGGTGGAGAGAGTTCTTCCAGCAAAATGGGCCTTTCCTATCCAAGAGCGTTGTTGATTCGGGATGACGATGGACAACTGCCAGTCTGTAGCAGTGTTGATTTCATCCACCAAATATTTGATGTATGGACAAGTTTTGTCGTCCAACGGCCCATCGTCGTTTGTGAGAAGAATATGCATCTTTTTGATGTGGATATCAACTGTGAATCAACTGCGATTCAACTGCACCAGTTGCAACTATCTTCAATTTGGTGCGAAACTTTTGAAAAATTCCCAATTTGTTTCTCGCCTGTGATCAGAGTGTTCCCGAGCCACAGTAAAAAATCCCATCCCAGGTACCATTTGGGTCATTTTATGGCTATTTCCTGCTATCACAACCCTAAAAACCATATATAATCCACCACTTTACAGCCATGTCGTTTTTTTTAGGAAATACTTCCCAGTACTCCAACTCGATTGTCGATGAGACCAAGATCCAATTGGCCAAAATTCAACATGAGGCCATGTCTTTGACTTTCAATTCCATGCTCGATACCTGTAAAGAAAAATGCATTGCCCACGAATACGGAGAGTCCGATTTGAACACCGGAGAAATGTGTTGCGTTGATCGCTGTGTAGCGAAATATGTCAAAGCCAATTTGGAGGTTGGCACCGCACTTCAAAGTAAAGGGTTTACGCCGGAAGGCATCGTTGCCACAGTATAAGAAGATTAATAGCATGCGTGGGCAGAGTTGAAGTGAAACCAGAGTACATGTATATACGAGAAATCAGTTTTGAGGGCTGTGAATGTAGATTACTTTTTAATTCATTGACTCACAAGTATACACTTAGATTTGTCCCTTGGTGTGGAAGATCTCCAAAGCCTCGTTGATTCTGGCAGTCATGGTCTTCTCACCTTCTCTGACCCACACTCTAGGGTCAAAGTATTTCTTGTTGGGCTTGTCTTCTCCATCTGGGTTTCCGACTGGGGTCTTGAGGTAGTCTTGCTTCTTCAAAACGTAGTCACGAACACCGCTGAGGTAGGCGTATTGACAGTCAGTGTCCAAGTTGACCTTGACCACACCGTGGGTGATGGCGGTGTCGAATTCCTGTTTGCGACGAACCGGATCCACCATGGAAAACCAAAAACAATGGCTTGTCGTTCTTGGAGCCAGATTGTTCCTTAGCGTACTTTTGGTGCTCACCCAAGATTTCTGGCTTCAATTGCACATTACCAGGCTTGTAGACACCGTGCACGTTACCGAAAGCAGCGGCAATGGAAAAGTTTGGACCAATTGGGGAAAGGGCCTCGTAAACCTTGTATACGGTTTCTGGCAAGGTGTACAACGATTCCTTTTGTACGTGTTCGTTGTTGACACCATCTTCTTCACCACCGGTAATACCGATTTCCATCTCCAAGAATTGGCCCATTTTGTGCATACGCTCAAAGTATTTCACGCAAGTACCAATGTTCTCCTCGTCAGATTCTTCAGACAAGTCCAACATGTGCGACGAGAACAATGGCTCACCAGTCTTCTTGAAGAATTCCTCATCGGCATCCAACATTCCATCGAACCATGGCAACAATTTCTTGGCACAGTGATCGGTGTGCAAAACCACGGGAACACCGTAGGTTGGAGCAATTGATCTAATATAGTGAGCAGCAGCCACGGCACCAGCAATTGAAGCTTCCTGGTTCTTGTTGTCTACTCCCTTACCAGCAAAGAAAGCAGCACCACCTTGCGAAGTTTGCAAGATAATTGGTGACTTGTTATCACGAGCAGCTTCCAAAGCAGCGACAACAGTGGAGGAGGAAGTCACGTTAATGGCAGGAATTGCAAATCCCTTCTTTTGAGCATAAAGGAACAATTGACGAACATCATCACCGTAGATGACACCGCTCTTTCTAGAAAGTACGTCTTGGACTGACATTGTAAAATTAAATAATTAATCGAATCGCACTGCGTTGGCCTCCACTTTATATAAACTTGTGCAAGGAACACTAACGCCCGGCCACACAGGAATGGCGTGCGGGTAAATGTTGGATGACGTTACGATCACGGGATAAAACCGGCGGGATGCATGAAAGGACCACAGCAATTGCGGTGCAAAATGCGCGGAACACGGTCTAGGCTGTAGTTCCGGGGGCACGCGGTGGACATGGCTGCAATAATGGGACAGGTGGAGATGGTTGACCCGGCGGTTGGCGCGGACAACCGGAGGCCGGCGATGCGTGCAGGATCTCACCAGACGAGCACCAGGTGATCGCAATTCATCTTTTCCTGCACGCGCGATCGATCGCACCAGGTTTATTCTTTCATTCGCAATTGGTTTTTAGCACAAACTGATCAATTCGCACTAAATCCGCACTCATTACTTTCCTGCACGGCTCATTTCATTTCATGCCCTTTCGCTACGACCGCTTCCAGGTCAAACCCCGCGAGTTCGACGCCATCACTCGTTTGATCAGTGACCATCTTTCAGAACCTTATTCCATCTATGTCTATTGGTACTTTCTCAACACTTGGCCCCAGTACTGCTTCGTGGTGCGGAGCACCCAAACACCAGCTTCCAACGACGACGACGATGACGATATAATTGGCGTAATAATATCCAAAGTGGAACCTCATCGAGACGTGCGAATGCGCGGATACATCGGCATGCTAGTAATTGAGCCGGAATTTCGCGGCCAGGGAATCGCATCGGAACTTGTACGCCGGTCAATCAATGCGATGATTACCCAAGATGATGTCGATGAGGTAATGCTCGAAACCGAGGTGATAAATGATGGGGCATTGCGACTATACGAGTCCATGGGATTCATGAGGACAAAGAGGTTGTACCGGTACTATTTGAACACCCACGATGCGTTCCGGTTGGTATTACCTTTGCATGAAAAATCCGGTACTCGTATCGCATTTCTTCCCCCACTTTAATCCTGAAATTGTATATTAGTATTTAATCATCTTCATCGAATTTGGGTGCCAAGTAGAATCTCAAGTAGCCGCCCGCGTCCAACTTGTATTCAAACAATGCTGGGGTCTTGTCGGCCAACTTGATGCTGATGGATCCCGACAAACTAGTAGCCTTGATAATATCATTCAAGTACTTCAATCCAAACGTCAAGTCGACAGGATTCTCCAAATTCACGTTGATGCTCTCCTCAGGGTGGTCCATGTCGGTGTATGGCTTCAAAACCACCGATCCAGTACCGCTTTCACCCTCGGAAGTAAATTTCACCGAATCCTTGGTGACAATGATGTTCAACGATTCACTCAAATTCTTCAAATCACGAACAATCTTGGCAAATTCGCTCGAGGGCATATTTATCACACTATCGTACTCCATGTCGTCGATTTTCAAGAACTCCGAGTCGATATCCATCAATTTCAACGAATATTCACTAACCCTCTCCTTCTTCTTGTCCTCGAAAATCGTCATCACGTTGTCGGGATTGTCCTCAGCCAACAACGTCAAGTAGTCCTCGTTGTTTCCGCATCGAATAATCTTGGAAAAACTCTCCAAGTCAATTCCCAATGTAATATTGCGGTCACAACGATACTCGCTGAACGCGGTTTGACCCACCAACAAAGAAACCAACAAAACTCTGGAATCGTCCACCGCTTGCACGGTAATTCCGTGTTCTGTGCAGTTGAAATTGCATAGTTTGACGCAATCCTTGATGGAATCTACGATTTTTTTCAAGAGAGACGCTTCGTCAAATTTTCCTTCAAGCATGGTTGATGAAAAAAGACGCGCCGCGACTTTTGAAGGCTGGTGGTGTGTGCAGGAACGAGCCTGCAAGTAACCACTGTTACGTAGACTTCTTGTCGTGCATCTCTTTCGCCCACTTGAGCAAGTCCTGCTTGAGCCGGTCGGCCCGAACCAACCCATTGCGGAGCTGGGTCAAATTTTTAATGTATTCGTGCTGTCGCTGGATGCTCACCTGGAGATAGTTGATCAACTCTTCCCGAGCAGGATCTTCAGGTTCTTCTGTCAGGCGGGTCTGGAACGCCTCGTAGCGCTTAAACGTCTCTGGGAGAGCAAAGAACGGGTCATTGACCTCCAGCAGGTTGGTGCTTCTTGTAATTCTTTTGTCATCGCCCTGGTCGTCGTTGCCATTTTCCGTCGATTTTCCATCGTCGTTAAGCCCATGGTCGTATTTTTCGAGACCCATCTTGTCCTCGAGCACATAGTACCAGTCTTCTCCGTTCAAGACTTGCAAAAGCTTGTTGAGCCAGTTCAAGTTGTTCTGTTCCACCTCAATGAGATGGATGAGATTATTGGCCAAATTGGTAAACACCGGCAGTTTGTAAGTCTTCAGGATTGCAGTATGTGTCACCAACTCGGACGGGTGTGTCAATGGTGCCAAAATTTCCGAAAGTCGGATCTTTTTAAGTGGATGGTCATCGTCTGAGCCGGGGTCCGAGTCACTGGTTTCTGACTCGTTATCGTCGTCATTTACTCCATGTTCCGCATTCCACTTGCGCTTGCTCCGTCGATTACTGCGCTCTAGTTCGTCATTAGTATACACCACCTGTGAGGTGTTATCGTATTCGACAAGTTTTGTTCGAAGGTCGCCGTCAGCCGGTCCGCCCAAACCGGAACTTGAGAGTTTGTTTCCCCGGTTTGAAACGACCAATGCCGGGGGCTGGACAGCTGTCCGGCGCTGGAACAACGACTGTTTGAACTGGGAGATGATCTCCAACGACTGGGGATCTAGCATGGAGAATGAGTGTTGAGTGCGATGAATGAAGTACTGGTGGTGTGTGCAGGAACGGCCTGAACGAGCCAAGACGGCAGGACAGAAACTTCCATGTCCAATTGACTACAGAAACTAAAATTTCTTATCTGTTCCAAATCGGCGTCTTGCATTGATCTTCTAACTTCAGTAATCTTTCTAATTTTATGCAAACTTCAACTTAAGCAAACTTTTTCAACGTCTCAATTGCAGCAATATGGTCGTCGGTTTGGGCCAATCCACTGATGGTCAATGCCCCGATAACGACATCGCTTCCTTTCAAACGAATTGGCACACAGCCTCCGTGACAAGCATAATCTTCAATGGAAACATACAATGCTTCGGTCATCGACACACCCTTACTTCTCACCTTTGCACCCAAGAACAAACTGGATTTTCCAAACTTGAAAACAGCGTTACGCTTTCTACGAACCCAGTCGTCGTTGTCTAATGCGGTGCCATTGCCAGAAGTAGCATGGAAAAGCACCTGGCCAGATGTTAACGTGATATCAATCACCACTGGTTGATTTGGAAATTTTTCAATTGCAAGATTTCTAGCAGAGTTGCCTATTTCCCAAGCCAAATTGGAATCAAATTTGGGCAATGCAATTGATTCACCTTCTAAAGGTGTAAGCTGATCCGTGGTCCAGCCCAGGATACCTGAATACTTTTCTCCCCAAACCATGGTGAGGAATTGTCGAGCGCGAATTTGAGTTCAGTGTGGGGTTGGCAGTTGCACGACAAGGTCGAGATCTGGTAATTTTTGAATTTTTTATTAGCTGAGGTTGTAGGGATGGATTTGCAGGCTAGTAGCTGGTTAGTTGCTGCTGCTTTGTGTTTAAGTGGTCTTGGCATAATTTGAACTCGTGAATATAGAATTTGCAGCCATTGATTGTGAATGAAAGTAAGCCTATTCTTTTCAACTTGTTCATGTACTCACTTTTTCCTCTTTTCTTAACTTCATTCTTCATTAACATTGGTTTTTTTTACTCTATTTTTATTATTTTGTGGTTTCACCTCCATCTTCATCACTTCCAATTGTAGTGATTTTCAACTTATTTAACGAAAAATGGCTCTCATGACTTCAATTACCTCCTGTTTGCATTAGTGAACAGTAACTTTGCACAATTATTCTTTTGCTAATTCAATTTCGAATTTAAGTGATTTTTGAAAGTTTCATGCTAACTTATAATTGTCCACAATAGTCCATCGTAGTGTCATAATGAAAGTCAATGGAACTCTCTAGTTCTTAAGAGTTGAGGAGTAGCAAGATCCATATCATTTTAAGGTGGTTTACTCTGGTAATTAATGGTTCCGTCTTGTGCGAAAATGGCTGCGAAAAACCACCTCAAATCTACCAACTGCGGTATATACCTACTGGTCATAATAAGCTACTAGGGTCATATTGAGCCATTCTATATTCCGCTAACTATATCTACATCTAAGCCTAAGTAGATTTTTGGTTCTTTTGAGCAAACCTATGGAGCGTTTCAATGGCTACCCAGTGATCGCGTTCGTCACGAGTCGCCCGGATGGTCAATGCTCCCACAATTGACTTGCTTTCCTTCAAACGTATGGGTACACCGCCTGCATTGTAAAGGGTGTTCTCCACAAGAATACCATTCTCTTTGTTGTACTTTGACACGTAGGTTGTCAAGATATACGTTGAAAAGCCACGTTTGATAGCGGTGTTACAATTCTTACGAACCCATTCTTCATCGTCCAACATGATTTTACTGCCAGACATAGCATGGAAAAGTATTTGACCAGATTCCAGCGTAATATCAATCACAAAATTATTGGCTCCTAAATCTTCTGCTAAGGATTTCGCGCAACAACCTATTTCCCATGCCAAGGTACGATCAAAATTGGATAAAGCAATTGCTTCTCCTTCGGCATTTCTAATCTGGGATAACTCTTGGATCTTTTGGTACCGTTTGAGCCAACTCATTACAATTTGTGATAAATTTGCTTCTGTGGATTTTCTTGTCTTTTGCACTTCTTTTTCGCAGCCATGCAAAATGCGCAAATAAAAAATATGGAGAGTGTTTCCACTAAACGGAATCAATGTCGATTTCTGAGAAAATTTATGCAATAAGACACTGGAATTTTACTCCACAATCAGCTAACTGTACACGAAATGTGATAAGTGTATGCTTAGCAAGTAAAATTTTATGGGATTCCTAGCAATGGATATACGGTGATTTCTGCCTAGTTTCACCACTAGTCGAGCCTTCGTCTGAGTTTCTTAAATTGCTTTATTCTCTATTCTCTATGCTTCTAGAACTCAACGTAAAAGTTTAATATTGCTTTCATCATCATTATCATCCACCACAGGCATACACCGCTAGATCCTGCATTCATCTCACCTGCAACAATGCTGCGAATAAAATGGGTGCAAAAAATCAACTAATTGCAGCAAACGCCAAAGAATCACTTAGCTAATAAGAGAAAATGGTAATGAAGCTTCTTTTGGCTTATTTCCCTCCTTGACTTGAGCAAACCTACTCAACGTATCAATGGCTGCCCAATGGTCTATCGCGGGATCACTCTTGTGCGTTCCACAAGCCGTCCTGATGGTCAATGCTCCAATCACTATGTTGCTCCCTTTGAAACGAATAGGTACACTGCCTCCGCTGAAATTTTCATCATGAGGAAATTATTTTAGAGAATAGAGATCTAAATCTCTCTCCCAATTTCTATTACTAGGGTCCATAATGTGACTCGACTTGGCAAACCTGAATACGACTTCACGATTCTTGCGAACCCATTCTTCGTCATCCAAAGTGACATCGCTGCCAAAGGCGGCATGGAAAAGGACTTGACCGGATATCAAAGTGATATCGACCACCACAGAATGGACTGAATACAAACCATGTGCCAAGTCCTTGGCGAAACAGCCTATTTCCCACGCTAATCTGAGATCTAATTTGGATAAGGCGATTGAGTCACCTTCAAAAGACAAGATATGAGACGTTGATGGATGGTTAGTTTCGTAACGTGGTAACCAACTCATTGAAATTTGATAATAACCGAAGCCGACTGAAATAATACTCTTGCGACTACTTTTTAGTGGTCCAGACTGTGCCAACGCTGAAGCGAATTGTTCTTCATTCGTTCTGCTGATTTTAAAGGTACAGCGACCGTGGTACGCCTGCTTTTTCAAAGTTGCGGCTCCATTTGTGGGCTTGTGTTGTATACGTCAATTCTTGCCTTATGAAAGAAATCTCGGTTCCTCACTCTTTAACACAAAGTTGTCGGTGAATCCCCTAATTTTGTTGATACCTAGTCGTGTTCATAAATGCTGTCTAGGACCAAGTGAAGGTTCATTTTGCGGCTAATTGCTCACTTCTTCCAGACATTTATAAAACTGCTTCATGTCCTCTCAAGTACCAAACATTTTTTGAATATTTTTTGAATGAGAAAATTGTCCAAGTTAGTCTCTTTTGCATTAACCGAGAAAATAACCGTAGAAACGTAAACCCAAGTAAGTAGTCAGAAGTGTTTTGAACTGAACTGTGGTTGGGTGTTCAGTGCAGACTTCAGTAGATAAATTTCAATCTCACTTGACAAAGATTAAAAGCAATTTCTTCACGAGATTATCTTCGGTAAACAAGTCTTGATATCGCTTGGTGGTCTTACCTGTCATTTTCAAATTTTCTCTTCTCCTTTCTTAACGTTCGCAGCTATTCAATACTGCGAAAACTGCAAGTGAAACAGTTTTTAAAGTTGTCTTAAAGACATGGCATCAATTGCGCTTCAGAACTGCCCAAATCATTGTAGTAAGTTCATACCAAAACCAAGAGCAACTCAAAAACGGCAAAAATATCAAATAAAGCAAACCAGCAAATTTCAAGTGTTAAATCAGTTATTCAGACCTTCTGCCACTCAATCATAAACATTTTATAATCAAGATCCCACGACCATACGAATCTAATCACTCCCCAATTCATTCAAGTTTCTCATTTCTCTCCAGTTTAGTGCGGCACTCTATACAGGTCTCACTAGCGGCAAATATAGCATACTCCACATAAATTTCTGGCGTATCATTTACACCATCAGTGGCGGAATTTGCTAGTAACCGTCAACTTTTAGGGTCAGCATGCATCTAACAATCCATAATGCTCATAATGGCTTAACCACGTCGATCCAAAAACCCATACGATATCATTCCTATCAAAGCTTCAAAGAGTATATTGTGGAGTCGTTTACAAATTACATACTAGATGATGCCAATAATGTGTTTTTGTTGACTCAGTTTGGCATGAGAGTCGACTTCAACATAATCAACGAACTAAATGATATTTATTTTTTCGACAAACGACTATTTGTCAACGAAAACCCAGCCTCCATTTTAAAGGATTATGCCACCCAAACTATGCGAGATATCCCTCCTCCCAAGCATCCCCTGCTTGCTCCATATAGTCGGGGACTCAATATCCGGCAAATGAGTAGCAGTTTGCGGTCGAATGCTGGATGGTCTATGTCTGTCAAAGTAGACGCAGCATTGGCCGATGAACAAGTTCGAGCATATAAGCGGCAAATCAGCGTGATGTTCCGCTGCCTTAGCATTATGTTTGAGTTTATCGCCAGCTTTACGTCGGATATCGAAAACTCATTCACAAAGTTTTACAATCACATCAACCAATTGAGCCTCAAGACCCTTCATGAACATTGGAAATCTCACTACAAAACGCTTGCGAGCAGGCCCCAGTTCACATTCAAGAACGGTAAGTCTGTTCGTCTTGCGGATATGCTCAACTACGATGCTTTAGTTGAAGCGTCGCAGTTTGTAGAAAGAAACTTGCTGACTGTGATCGACCAGTTCAACCAGCTATCGGCCACCATTAACGAGGTGAATAAGTCCAAAATAGATATCGATGGTGAAATTCAGGTTTTGAGAGACGAGTCGATTGCTGAATTTGCATCTTTAAAGGCTCTGGAATCACTTGTCGAAGACATCAAGTCCATCGGCACCGCAATCTCGACAGAAATTGACCTGATAGCATCGTCTGAAAGCCGTGTTTTGGGCGATATATACACAAAACATGTTGAGCTGTCCAAAAAATTGGACGAAAAGTACGTCCAACTTTACAATGATCTCACGAAACTCGACCAGTTCAAGGACAAATTGGCTGAAAAGGGAACCGCCTTGTTTCGGCATTGCGCTCGGTTGCAGATGCAAATGGTTAACGTCAAGCTAGCATTGAACGAGTTTGATTCTAGAAAGCAAGAAGGCAAGCAACGCAGCGCTATGCAAAAAGTTCAAGAGATCAAAAAGAAGGAAGAGTATTTATCGTTGACCATAGACTTGCCATTGCTTTTTGGGTTTGCAATTATCGAAATGCGGCGCCAATATGAATGGTATGACTTCTTTGCCTCGGGTGCAGTCAGTAACGTTACTGAACAGCTCCAGGTAATTATAAACCAAGAACGTGTGTTCCGCAAAATCTGGGCTAAGAAAATCGGATCTTTTCTCTCCATCTTGGACTCTTTGCCGTCCGATTTATCCCAGACTCTTCCATCTCTCGATGTGACAGTGGTCAAGGGTCGAGAAGACTTTTTCGGAAAGTTTTGGATTCATGATATTCAAAGGGAAGATATCGACAAGTACATCAAGTGGGTCGGTAGTATCGATGCCGGGAAGCATGCCAATTTCTCCATGCTTCTTGAAAGAAATTTCGAAGACTTGATCAAGTCCACCAATGCCATGAAGCTGGTTACAAAGGCAATAGGGACGCTCTCCTCGTACACTTCTCCTGAAAATATCGATGCTGTACAACCCAACGACAAAAAGGAAGATCAGGACTTGATCCAGGGCTACAAGAATAGAATTCGAAAGCTAGAAAACTTGCTTCACCAACAGCAGTTCAAAGATCTTTCAACCTGGCCTGTGATCAAGGGAGCCACTCAGGATCAAAGTATAATATTCAATCCTAAGCGAAATTCCGGCGTTGGCTCGGATAATGTCTTGGTACATCTGCAGCACGACGCAAAAATCCTATTGCAGAACCACCGATCGTCCATCAAAGACGAACTGTCATCCAGGACCGACCACTTAAAACTTGCAAAAGAAAACGAGGATTTGAGAAAACGTTTGCAGGAGCTTCAAATTGGCGGTGAGAGAAGAGTCGAAGCCAAAGTTCCATTTGAAGCGAGCCTTTCGGGAACTAAGATATTGGCTCAACAAAACACTGAAATCTTGGCGCAAAAGAAGGCACTAGAGATGAAAGTTGACAGTCAGCTCCAGGTTATTGAAAAAATACAAAAAGAGTCGAGTGAAAAAGATAACGAGATATTTGCTCTCAAAAAGCAGATTCAAGATCTCACGGGAGAAGCCAATGAATTCTACGCAAGGAATGAAGAACTCAAGAAGAACGCTGAGGTGAAATATGATCATTTGGTGCAAGAGTTAAATGAAGAAAAGGACAAGTCTTCTAGCTTGTCGTCGGAGCTAGATGCAATGAAAAGAGGTGCCAATGATCGAAAAGACGCCGAGAAGGCTATAGCCGAATTGACGAGTGTCGCTTCAGATTTGTACGGCAAGCTCGTTGACCACTCGCATATTACGTTTGATTATGTTCTCACGCTTTCGTATATTCTTGAGAAGATGGGGTTGATGCTTACCAACGAAGAAGGCAAGAACAACGTCTTCAAGATCAGAAGAGTGAAAGGTTTGCGATCAAGGAAACAGGACGGTGAGAACTCACAAACCGATGTTGGTTCGCCTGTGCCCGGTGCAATCAAAAACATGATGGTTTGGTCTCACACAGATATCAATGTGAATCCAGCAGACATGATAGAGTCTGCGAAAGAAATCATCAATGTGTGTCGCAACAAGATGGATGAAACATTTGATAAGTATAATCAAGTTGTGGCTTTCAGGTCGAATGTGAGTATCGAGCAGGTGAGTGAGCACGACATAAGAACCATCGAATTCTTTCTGAATGCTGTAGTCAAGAGATTCAAGGACGTGGAAGGACTTGCCAAAAAATTGGCTAAGGAAAAGAAAACCTATGAGACTCAACTACAAAAGCTCACTCGAAAGATGAGTGCAAAAGTCACCTTGAGTAACTTTCAAACCAATGATTTAGTTCTCTTTCTTCCGACCAGGCTAGAGACAAAGGAACCTCAGGAGGTGATACAGCCGTGGACAGCGTTCAATATAGGGACTCCTCACTACTTTTTGAAGAGCCAACCGAGCGTCGAAAGAGAGTGGATAGTGGCTCGGATTGTCAGTATTGTGGAACACACGGTGACAGCCACCAACAAAAACGACACCTCTTTAAATCCGTACAGGTTGAGCGAAGGTATTACTTGGTTTCTGGTCGAGGCGAAAGAGGTAAGTCAGTAAAATTAATATATAGGGTCTAAGATGGAGCATTATTAAACAAGTAAGATACACTCTCTCCGTGGTGTAGTCTTCGGATCGCTTCCGCCAATATCGGGCTTATATCTATGATTTCTAGTTTGGGGCATTTTTGGAGCTTGTCAGCCAACGGCATGGAGTTGGTGCACACGATCTTGTCGAGCCGAGACAGGTTGAGTTTCTCAATGGCATTGCTGGAAAAAATTCCATGGGTAACTATAGCGATGACTTTCTGGGCTCCATTATCCATCAAGATGTCTGCTGCCTTGCAAAGAGTGCCACAAGTGTCTGCCATATCATCGATGAGTATGCATACATTATCTTTAACATCTCCAACAAGCACCATTCGAGACACTTCATTGGCTCGTTGTCTTTCTTTGTGTATCAAGGCAAATCTGACATCTAGCTTGTCGGCAATAGAAGCCACTCTCTTTGCTCCGCCAGCATCGGGTGAAACAATAACTAAATCGTCCTTATTATACTTCTCTTTGATGTATCGCAACACCAATGGTTCCGCATACAAATTGTCCACTGGAACCCGGAAAAAGCCTTGGATTTGGGATGCGTGGAGATCCATGGTGATGACGTGGTTACATCCAGCGGTTTGGAGCAAATTAGCAATAAGTTTGGCAGTAATCGGTGCTCGGGACCGGTCTTTTTTATCTTGTCTGGCGTATGGAAAATTCGGTATCACGGCCGTTATTCTTCTGGCACTCGAGGTACGCAAAGCGTTCATAATCACCATCATTTCCATGAGGTAATCGTTAATATTTTGTTCTCCACAGCCAGTCTGTATGACATAGACGTCCTCATCTCGAACCGACTCGCCAACAATTACGGCAGTTTCTCTGTTTGTGTATTGGAAAGCGGTCACGTTGGCCAAGCCTATGTTTAGCTTCTCAGATATGAGGTGGGAAAGCTCGACATGGGAGTTTCCCGTGAGCAATTTGATGTTGTTCTGACTAGCAGGCATCAGTTGAGATGAAAATTAAACGTGCGAAGATAAGAATGAGATGGAGAGATTATATAATTCCAGAGATACTGAAAGCGACCTTTCAAGTTCATATAGATTACAGAGAATGGAGTTTAAGAGTCAAAGTATGAGATATGGATACTATGAACTTTGCAAATAATGACTTAGCCGATAGAGTGTAGAGTCAAAGATGTAATTTTAACTCACTCTCTGGCCTATCTTCTTCTATTAATGAGTGTAAAGCAATGCCAATGCTTAATGCAAATGCTAATGGTGGGTAATCAAACCTGACAATTCCCCGGTAAAACTTAAATATTCATGAATGAGTGTGGTAATGGACCATAGTTGATCGTTTTCGGCTTTTTGTCGATTTAGTGCAAACCGCACTCTGGACTGGGCATCTCGAAAAAACGTTTGCACAAAATCTATCATCACCCTGGTTGGAAGTCGCATGACAGGAGTTGTCATGAGATGGGTATTGACGAGCTGCAACAATTTTTGTTTTTGAAAGTCAACAGAGTCGTTTTCGCTCCTGCTCATTTTCTGAAATTCATTGAGTAGATTCACTACCAGTGTAGCTATAGTAGCCAAGAACTCTTGAAGCTGGCTAACGCTATAGTCTTGACATTCTCGGGGAATGTAGTCGTATGCAAGAAGGACCTTGACCAAGCTTTTCTTGGCCAAACCAATGCCGATTCCTGAATCAATGTCCAGCGGTGAAACTTCGGTTTTTAGTAGTCCAGTTAAAGTCTCGTGGTAGCTCTCGTCATAAGCTACCTTTTCTGCCAACAGCGTCAAAGATGAACTCATGTGTAGCCAGTGATGCAAAAGCGATCGAAAGACCTTCATATTCCAAGTGTCTTTATCTTCGACAAACTTGTTCCGAAGAAAGTATCGAATATTGGAATGGGTATTATTGGTGTCAATGTCGGTCATAGTCCACGATTCAAGTGCAATTTCAAGAATGAGCGCGAGATAAAATGCTCTTTGTTCTTCTTCGCCCATCTTGAAGATCTGCTCGATTTCGCTGCTGAGATACTGCTGGTCCGACGAGAGCCTTGTATTTTCGAAGATGGTTTTAACTCTTGTCCTGAGCAGAAATGAAAGTCTCTCATCTAACGAATCATACAACCGGTCCAAGAAAGTCTGAAGCTCAATATTGTCACTATAGAACCCTTCTGCCAACCAGGGTACATAGTGAGTGTTAGCTTTTATAGCAGATGCTTTTGCTACTGGAAACGTTTCTGGTTTAGCCATTGGAGTTACTGACTTGCTCTCAGAATTAGTGCTTGGTTTTTTGGGTGGTCGAGGTGCCAGAGATGAATGCTTTGGTGCCATATTAGTGAATAGAAATTTCAAGTCTGAGATCTCCTTTTCTTCACATAGATTAATGGTGTCGCTAGAGACCAATGCTGGGTTCCATTTGACTCCGAGAAAATGGTACTTTGAGTCGCCTCGGGAGCCCAAACGCTTGATGTTAACCAGAGGAAATGCAATTTTTAAGAGTTTTCCAAACTTCGATTGGCCCAAAAGAAGGTTCTGTTCTTCGTCTCGATCATGCGAGAAGGGGTATTTGGCAATGCAGTGTTGGCAAAGAATGTAGTACACTTTGTATATGAACGGCCTGGGAATGGTGTAGGTTTGCGAGTTGCGGTCGCCAGGAACAATGACGAGGATCTCATCTAGGATCTTGAATGCTAAGAATGTTCGTTGGAGCTCGTGGAAGTTAATACTAGAAAGGTGGGTGGAGGACACCGGTAAATATTTTGCAAGCAAAGGTGGATTTTTGAAGAACTGAAGAAGGAGATCCAAAGCTTGGGATGTGCGTTGCAAATTTTCCAGGTCCACAGAGGAATGGTCGATTTTGTTGTTTGTGTCGATAATTGGGTGGCCGTCGTTAAACAAAAGGTTGTAGAACTCATCGATAGGAAGGCTCAATGCGAGTTTTCTTGTCACCTCCAAGAGGTAGGTATTGATGTTGGAATTGTCCACGTTTTGCAACTGTTTGATAAGTGACTGTACCAACGGGTTAGCCACGGCATCCGGAACCGCTGTGGGAGGCGGAGGAGCCGGTGGAGCCAGAGAAACGTCAAATGGAGAATCAAGCGAAACGGTATTAAAGTGGGACGAAATGGAAAGATTATTGCGAGTGTGGCGCAAATGGTGGAGTTGTCGAGCCAGCGACGGAGCCGGGGGCGGCGAGTAGACTGCCGGAACCAAATGGGTGGGATAAGAATAGATGGGAGGTTGCTTTTCGTGGGATTCATCGGGATCGGCAAAGGCGAAGTTTGGATTCAGGACCGACAGTTTCTGTCGCTTGTGGCCCTTGCGATGCGAGCCAGACGGGTGCGGGTGCATTTTATGATACTCATGGGTGAAAAGGAAAAACAAAAATGTGATGTTGACGGATGCAAGGCTATGCGATGTGCGAGATTAAGACGTGAAATTGAAATGCTAGGGAAGTAATTTTTTGTGGCAAAAATCAACTTGCGGCAGTTTTAGGGGTGGAAAAGAAACTACCGCCGAAACAACCACTGAGTTTATCCGTGACTTGCCGCGGAGTTGTTTGCAACCTATTTTGTGGAAGTCGTGTAATAGCTTTCGTCTTGCCTGTTCCATTAATAGTGCGGTGTCTGGGTGTAGGGATCAGGATTCGGAGGCCAGGATTTGGCGGAGATGGCCCTCAGAAATAGATAAAGATTTTGAAGAATTGAAGAACAGTGGTTTTAATGGTTTAGATGGTAATTTCGGTCACTATATGTACTCTTGTTTTTCCTTTCTCTCTTCTTTTCTTTCTTTCTTTCTTTCTTTTCTTTTTTTGCTTAATTTCTAAATTTTGCAGTAATAAAAATAAATTCATAGAATTCTAACTCTACTCATACTTAAATAAAATGCACATTGCATAATTTTTCCTTACAACTTGGCCTTGGGCGCGAGTTGGGTGCTCAACACCTCCTTCATCTCGTTCGCAGAGTCGGTAAGGTACCATTTCAACGCATCGGAACGCAATCCATTTCCTTTCTTACATGAAATGTGGGTGTGGATCCAATCTTTGTTAACAAGGTATGCCAACCCAAAACCTTCGTCAATAACTTGCGACCATCCCCAAGATTGGAGGTGCTCGGAAGGCACTTGAGAAGTGGAAATATACCATGTACCACTGTAGGAGAAAACAGGGTCTTGGAAAATAGCTGGAACAGGTTCACCGGGTTGCAACATTTGCTTGAGACCAAAAAGGTGACGGTCGACTCCACGTCCATCGGCGGCTTCAGTCAAGTAGGTAACATGTTGCTTACAAGCCTTGTTAAAGGTGTCGATTTTTTCCTCGATGGTGGATCCAGGATTGGTCCACGTCTTGACAAAAGCAGCGGATTCCTTGGAAACAGATCTACCGGTTTCGGTTCTACCCTTCAAGTATTTTCTCGTAGCGGCCGATTCGTAGGTTGGTCTGATCTTTCCAGTCAACTTGTAGTAGGCCAATTGAATCATCATTTGCACGTAAGCATCGGGAGACACCTTGAACTGCTTGATGAGGTTCTTACCGTATCCGTGGTACTGGAAGAGTTCCTCATCGAGCGAATTGACGGTTTCGTTGAACTTGACAATGGCATCGGCAATATCCTGGCGAACCACAGGGCTGATGTCGAAAGCCAAAGCGGTGGGGAGAGCTTCGACGTCAACTTCAGCTACACTTTTGTTATTTGCGGTTAACTCAGCCACCAACGCCGTTGGGTCTTCCTTGGAGATAGAATCCATAATGTAGTTGTTCATCTGCACCGTAGGAGTAGCATCCATTCTAGAGTGCTCACCCAAGAAACCCGAGTTTCCGTTGGCGGCTACAAAAAATTCCAAAGGCTTATCGAACCACCGGTTCTGGCCGTCTCCGTGCCAGCAGTTACGCAGCTTTTCTTCGATGGTGATGGGGCTGTGGTCATCGAGACACAACACAAACGACGAGGCAAAGATGGTCTCGAGCGAAGCTTCGTTGACGGGCGATTTGATCAACGACTGGTAGCTCTTTAACCACTCGTCACGGTTCAACGACGTCAATGCACCAATACCAAGACCTCTGGGTTTGATAGATGCATCGTACTGGATGAAAGCCAATTGCTTGAAAATATCAGGCTTCAGCAACGCCTGACCACTCTTGGTGTGGTGATAAACCTTGTAGAAGTGGTTCTTGTGGATCACCACGAAATAGCGGTGGTCGGCACCTTCGTACTTCTTGGTGATGTCCAGACCGGCAGCGGGGACCCTGGAGTTGTTGAACATGTAGTGGAACGCATTCATACAGTATGGGTTTCCCTTAATAATTTCCGGCTCAAGGGTCTCATTTTGAACATCTTCCATAAACTTGAGGGTGTAATACGAGATCAAAGTAGCCTTCAACAATTGATCGTGGCCAATTGGATTGCGGATATCCTTGTGCGACAAAAAGTAAGACACGTAGGGAACCACAGGATCCCTGTACAGCATATAAGCATAATCATCCCACCATTCTGCCAACCAATTATCTTTGTCTTTAGCAAACAGAGTCAATCTCGATTGAAGAGTTTCCCCAGCTCCTCCGGGCTTCACAAACTCTTCCACCTTGGCAGTAGTTGCCTTTAACTGCTCAGGAGTCAAATATGGCTCAACCGACCTTAAATATTTGGCGGTGGTTTCTGCCAAACTGGGCACCGGTAACCGGGGAAGGTCTTTTTGGTATTTGAAAAGATCACCTTTAAGAGCTGACGTGGAAAATTGTTTAATTCCAGCTACTTGTTTCATTGCTCTTAGCATTTGCGCGCAATTCAAAATGAGTATTCAATCTCACAAAGAAAGAATCTTGCCACAATTAAGAGGATGCTAACTCCTATAAGTAGTGTTCCCAACATCCGAGGGTTTGTGCGCTTACATCAGCACCCCCACATGATTCGCATGCGCTTACGACGCAGGCGCTGGTCCGAGGGTCCGTATTGTAAGCCGGGGGCGCTCGTAAACGGGGGCGGGCAATAACCGGGGTCAGGCAAACCGGCGATAAGCCGGAAATGAGCCAAAAATCATCCAAATTGATATAAAGCGGCCGGTCAGTGGACTTCAATGTCCGTCGGAGTCGGCTCATACCGGGCGCTTATGTAAAAATCTGGGGTCGGTGCCCGACCCAAACACCACTCATAATCCCATACATCCATACACCAGTTAAAGCCACCCAAACCTCAAGCCCGGTGCTTGCTTACGTACATCGCTGTCTTCTTCTGCTGCTTACGTACTCGAGTTCTCTTCTGCTTACATATTCGCGTTTTCATACATTTTCACAGTTCTTCGCGAGATCTTTTCATTTGCAGCATTTGCATCCACTCTTTACTGCATCTCTAATACCCTTTTGCATGGTTTTGTGCCCCGAATCCGCCACCGGTCTTGAGTATGATCGACTTTAGCTTTCGCGAAGCGTCTGCTATTTTTCTTCTAATATGGTACATTGTGATTCTAGTGGCCGCGTACTCCGGTTTTTTTGCCCTCATGAATCGGTACCGGAAACCGCCCAGTTTTCCGTTGAATGAACGTGACATGGAACCGGTGCTGATTATCCGGCCATTGAAAGGCATTGAGCCAGAAATGTACTCGTGTTTGGAATCGTCATTTCTTCAAAACTACCCACAGAACAAGTTTGAAATTTTGTTTTGTGTTGACGAGACCAATGATGCGGCGATTCCCGTGGTCCAGAGCCTCATACAACGGTACCCGCTGGTCAGAGCTCAAATATTGGTGTCGAAACATGACCCTGAAACCAACCAGTCAACGCAGCATTTTGGCCCGAATCCCAAAGTCAATAATCTTGCCAAAGGGTTCCGCGCCGCCAAACACGACATTTTGTGGGTGATGGATTCGAATGTGTGGGCGTCGCCTAATGTTCTTCGAAATTCTGTTAAAACGCTCAACTATAATACTAATAATGGAGTAGCAGTGCTGGGCTCGCGGCGCAACAAATTGGTCCACCATGTCCCGCTCGCGCTCAGTGTGAGTCCACAGGCACCGACCGACTCGGAGTATGTAACAAACTCGACACCGAACTCGTCAAGTTCATCGAGTCTTTCAATTTCGGAGCCAAAATCAACCTCAAAGCTAATTTCTCCAAATTCAACTTCAACCTCAAGTTCAAGCTCAATACCGCTGGCACAGCTGTCCCTGTCAATACCGCTCCTGTCAATATCGCTGCCGCTGTCTATTTCGCCGCCGCGGCGGCGGCTTCTCAAAAAATTCGGCGCCAAACTCGACGAAATGTTTCTTCTCACATCGCATCTGAAATTCTATGTTTCTCTCAATAATCTCGCCGTGGCGCCCTGCGTCAACGGCAAGTCCAACATCTACCGTCGCTCCGACTTGGACTTGGCGGTGGCAGCCATTCCCATCAAGCACTCGCCGTTCTTCAATACTCCAGCCGTGCGCAACGACGCTCTTCAATTAACTCGAGAAGCCAAACCGGGAAACTCCATCAAGTTTTTCTCCAAATATATTGGCGAAGACAACATGATTGGAATTGCCTTATGGGAAAATCTTCATGGCCGTACCGGACTCACGTCCGATGTAGTGATTCAGCCGCTCAGTGGAACAGACAACACCATCAGCAATTACGCCGAAAGAAGAGTGCGGTGGCTCCGCGTGCGCAAGTATATGGTGCTTGCGGCCACATTGATCGAACCCACCACCGAATCCATCATTTGTGGGGTGTACGGAACTTATGCCGTTTCTACACTTTTCTTCAACCAGTGGTTCAACTGGAAATATTTCGCATTTCATCTCGCAATATGGATCCTCACCGACTACTGCCAGTACTACACATTGATCTACAACATTGCTAGCTTCGAACACCCGCCAAAATGGCTCGCTAGACACAACCTCCCACCATTGAAAAGACCATTTTTCAGCTGGATCCAGGTGTGGTTTATGCGTGAACTCTTGGCGCTCCCCATATGGATTTCCGCCATGTGCGGCCACGAAATCGACTGGAGAGGCCGCCCGTTCAAAATCAAACCGGACTTGTCGGCGGAAGAGCTCTAGTACACCCGCCGTGCTTCTGTATATAAAATTCCAGGCTTCAAGTGTGCGCCGCGCCCTGCTTATGTAACCGGCACATGTTTCAGCCAAATATTCATAAATAGCATTTTGTACGGATAAAGTGTCCTGGACAAAGATCTGACGTTTCACGTTCATTCTTTCACCTGAAAACTTGCATAGACATTCGTCGTAGCCGGCACGACCACACTACACCTCTGACCGGTGTTCATAGTGCCGTAGGGCTAAAAATCTCATTTCCAACACTTTTCGTTTAACGTGTACAAATTGCAAAAAACTCATTTTTGGCCCTAATTTTCGCCACCAAATTCATCCCTGCTATCACAGACTGCTAATACCCCAATATGGTAGCCGAAGAGTCGGTTCCAGGTTCATTCGACATACCTATCCAGACCTGTAAGCGATGCGGAGAGCCGATATTTGAAGGTCATGCGTATGAATTAGGAGAAGATCGGTGGCATATCCACTGTTTCAAGTGCTCCAAATGTGAAACATCGCTTGGGTGCAACTCCAACTTTTTGGTGCTTGGAAACGGGAATCTTATCTGCTCTAATTGCTCGTATAACTGCAAGCAATGTGGAAAGAAAATCGACGATTTGGCTATTTTGACAGGCGACCAAGCTTATTGCTCGTCGTGCTTCAAGTGTCGTTCCTGTAAGCTCAAAATCGAGGATTTACGGTACGCAAGAACATCCAAAGGACTCTTTTGTATGAGTTGTCATGAAAAACTTATCGCCAAGAAGAAGAAACACGACTCAAAAAAGAAGTTGATGGCCCAAGATGGACTGCAAAATTCCACTCCCTCCGAGCTAAATACCCCCGAGATGAAACCAAGAGACAGAAGCAATTCCAGATTGGACCTGTTACGGTCAGAATCTTCATCTTTATCGAGATCCAACTCACGGAAAAACGTCCGTCCTCCTCCGCCAGAGCTTCCCGTGGAGCAGATCTACAACAGGTCTCTCGCGCTGGACGTTTTCACTGCATCTAACCGATCTGGCTCGAGCATCAGTACCAAAGACAAAAATCTTCCACCTCCCCCAACCGAAGCTAAAACCCCCAACTCGCAGCCATTGCCTCAGGACTCCTTCCATTTGACAAAATCAGCCGTCTCTTCGTACTCACAGTCCACCGCTACTCAGTCCTCCGAAAAGCCATGGGACAGAATCTCGCCAGCCAACAGTAATACCTCTTCAATTGAAGAAGTGGTTGACAGTGACGACGAACTCAACCAGAAAACGACGTCGCCCCTTGACAGGCAGCTCCACACACCTCCTATAAACGGACAATCCAGCAATCAGCTCCAGCCAGCTGCGCAAATCAGCTCGTTGGATTCACATTCCTCAATGAGCCAGAGAATCGAATCTCCTTCATTCGTCTCAAAACGAAACTTCCAGGGCAAAGACCTTCTAATTCTCTCTCCCAACCAGTACTATGACCAAGCTCCGTCCGCCAACTCGCCTCTGGTTTCTGTTTCTTCCGAAGGCAGCAGCAAGTATAGCGGTGACAGAACCGGGTTGGAACCTGGTACTATGGACCGTCAGCGTGGAAATGCTTCGCCGTTTGCTCGAGCCAATCGTCAAGCTCGGGTTCTAGAGACGTCACCGGAGCATAGCAAGGACGATAGTACTGGCATTGAAGAATGGCCTGAACAAAGAAACGCAGCAAATGTAACGCCAGTCAAGAGAACGAAAAATATCGACTCTCCCTCAACGGTTGCGTCTCCACCGCCTCGACTTCCATTGCCAAATGTTCCTTTAACACCAAACGAGAGCAATAACAAAAGTTCTGACAAGGTACCCCCAAGACATATCAACAGGTCGCCATTCAAGGATTTCAACAGGAGTCCCCAGGGCTTGGGATTGGAAGGTATGGAGTACTACGATCCTGAGAAAATAGGATCTAAGGATAGCGATAGCCCCGAGAAGAAAAACGGTCATAAAAGACAACCCGTGGACCACAAAGTGCCCAAGGCTAAAATTATTGGGAACCAAACCCCGGTGGTGACCAATCTCGAGGACTCATACGGAGACCAAGTCAACGAGCAGGAAGATTTGACGAGAAAATACTCGTTGAGAAGCACAAAATTCTCATTGAAGCACAAGAGATCGGTTTCGGGAGGCAGTGGAAGTGGACTCAGCATCAAACTCAATCCGTTCAAAGGAAGAGACGATCGTGGACATGCCAGACATGTATCTGATGGTTCCATCAATGGCAATTCCGCGTATACTACACCACCTTTACCACGAACTTCACCGATGAATCACCCCTCCTCGTTCACCTACAGCCCCAACAACTACAACGGACACAACAGATCGACTTCTGACACTCCATTTGTGTCCAACTTGGAAAGCTACAACACTGGAAACGAGTACCACAAGAACGAACTTGAGTTGCGAGGGATGAAGCTCGAAATGTACCAAATGGATAGTCAGCGGAGTTCATTACAGACAGAAATCAGCACCTTATCAGAGCAAAAGACAAAGATTGCCAGTGCTGTTGAAGCCATCAAGGACAAATTCTCTAAGGAAACCACCAACTACGAGATTCTCATGAGAGAAATCGCAGACCTAGAAAAGGTCAAGTATGGTCTTGCCGAGGAAAACCGTCGTCTTCGCATGGAAAACGACCAATTGGACTCGTCCTTGAGAGTTCCCAGAAACAGCGACATTGGGTCCACGGCCGAGACTACTTTGGCAGCAAGCTTGGGCAGTACCATGCCGTTGACGAAGCTGACGTCGTCGTCGTCGTACATCAACGAAACTCCCAACTACACAAATTACGACGACCAAAACGTGGAAACGAACAAGGCGACAAAATTGAAATTCTGGAGACGAGCCAAGCTTGGGTCCAGCAGCTCGCCGTCGTCGGCGCCGGTGCCTATACAAGTTTCCAGTCCTCAGCTAGTGAGTCAGAATAGACTGGCCAACGGAAGCAATGGCATGAAAATGAGCCAGAGCCATAGTTCCACCACCATCAACCCAGCGGAAAACGGTACACATTCTCATGCCAATTCAGGGAGCGGAAGTGATTTTTTGAGTGTTGAAAAACCGAAAAAGACATCGTCCAACCAAGGGTCGTTTTTCACTCGAAGCAAGTCTTCGAATATTTTGGACTCATTCATCGGAAACAATTCGGCCAGCGAAAAAGCCGATGGAAATGCTCCACTTTTCTCGTCTACCATTCAGCAGCGGGCCACTTTCGAGAACGAACTGGTGCCGTTCATAGTCACAAAATGCATCCAAGAGGTGGAGGTCCGCGGGTTGGATGTGGAGGGAATCTACCGAATTTCTGGTGGAAATTCAGCCATTGTCAATATCGAAAACTGCTTTTCGAATCTTACCGGTAAGAACGACGACAAGTACCAGAAACTCTTGGAAGCATTGGATGTGGACATCAACGCTGTGACTTCAGCACTCAAGCGTTATTTACGCAAACTTCCTGAACCTATTATACCGTACAACATTTACACCGACTTCATCAAAGTGGGCCAATTGAAGCAGACGCTGTCGTTGGACCAACAAGTCCACGAATTGAAAACCAAAGTCATTAACAGGCTTCCACCAGCCAACAAAAATACCCTCGAAATGTTGTGCCATCATCTAAATTTGATTACGCAAAACCAGGCTTCGAATCGAATGGGCACCAAAAACTTGTCTGTTGTATTTGCACCCACACTAGCACGGGACCGAACCGGAGAACGCGAGTTGACGGATACGGGACATCGAAACGACGCTACAGAGTTATTGTTGGAAAACTATGAACTTGTGTTTTAGGACTATATACAAGAACCTAATGAACGTTTTTGATTGCGGGACTCAGGTACATTTCAAGTCGGCGATGACCTACGCGTAGCAAGTGCTCGATGACACTGAACTGTTTTTTAGAAACCAGGCGATTTTTCGCGAACTCCTGCTTTATATAAGCACGCCAGTGAGCCTGGTATTCCGGCGGCTTTGTCCGCACTGTCCGGAACGACTGGCGGCATAACTTAAGCACGTCGCGCTGCAATCCTGAAAGTCTTGCCATGGACCGGAAGTCACCGGTTTTCGTTGAAATGCGGAGGTCACTACGCGTGGTGTCTGGATGCACGGATCAATTCATTAAACTAATATACATTTACTTTGCGTAGGTAAAGTCGACTTCGCCATCACGGTGGCCGTCACATTCGCCGCCCATACCGCAGGTACAGCTTCCCTTTGCTCTTTTACCGCATGCACAAGCATCAGAGGATGCAGGCACTGCGTTTTCAGTTGCAGCCTTGGCACAGTTGCAATGCAATGCAGGTTGAGCCCCACATGAACAAGTAGATTTCTTTGCGCACACGCAGTCACCAGAAGCACACACCATTTTTGTTGTGTTTGCAGCCAAGGCGGATCTTTATAGTCAAACCCCGCTGCGTGCAGGAAAGTGGTGTGACAGATGTGGCCAATCACGCGCGCGCTGAATGTCAGCAGCGGACGTAAGCGATCTGTGCTTACTTTGAGCCTGCAGATGACGATTCTTGCGTAATATGCGTAATATGCGTCACCGTGCAGTCAGTGTGCAGCTTCTCTTCAGTCACTCTTTAGTCACTCTTCAGTCTTCCGTTCTCTATTTGTCCTATAGTACATAATATACATGGCTATCAGGAGCCGTAATTCGTAAACTCCTTAAGCCGATCTCTGTAAAACTGCCCCAATTCCGACGTGCTATTATCTGTGGTATCGTGCTCAATGGTTGCAAATAAATCTTGCGGTTTTTCACCAGACACACCCGTCTGCTTTAATGTTATTGACGAATTGGTGGCCACGTCTTCAAATGCTTCAAGCAAATTGGAATTTGTCAGGGTATTTTCTCGTGGTTGAGTCCAGCTATTCTGGTCTAAAAACACATTTTGTTCGTCGTCAGCAGTCGACAATCGACGCCGTTTATTGGACCCAGTTTCTATGGTTTGCAAGTCTGGAAGTTGCATATTTTCTTCCACACTAGCTTTGTTGGTGTTAGTTTCCATTTCTGGAGGCGCCAACTCGCTATCGTCTCCGTATCGGATCCGTACCCCCAAAGGTGTTCTCATTATATCCACCGGCTCGTTGGAATCGGCACCAATTTTTGGAGTTCGCGGGAACCTCTGCAACGAATTTTGGCTGCGAAAGGGCGGATCTCGCATGGGAGTAGCTGCAAGAACCTGGGCCTGAAGTTGAGCCAGATCACGGACATTTTTGGATGGAGAAGGTGGTCCAAAGTCCGAAACGAGTACTGGTGGTTCCGGAAGTGTTGGCGACGAATTGATAAATTTACGAATCACCGAATCGCGGCGGTGGCGCTCACTGGTGGTGGCGCGGGTATCCTTTCGTGGAGAGATGGATATTCGGTGGTAATTGTCAAGAGACTGGCGGATGGTGTGGGTGATCATTTGGGGTGTTGGCTGGACAACAGCCCCGGGATTTGCATTTTTTCGTATTGCTTCTGGAGTCGACGCTTGTATATCATCTGCCTTGTGAGGACGTTCAGGTGACCACGTAGGAGTTTCTCCGAGACCGGCAAAAGCGTGGCCCTGATTTTTCGCGACATCGAGCCGATGAGCATGGTCTGTGTTCTGGTGGTCTTTTTCAAGCCAGTCGGTAGTGGATTTCGATGTGGTTTCGCATTGGTTTTCCTGAGCGTCAGCTCGCTTAGAATTGGCAATTGTATTCAAATTGGTGCCTAAATTGGCCGGTGCTTCGTAGCTGGTAAGTTCCACGTCTGCTGCCTGTTCCAAGAAGTATTTCCAAAAATTGGCATTGTTCCACACTTTCTGAGACGATTGAGCGTATTTAGCAAGAATTGGGAACATTTTTTCAGAAATTACTGCGTTCGCCTTGGATAAATTTTTGTCAATTTCTTGAAGAGTAAGGGTGATTTCTTGCTCTAGTTTTTCAAGCTCCAACGTCGCAGCCGGGTCCGAGCCCGCGCCTGAGCCCACATGCGCCGATTTGCGGCGCGTCAGCCCGGGAGCTATGGAGTATCGCTTCATGAAGATGGGTTGTTTACGCGTTGAGAAGCGGAACAGACCCACACACCAATAGATCCAAGCACCTACAACCGAGTACTGCCTGCAGGAACAAGCACCATTGGTGCGACCACTCAACCCAGTGGCGACTCGGAATGGGCAACAGCATGTCTGTATCTTTTGCGCCCGAATGCACGCCTGCAAAGACCAAGTATGACGAGTGTTTCAATGCGTGGTACTCGGAAAAATTTCTTAAGGGAAAGTCGCTCCATAACGAATGCACGGATTTGTGGGATGAGTATATCACTTGTGTGAACACTGCGTTGGCAAAACAAAAGATCAAGCCTATGTTGGACAAGGCGAGGGAAGACCAGCCGTTCACGAGTGAGGAGATACAAGGAAAGGAAAAGTAGGAGAAAGAAACGAAGGGAAAAAGTGGAAAGGAAGAAAAAGTAAGAGGAAAGTCATGTAAATAAATAGTAAGAAAATGATGCAGAGGATGCAGAGGGACTGCGTTTGAATACTGTGTCGGCTGTAGGTGAGTTGCATTGCAGGGCGTCCACTGCTTATACGCCGTGAGCTGCAGCGGTGCACCGGTGTAAATATTTATCTATTCTATTCTCAATTCTATTCTCTGTTCTTCTCCATTCTTATGCTCGTTGAAGAGGTGCCCAAAGGCGCTAATCCTAGGGTATATTTCTCGTCGTCTGTCAACCTCTCAGCCAAATCTCGCCCGTATGCAAATCAAGAATCAAATGAAACTGCAGCAGAATCCGCTTCTCGTCAAGGCAAGAATAGGCCCAAAGTAAACTACAACCTTACGTATTTGATGAATGCACAGACGCAAATTGCCGATTCCAGTTCTGGTGGAAGCCTCAAGTCGGCTCAACAAATCCAACTCGAGCGAATAATTTCCAAGCGTTTGGTGGACCTAAACCGAGAACCGGCATCTGGAGCTCAGTTTGAGCTTCCTAAGAATTTTGCATATCACAGTATTCACGGTGGAATTAACCCCGATAAGAAAGCCAGACAGGGAAACACCCCCACCACCAAAAAGATTCTTTCTGCTCGTCGAAATCTCAATCTGTACTTTGAAGAAGAAAGAAATGTCATTTCCATAAATTCCATTTTGGCACTCAATTACCAATTTGTCGATGCTATCGACAGTATATCTTCCGAAAATGACGGTCCAGCTTCGAAACGACGTAAACTTCGAAAAAGTTCCACATTCAAACCTCGGCTTAGACTCTGCTGTATTTGCGGCCAAAACTCGTCTTATGCAAGATGCACTTCTTGTGGCTTATTTCTGTGCAGTGTTCGATGCAACCGAGTACACCAGGAGCTGCGGTGCAATTAGCTGCTAGCGTAGCTAGCAATAGCTAGCAATAGCCAGAAAATTGCAGCTTTTGAGCAATTGGTGCTTATTCTTGCCGAGCCGAAATTTGACCAAAAATTTCACCAGAAAGTATAGTATAATGAGGTTTATGAAAAACAGCCAATTCCTCATTATGATTCATGAGATTTGTGTGGTGGTTGGTATTGGTGGCTTCGGTGTTCGGTATGGCCTCGCCAGACTACCATGCTTTGGTGGAATATGTCAATATTGCATCCATCGCTTACTGCATTAACCGCGGCTTGAAGCCCGGAAAATTACTGTCGTTTTGCACGCTAGACAGATGCACCAATGACGCTCTCCAGGACCTTGAGATTGTTGATACCTTCGACTTTAATAACTGGGCCGAAATTGGTGCTGGGTTTTATGCCATCGATAAGCAAAACCAACGCATAATTCTTGGGTTCCGAGGAACATCTTCGATTCGAGATTGGAAGGGAAACATCGATGCCATACCTGTTCCGTACCGTCCTATCGTTCGAAAGCGCAAAAAAGTCCCCACCAAGTGTGAAAATTGTCTTGTTCATCGAGGATTTTACCAATTTCTCGAACGAAACTGTATGGATATCATTGAAAAAGTGCTGTCTTTGAAAGAAGAACACCCTGATTTCAAGCTAGTGGTGGTTGGGCACTCGCTAGGCGGAGCGCTAGCCATCTTGAGCGGAGTGGAGCTCCAGATTTTGGGCCACAAAACGTTGGTTGTGTCGTTTGCTAGTCCAAAAGTCGGCAACAAGGCGATGATGAAATTCATCGACGACCAGTTTAAAACCCGCCAAGTTGTCCACCAGGTCAGAAAAACCCATTCCTTCGACCATGGCTTCATCAGAGTGGTCCACAAGAACGACCCGGTTCCGTACCTTCCACCAGGCATCTATGCTCACGGCGGATGTGAGTACTATATTAACAAGGGAGATCTTCCTCATGGCCCGAAAAACCTCGAGCGGGACTCTGGTCGAGATTTGAGCGAGTTGGAGTTTCTCCAGCAGTCTCTTGGCATGATTGATTTGCATTCGGTGTGGGGCAGAAAGGAGCACCGCAACTACTTTATCACTGTTCCAGGGTGTGCTGATGGGCAATAGCTAGCATCTCCTTCACTTTGGAGTACTTTACTCTTGACTTTCCCAAAAGTTTTCCCTCGTCAACTTCTTTCTGATTAAGCTTCATCCAGCTATTCCAATTTACATAGTCCAACTTCTCAAGCTTCTCGTCTATCGACAAGGGCGACGAGCTAGAATAAACGTGATTGGACAAGTCCTCCAAGATAGTATCGGCGGTGTCGAATGAGTCCATCATGGTTGTTGCAATTACGCCCTGGGGTCCATTTTTGATCCACCCAGATGTGTACCATCCTTTCTTGTAGACGGGCTGGTGGGTTTCCTCGCTAGAGCTTGCCGTAGACAAGACTCGACCTCTTCTATTGAGAATTCTATTCTGTTTTTTGTCGAAAAAAATGCCGATGTCTTCAAATCCTCGTAACGGTGAGCCTTTGTAGCCGATGGAAAGAAGAAGAAGATCCGTCTTCAAGAAGACTGGGGGCTCTCCCGACTCTTTAATTGAAGTCTTATGTGTGAGAGAGTCCTTTTCCAACTTGTTTTGAGCAAACTTGACTCCAGAAAGTAGCTCGGGATCGGTTTCACTAGGAACAATTTCCTTGGGCGACATCAAATATTTGAGAGACCACGTTCTGTCGCCCACAACCTCTTGCTTGGAGAACTTGTTCAAGATATCTAGTCTTCGTTTATCGACTCTTCCCAAAGATTTGGGGTCGATACCGTCCATGAGCTCAGGTGCGAGGGTGATGAATTTGACATTATTTGCTTTGGCGACCTCGAAAAGCTCCCGAATTTCCTTGTTGCTGAACGCTGACTCGAGAATGCCTCTCCTGGCCACGATATTTACATTTTTCACGGCGCTTTGTTTGAGAATCTCAACAGCATTTTGCAGCATATCGGTGGGTGTCCAGTGGGTTTCTGGGTCCGCCAACAACACTCTGGCCACATCTAACGCGACATTGCCGTTGCCAATGATGGTCACATCGTTGATCTTGTGCAAAGGTGGAGCTACAAAGCCTCCAAAGTACTTATCGGGAAACCCATTATACCAGTTGACAAACTGGCGAGCAGAAATTACTCCAGGTAAATTTTCGCCAGGTATATTTAGCGAGTTATCCGCCGTAGTACATCCGTATGCGAGCACCACCGAGTGGTAGCTTTTGTCCAAATCTTGGAGAGAAACATCGTTTCCAACATCAACATTTCCGAAAAATCGGACATTATGTTTGTCATGATTCTGAAACTTTTGCATAATATCGTCGAGATATTCCTCACAATTCTTGACCTCGGGGTGGTCCGGAGCCACCCCATACCGGCTCAAACCATAGGGAGCCGGAAGCCGTTCAAAAAAGTCGATATTAAGTCGGAAATCGTGTTCCGGTGAACTTCGATTTAGCAAGTGATGAGCAGTATAAAACGCTGCTGGTCCCGAACCAACTATTGCTATTTTGTAGGAAGGTATGTGGCTTGCAGTTGAGAAAAAACGCTTTTGCGCAGAGCAAAAATGGTGCCGGAAAGCCAATGCCAACATGAGCGAAAGTAAGTTCAGTTCAGTAAAATGTGCTGCAATTTTGAACAGTACTAAAAGTGCGCGTACTTAAGACAAGCATCTGCAATCTCTTACAGATTCGTCCGAGATAGTTTAGTGGCTAGAATTACCGCTTGTCGCGTGGTAGACCGGGGTTCAATTCCCCGTCTCGGAGCTTTCTTTTTTGCCTACCAAGAGTCAAAGCGGTACGCGCACGACACGCGCACACAACTTCTTTTCAGATTTCAATCTCACGACACATGGCCGAGGTAGAAGCGTCTGGTGCGCCCAGCGACGGCAAAGTCGATCCTTCGAAGTTCTTATCGTATATATTGCACTCTGCGGTAATGGTAAAGTTGCACAATGGAGTCCAATATAGAGGAAAACTTCAAAGTATTGATGGGTATATGAACATTGTTTTGGAGAATACTAAAGAATTTATCGATGGAAGCGAGATCCGGTCGTACGGGGATGTGTTTATAAGAGGCAACAATGGTAAGTTGAAGAAAATGGAGAAAGAATTGATGAAATTGAAGAAAATTGAGGAATACTAACACAGTCTTGTATATTAGTGCTATGTGAAATACATGGAGGATAAGGAAATGTGAGAAAGCTGTAAGAGAGGGAGTAAATTGTAGTGAGAGTAGTGTAGACTGTAGCAAGAGTAGTATGGTCAAATGATTTTATCAGCTTATGGTCCTGGCAGTCTACTTGCGTAGACTACCATTCTACCATTCTTAAGCTGCTGTCGCAGCTTAAAAGGGGCCTGCAGGCAGGCCGGCGAATGAGAGCGCGCGCTCGACCGGGATTGAAAATCACCTTCAACGTTTTACCAAACATGTCATTTATTGTCAGAAGGCTGTTGTCCACATTGATTCCACCCAAGGTGGCTTCTGCAAAGGTAAGTGCCCCCTATTTATATCTAGCATCGATTTTTGGTTGTTTAAGTTACTAACTCAGAACATTGGGTCCAACCCCAACGCTAAGAGAATGGCCGAGGTGGTTTCTTTCTACAAAAAGTTGCCAACCGGCCCAGCTCCTGCCGCCAAGAAGCCCACCTCGCCTTTTGGAAAGTACAAGGCTGCTTACTTTGACGGAGAAAATGCATCTGGAAAGCCATTGGTGCACTTGGCTGTGCTCGTCATTGTGTTGGGATACACCTGGGAGTACCAGTCTCACTTGAAACACCACAAGCATTAAGTAGTGAATAGAGAGGAAATAAGGAGGTGTAGAAAAGGAAGGAGTGTAGAGAAAAGAGAAAAGTGGAAGAAAAGTAGAAGAAATGTATGAATGGAATACTGAGAAGAGCAATGAGAAAAGTGAGTGAGAGTAAGTGAAAGTAAAGTAAAAAAATTAACAATTGACGTCAAACACCAATACTTACAAATCTCTACAACTTCATTCAATATTAATTTTCTTTTTAATTTTCTTAACTCTTCACTCTGTCGTCTCTTCATTTGTCGCTCGCTACTCTCTCGCTAGCTGCAGGACATTCACAGCAACAAACAGCCCATCAAATTCCCCAACCACTGGTCATTTTTCCATTTTTTTTCACATTCCCACTCAATTCCCCTCCACAAACACCCTCCCTTACCCTTTACCCCCCAACACCATTTTTCTCCAAAATAACCCACACCCCCCAACTTCGTCGCCTCCTGCACGGTGCGCGCACTTCCTCCCTTTCATCTCTGTGTATACCAACATATTGGACCCACCACAAGTCGGCGAAAACTTCCGTTGAGCAAGCCCCAACGATGGATCCGGTCTCTTTCGAACACCGGGATCCCACAAAAGCGTCTGCTGACGACTTGTCTTTCCAGTATCCACCGGCAAATGACCAATCTTCAACTCTGCCTCCAGCCCAAGTTCATGTTGTGCAACCAAAAACCGACTTTGCCACCACTTCCTACCCTTCTGGCGACGGCCCGCTGCTGGAAACTCACGCCCAAGGCCTCCATCCACCCCAGCCGGCCACACCTCGAATGCTTCGTTCGGTATCGGGATCAGTGAAGGGGTCGCGTAGCGACGTTCGAGTTGCTTCCGGCCCGCCGGGCCACGAGTCGCCACATTATGGTGGTTCTGGCGACGGTGGGTCTCACTCGCGAACCCCTAGTATCGGCAGACCGGTTGCTTCGCCGATGAATAAGGAACTTCTTCCGCCGGCGGCTATCAACCGCAAGCAGCAACAGACCCAGCCCCAAAATGCCAATCACCCGAACTTTCAAAAGGACTCGCCACGGGTCTCTCATCACCATCTGCACTCGCAGCCACAGACTCCTCAGAATCAGACTCAGAACATGACTCAGAACCAGACTCACCAGCATCAGTCTGCTCAGCATCAGTCTGCTCAACAGCATTCCGCTCACTCTCAGCAGTCTCACGGTCTGCGCCAGTCGCTGCACCTGTCGCACCAGTCCCAGTCTCAGCCTGTTCAGCCTGCTCAATCACACCCTGCTGGCTCGCAGCCTCACGGCTCTTCGCAGCACGGCTCCTCGCAGCAGGGCCAGCTGGGCTCTCAGCAGTTCCACAGAAAGTCCATAGGCGACTGGGACTTTGTCAAAACCATTGGCGCCGGGTCGATGGGTAAAGTCAAGCTTGCTCAGCACAACAGCACTGGCGAGATTTGTGCCGTTAAAATTGTTCCCAGAGCTGCCAAATTATACCAAAGAGCCCATGCTAATGATCCTCCGCTTAATGCCCAGGCTTCCGCCCAGCGCCAAAAGGAATTCGAGAAAGAAGTGGCTCGCGATAAAAGAACTATTCGTGAAGGTGCTCTCGGCCGTCTTTTGTTCCATCCGTTTATCTGCCGCTTGTACGAAATGGTGCCAATGACCAATCACTACTATATGCTATTTGAGTACGTTGAAGGCGGCCAGATGCTCGACTATATCGTGTCGCATGGATCTCTCAAGGAGAAGAACGCCCGTAAGTTTGCTAGGGGCATTGCGCTGGCGCTTGAATACTGTCATCGTAACAATGTGGTGCATCGTGATTTGAAGATCGAAAACATCATGATCAACAGAAAAGGTGATATCAAAATCATCGATTTCGGCTTGTCTAATCTCTACTCACCCAAAACCTTGCTCAAGACCTACTGTGGTTCTTTATACTTTGCAGCTCCGGAACTCTTGTCAGCAAAGCCTTATACGGGACCCGAGGTCGATGTATGGTCTTTTGGAGTGGTACTCTTTGTTCTTGTTTGCGGAAAGGTTCCGTTCGACGACCAGTCAGTGCTGGTTTTGCATGAAAAGATTAAAAAGGGCAGCGTGGTGTACCCTGCTGACCTCTCCAAAGAGTGTGTTTCGTTACTTTCTCGCATGTTGGTGGTGGATCCGCTGAAACGGGCCCTGTTGTACGAGGTGATGCAACACCCATGGATGAACAAGGGCTACGATGGTGTAATGTCGTCTTATCTTCCAAGACGGACACCACTTTCTCTTCCTTTGGACCCCGATATCATCAAGGCTATAGCCAGTTTTGATCTTGGATCGCCGCAAACCATTACCGAAGAATTGACCAGTATTCTTTCCAGCGTTGAGTACCAGATGAGTGTGGAAAACTGGTACAAAATCGCCGAGCTGGGTCGCGACTATGCATCTGCTCCAAACTCGCTGCTTCTTCCGGATCCAACAGGAGGCTACCATCCTCTCATTTCCATCTATTTTCTCATCAGCGAAATGCGTTCCAGAAAACGGGCCAAAGAAGAAGCCGCCAAGCAGCAAACTGCAGTTTCAGGCCAGTCACTCCAGCAACATTCTCCGGCGCCAACTCCTCGTCAAACTTCGGTTCCTCCTCCTCAGCAGCATGCCCCCACCCCGCCAGTCCAGAACTCTCCATTGCCTTTCCCAGAACAAGCCCATACTCTTGCGCCGTCTATGGTTGAGTCTAATAGTTCCAGATTGCACGAACTGTCGCAACTTCCTATGCAGCAACAGAGCCCAACCGTCAAGCACGACACCTTGGATCCCAAAGCTGGATTCAACTCTATTCTTCGTCGGATGTCGTCGAGAAAAAAAACCACTTCGCCCACGAGAACAACTCCGGAGTCGTCTTCAAATCACAGCATTCCAACCGTCGAAGTGGGGCATGTTGGCGCTGCTTCGAACACACCTCAGAGGTCGTATCTGCCGCAAAACCTCTCGCCAGAACCACTGGCTTCGGCGCAATCTCCAGACCCCATGGTTCGTCGTGGTGTCAGCATGAAGGTGACCGCCAAGGAAAAATCTTCGTCCAATTTGGATGCTTCTCCAGTCAAACAACAAGCACCTGTTCAGCGCCAAGCAGGGCCCAGACACGATCGTTCGCACTCCACTACCGTTGCCAAACCAAGATTTACTCCCGTGGAATACTTGCCGCCGTTGCCTAATCTTGATGCCGAGGTATTGTCTTCCACGAAACCCCCAGGAAAGTCTCTTCATCCTACTGCTCGTGCAAAATCCGTGGGTGGTCATGTGAGAAAGGAGTCTTACAACACACGTAGTAAAACCCAGCAGCAACCACCTTTACCCAATGTCATGGCAGGCCAGAATTCCGACGAGCTTGTTGGCGGAGGCCGCGACGACGGGTTCTTTGATGACATTACAATCGATGATATTGAGCACCAAATCGTTCCCCAGCTCAGCGACAGGGAGATCATCGACCAGTTCAACAACGCTAAGCCTAATAGCATGCCGTCGATCGAGTATCCCAAAACTCTCTTTCTCAAAGGCTTTTTCAGTGTTCAAACTACGTCTACCAAACCGCTTCCAGTCATTCGTTACAACATCATTCGTGTATTGAGCCAGTTGGGAGTCAAGTTCCAGGAAGTGAAGGGAGGCTTCGTGTGTGTTCACACACCTTCGTTGTCGAAAATTTCGCCAGAAGGATCTGCTAATGCTACCATAGCTTCTACCAACGAAGAGGAAGAAAAACTTTATGGAGATGCTTTCAAGTCCACGTCTTCCTCCATCGAAGGATACCACCATGAGCATGAATCCGAACGCACTCCCCTCAGACAGCCGTCGTTACATCTACAAACGCAAGCGCTCTCACCGCCAAGTGTCAAGACCCATAGATCATCGAATTCAGTGGGCCATCGGCGAAAGATTTCCATTGGCAATTCCATTCTTAACCGCAAGAAGAACGGATCTCAAACGTTAATGCCGCCTAATACTCCAGCCAGCGCCAAGATAAGACTGTTGGATGATGACTACGAAGACTACGATGATAGCCGATTTACCGAAGATGACTCGCTTGATTCTTTGGGAGGCATCATGGTGGGAGGCGGCAGTGATATGTTGGTTTCTTCGAGATTGGAGCAGCGAGTCAACCATAAACATACCGCCAGTAATTCTGGAGCCAAGCCTAAGAAATCACCATTGAAATTTGAGATCCATGTTGTTAAGGTTCCTCTAGTTGGACTTTATGGTGTTCAATTTAAAAAGATCCTTGGTAACACATGGAACTACAAAACGTTGGCGGGTCAAATACTTAACGAGTTAAACTTGTAGTGCTATCATTTATTTACTTCGTACATAATAATAACCATGGCATAATGTACAATTGTCGGAGTTTGCATATCGGAGTTCGCGACGCGAGTTACGGCATACGTTACGGCATGCATTACGGCAGTTTTGCGTTACGACAGTTGCGTCACGCAGGGCCCTAATGTGGTAAAGGCGGGGAAGGAGGGGAGTTACGGAACTAATTTAGGTTATCTGGATGAATGGAAGACGCATTAGACGGGTGTTGTGCTTTCGGGGAATTTGGCTGCATTGCATGATGATTATGCACGGCTGTGCTCTCCGCAGTTGCTGCGTTAGGCCATTGTACGGGCGGCTGCGAAATTTGTTGCTGTGGGAAGGTTTGAACTTCAGAAGATTGGTGGCTTGGTATGGGGTACTGCTGGTGGTTGAAATTGCCCCATTGAGGCATATTGCTCGTGGAGGATGGAAAATGAGGAGGTTCGATTTTGGCTCTTTTAGCCGGGGGCTCATGGGTAAGAGGCTCGGTAACAATAGGACCAGTAGACGCTGAGGACCCAAAAACGCGGGGCTCAATAGCCGTAGAAGGTTGTGGCTCAAAGGCAGAAGATTGGGGCTCAAATACCGTAGAAGCTTGAGGCTCAAAAGTAGAAGCTTGAAGCTCAGAATCTTGCTGAACATTTTCATTTTCTTCCTTCTTTATTTCCTCCTTTTCTGGAGCCGGTGAATTAGACGGAGACTGGGTTTTTGCTTGTCTGAGACGGAGTCTTTCTTCTCGAGTCATGGCTGTTGGCGTGGGTGAAACGTACGAATTACTGGCTTGTTCTCTTGCCATTCTTCGTCTTTCAAGACGACTTTCTGCCGCAGCTCTCATTTCTTCTTCCTGCTTTTGGCGCTGCAATTGAAGATCTCTTTGTCTTTCACGCTCTCTAGCTTCAATTCTTGTCGATTTTTTCCTTGTTGCCAAAAGGTTAGCCAACTGCAATTCCTTCCTTCTATGCGAGAGAATCTTGCGCTTTCTGATCTCAGCATAGAACATGGAGTCTACTACGGCGTCGCTGGCGAGCGCTGCTCTCAAGTCCTTCAATTTTTTGCTCTTTTTCGGAATCAGCTTGAGAAATTCGTCCAATTTGTAGATATCTTTGAACACCAATTCGTACTCCACGGCAGTTACATCGAACTTTTCGGCGCCAAAATGGGCTTCAGGCTCTCCTGGAGCGGCGGCACGCTTCTTGGGGACCACAAGTTCGGGGCAAATAACGGTTCTTTTGTATAATCTGGTATTGTCGAACATGAGAATATAGTCCATCGACTCGTTTTCCTCCACCAATTCCGAGTGAAGAACCTCCGGTTTGAGGTCGTCTGAAGTGAGCTGGTGGCGGTCGATAAACGCCCGGAACTGCGAGTAGCTGGAAATGTAAGAAATGACCATATAGAGCACATCGATCTTGCTTTCGATGAACAAATAGTCGAATTGGAGTTGGGGAGTTTCGTCGTTTTCGTCCACTGCGCCTCCCAACGGCGTCTCGATTCCAAACCATTCACGGAAAACCGCTTCAAATTCGTCTGAAGAAGCATTTTTTGCTCCTCCACCTCGAAGAGCCACGATCAATCCGACTTTCAATTTGTTGATGAAAAGTACGGAGTCGTCCACGGGAGGCGGAGATACAAGGTTAAGGAGCTCTATTTCGAACAAATCCGCATCGAAATGCTCGTTTTGGAGCTTGACAAATCCTCGGCACTGATAAAGCCAGCTCAACACGAAAATGTACGCGTTGGAATTTCTCAATTTTTCAAGCTTATTTTGGTGTTGGGAGTCATTTGGAAGATGGACAGGTAGAAGCTTGGAGAGCTGGGCCACCTGGTCGTCGTTTCCAATGGACAAGTCGAGGGCCGGATGGCTGGACATGGAGAATGAGTGTAAAGAAAGAATTGATTGAAATGAGAATTGAATAAAATGAGAAAATGCGAATCGATTGAAAATCAGATTTGAGTGAGAAGTGAAAAATGAGTGAGAACGATAATGAATATTGAAAGTAGATATTAATGAAAATTGATGAAAATGAGTGAGAAGTGAAGGAATGAGAGACGGAGAATGGCAAGTATTGTGAAAATGACACTGACAAAACAAAGTGACTGAAACTTCGATACTGAAATCAAGACAAACCAAGATGAACTTTCGCTTTGGGTAGTTCATTTCAATAGAAAGTCAGCGATCTCACCACTGAAATGCACAAATAAAACCTAGAACCGAGGATGAGAGCAATTGTGAAGTTCAAAAGTCGAGTCTTCAAGTTCTCAAAATAAACTGTTCCCTACTACAGTGACGATCAGTACCAAGTTAGGCATAAAACACCTCAATTACAATGACAAAGTTTAGTCTAAAGTCTACTGAAGTCATTTAGAAAATCATTTGGAAGTCATTCAGAAGAATTCTAATTATTACTGAAATGAGTAAATGCCAAGAAGAGCAATTTGGTTGAAGCTTAAATTGAATAATAACTGAAACTGAAATGAAAGTCTACAACTTTAAAGTATGATTACGAGGGAGACATAGTCGAGCAGAATACAGAAAATACAGAACACAGAAAACTCATCAGTAATTTTCTTATATCGTCGTAATATTAATACATAGCAGAAGCTAACCCATCAAACGCCCAAGAGCTGCTTTATCTTGTCGTTCTTTTGTTTCAATTTGCAAATCTCACCCGAGATTTTCATTAACGCTGTGTGTTTCGACAAGTTGGGAAGTCCATCCTTGGTCATTTGTCTTCTCTTCAGTTTCTTCTTCGTTTGTGCTTCGTCATTCATGTGGTAGTCGTGGATGTTTGTCACGAGGCGCAAGCACCTATCGTAAGCGGTTTTACACAACTGTCTTCTCTTTTGTTCCGAGTGGGAGTGATTCAACCGTTTTTGTTCCAACGACAAAAGCGGCCGCTGAGTCTTTTTCTGCTTTTTAGCCATCCTCAGGCTGCCCAGCGGCGACGAGGAAGGCGGCGTAGAGAGCGAAGCATGCAGCAGCAAGTCGTCAGAGTAGTCGTACGGTCTTTTAGGAGACGTTTTTTGGAACAGCGACGACGACAGCTGGCGGCTATCCATAGGCGTAGGAAGCTGCGTATCTACCGGGCGCTGCGGGTAGCCAAATGCATCGTTAAGTTCCTGTTTGAGGTTGTCGTTGAAATGAGGAAGTGGATTGGAATGGTGCCGCGTGGGAGGAACCGTGGATTTCATGGTATGCAAGTCATATAGACTGTTAAGGTCCGCAAGCGGCTGGGTGGTCCCCGTGGGAACTCCATGGTTGTATATCAGAAGCGGGTTGGCGGTGGGGTTGGCGAGATTATCCAAAAATTTCTCCAACGCATCGGATTCGGTGTTGGAGAAAAACTGGTCGTATTCTTGCGGACCCGAGTTGAGAAACGGCTTGTCGTGGCGCTGGAACTCGAATTTGTCCAACGAAGGCGGGTCAAAAGTGAAATTATTGTTGTGGTGGTCCAAAGCATCCACCGGTGGCGCGAGTTGGTTCAACGAGCCATTAAAGGACGGTACGTCACTTTCCACTGGTGGTGGCGAGTTGAGCTGAGAAATGAACTGCTCGTTAAGTTTCTGGACTTTTTGAAGTTGTTCAACGCCACTCATGGCATTTTTTTGTTGCAAATTGGAGTACATGGAAAACGCCTGTTCAAAGTCCATATCGGCGTTCATCAAGTCCAAAAAGTTTTCCGCCTCCGCATGATGGTCGTCACTTCTGTGGGGGAACGATGACAATTCAGGAGTGCTCATGGGCAATATCTATTTGGGGAGCCTGACCAATCTCTGTTGGGTACAAGTATCACGGTTAGGACGATTATGTGATTTTTTATTGGTTACTATTGATTAATTTAATCTGAATCAAGTTGAACCTCAACGTAACAGAAGGAAATAAGAATGACAGCTGGAAGTTCTGCTTTTAAACGTGTGAGGCTTACTTGCTGAATTAGGATCTTAAATTCTTCTAGCCCGGAGTGGGAACTATGCGCATTCATCGAAATGCAGCTCGCGGTCTGCATATAACTCGCAATGCACCCTCCGAATATGCACCTGGCGGAATTAGCCCGGGTGCACGCCCGGATCTGCTCTGTACCGGCCACACTTTCACAACCACGAAAGAAAGAGTGGAAACTTAACCAAACACATACGAATATTTGGTGAGCTGCTTGACTATCGGCCAATTTTCTGCGGTCTTTTCGCGATTTTACGCCCCCAACGATCAACCCCGCCAACCGCATGACCTGCACGCCGGCGTATTCCATACATAGAACTTGGGTGCGGGGGGCCGGGCTAAGTCCTGTTAAACCCGCAAAACTTTGCAGGTTACTCGGAGAGCGGGAAATGCCCCGCTGGGTGCAGGCCGGTATTGTAGATATCCTTGATGCGTCATGCGTTGATTACCTCCGAATTGCGCGTCTTGTCATTTAAGCGGGGATGGTGAAGAGCTGCATTACCCCGAGCCACAAACTCCGCTCATCGAGTAACATTAAAGTAAATAATTTTAAAAACGAATTAAGAGATGTAATTAATAGTTGTATTTATCGCCGGTCTATCGATCGTAGTCTCGCGGCCAGTTCGGAGACCATTTCTTGATTCGTAACTCTAATTCCTTGTTCGGTATGCGCAATTGAGTCCGCATAACCTGTAATTCGCTTATTCGGCCCCTGAATCTCTTAGCAACTATTGTTCTTGTCCTCAGCTTACGTAACGACGAAGCGTCGTTCCCGGTTTTCATACCTGCAAGTTTCAGCCCAATGCCGTAGCTGCAGATGGCGGCGATACTGGCCGCAGGAAATCTTAGTCCAAATATGCACATCGCAGCACCAGTGGGCCAAATTTAGCATATTAGCCATAATTCAGCAAACTAAAATGTCAAGTATAACGGCTGCGAATTGGTAATTTGGCATCGCTTTTTCGTTGTCTCGTCAAGCTGACTGACTGCATCCAAAACATTTTGTTTCTCGTCGTTGGTGAGAAAAGTGGTATTTGGCTTATCGATTCCTCCTTCACCTTCTGTGTGCACCAGAAACGATATGTTCTGAGTACTATTTTCCAAGCCAGTTGGATTACTCATAAAAGTGCTTACGTCTATCAAATTGTCAGAAAGTTCATTGACGATTCCTGCCAACTCATTTTGTCTCTGTTGTTGTTTTTTTACTTCTTCTTGTAGATTTTCTTCCGAGTAAAGTTGGTGGTTTTGCAACAACGAACTACGCTCGTTATTATTGCCGTCATCTTCATCGCCATAGAGGCATGAGTAACAAAGTCCCATGGCTTGCTGCGTAGCCGAGTGAACACCCCAAATTTATGCGAGACGAGCATTGGGCTGCACGACATGCGACATTCCCGCATGCATCCCTCATAGATTCCGCATAGATTCCGCATGGATCCCGCATGGCATATACCGATTTGATGGCGTGACGCAAACGACCACTTACCAAAAGGCAATTCAGATTTGTGTATATGTAGAAGGTGCGAGGATCTGCGCATATTAGATGATGCATCATGCATTGAATTCATGCATGATTTGTTCTGCTGTGTAATTAAGCCTTCTATTAGTAGGTTGGCACCATTCTCGTTTTTCATGCTGACTCTTGGAGTTCCTTTCCAAAATCTTTTATGCTTATTCTGTTCTGAATTCCCTGTTCAATAGTAGCAATTTATGGTCGCGCTCTCATTTCTCATTTGGCTGCAAACTACTTTAGTGGTTATATGCTGCACATATTTAAATCCTGATTCCACCGCGTTCTTCAATGGAGTTTCTATGTTCATTACCACCGGAAATCAGCCTTCATATCTTGACCTTTCTCAGACCGTGCTGCCTAAAGTATTTGTTCGGGCTTGACACCATTTTCAACGATTGTCACCAAGACTCAGAATACGATGAAATTCGTAAAATGGCACTTTACGCCATGTATGAAAACCAAAACGTTTCCATTTGTGCTCCCAACTACATGCTGAATGCTGTGCTTGATCTTAACGAACCACTTTTGAAATATCTTCAATTTCATCGTCTTGTCATTCGACCCAAGCAAATTAGTATTTTCTTACTTCTGCCATTTGTTGAAACTTCCACAAAGAAAATAGCCGAATATATGGATTGCTTGCAGCGGTTTACAAATGTGTTTAATATCCATATACTGACCACTTGCTGCATCCTGACAGATGAAGATAATATCATAAATGGGTTTTTGCAGCAATTTAAAAAATTGAATTCCTTTAGTATCGACCAGATATCCCATATGCCCCAGCAAAAACCATGTCAGTTTTTGGCTCTGGTCCCAGCTACCCATCTCACATTATTGTACCATAACGCAGAAGCAACTATGGTACAACTAGGTGCCTTTAATACCAGCACCATCAAGCATCTTGATATCTCTTTTAATGGACTTACCGATTATAATTTGCATCGAATCCAGTTTCCGGAGCTGCTCGAGTCCCTAAACCTTTCCAATAACAACATTTTCCATTTATCAAGCTCCACTTTGAATTTGCAAAATCTTCCAAATTTGAAAAAATTGGATTTATCAAACAATAATTTGATGAGTATTTCCATTTCCCAAGCCACATGTCAAATTACCCACTTCAATGTCTCCGGAAATAACCTCACCAGCCTCGAATGGATTATGGCACCAGCTTTTTCACATCTCAAGTCCATCGACCTTGCCCATAATATGATCGCTACCATTGCCAAGTTTCCATCCAAAGTAGAGTATATCAACTTGTGTGGAAATTTTCTCCACAATGCGTGGGCAGATATCCTCAATGGCTTGCTTCCGCCGAGCTTGGTACTTCTCAATGCCCTTCATTGCCGCATAGACACTTCTACAATTCCTGACGATATAGTTGGGCTCACCAAACTTTACAATCTCAAAGCATTGTACTTTAGTGGATTTACATTTTTGGCCCAAAGTATAGAATAACTTAAAATGTAATAGATTTCAGTTCTCAAAATTCACTGTTTCCGTTTAGATTAACGTTCATTTCTTCTCTTTATTCTCTATTCGTTTCTCTCACTATTCTTCTCACTACTTTTCTCACTATTCTTCTCACTATTTTTCTCACTATTTTTCTCACTATTTTTCTCACTCTTCGCATTTGCACCCAATTCGCGCTCTTCTTATCGCAATGAAGTCCCTTTGCTGTGTGGCTTTCGATACACTTTCCAGAAAACTTAAACCAGATTTTTCGCCCGTTTCCTTGTCCCAGTTCGCCAAGGAGCTCAATGAGGACTTGAAATCCATTCCAAATCTGGCTCCGTTGTTTGTAACATGGGACAAAAATGGCAATTTGCGGGGGTGCATCGGTACGTTTCAGCCACAAGAAACGGAAAAAGGTATCCAGAAATTTGCATTGACGGCTGCGTTGCGCGATACAAGGTTTCCTCCAATCAAACTGAGCGAATTGGCTTCCTTGGAGGTTTCGGTGACGTTATTGGCAAATTTCACTCCGATTACTAAATGGGACAATTGGGATATTGGAGCTCATGGATTGAAATTGAGCTTCACCCTTGATGGTGGGTACTATTCTGGCACGTTTTTGCCCAGTGTGGCCTCGGAGCAAGGCTGGGACAAGTTGACTACTGTTTGGTATTTGTTACGGAAGGCAGATTATGGCAATATTTCCAAGTCTAAAACACCCCAATTTTACCAGAAAGGACTTGAAGAAGGATGGTTACAGTTGGAAAGATACGATGGGCTCAAGTATGACATGACTTATGAAGAATACGAAAACGTTAGACAAGGAATTAAACTCTAAAGAAATATACAACCGTATACAAAAGACTGCCGCCAAGAACGGGGATCGTGAGGTTGTCGTCTATATTGAACACATCAAATGCCTCCGAAACGCTACAAATCACGCCGCTGGCAAACGCGTAGCTGTGTAGCGAAAGTCTGGAAGTTTGTGGAGTCCATAACAATTGGCCTGGTAAGTCCACCTTGAAAGTTGGAACGAGATAGCCGTAAAAAAGGTAGCACGACAAAGATCCTACCAAAAAACTACCAATGCACCCGGCCACAGACTTTCTCTCGGAAATCTTGGGGGTATATTTGCCGAATTCTCGCCCCACAAAAGACGCAAACGTGTCGCCCCAACTCAAAAAAAGTGTACCCATGATACAGATATCCTTGGGAAAAACCACGAAAAGAAAGAGCAAGCCTAGCTGGTAGAAAATGATACCGTTGTACAGGTGGCGTTCTGACGGACGCATAAATATCTTAAACTTGTCAATAAGCCAATCGTTCAAAGCAGGATTTCTCAATCGGAAAAAGTCTTGAATAATAAATCCCAGGGCAAATATAATAAACGGTATGATAAAATCTGAGGTTTGCCAGCCTAAAACGTAGAAGATCAACGTAGCACCACCAGCAAACGAGTGGAAAACCTTTCTGGGTACTTCGTGTTTTTCATAAAATGACAATTTGTTTACCGACGTTGATTTTTCCGATTTATTCAAAGTCGATGAATTTTTGGAGTTTTCTCCTTTGGCTCGTTTCCGGGGCTCCTGGGTGCCACTGCTCTTCTGCGGTGCCATGGTGAGCTGGTGTGAATTGTCTAAGCGGTGACGATAAATACAGTGAGATCGCTATGGTGGTTGGAAGTGAAACTCGGTGAGAACTCAATTCAGATCTGGTGGTTGGGTGAAATAGGTTACGCTATTGGTGGTTGGGTGCTACGGCGATAATGGCTGCAATTAGATTAGATAGTGAGTAGTGCTATGAGAAAATACGGAATTAGGCTCGGAACCTTGACCCTTGTGCCCTCCAGCTTGATCCAGTCGAGTCTGGGAAACTGGAGTTTTTTTCTTGGAGCTTTTCCTCGTCTTCGCCGTGTACGGTTGAGTTGAGAGTTTCGCCAAAGCCGTTGGTCTGGAGCCGAGGGAGGATTTGTAGGCTCCAGATTCAGCGTGGTAGTTATAGAAACGGTGGACTGGAGTCTGGCATACTCGGATTGGAGCCGAAGTGAATCGTAAACTTGAAAATTAGCAGATGTGGTTTCGACAGAATCGGTCTTGTTAACTTCAATAGTTACCGAGCCCAGAGAAACGGTGCTTTGTGGTAGATTCCAGAACGTTTCTGCGGTCCATTCCTCCTCTAGAATGGTTGAAGTTTCCTCAGAAATGGTAGTGTCTTCGTTGTGACTTGGAACGTTTTTGTGCACATTTAACCATGATTCCTTCGGCTTGGCGTACACCAAAGGCACTACTGGCTCGCTATTTGGGTTGTGATTCTGGAACTGGGGCAGGATGTGTAGCTTGGCTTCGGCTCTCAAGTTGTTTCTTGCATCTCTGGGCGAAAAACCAAGCGCTGGTTCTGGATCTGAAGAAGTTGACGAGCTTGTCAGACTTAAAAAAGTTGTAGAGCTTAAAGTTGAAGAACTTATAGTTGTCAAGGTCGAAAAGATGTCGACTTCGGTACTGGCTGGCTCCGGTCTCGTATGGTCTCCAAGGTCCTTCGATTCGTTTCGATGTGCGCTCAAAAATCCTCGAAGCGCAATGAGCGAGTCCTGGATTTTTGATTTGTCCCGCTGCAAAATTTCGTCAGTTTCGTTTGTGAAGGAGATGTCGAGAGCAGCAACAGCACAGAAACCCAATATTATGCCTAAACGCATCGCAACACTTCCAAAAATTTGTCGAAAAATTCGTCGCTTTGATTATGGGTTTAAATTTGCAACCGTGCACAAATACACTATATCTTCAAAAGCAACTTTTGAGCAATGGATATGTATGGTTCCGACAATGGTGTTTCGGGGTGTGAAGCAACCACAGGCTTTCCCCGGTCAGACTGAAGACATATATCCTCGTTTAAGGGGATCGAACCCAAGACATCGATGTTCCGTTTCTCTGCTTCTCGAATGGCTCCGTCGTTACCAAAAATATGAGACTCGTGGTTACAGTTGGGGCACAAGTAGTAGCTCATATTCTGGACCAATCCTAGCACGGGAATGTTCACTTTTTCGTACATGGCTATGCCCTTCACGGCATCGATAAGTGCGATATCCTGAGGTGTGGTCACTATAACAGCACCTGTCACCTTGAGTTGCTGGCTTATGGTCAATTGGGTGTCGCCTGTTCCCGGGGGCATGTCTATGACCAAGTAGTCCAAACCAGACCATTGAACCTCGAATAAAAGTTGCTGGAGAGCCTTCATCACCATTAATCCACGCCAAACCACAGGATTTTCCGGCTTGATCAAATAGCCCATCGACATGGTTTCTATACCGTAGTTGGAGAGCGGCAAGAGTTTCCCTTCCGACGAAAGTCGGGGCTCTCCTTCTAATTTGAAGAGTCTTGGAATGGACGGACCAAATAAGTCAGCATCAAGAACACCAACTTTTTTGCCCAATTTCTGCAAAGAAAGCGCTAGATTGGCGGTCACCGTGGACTTGCCTACTCCCCCCTTGGCTGAGGAAACCAAAACAATCTTCTTTACACCAGGAATCGTCCTTTTGATCGGCAAGCCTTGGGACATTGTGCCCGGTTTCCGAGGAAGTCCCAAGGGATTTTCGTGAGCTTTGACAGGTCTGGAGTAGTGTAGCTGGCACCTAGAAGCCAATTGAAAGGTCCTGGGTAGCCCTTGGGGGATGTGTGGGAATATAATTTTCATCTCTTGCAACCTGGAGAAGCTCATCGGATCTGATCGATTCGCGCGAACTTTCAGATTTAGTCAGTTGCAACATGAACTTGTTGTGCAATGTTAAGCGACTATTGCGGTCTCCTGTTCCACTGAGAATGGTACAACCTTACAGAAGAGTGGCTACAAGCGATTACAGTCCCACAATATACGCTTTATCCACAAAAATGGGCCGCGCTGCCATTGGCGTCGTCAGAATATCTGGCTCACAATCTCGATATATTTACAAAAAATTGACCAAAAAAGAGTCCGAGCCTCTTCCTCGTGTTGCTGCTGTTCGGAACTTGTACTCTAGTCGATCTGGAGTGCAATTGGATAATGCGTTGACATTATTCTTTCAGGCTCCTCATACTTATACCGGTGAAGATTTACTAGAACTCCATCTACATGGTGGAACTGCTGTCGTACAATCAGTGTTGAAAGCTATAGAAGAGCTCCATCAGCCCGAAAAGCAGATATTCATCAGGTATGCTGAAAACGGAGAATTTTCACGCCGAGCGTTCATCAATGGAAAATACGATTTGATGGAAATCGAGGGTATACGAGAAATGATCGATGCTGAAACAGAGTCGCAACGATTGGCATCTCTTGCATCCATGGACGGCTCGAACAGTGGTTTGTTCAGGAGCTGGCGACAAGAAATTGCACGGAACGTGGCCCTTTTGACTACGGTTATAGACTTTGGAGAAGATCACGATATTGAAGAAGTCTCACAACTATTTGGTCAAGTGGGTGCCAACATTCACCAGTTGGAATCTAGCATCAGGGAATACCTCTACAGAGCAGAAAGGTCACAGGTACTTCTTAATGGAATCAAATTGAGCTTATTGGGTCCTCCTAATGCCGGCAAGTCTTCCTTGTTAAATTGCTTGGCTTCCAAAAATGCTGCTATCGTCAGTGAAATAGCAGGAACAACCAGAGATATCATTGATATACCTTTGGATATAAACGGCTACAAGATCATAATTGGAGACACTGCTGGAATCAGATCTTTGGAAGACGCAGATACCATTGAAAAAGAGGGTATTAAACGAGCAAAAGCAGCCTCACTAACTTCTGATATAGTGCTCTTGGTGCTACCAGTGGACAAGCCAGTTGTTGATGATTCTTTTCTCGAGCACATAAAACAGCTAACGCAACATAAAAAGAGAATAATTGTCGTTTTCAACAAGAGAGATTTGAGTAACGAAACTCTCAACAAAAATCTATTAGAAAAATATAGCAGAGTATTTGGCATTGAAAAGCCACTATTCCACTTTGTTTCTTGCAATACTGGAGAAGGAATCGACTCTCTTGCAAAATCGCTTGTTTCTGAGTTCCAAAATGTCACCACATCAGACCCTATCATAGTCTCAACTCGGACTCGAGACTTGCTAGTAAACGATGTTCTTCATGGTTTTAAAGAGTTTCAGTATTGGAGAGACCAAGAAGATGTGGTTTTGGCTTCTGAAAGTTTGCGCCAATCGGTGGAGGGTATAGGTAAAATCACTGGCGACGCAGTTGGTGTTGAAGAAATTTTGGGAATTGTATTCTCTAGTTTCTGTATAGGTAAATAGGGCTACGTGCTGTTGCATATAACATTAAAGTTGATTCTTTCCACGTCCCACGACATCTTGGCTTGTTGTAGTTGATTTCTTGTATGGCGACCCGAGGTTTCATCGGTCTCATTTTTGACTCTGTCTCCCTTGATCTGCTTACTCACAGTCGGCGCAACTTTGCACTCGAATGTGATAACATTGAGTCCATTGCACAAGCGAAGGTCATACTGGTACGAAAGTAATTTCGACTTGTTTCTGTAGTCTTCATAGACATTCATACCGCTGTGAACCTCATCTTCATTAACGAAAAGTTTGCATTGAAAATCGTCATCTGACGTCAGAAGACCCAGCCCAGTCTCCAAATCCTTTCTTTTGATGTCATACAACAACTTGTGAAGGCAGACTTTGAAAGTGTAAAATGTGAACCCGTCGGGCGGCAACGAGATACAGTAAGATTGAGTAGCAAACCCAGTCGATGGGTACTGGTACTCGACTATAGAGTTGGATGCGCTTGCTGGATGTGTGGGGAACAATGATGCCTTGGATATTTGAGCTTTTGACATGGTGGGAACGTGCGAAGTATTGTTCATTTGGTGGTGGTACTGTTGGGTCAAATGGGTGACGCTTGAGTTCGAAGTTGCAAACGAAAACAACTGTATGAACATTTCATTGGGCGTAAGCCGCGATGTCGTCTTTCCCATGGTGTCGGACTCAGTCACCTGTGGCTCATCTGCCTCGTCGTCGCCTGCTAAACCATCCTTGTCGTCTTTGAGTTTTAGATTCAATTTGACTTTACTTTGACCCGAAGGCTTCAATTTCAACTTGAGTTTTGTCTTTTGCTCTTGCTGCTCTATACGAGATTTTAGGTCTTGAAAAAGTTCCTCAAAGTAGTCGGACAACTTCACGGCATCTTGATGAATTAACGAACTAGGATCATTGAATGTTTGGGCATTGGTGAATATAAGCTTGGTAGCGTCGTAGAAAGCTTGAAGAGATTCGTCAAGAGGTGTCTTGGACGTGAAAATCTTACGTTTGTCCAACTTTTTGAGAACATTATTGAACGAGGTTGGACTCCTGATCACCTGGAAATACTCGGGGTATTCTCTGCGGTCAATATTATCCATGAAAGGACCGCTGATGATTCCCACGTCTGGAAACTCGTGCTCTATCACCTTGTACAACAAATCAATACACAAATGTGTCAAGTTGGCACTGGTGACTGTCTCGTCGTCATCGACCGGTTTCGACGCAACTTCTCTCTTTATCTTTACCAGCTTAGATTTGGACTTCGAAGGCTTTTCTTCGACAACGCTATTATAAGAGTCCACCTGGTCTTTGACAAAATCATATATCTGTTTTGCATCCACGGCAATCCATGAATCTGGGTCGTTGTACGTTTTTGCATTTTCCTCCAACAACTTGAAATCGTCCAAAAACGAAGCTGTGTCGGGATATTTGTCCTTAGCCTCCTTCTTCTGGATGTCGGAAAGACTTATCGGCTCTTTGATGATCTCATAGTAGTCAGGATACACTTTTTTAGGCGGAAGTTTTACGAACGGAGCCACCAAAACACGCTCTTCTGATGGGTCTTTGAGCTCATTAACCAACCTTAACACAGAAGAAATAAAGTCCTTGAGACTCGCAGCGTCGACCTTGGGCCGCTTGGCCGCACTCGAAACGGCGCCAGATTTTCGCTTGGGAGCCATGAAGATAGTGTTGTGGAATTGAACGATGGAAATCGGTGCGGGTTTATGCAGGAGAGAAAAGGGTGGTTAGAAGAGAGTACGAGATAACGAGGATATAGTTATCGAAAATGGACGGAAAGAGACACACGGAATCGAGGTAGCCCCCACTATACAAGATTATAGTTTGTCTCTTATATTTCTGCTTTTTGCGGGTTTTTGGTAACCTTTTGAATAGTCTGGAGAGTGTCTTTTCTGCAGCACCACGACTACCTGCAGGACCCGCTATATTTTCAATCTCGAGCACCTTCAAATCATGTCTGGCGTTACCATCTTGTATGGATCCGAAACAGGTAATGCCCAGGAATACGCACGATATTTATCGAAAAGGCTCCGCTACTTGAACTTGAGTCCGATATTGTCACCATTAGACGATTTTCCACTAAAAAATTTGGTTACAGAGACTCGATTTTTGATTATAATATGTTCTACCACTGGTCAAGGAGAACTTCCTCGAAACGCCAGAAAGTTTTTCAAGTTCTTGCTCCGCAAAAAGCTTCCTAGAGACTTGTTGAATCACTTGGAGATCACCAGCTTTGGACTAGGCGATTCTTCGTACCCAAAGTTCAACTATGCCATTCGAAAGTTGCATGCTAGACTAATGCAATTGGGGTGTCAAGAGTTATGTTTACGGTGTGAGGCGGACGAACAAGCACCAGAAGGGGTGGATAAGTTCTATAGTGAGTGGGAATTTGCGCTTACTAGCACGCTTCAGACAAAATGTAATGTTGTTGAGCTCGATACCGAATTTGTGCTACCTCCAGAAACACCCGTAAAGGTCGTTGATACGGAACAAGATATCGACACTTTGGGAAACAAAACCATAGCCACGTCTCGCCCCGAGTTGCGGATTGGAACATTGGTTCAAAATAAGAGGGTAACAGCACCAGATCATTTTCAAGATGTTCGTCATATAATCATCACTGCTGAAGATTTAAATTATGTTCCTGGAGACACCCTAGCACTCTATCCCAGCAACGACGACGATTCCGTGGAGCAGTTGATCCAATTGCAACCGCATTGGATTCCTTTTGTTGATAAGCCTTTGGAAATCCTGGGAAGATTGCCTCATATCGAAGGTGGGTTCATCGACAAAAAGTGTCTCACATTAAGATCGTTGTTGAAGTATCACATTGATCTTTCGGCAGTGCCTCGCCATTCGTTCTTCTTTTCCCTTTGGCATTTCGTAGACTCGTCTTCTGAAGATGGTGCCCGAGAAAAGGAAAAACTTCGTGAATTCAGCAAGTTTGAAGACAGTGAGGATTTGTATAATTATGCCAACCGTCCCCGACGCCTGATACTAGAAACTATCCAGGAATTTCACGAAAATCTCGAGATTCCCATTGCCTATATCATGGATATCTTCCCGCTCATCCATCCCCGGTTGTTCCTGATAGCTTCACGGCCCTCATCCAGTCTGGTGGAAATTGTTGTTGGGCTCGTGGAGTACAAAACTATCATTAGACGAATCCGCCGTGGATTGTGCAGTAAATGGTTGAAAGAAATGGCCCCAAACACAAATCTTGCCTTCACCATTCATGAATCCAACATATTTTTCTCCAATAAACCCATCATAATGGTGGCTCCAGGCACTGGCATTGCACCCATGAAATCTTTGATCGAAGAGAAAGCTATGGCTGGCTCTCCACCTCTCTACCTCTTTTATGGATGCAGAAACCACGGAAAAGATTACCTCTTTCTGGATCTATGGGAGGGTTTACAACAACAGAATAAACTTCATTTCTACCCATGTTTCTCGCGAGATGGTTCAAACATAAAATACGTTCAGCATAACCTTTACCAACAAAAAAAGTTGGTGGGAGATCTTCTTCTCAAAGAGGGGGCCACTATCTTTATTTGTGGTTCAAGCGGCTCGATGCCTACACAAGTGAGGATCACACTTACCGAGATTTTACAAGAAATCGGCCAAATTTCCAATGATGAGGCTGCGAAATATTTGCTTGAGATGGAGAGTAATGGTCGGTATATCCAAGAAACGTGGTAAGCAGGATAGACGAGGGACAGTCACGAAGATACCATAACGAACTAGGGATAGAATGTACATACGAAAAGGACTAGAATACATGATTATTCATGAGTAGTCTCTGCTTCTCTACCAATGGACTTGAATATTCTGTTTTTGAAATCGAGGACTTCTTTATAAATTTTATTGTAAAACTGAGTCCAATTGAGTCCAATCGAGCCAATTGAGTCTTTTGGCCAGAATGTATATGCCAACCCAAAGTTATCCCGTCTTCTGTACTCTTCAATGTTTTCACTTATATGCAGTCACTCTCATAAGATTTCTCAGAAAAGTCAAATCAACGACCTTATGCTTTTGAGATTGGCACGGTTCGGGGCCAGAATTCGCCCCCTCAGGCTTGCCGGCGTGCGGAATCTTGCTCAGTATCCTCCAGAAATCAACCTTGATGGAAAAACTTACAAAACCGACGAGTGGACAAATGTTCCACCATTCATTCTCGAGTTGACCAAACGCCAATTGCACCAGGATCCCAACCATCCCATCGGAATACTTCGCGATCTAATAGAGACAAACTTCAGGGACATGGGCTACACATTCTACAACGATTTCAAGCCGGTAGTCACCACATATGAAAATTTCGATGTTCTTGGATTTCCTCAAGACCATCCTGGACGAAGCAAATCCGACACTTATTACCTCAATGGCGAACACTTGCTTCGTACTCACACCTCGGCACACGAGCAGCAGTGTTTCCAGTCTTGCAAGACACCAGGGTATCTTATTACTGCCGACGTTTATCGGAAAGATGAGATCGACCGCACCCATTATCCAGCTTTTCACCAAATGGAGGGTGCGAGAATATGGTCCAAAAACACGCCCAACTTGGAACAAGTGATTCGAGAAGACATAGAACGGATCCCCAAGACAAACATCATCGTTGAGGATCCTTTTAGAGATGTTCCTTTCAATGCTGAAAACCCCAAACAGGCATATATGACGAACACCGAGTGCCAGTTGATTGCCGAGCACTTGAAAAAGACTTTAGAGTATATGGTGAATCAGGTTTTCGAGGCGGCTCGAGAATCGGCTAGACTCGCAGGGTCTACCGAAGAGTACCTCAATGAGCCTTTGAAGGTGCGCTGGGTCGAGGCATACTTTCCCTGGACCAGTCCTTCGTGGGAGATCGAAGTGTGGTGGAAAGGAGAATGGTTGGAGTGCTGTGGATGTGGTCTAGTCAAGCAGAATGTGCTCTTGAATTCTCAATTGGGTGAAGATAAACTAGGATGGGCGTTTGGAGTTGGTTTGGACAGAATTGCAATGCTTCTTTTCGGAATCCCAGACATTAGACTTTTCTGGTCTGTCGATGAAAGGTTCACTCGACAATTTGAAAGAGGCAAGATTTCGACATTTTCTCCCTACTCCAAGTTTCCTGGAATCACTAGGGATGTGTCGTTCTGGCTCCCTTCAAACTCTCCGCTCCACCAGAACGATGTCATGGAAATTGTTAGAGGCCATAGTAGCGACTTGGTGGAGAGCGTTTCTCTCGTAGACGACTTTACCCATCCCAAAAGTGGAAAACGGTCCCAATGCTACAGGATTAACTACCAGTCTATGGAACGCAATCTTACCAACCAGGAAATCAACTCCATTCAGACCAAAGTCGAAGACGATTTGAAACTGTACCACAAGGTGGAAATTAGATAGTATATAGCGACGACCTGCATGTAAATAACATTTGAAAATCTGTTGAAAATTTGTGAGAATCTCGTTCAACAAATGTTAGGCCTTAGAGCGCTAGGGCGGTCTATGATGTCGATGAGGCCCAGCACGGCTTCGATTCCAGCTGTAGGTGCCCTCAGTAGCATGCAAACGTTTTTTGGGCCTGTTATATTCAAGCGTGACAAACATGAGTACGCTCCTCGATTCAAGCAAATCAGAAAGGCGTTCAAAGGAAGGGTTTCTGTCAACACTGGAGGCTCTATCAAGGGCAACAGTCTTGAGTTCGGCAAATACGGCTTGAGACTAAAGTCTAATGGAATACGAATGAAGGCCATCCAGCTTCAGGAAGCAGACAAGGTCATTCGTCGTGAGATTCGACCATCGAATGGAAAACTCATTACTCGGTTTGTGTGTAACACTCCGGTGTGTGTCAAGGGTAATCAGACAAGAATGGGTAAGGGTAAGGGAGCATTTGATCACTGGGCTTGTAGAGTGACAACTGGTAAAGTATTGTTCGAGATAGACGGCAATGTCCACGAAGTCGTTGCCAAAGAAGCTTTGCGTAAAGCAGCCGATAAACTTCCTGGGCTCTTTGAGATCATTAACAAGGATTCTCCCGTGCGAGTCAGTGTTACCCACTGTATAGAGAAGCCTGAAAAGGTGGATTATGTGGAGAAACTCAACCAGAATCCTACGAAAAAATGGGCCAATTTGCAAAAGTCCAAAGATCCACTCTACCGCATGTACCGTGGACGCTAATGTACATAGACGATAACTGAACGACTATACAATATTCATTCATATTATTAACTTACAATATTCACTCACAATATTCCTACTCATTTTTCACTATTTCTCGTTTTTCATTTTTCATTTTGAATTTCATGGCTCTGAAGGATACGCCCAAACTCATCCACCACGGGCTTTCCACGCTTTCGCGGCTCGTCGACTCAGACACGGACATCTCCACTATCGACCTAAATCTCCTAGAAAACTTGAACACAAACCAATCTCTCAACTACATCAAATTAGAACAAAGTCTCAATGTCTTGGACAAACAAGCCACCGATAAAGAAGTACTTCAGCAGCAGTTTGAACAGTATGATAGCATTATAAGAGATATAGAATGTCAGGTGGACACTTTAGAGGCGGTGGTGGACGAATTAGATGATTGGACCAAACAAATTACTCAGTGATTCGTGTTTGTGGAGATTCATTTATTATGCATTTGTGAACAAAAACCGCCAATTTTGCATTTTTTCTAAACAAAACTATACCATGAAGTTACTCAAGGGTCTTTCCTTAGCGTTGTGTCTTAGCTGTGTCCATAGCTCCCAAGCCAAGGAGTTTAGTACTCTGGACCTCGAGCTTCTATATGAGCTTCTCAACATGGTTCAAGAAAAACAGGCTCAAGAATCCATGAGTAGTATCCAAGGAGGGCTCGAATTGCGCCACAAGGTTGCGTCTGCTTCGGTCGAAACCACAGACCATTTCGAGCCTAATCGAGTGGTCAAATATGTCAATTCTTCCCAGCTCCAAAACGTTTCTGTCGAGGCAGCCCAGGTCAAGAAACCGAGAAAAATCATCAGTGCCGGGGTTTATTTTGATGCTATCAAGAACAACGACGAGGATGATGATGATTGTGACGGAGGCAAATGGTTCTGGCCATTTTCGGTGGGTAATTCCACAGCTGTTCAGCCTCGAATTCCAACCTCTTTTCTTGTGAGTTACGCAAGTAACAACAGCCACGGATTATTCACCGGACGAAGACACCAACTCAATGCTACTACGCCCGTCAACACCACTCACACGACTCCTACTCGTGCAACTCTTGCTCCTGTGACATATGTCGAGTCGCCAATGCCGTTCTTTGTCCACAAGTCTGACGCTCAAACGTTGGTGTTCCCGGGGCTTTTGTACATAATGGTTGTATTACTGTTAAGCTACTAACGAGCTCTCCTTCACTCCTGTAATGCCTTGAGTCGTTCTCTCATCTCGTCCAATGCCTCTGTGTCTTCCTCGTCTGCAATCGGTGCTTCTTCTTCAAAGTTGCTGGCAGGAACCTCGGTCTCGATCTTGGAAAGTTTGTCTTCCGTGAGGCTCTGGATGATCTTGTTGACCTCGTCTTGCGACTCCGACTCCAACTCGTCGTCTTCAAAGTCGAGATCCACCATATCGTCCATCATCTCGTTGATGATACCGGCCCTCATCAATTCCTTCTGAAGCTCTTGCATGGTGCCCAGCACCACCCCAAGCGACACTAGCTGGTTCACGTCTCTCATGATCCCCGTCAGCGTCTGGAGGGACAGCGTAAGTTTGGTCATTGAGTACTGTTCGTTGATGGACATGGTAATGGAGTCTATTCTTGCTTTGGATAGATGGAGCTTGTTGTATTGCTTGTTGATGTTGATGAGCTCACGCGCGTATATCTTGGCGGATTTGTAGTCTTTGTTTTTGGCAGACGACTTGATTAAGGATTCTGTCTTCTTTTTGAGCGGCTGTAACTGGTTCATCGACCGGTCGAGTTCTCGCTTGTTTTTGCGAAGAAGCTGGTTAATCTTGCGCATCTGATGTTAGTGTGTTCCTAAATTGCATATTTGTGCCACTCACCTGTTCTTTGGGGTCCGGGCCCCATATTGCTTTCTTGATGTAATCCATGCCAAAAGACAACCCAGAAAAATGCTTGATATCCACACCCAGTACACCAAGCCTATTTAGAGATATGAGCGCGGCGCAGGCGAAATCCGCAAGATGCCTAATCACCAGGTTCCATTAAACGATGTGCAAAAAATTCTCTTGATCATCATGGCGTGTGTTCTCCCTCCGTTGGCCGTGGGCTTGTTGAACTCACGCTGTGATATGAGACGTGAGCTTGTGGTTTCGATAATTTTGATGTTTTTCGGTTTCTTCCCCAGCACGGTTTTCACGATATATTGTATTTTTGTTCAATATCCTCGCAATTTGGCAGACCATAATGGATACCGGCCCATTGACGAAGAATCAGCTGACCATCCTGAGCCCATAACAAGCGAAACTAACGAAACGAGCCGCACTCCTCTCAACACTCCTCAACTAGTAGACTCACCAATTCCTAGTAGCCTGGAAGCTCCTCCCCATTATGACGATATCATGGTTCAACCTCGCGACAACAAGAGTAGCGGCGACCACAAGGTGCAGCAGTAGTTGCCTATATACTGTCTATAGCCAACATGGCTTTGGCCACGAACCCCTCCAAATGAAATATGCTTTTTTGTCCCAAACTCAACCTCTCGTCAAACACAGCGGCCACCCCCACCAAGTCTCGTGTGAGCAGGTCTTTGTTGGCTAGCTTGATCAAGTCGAAAAGAAGAGTCTTGAGAATGACTGCCGGGGGAATACAGTGGGACAAGAGTTCGTAGAGCACCACTCTAACCTTTGCCAAATTAGCTACTGTTCGCTGAGTGTAGATGGATTGGGCAAGGTTCAGGATAATCACCTCCCAATCGAGGTCCACGATTGCCTGTTTAGGGTTGTTAATGTTGATGGTTTCCGTCTGCATCAGAATGGTTTCAAAGCAGAGCAATGCCCGGCGCATGTTCCGGTTGCAATTGGTGGCTAATTGCTCAAAGAACTTTTGGCGAGTTTCTTCGTCGCCAGGGTTGAATTTGACAGTTTCTTTGTCGGCAATGGTGGTGAGCACCAGGGCAATTTCTGCCGTTGTTGGAGCCGGAATCCGCACAAGAAGCGTACGCGACTTGATGGGAGAAATGATACTGGAAGTGGTGTTGCAAACCATAATAAGACGAATGTTACTGGAGTATTTTTCCATGGTTCTTCTCAACGCTGCCTGGGCATCTCTACTGAGTGAATCGGCCTCGTTGATCACCACAACCTTGAACTTGTGTCTGGGCGACGAAGCCTTTGCCGTGAAGTCCACCTGCTCTGTAGAAGCCACGTCTTTGAGAAGATCCTGGATCACTACTCTGTCGTTGTTTCCCATATCTGACGGGGTAATTTCCAAATGATGAGGCGAGCTCAACACGTTAAACTCGAGCTTTCTGTTGGACGTGGTGGTGAACTTTTTCACGTCAATCTTGAGTTTTTCTACCAGAGGACCATACAATTCATGGAGTGTTGAGTAGATTCGTGTTTTTTTTCCACTTCCACTGGGGCCGTAAACCAAGAGATGGGGAAAGTCTCCGGTGCTAGCAAGGGCCCTGAGGTTATTTGTGATGCTGTCGTGGAACGAGAGCTGGTCCAAGGACCTTGGTCTATACTTGTCTACCCACAAAGACATTGAGCGCGTCGCGAGAAAGAAGTGAGAAATGAGAATTCAGTGCGAATTGAAAATGAAATTTGCGAAAGCGAAAATGGGGAAGAGAGCGAGAACGGACAAGCAGTGAAAATTAAGAAGAACAAGTCAGATGGAAGCGGAAGTTGATCAGAAGTGACCTGAAATTTCATGAGAGTCGGGATTGAATTAGCCTACTTGAAAGGAGCGCAACAGCAATTATTGATGTGGTGTCATGACTTCAGCCAGATTCATCAATTGAGCTAGATGGAAGTAAAACTCAAAGAGAGTAACATCTGATCAATAATTGAATCTTGAAGAGAAGGTTCTTGCTGGTCAACCCTCACTGGTGAAGATCAAATCAAAAGTAAAAGTTGAATTTTGCCAAAGTACTAATGAGGAAACTAGAATATTAAAAATGAACTTGTATGGAACAGGTTATATCTATCAACTGGGCTATTCTGCCGATGAAGTGCCTTCAAGAGAAAGTTAGCGTTTTGTTCCATTTACCACCTTCATCCGAATTACCAAAGAAGTACCTGAAAATTAGTAGAATTCATTTCAACGTTTTTGTTCCTACGTTTGGCTGTTCATGGGTCTACAGTAATTCTAGAGCATGACCCCTTGCGAAGACATTCACTTCCTCATATAATTTCCCAAGTTTTATAAGAATATTATCGTCTCGTTGAATGGAGCCGTCATCGAACAATATTCTATTTGCATTGTTTTGTGCCTTCAGTACAATAGTAGCTCCGGTCTTAACTGTGTTGTATAACTTGCTCAAAGTGCACCAAAGGAGATTACCAGAGTCCAAAGGTTACTTCAAACTCACAGGCCACCGGAAGATTACAGAGTGGAGTTTACCAATTAGGAGGATCGTAGCTAGCTAAAAATAGGGTCAAAAATATAAAATCTAAATACATAAATGTGATCATAAAGTAAAGCAAGGATATTGAATTCTGAAATTGCGTGATTTTCATTCTTATCTCCTTTTCTTATTCCTTGACATCTACCCCACAATCTACAAATCTTCGTATTTCTTCGGAAAACCGTACCCGACGGATAACTATCAAAACTTCCACATCCAAACACCCACAACCATGATAATCGGGTGCGGTATCCGAACGAATGTTTATGAAAGATCAAAATGAAGATACGGAATATGCTTATCTAAAACTACATAAGTATCGGAAACCATGAAACTTTTCAGTTTTATAGGAAAATGACTCCAAATAAACTGCAAGTGGAAATTGTTGTCAACGATGGAAGCGAACCTTCATATACGAATGAAAAGCACGATAATGTGATTGAAGTGGAAAAATCTAAACTTGATGAAGGTGCTATATTCTTGAATTCCCATCCGGAATATTCTGGATATACCGAGGCTGACGAGAAAAGACTCAAAATCAAACTTGATGTTATTCTTATTCCCATTTTAACAATTGCCATTCTTGTTTCAGCTGCCGACAAAATCATTCTTTCCAATGCTTCGCTATACGGCATGAGTGTGGACTTGAACTTGAAGAATAACCAGTACTCTTGGGCAGGAAGTATATTTTTCTTTGGATACCTTATAATGGAGCCACTTGCCAATTTCCTACTTCAAAGATACAGAATTGGTAAAGTTCTTGGTATCACTTATACGTTGTGGAGTATAATTATGGCATGTATGGGAGCAACTCATAATTTTGCTGGCATAGCTAGTCTTCGTTTTGTCATGGGTATGGGTGAAGCCTTCATTTTTCCTGGCGTGAACGCAATCATTGCCATGTTTTATACAAAGAAAGAACTGCCAATTCGATTGGCTATCGTGTTCAGTGCTTTATCGTCGCTTCTTTCGAATGGTGTGGCTGTTGGAATTGGTGAAAGACACACACTGATTGCTCCTTGGAGATTGCTCTTTATAGTTCTTGGAGTCGTTTCTTTCGTTCTTGGAATCCTGTTGATTGCGTTCGTTCCAGATTCGCCAACTAAAACATATCTTCTCACAGAAAAAGAGAAGTATATTGCCGTTTCAAGGATGCAACATAACGGAACCGGAATCAAGAATTCCCATTTCAAAAAGTATCAGTTGATGGAAGCATTAACAGACTGGAAAACTTGGGTTGCAGCCTTGATGGTTTTAGCGATCCAAGTTCCCAATGGTGCTTTGGTCACTTTTGCCAGTCAAATTGTATCCGGGTTGGGAAACTCCAAAAGAGAAACCTTATTATTGGGTATGCCAACCGGAGTCTTCATGTCAGTTGCTTCTTTATTGATTGCACTTGGTTCATACCTTTTAAGGTATAGATACGTCATGATATTATCCGGTGTCTGCATGTTGGTACCATTGGTCTGTTGTGTACTTATCATGAAATTGAAAGATAACAAGCACTTGTTAGTGTGTTACTATTTCTTTTATTTCTACTGGGGCCCCTATCCACTTGTTTTATCCACCATCAACAACAATACCTCTGGCTACACCAAAAAAACGGCTGTGAATACAATTTGCTTTATCAGTTACTGTGTCGCTAATATCATAGCACCACAATTTTTCATATCCAGTGAAGAACCAAAGTATCCTACTGGATACAGAGCGCTCTTGGCATTTTTGGTCGTTTCTGTTTTGACCTCTATAGCTTACAGTGTGGGATGTTATTTGGAGAACCAAAAGCGTGACCGGTTGTACGGAGTTCCAACCGGTGAAACTGATGAAAATGACAATTTGGATATAACTGATCACGAGAAAAAGTATTTTAGGTATGTTTTTTGATATGAATGCAACAAGCCATTTGGGTGCAAAATCCTAATAATGGAGCGCATACAGATTTTCTCATTTTCGGTCTTCTGAATGTAGTCAATACCTTTTGATCTAGTCTGGTGTTGTAGAATACGGGTTTGTAAGCGTTTTATCGGATCAGGGTGCTCCGAAGACCTCTCCTCTAGACTCTTCTGTATCTCACCTCTGGAATCCGGACATTATCTGTTCCTGCACACATTTACCCCGGAGATCCAAATGTCCATATAAATTTACTAGATATTTCTTCTCAATTGCTAGATGGCAGCTCGAAAAAAGGTCACTAGAGTGAGGGAAAAGGTCCCTTTACATCTCAGAAAACGAGTATCAGTAGCGTAAGTAACCATGAAAGTATTTGTTCAAAATCCCCACTAACCTAGATGTGAGAAATGTCGTCGAAATAAAACCAAATGCTCTGGTGGTTATCCATGTAATTATTGTAAAGATAACAAGTTTGACTGTAAGATTGTCTCTCCTGCGAAAGAATCCGATACCAACAATCCAACGTATGTATTTGGCGAAATTTACAAAACTTTACTAACAAAGTAGCGAAGACATCAAAGACTTGAAAGCCTATATAAGTAAGCTTGAAAGTATTGTTCAGTTCCATTATCCTGGAGTTTCTCGACGATATATACGGAATCATGTGGATATAATCCAACGTGCCATTTGTTCTGAACGTGGTGATGTTATAGACGACAAAGTTAGTGTTGGAAATATGCAATCAAGTTATGCTTCTACAAGCAAAAAAAGTTTTCTTCATTTTTTTGATGAAACTTCAAGCGTTGGAGACTATGCGGAAATAAAGTTTGAGAACCCCAGCTACCTGCCATCTATAGGACATGACAGTCTAGTGAGAGCTTTAAATGTTATTGAAAACGAAAAGGATTTACTTCAATTGACTGAGACATTCTTTGCAGTCTGTCAAAACAACTATTACTATGTCAATTATCAAAAGTTTACGACAGAACTCCAGCTATTCCTTCTGCGTTACAAGAACTGGCTGAAACATAAAATTATTCAAGATTGGAAATTTATAGTAGTTCTATTTGGCGTGCTCGCCGTTGGTTCTGGTTATGAATATTTGGTGGAAGAAAACACACTACCAAAGGTTACTCATTTCATGCTAGGACTCCAAGATCCTGGGATGAAGTACTACAAGGCTTGCATTCCTTTTATTGGTGACTTGATAGCTTGTCATGATCTTGCTAGTGCTCAAGGTTTGCTATTATTTGGGCAGTTTCTCACATCAATCGAAACAAGCGTGTCTGATTCTATTTCCTTCAACATTGGACCTTCTGATGAAAGCGGCTACATCTATCTCCGGACGGCTACTGAAATAGCGTTAGCTAACAAAGTGCATTTGATTCTGGTGGTGAATTCGCCAGAAGATGAAGCAAAGCTAAGATTTTGGTGGAGCTGTTATTGCTTAGAAAGAAAATATGGTATCAATCTAGGGAAGCCAAGTCTCATAGATAAGGAGGAAATAACTTCTCAGTTACCAAGTGACTGCCCTGAATTGAGAAACGAGAACGGAACGTCAAACTACCTAAATCAGAGAGCCATGGTAGAGTTGACATTCATCATAGATCGAATATCTCTGACGTTGAGTGTATCTCCTTCATTGAATAGCAAAGATCGTTTCGTAAAGTTGGATTTTGATGATATCAAAGAATTGTTGAAATCGCTTGACGAATGGAAGATTAGCTATTCATCGATACTCGACCTTGAATTAGACTCGAAAGATAACCTTTATCGAGCCCACATACATTTACGATTGAATTTCTTGTTGGCCAAACTATACCTCGGCAAGCCGTTCTTGTTGCTAAAAGTGGAACTACAAAGTGGTAAGAAAAACTTGAATAATAGTGAGAGGGTGTTCATTGACCACTTGGCTTCAATAGGTGTGGATTCTGCATTCAGAATGGTTCAGCTTTTTGAATCACTAGCGGAAAATCAAAAGCTTGGGTTATTTTCATCAACTGATTTCAATTTTTGTAATGCAAGCCTTTTTATGATTGCCGTGTTTTTGAAAGTTGATAAATCCGAAAGTACCTTGCTATTTTTCAAAAAGGGAATTTCAGTACTCCAAGTGTTAGCAATGGGATGCACGGCTGCAAAAGTAGCTTTCCAAAGATTTGACAGGATCCAATCTCACATAATGAAAAGTTTAGATGAGCTGGGAATGATACCAACGTCCCTAGTGGAATACAATGGTTCAGATTTGGTTGAAAATGTTGATACTGAAGGAGATTCAATCTTTGAGAACGAAGCAGCAGAATTTTTAAACTTGCCTCGAAGTATTCTCGAACTAGAGAGTTTACCATTCGATGAGGAATTCTACGGTTTTTAGGACAACTATTCCTGATAAATCGTATCATCTACAATCATCAATGTCTTCAGTCAACATGTCAAAAATTGCTTTCAAAGGGATCGTAAACCTATCCTGATATGACATGTGGATTACAAAAATGAATTCAAATGTGAAGTAGCATAAATTTTGAGGGACCTACTCAATAGAGAAGCATGTATATAGACTTATTCTACACTCACTATTTCTATCAAATACCAAGAAGCAGCGATTATTAGGAATTTCATTTGATTTTTATTTTTATGAATACTATATTTATTCAAAGTTTCAATTGGTTTCCTGTGTTGCTGCCATCATTCCTACCGACCCGGTATATATAGCAGGCGGAGCGCTAGTAATTTTATAGTCAATGCTCTTTAACTTCAGATTTGGGTCACCGTACCCTCCTCCACCTGGAGTCATAATGATGACATGATCACCTTTTTGCACCCGAACTGTACACTTGCCTCCTAGCGAAATCTCCCTGTAGGTATCAGAGGTGGCATCCTTGCGGTACCAGATATTCGTTCCCCGAAGTCCATCTTTTCCGCCCAAAAGTCCAAAAGGTGCGAGTGCTCGTCTTTCCATCAAACAAGAAACCTCGAGGTTATCAAACGTAAACTCAATGTCTCTGATGATTCCGTTTCCTCCACGGTGTACACCACTGCCACCCAGACCGTGCCTGATTTGAAATCTATGCACGATAATCGGATACCTTTTTTCAAAAAGTTCAGTATCGGTGATCTTGGTATTCGTGGTATGGCATTGCACAGCACTCTGACCATCCCAAGTTGGTCCTGCTCCCGATCCACCACAAATGGTTTCGTAGTATCCAAATGAAATTCCCTTCTCTTTGTTGCAGACACCGAATGTAAAGTTATTGCAAGTTCCTTGTGATGCTGCAGCCGCTTCAAATGCCTTCAACATTACATCGACGATACGCTGGGTTGTTTCCACGTTTCCACCTGCCACTGCTGCTTCAGACGAAGGAGACACCACCGAGCCTTCACGAGTCTTGAATCTGATCGGCCGTAAACATCCATTGTTGAGAGGAATATCGCTGCTTATCAATGATCTCAACACATACAAGACAGCAGAATACAAGATAGCCTTGGGAGCATTCAAATTGCCGTACATCTCGTTACCGGAATTTGTAAAGTCAAACTCAGCAGTGCCCTCTGAAGCGTTTATAACAATCTTGAGAGCAATTTGAGTTCCATCGTCAAGATAATCTATTGCTTCGAGATTCTTACCTTCAAACTTTTCGTTGACATACCGTAGAAGATTCTTGACAGCAACCTCTGACGTTGACTGAATGGCACCCATGTACAAGTCGATAACCGAATATGAGAATGTATCGATCAAGTCCTTCAATAAGGTGATACCCTTATAGTTGGCAGAAACCTGAGCCTTAAGGTCAGAAATGTTATCACTCAAAGCACGAGACCCGGAACCACCAGGATGCTTAGCAGGTTCGTCAACAAGTAGCTTGGTGATTCCAGCCTCATCAAATTTCCCATTCGAGCACAACTTGAAGGTCATGATTGCAGCACCTTCGTCAAAAATAGTTTTCGAATTTGGAGGCATTGAACCAGCAGAAATAGAACCAATATCCGCATGGTGAGCCCGTGAAGCAGTCCAGAAAATAGGGTTCTTATCTTCATCCAAAACAGGAGTTATCACAGTGATATCAGGTAAATGTGAACCGCCTGCCAGAGGGTGGTTGGTAACGAGGACGTCGCCATGATCAAGTTTTCCCTTCCACATCTCTAGTTGGCCCTTCACGGCGAACGACATGGCTCCTAGATGAATAGGAACATGAGGAGCATTGGCTACCAAATCACCATTTTTGTCAAACACAGCACAAGAAAAATCTAGCCGTTCTTTAATATTGGTAGAAATGGCAGTTTGTTGCAAAGTTCGACCCATCTGTTCTGCAATTGACATGAACCTATGGCCAAAAACAGAGAGTTGAATTGGATCCACCACCTTGGCGGAGAGCTCTGGAGCACTGCCTTGCTCGATGGAGATGAGCACATGGCTTGTCAAAATAGTTGCAAGTGAAAAGGGCTCAATGACAATCGTCTGAGTTTCATCGAGAATAATTGCTGGACCATGAACCAAGTCCCCTTTGACGAGGTCTTTCAACTTGTAAATAGCCGTGTCTATCCAGCCTTTGCTTTCAAAATAGACAGATTTGTGCGACGCAGAGGATTTCGTTTTCTGAGTTTCGATGCTCTTGACCTCTTCAAAGGGATTGCACGTCTCTTTATCACGACCCTTGGCGACAAGAATAACCTGAACATCATCAACAAGTACCATTCTATCCAAGGTGAACCCAAACTCACTTTTGTGTCTCTGAACAAAAGAGTCAGCAGCATCGTAGTGCTCATTCTTGGGGATAAGCAAGTGGGTATCGGAACCAACATATCTCATATTCAACATGACTTGAACGCTGGTCTCAAATTCTACCAAATTTTGCAGCTCGTAGTCCTTATACGCATCGTTCACTAACCCTTCCACAGTCCTGTCAATCAAAGCATAATTATCTTCAGAATAGGCACAAGTGAGCGGTGCTTGCTTCTCTATCAAGATATCGGCGAGCATGATTCCATGAGCAGACAATAAAGAGGAATACTTGTGAATTGCAGCCGAACGAATCAGAAGATTCTTGGCTAAGGCCACTGAAAATTGACCTCCAGTACCACCAAAACATGCCAAGTTGTGCTCTGAAGTTTTGTAGCCCTTTGCTTCTGTGATATTTCTGATCGGTCTGGCCATGGCTTCCACTGCAACCTTGAGAAAACCTTCTGCCACTTGTTCTGGAGTCATAGCCTCTGTGCTTCCCTTTTCCTGGTTAATGACGGCGGTAAGCTCCTTAAACTTTTCAGCAGTAGTTTTGGCATCGAGTGGCTCATCATGGTTTGGACCAAAAATGTTTGGAAAGTGTTCAGGAATTAATCTTCCCAAAAACAAGTTCGCATCAGTTACCGTCAAGGGTCCTCCCTTACGGTAGCAAGCTGGTCCAGGATCAGATCCAGCTGACTCAGGGCCAACGACAAACATCCCATTTTTCCAAAAAAGCATGGAACCTCCTCCAGCAGCAACCGTGGAAATATCAAGTTGTGGAGTTTGTAAACTCACTTGACTAACAACCGTCTCATAAATGTGCTCCAATGAGCCGCAGTACCGTGAAACGTCGGTAGAAGTTCCACCAGCATCAAATCCAATAGTAGCTGTTCTTGACTTGGTATCGTAGCATGTTTCTCCGAACCCAACTACACCTCCAGCTGGTCCAGAAAGAATAGCCTTGAGACCAGTAAACCTGTACCACGGAGCAAGTCCACCATTACTTTGCATGAACAAAAGCTTGTTACCAAAAGACTCCAATCCACCTTCAAATCCAGCACCAAAGCCCTCCATGTATTCTTGAACTACTGGCGATAAGTAAGCATCAGCAACAGTCGAAGACGTTCTGTTCACCATACCTATCATGGGCTGAAGTTCATGGGACACCGAGACAGAAAACCCAATTTTTTTGCAGATTTTAGCAATTTGCTTTTCGTGGTCTGGAAAAGCGTAAGAATGCAAAAGACAGAGCGCAATGGTCTTGATCTCACCTTGATCATATAATTGCTGTAAATCTGCTTCGACCTTCTCATAATTGGGCCTTTTCAAGATCCGGATAATATCTCCAGTAGAACTGCGTACGAGATTAGGATCGGAATCCACATCAATCTTCAACTTATCTCCTCCTCCTTCGGAAAAAGTTTCAATAGTTATACGCTCGTCAACCTCAAGTACCAGTTCATACAAGTGACCAAGTTTTTCTGCCGTGAGATCAAAAATATTAGGACGGGTTTGGTTGCCTATCGCAAGTACATCGTGGAATCCCTTGGTTGTTATCAAGCACACCTTTGCACCTTTACGTTCCAAGAGAGCATTAGTCGCAACTGTAGTTCCCATTCTAATACTATCAATCAGTTCCAAAGAAAGCAATTCGTTCTTAGGAATTTTCCTGTTATGTGCTTTTTCCAATACTCTACGAATACCTTCAGTCGGAGCATCCTTGTAGTTTTTCGGATCAACAGAAAGGAGTTTGAAGACGTAGTCTTGATGACCTGGAATCTTGGCAAATAACAATCACAGAAAAGTTCCACCACGATCAATCGCAATCAGAATTCCTTTGGGATACCCATATTTAAAAGGTTCTTCACGGTCTGGGATTTATCCTCTAGTTGGTTGTCCGGAGACGGCACTGGGCTCCATGAAGGAGGTATCTCGACTTATTATAGGTAGTTCAAGGTCCATCCGGGCTGTTTTCTTGACACACCTATCCGATATCTACCTCGTTACCGGGTACTTGCACCCGAAATGTCATTGGGGTAAAAATGTCAACAATTGGGTACTACCGTATTCTTATAGTACATTTTTACTTGCTAAGATCATAGATCTTGACACTAGGGCCTCACACTTATCAATTGGGTGATATCTTAGAAGAGTTTGGCCCTCTTTTTTATGGTGGTGCACGGGGAGAGTAGATGGATAGATTCTCGAGGTATTGGATTATTATACGGAGTTTTTGATAATAATCAGCATTCGCAGCAGGGAATACGACACAGAACACATGCCTAGCATTTATATCGAGAAGTATTGTTCATCAGTTGTAATAATTTAGATGCAAAATACTCGATAATTGAGAATCACTGCACATCAGTACACCCATGTAGATATCTTCGCAAGACGGGCAGTTGCAACGGTATTGGGTGGGATGCTCTTTGTAGTACTACGGCTAGTTGTGCATTATTTAAGGCTCTTTTTCTAGTTGGTTTGACCAATTGATAATTTTGGTCGCTTCCAGTACCTCCACCACAAAATTTCAAGGTTTTCCTTATACTTCCTGTTCCTTCACTATCAGCAGATTTGGAAGTTACCGAAAGTCACATTTACTGCTGTTTTCGGTCGTATTTGGCTCCTGATCGCCGATCATGCAAGATCAATAGGTTATGCCACATCAACTGCAAAGATAGTCGCCAAACGTTTTTCCTAATCTGTTTTTCTTTCCGCTATTTGCTTTTCTGAATAACTTGGCTAACTTACTAGAAATCGATAAGTAATAGTCTGAAAGGGACTTACCGCTGAATAAATGTCCAGCCTCTGGTCAGTCTTTTTGACATTCCATACTGGCATACCAAGATAATAATCTGGTTCTCGATCCAAGATTTCTAGGTTACAAGGTAAAGAACTTGGCATGGCTTTCACATTGTAAGTGAGTACACGGTGACAAGCTTGCAATTTGATCATGTCAAGGTACTTGCAAATTTGTTATGTTTAAGTGCATTGCTAAATATTCTAAGACGATCGATAGCCGCAAGCTAATGAAATCAATAAGCTTGTGGGTCGATAGTCAAAATTAGCATGGAAAGCAGCTAGCAATTGCTAAATATTCTAAGACGATCGATAGCCACAAGCTAATGAAATCAATAAGCTTGTGGGTCGATAGTCAAAATTCTAATGGCACGAAGCTCAAAATAGCTAATACCAACAAAGGGACCATGCTAAATAAAGTTTGGTTCTGTGGTTCGGAGTATTTGATGGCAACCGAAACACATGTCATAATGCACCAAGCAACATGAAAAAAGTTGAGGCAAATCCTTCCTACTTGCTCCCCACGTCTAATGGAATTGAATGCGGTGCACAACCAGCTAAATGTATATGCCCCATAAGCGATTGCAGTTGCGTACCAGACATAATCCGGAATCTCTATTTTCAAAACATCAGGGGCAAAGCCGAGGAACATTAGAAGGATACCAGAAACCAGAAATACCGCTACAAACTTCCAGCTATCCTCATTGTTGGCCAGAGTTTTGGTCGAAGTGATTCTAATCTTGTCTTCCTTTTGTTGTGGAGTCAGTTCTCTCATTTGTGGTTTAGTTGTATTTTCCATTTGTGATGAAGAAGAAATTACAACAGTACAACCGCGACAACAGGTCTTTTATACGTAGATCGTGTCTAAATCAAAATGCAAATCGAACGGCTGCATGGCATTGCATGCTTCGAAGGGACAACCCCTGCAAGTATCCATGCAATTCACCTGCAATATTAAAAGCAGCATACTTGAAATATTATGTCACAAAATTATTTACATTTATCTCACTTGCTTCTAGTATTCAAGAGCGATTAGGTGATTTATACTACATTGTAAGAGTGTCAGGTCATGAGCGAAATAGTGAATCTTTTGGTGTTACATGTACAATTTGGCTCGGTGAAAGCCGCACCTACGTATGCATGCAACCTCTTATCGCGTGAGGCTTGCGAGCCGCACGGCAGATTTTGCAACCAAGTAGAAAGCTATGTGGTTGTTAAAGTTGCCAACCTGTGATGTTTCGTGACTACAGCATGTCATAAAGCTTTTAATACCGTGGTTTCTGAGTATATTTGAGCCTTTTGAGAAACCCAGAATACACTTCTAGTCCAAAATGGGTCACGTGACTATTCGTCTGCGTCAATGCATCTGGGGGTCGCCAACTACATCAAATGCACAACATGCATGAAGAATGACCACCAGGTAGGTCGCGGACTTACAGGTGCTCTGTTCGAGACCTACAGTGCGTAGGAAGAAAATACGAATACTAAAGATGAATATATTCAATTTCACTTATAAGCTGCTAATTTCAATGGTAAATAATTTAAAGGGAAGAGTCTTTGTATTTGCATTACTCTAATTCGCTGTAACCATCGTAAAGCAAATAACAGAACCCACAACACATAAGAAGAAAAAATAAGTTTATAATCACGTTTAATGGTTCCTTCTTTCGAATAAAATAGATTACTAAGACCAACAGTCCTGTTGTACCCAACCCATAAACAACTGCCAAATAGTGCAAACCAAAACGGGGATCATTCTCCGCACAAGCTTTGACTATAAAGAATACCAAACACAAGAGAACAGCAATAATCAAAAGTACGAAACGATCTTTCCATAGCTTGACGCAAAAGTTTTTCACATTCTCGGCCATATTTTCTTCAGTAATTTTTTCCTCCATATCAGTGATTTTTTCCTCCACTTTTGATCAAGAAATTATCAAAGGTTCGCTGCGATAAAAGCTAGGTTTTGAGTAGATGCGACTGCCAAGCCTAGAGCCGTGAAAAAAAGTGGTATAGCCGGCCAAATGTACCTGAAAATGAGCGTTCAGCCTGATTCTGCTATCTTTTCCTCTACTTTATACTTTCTGTTTCTTATTCTTTCCGTTCCTTCATTCTTTCCGTTCTTCATTCTCTGCACCGGTTTATGCCATCCGAAGCTAGCCAGTGTCAATTGAGCTTGACACCACAGCCATATCATACATTGGTAATGTTGAGTACCACTCCCTTGATGCGGGTTGAACGTATAGGAACCATCGAATCGCAGTCGAAGTAGAAGAGGTTTGCGTGTGGGTGAGATTCACTTTACACCAGTACACCCAGTGTAGATATTCTCGCATGGGCAATTATAACGGTATTGAGTGGGGTGCTCCTTATAAATACTACGGCTAGCTGTGCATTATTTTAAGCTCTTTTTCGTTGGTTTGACCAATTGAACTTTTTGAGCTTCCAGGAACTCCACAACAAATTCTCAATAGAGCAATTACACTTCTCTACTATATCTCTACAGTACAATTCATACGTCCTTATTATCATACTCTTAAGATAACCCAATCTTCCATTTTTTTGTGTTCATGCCTTGGGCTTCGTCCTTATAAAGTGTGTGGGACAGTCGTATCCTCCTGGGTTTTTTGCCAAATACTGTTGGTGGTAGTTTTCAGCATCATGCCACACCTTGATGGGCTCAATAATAGTGACGATTTGGTGTCCAGGGTACCATTCCGCTTGCATTTTTTGCTTGATTTCCCATGCCACTTTGTTATCCTTGTCATCATGAGTCATAATCGCAGATCTATATTGGGTTCCCTTGTCAGGACCCTGAGAATTGACGGTGGTAGGATCGTGCATTCTGAAGAAAATGTCCAAAATAGCCTCCAATTGAAGATTCTCTGGCTCATAAGAGAGCTGTACAGCCTCCACAAACTCTGTAGACCCACTGCATACTTTTTCATAATTCACATTGCCGATTGTGGGGATGCCATTGGCATATCCAACCTTGATGTCAATCAATCCTTTTCCACCAAATTGCTTACGGAACACCTTCTCTACACCCCAGAAGCACCCTGCGGCAAGGGTGATCAATTTGGAAGTGCTGGTGGTAGCTAATGTCGAAGATACACTGGTCATCGTAAAGAGCCATTCGTAAGCAGCACTGAATTTATGATCACATGTCACGTGAGCCCATCGGCGGAGTCGGAGTCGAGTTAGCGATGCGAGTTAGCGATGCGAAGCGAGCTGACTCGGTACCGTTTCATTTCCTTTCGTTTCATTTCCCTCTCGTTTCTCCGTTTCTTTTCACTTCTCCAGCTTTTGCTTTCTCTTGAACCCAAAAAAGCTCTTTCTCTTTTCTTTATCGGAATTGGTGCTTGGAGTGCTCATTACACTTCCGGTCGAAGCCTTCCGGTCAGTGGGAACATCGTTTTTAGATTGTCTTCTTTTGAGTCCTCCAACCCAAGTTTTCTTTTCTGGTTGTTTTTCTTTCGTTGATGAGGTTCTTGAAATCGTATCTTCTTTATTCTCAATTTTGTAGTTCTTTTTGAATGGGTTTTTGTCAAAAACGGCACTGCTTGATAAATCTTTTATCGAGTCTGTCGATCCACTTTCCGAGCTGTGGGTAGACCATACTTCCGGTTGGCTTTTTGCCTGGACAGTCTCAGCCGAATTGTGTCTTTGGGGCAACCAGTCTTCTCCACAATAAACGTCCTCCTCTTTGAATCCCAATAAACCTGCCATGTGGACCTTTTGGTAAAAGAGAATATAGGCACTAGCTAGTCCTGGACCATTGCCAAAGAACTTGAGAACGAAAGAATCGTCAACAACTTCCACCGTTTCGTCGTCAAAAAGTAGCCATAATTGAGCCTTTACTTTGCATAAAGCCACATAATGACCGTGCATGGGACCTCCACCAATATGGATCACAAGAGCGTATAGTTCGTAGAGAGTAAAGTCTTCGGTTTGACCCTTTGCTGAGGTATTGAAGAGCCTGAGCTTGAACGGGTACGATATGGAATCAAACAACTTGACCATTTTGTCTACGGACTCGTCGTACTTGAACCGCTTGAAGTTGATCACGAGCACTTCGGGGAGCTTTTTGAGCTTGATGGTTTTGGTGGCTTCTTGGAGAGAGCAGCAATTGTTGCAGTAGAATTTGTTTTGGTGGGTGAGTGTTTCCAGCCGCGAGAAGTTGTTGAGGCAGTGGGTCAACGAGTAGGCGGCGTCTCCCGGTGGAATATCGATGGACAAGTCGAGAAACTCCTCTTCTTTGGAGGTGATGGTTTCGCAAGAAATGCATTTGGTTTCGTTGGTGATCATTCCTTGAAAGATCTCGTTGCACCAGTTGTTATTGGGACCGCATTCTTTGTCCACAACTTCGATGATTTCGTTGATCAAATAGTTGTAAAATTCGTGGGCATCTTGGTGCATATTCACCTGGCGAAAAAGATAGTTTTTCTCCTTGAGTTTGGTTATAAAATGTGAAGGAGAAACCACGCCAATCTGAGACTTGTTCTCGATCATACACTCGAACATGTCCTTGAGAGCATAGAGCAAGGCGGTTTCGTCGGACTGTTGGGTGGGAAGTTGAAGCGAATGATCGAGGTTGATAATGGGTCCATTGATGAGAGCAGATCTTTTGCGGTGGTCTGATGAGGGATTGGGGTTGAAGGGGTTGATGGGATTGACCAAGTCGACTTCGGGTTGGGGAATACCCACGATAATGAAGCACGACTGGGATGTGATGGAGCCTTCTTTGACAGATGTGGGGGTATTACTTTTTTCAGTTTTTTCATTAAGAAGCATCGATGACGACTGCGAATTGTCGCTCTTTTCCGCCAATTCCAACGGCGAAGACGTGTGTCTGGTGACCATTACTGGAAGATCTTGGAATTCGGGATTTTTGCGAATCAAGAGTTTCTGTTCTGCCAGCAAAGCGTCACAGTTTTTGGCTTCTGTGATGTACCATTTTCTCAGGCTATCGTCTGTGGAGCTGGTGTTGACGCTGTTTGTTGTGCTGGTGTTGAACTTGAGTCCAAATAATGATCCTTTTCTCGTGGGTTTTACTCGTTCAGAAGTACCGTTTTCTATGGCTGCATTTTTCGGTTGTTCACGCAAACGTTTCTGGACCAACAGCTCGTACTTGAGAGTGAAATTGTGGTTTTTAACCCCAGCCATCACCTCTTTTCGGTTGTGTTGGGTGATATTGTGGAGAGCTAACTTGGTTCGAAATTTGTCGGAATAGTATAAACATTGAAGGATTGAGTTACAATAGCAGGTATTGCCAAAGTTCTCCATACCGTAAACCTTGCTCGAGCCGTCTCCATATGGGAGCAGCGTGGGAGGAGCGGGATGGTCCTGGGTCATGATAGGAGGTCGCGATTAGCGGCCGCGATTATCGACAAAGATCGGAGTACGTGGTGCATTGGTGTCCGGGGAAGAAGAGCGGGACAAAAAAATTGGGAAGGGGCTGATTTAAGGAAGCGAAGCTGGGACGTTATATTGAGGAAGATTGCGGGATTCTATTTGGATGCTTTTGTTTCTTTGTATCTCTTTTATGCTCTGGTTGATATTATGTTGTATCTCATTTAGCATTTGCAGCCGAGATTCTCGCTATATTGGCAGAAATTAGCGGCCCGCGCATTTGGCTGTCGCTATTTTCGCACTAATTAGGGGCGGCGCAGTCTCAATTCTCGCTATTTGGTACCTTTTTTCGCAGTAATTGGAGGCCGCGCAGCTCAGTTCTCGCTATTTTAGAACCTTTTTCGCAGTAATTAGCCCCCGCGCAGCTCAGTTTTCTTTATTTCGGCGCGCCCTCGCTTCGCACGGCTCTTCACAATGACTCCATGAACCAATGAACAAATATAAAACCAAAAAGAAAAGGTGTGCGAGCTGCAGGCGGCTCAAGATAAAATGTGACGGTGCTCTTCCTTGTGAGTACTGCAATGCTACCAACCGTCAATGTAATTATGACTTATTTCCATCTACCACTATAGCTCAAACGAACTCGTCTTCCACCGAAACTATTGTATGGACTCACCAAACGTCGCTAAACTCACCCCCACGCCACATGGGAATCACACCGTTCCAGTACCGGCTTATCATGTATTTTCATGAAGGCTTGTTACCAGAAAAAGTCAAAGAACAACCCGTGCAAGAAATGTGGCAGACCCAGGTTCCACGACTATTCCACGAATCCTCAGTAGTCCAAAATAGCATTTACTCACTCTCCACGTTGTGTCTTCTAGGCCGTTGTGATTTGTCCCGGTGGATAGATCCTGAAAATGTTAATTTGGATACCGGTTTTTTCCCTGAACCTATTCATGATTTGAACAGTTTTCGGCGATTCCTTCAAACTTCTGTTAGCCATTTCTACATGAAAATGCTCGCAGATACGTTTTCCATCGTCGACAAGCTTATCTCTCGAGAAAAAGTGTTGAATACTGTCCATGAAGCAGCTGAGGTTGTATTTTCGGGAGCAATGCTCTTTTCATTTTTGGTATTGCAAACGGAAAAAATCGTTCCTCTTCTCAATTCAGACCCAAACCAACCAGATTTGATATCTATGAGCTTTGGTATGCGAGAATCCATGGTTTTATGCTTTCCTCTCTTATACCAATCGCAGTACTCTGCCCTATTTCATAACGATTTCCTTGCCAATTCTGACGAAAAACACGAGTTTCCGTTTATTACGTTTCTTCACAACCACCTTACTCAATTGCATGAATTAGAACTGATTTCTTCTACCAAATTTTCCCATTATGAAGAAACGCTCAAAACCTTGAATAAACTTTTCGCAGCCGCAGCCAAACAAAAGTCGTCGTCTATTTTCTACAAATGGATTTTTTTCCACGACGCCGAAGTTTATCGCTACATGCGTGTGGAGCACGATAAATTTGCATTGAAGCTTCTTTATGCATACAGCTGTTTGAACATTTTCTGCAAGTTTTATTTCCACCGATATTGCAACCTCTGGATCGATTACATCGAATGGTATAAAACCCAAAGCATGGCCACTGGAGGATGGGAGGACTGGTTTGACGAGCTGCTTTATGAGCTTGTTTACTCAGAATTTTTATTTGCTGATGATAATTACGCCATACTATATAGGTTTCCTGACAGCTGCAAGACATTGCAATACGCAGGTCGACCGTTATAGTGCAGCACCGTTGTTTGGTGTATGGGTGTTAATGGTTATTGAGGAAAGGGCTCAAAAGTCATACAATTACGGGTGCCAAGAAAAGTGATGCGAAATTAGACATATAAAGTGCGCTAGCAAAGATCTGAAACAAAAGTACTAATTGTATTAGTGGGTACTATCAGGATCTAGTGGATACAATACGATAAGCGGACAACCCCACCAACAAGAAAACGAGAATTTTCAAATTCACTTTGATTCCAAAAATAACAAAAAGACTCAGTGGAATAAATTGATCTGAGGTCTTCAGTTTCAATCGCCTTATGCATCGACTACTCCAATGGCTCCAAAGCGACATGGTTCAAGAAAAAATAAATGCATTAGTTGCAGAAAGTTGAAAATCAAGTGCAATGAAGCGAGACCAATTTGCGAATACTGTGATCACACGAATCGTCAATGCGTATATGAGGACGATTCTCCTTCATCAGACTCTGGTTCTGACACCTCCGAAGCTGTGATTTGGATGAAACAGGGCCTGTTGAATGCCCTTAGTCGGCACCTTGGAATCACCTCATTTGAGTTCCAATTGCTACGATACTTTGACGAAATCGTAGTACCAAAAAAAATCAAAGATGCCTCTGCGCAACGGCTCTGGCTGGTCCAAGTGCCCCAACTTTTCCAGGGCTCGCCCTTGGTTCGTAATAGCTTGCTTTCACTCAGTGCTGTGAGCGTACGAGGTCTTTGTGACTTAACAAGTTGGGTGGAAGTGGCAGAAGTGGACGAAGAAGCGCGAGGAATGGCATTATCGGCGATGAGCGAAACTCCCAATTCTCGACAAAATTTGATCGAATTGATCGATATGTACTACATGAGCACTATAAAGCATATGAGTGCACGAATGGCCGAACTTTCAACTGGCGTTAGAAAAATCGCTACCGTTGAAGAGGCGGCAGAACTCACGTTTTCCGGTTCCATGTTCTTCACATTCCTAGCATTACAGTCCAATAATCTCTTGCCGTTGCTAAGCTTTGATCCTGCCCAGCCAGACCTCATTTCCATCTGTCAGGGCGTGAAGGAAACATTGATGATGTGCTACCCAATGCTTCTCGGCACTTCATATTCGGCCTTGTTCCAAAGTAAAGATTTTCCAAACATACCAGAGACCACCACGAAATACCCGTTTGTGGAATACTTGATCGACTACGTTCTGCAACTACACAGCGACGGAGATGTGACCGAAACCCAACTAAAACACTACACCAATTCATTGCGAATGTTGGAGCTTCTCTTCACTGCTTCTGTCGCACACAAGTCAAGCATGATTCTTTATCGATGGGTTTTTTTGATTGACAGTGAAGTCTACGACTATATACGCCATGAAAATGCGTACTTTGGCTTCAAGCTACTCTACGCTTACTGCTGCTTGAATATTTTTTGCAAGTTTTACACCAGCCGCAGGGCCAATATGTGGCTCGATTATATCGAGTGGTACAAATTGTACAGTATGAAAAATGGGTTCTGGCGAGACGACTTTGACGAGAATCTCTACCGCATGGTGTACGCCAACTTTTTGTTCAACAGCGGAGACCTAAGTATCTTGAATAGGTTTCTACCATGAATCGAGTTCCTGCATTGAGCGCCGCATAAGGCTGTGCGCGCTAAACGTTAATTTGAGCCAAGTAGACTTAATTCTTATGCAAATATATAATGACCCTCCCAACACCAAAAGGCGAAACAGGACCCGGAAAAACAGATGCTTGAGTTGCAAACGGCTCAAGATCAAGTGTAACGAGGTCAGACCCAAATGTGAGTACTGTGAGCACACAAACCGAGAATGCATTTACGTAGACAATTACCCTTCAGATGATATTCATGATCCCAATTCTTACGAAGCAGTAGTGTGGCACAAACAGCGCCCGCTCAACTCGCCACTGCGTCACATCGGCATATCAAACTTTGAGTGTCGTCTACTAAAATATTTTCATGAGGTGTACCTTGTTCCAGGCGAGATGAAACAACCTCCACTAAGAAATTTGTGGCAGGTGCAAGTGCCGCGTCTCTTTCACGAGTCGCCATTGGTACGAAGCAGCATCTTCTCGCTTTGCTCTTTGAACTTGTGGAATCTCTTTGACCTTTCTAGTTGGATTTATGAATCTTGTGAACAGTCCACTCTGAAGTATATGACTTTTTGCAACTTGCAAGATCTTCAGAGTATCCCCAATGTTAGTGAGTTTCTTAGAGAGAAAACCATAGACTACTACAGTGAGACACTCAGAGACACCTCTAAACTCATACACGAACTTTCTACCGAGCAAAAAGTCTTGACTACTATCAATGAAGCTGCCGAAGTTGTCATTTCTGGAATCTTATTGTTCTCCTTCTTTGCATTGCAAACCCACCAGCTTCTACCTTTTGTTAGCCATGACTCGTCTCAGCCAGATTTGCTATCGATGTGTAGCGGCATGAAAGAATCAATGGTCAAAGCATTTCCATTGCTTTACAACTCGCAATTTTCTGCTTTGTTCTACAAAGATGAGGTTTTGTCCCCTCCTCCCAATCCTGGCTCGTATCCCTTCGTTAAATACTTGCTGGCCAAGCTAGAAGAGTACCATAATGAAGCCATGGTGACTACTGCCCAATATGAAAATTTGTTGCAGGCTCTTAATATGTTCAAAGTTTTAATGTTCAGTTCCATCGAACAAAACTTTCCACTTCCCCTCTACAAATGGATTTTTCTTGTCAAGAACGATCTTTATGATTACGTGAAACGAGAACGACTCTTTTTTGCCATAAAGTTGGTGTATGCGTACACTTGTATGAATATGATTTGCAAGTTTTACTTAAAACGTACACCCAACATTTGGATGGAGTATATTGAGTGGTACAAAGAGTACAACTTTTTCATGTTTGACGGCTGGACTGATGATTTTGATAGCCGACTCTATGATATTGTTGCTTCAGGATACACCATCCCAAACGAGGAATACCATCTCTTGGCTACTTTTTTTCCATGATATCATATCAATATTTAACTACTGACCAACAGAATATTCAAGCTATCCCTCCAATGAGTATCCCAAGTCCTTATCCTTAAACTCATTAGCCAAGACCTCCAACTTGGACCTCAAAAGCTTCAAATTTTCATTTTGAGGATGGAACCTTGGAAGCCATTCTGCCACACCATGTTGCAAAACACCCTTTGCTCTGGTCTTGCCGTGATCAATGTGACCATAGGACCCATGGAGAGTCAACCGAGTGTTTTTTGCCGAGTATGAAGCACGATGAAGAATGTTACTGTTGTAAAAAACCACATCTCCTGGGTGCAAATCCACCGTGATCTGGCCTGTGATGAACTCTTTGCGATTCTCGTTACTGGTTTTCTCTCTCTCCTCAGCGGTTCTTATACGCCTGTGGGAACCTGGAATTACAATGAGACAACTATCTTCAGTTAAAGGAAGATTGAATTGGGTTCCAGCATATGGATCCAAAAGCAATTGTTCTGCCTCTTCTTCAGGAGTCACCTCCGGCTTTATATAGTCACGGTGCCAATCCAAATCAAAGTCTGTCAACGGATTAATCAACATGTTGAACAATTCCATCGACAAATGGTCTTTATCAGTTTGTAGAATATCCTGCGCAATTGCCAAAAGCTTATCGGAAGAATAACATTCTTGAAAAGGAACAGAAAGTTCCCCCAAATCCGGATTTAACAAACCCGAGATGCCCCATATATCAGGACTAAAGTTCTCGGGCCATGGAGGAAATTGCTTTCCTCTGGTACGTACATGAGGCCAGTGTCCGTCGCGGGCATATTGTACTAGTTTTTCCGAAGCACTGCGATATTTGGCGATTTCTTCCGGTGTCAAAAATCCCCGGACTATGGTGAATCCTTGATCTGCAATCTCGTTATGGTGGAAATTTGGTATAGCGCTAGGCATTGAGCAAGAAAAAGCGCCGGTTCGTTATCATATATACTTGATGCACCCCACAAAAAGGCTGATTGTGCGATGCAACATGGCGTTGCATTCCGCGCGAAGATTAAAATTGCGTGTGCGGGGGCCCAAAGTGGGGGGAGTCAAGTGGGGGCATAAGAGCTGAATAATTATCGACAACTTTTTCATTTTGTTACCATGTCACTCAATTGGGCTATTCTTGGTGCAGGGAACATCTCAGGACTGTTTGTCCATGACTTGTGCTTGAACAACGAAAGAAATGAAAAGGTCAAGCATATCGTGAAAAGTATCGGTTCTTCATCAAAATCGAGAGGTGAAGAGTTCATAAAAAAAAACAAAATAACCACCGAAAATAACCACGGAGTAACCCCACAAGTCCAGCTGTACGACGAGTTGTACGCAAACCCAGATGTGGACATTATATACATTGGAACTCCACATCCTTTGCATAAGGAACAAGTGACCAAAGGCTTGAATCATGGCAAACACATTCTTTGTGAGAAGCCTTTCACCCTCAATGCCAAAGATGCTCAGGAATTGATCGACTTGGCCAAAGAGAAAAACTTGTATTTGTTGGAGGGAGTATGGACCCGGTTTTTTCCATCGATTGCGAAACTCAAAGAGCTCATTTTTGAAAAAAAAGCATTGGGAGATATCAATCGGCTTGTTATGGACTTTTCCTTCGATGCGGATTTGGCAAATTTACCAGAAACCTCGAGAATTAGAAGCAATGAGCTCGGAGGTGGAGCTCTTTTGGATATTGGTGTGTATAATCTCACTTATACCAGAATCTTATTGGATAATAAACTTGGCAAAAATGCTACCAAATTCGATTTGAAATCGTTCCAAACCATCGATCCAAAAGATAAAGTCGACTTCACTTCGTCTATGCTTGTCAAATACGAAAATGGTAAACAGGCCGTGCTTACATGCTCAAACCATGTGCCAAGACCTGAACCATACTTGCGCCTCGATGGCACAAAGGGATACTTGGAAATGTTCAGCGAGAACCCTGCGTGTCCCAAAAAGTTCAAAGTGACATTTAAAGACGGAAATGATCCGATCGAATATGAAGATACAAGTGGCTACAAAGGTTTTATTTACGAGGCCAATGCATGTTTTGAAGACATTACTAACGGTCGCATTGAGAGTGACGTCATGCCCCATGACGAAACTATGCTTGTTATGAATATCATGGATGACATAAGAAAGGAAAGCGGACTTCGGTACGCTCCCGATGATTGGTAATGGCCGGAGAAAAAGTAATGCCGATTCCTGCATGTGGGGAACCAAGAGAAATTTTCCGGCCTCCGAGGCCCGATTGCGTCATCGTGCAGGGGTTGCTTTGTATAGTTTTTCCGAAATTGCAAATTTATAAAACATTTCAACCAGCTTTTTTTCATCATCATGTCGTCGAATGAGCAGGTTACTCCAAGGGTGTCGGAAGACAACCTAGATGGCAAAAAGTCTATGGAAACTCCCCAGAGCCCTTCTGATATCCCCACCACCAAAGATATCACCGCAGAGCAACCAACTTTACCGGAAAAATCCTTGAAAGATTACATTTCCATCTCTCTTTTTTGTATTCTTGTTGCATTCGGTGGATTCGTGTTCGGTTTCGACACCGGAACCATCTCCGGGTTTGTCAATATGACCGACTATAAGCGTCGGTTTGGTACACTTCAAAGTGATGGAACCTATGGTTTTACCGATACTAGAACCGGAGTCATTGTGGCTATTTTCAACGCTGGATGTGCTATTGGTGGTATTTTCTTGTCCAAGATTGCCGATGTTGCTGGAAGAAGAATGGGATTGATGTTTTCTATGATTATTTATGTCATTGGAATTATTGTTCAGATTACTTCAACCACCAAATGGTACCAAATTGTCATTGGAAGAGCCATTGCTGGACTTGCCGTGGGGTGTGTTTCGGTGTTATCACCACTTTTCATTGGTGAAACTGCTCCAAAAATGTTGAGAGGAACCTTGGTTTGCAGTTTCCAATTGTTTATTACCATGGGTATTTTCTTGGGTTACTGTACCACCTACGGAACAAAGCAGTATGATGATGCTCGTCAGTGGAGAATTCCATTGGGATTGTGTTTCGCTTGGGCTGCTCTTTTGGTGGGTGGAATGCTTGCTATGCCTGAGTCACCTCGGTACTTGATTGAAAAGAACAAAATTGACGAAGCCAAAAAGTCGCTTGCCAAGTCCAACAAGGTCCATGTCGACGATCCCGCAATCTACACCGAAGTGCAATTGATCCATGCTGGTATCGAGAGAGAAAGATTGGCGGGTTCTGCTTCTTGGACTCAATTGTTGTTTGGTAAGCCCAGAATTTTCGAAAGAGTTCTTACTGGAGTGGTCCTTCAGTCCATGCAACAACTCACCGGTAACAATTACTTTTTTTACTATGGAACCACCATTTTCAAAGCTGTTGGAATGGCCGATTCTTTCCAAACATCAATTGTTCTTGGTATAGTGAATTTTGCATCCACTTTTGTTGGAATCTATGCCATTGAAAGATTGGGTAGAAGAATGTGCTTGTTGATAGGTTCCGTGTGGATGACTATCTGTTTCATCATCTACTCGGTATTGGGTTCTGTTCACTTGTACAGAAGTGGTTATGACAATCCTAACGACACATACAAGTCATCTGGTAACGCCATGATTTTCATCACTTGTTTGTTCATTTTCTTCTTTGCATCTACATGGGCTGGTGGTGTCTACTCCATCATTTCGGAAATTTACCCATTAAGAATTAGATCCAAGGCTATGTCGGTAGCCACCGCAGCCAATTGGATTTGGGGATTTTTGATCTCGTTTTTCAGTCCTTTCATTACTTCTGCCATCCACTTCTACTACGGATTCGTGTTCACTGGATGTTTGATTTTCTCGTTTTTCTACGTCTACTTTTTCGTCTACGAAACCAAGGGCTTGTCTTTGGAAGAAGTCGATGAGCTTTATGCCCAAAAAATGCCTGCATGGAAATCCTCTGGCTGGGTTCCTCCTTCTCAGGACGAGATGGCCACCTCCACCGGCTACGCGCGTCACACCAAACCTGAGGTGGACGAAGCCGAAAGGGTTTGAGAGACTAAATAAATACATACGAATAGATCTGCGTATTGCATGAACGCGCATGATAATGTGTCAAAAAATATGCGAGTGTATGCCGGACCATGCACGGGAGGCGTCCCAAAGAAGCACCGCCTCAGGAGGCTTAGGCGCCCAGTTATTTTTGGCGGGTTATTTTTGGCCAGCTCGAATGTGACTGTTTACGGTGATTTGACCGTCCAAGCTGAAAAACTGAATATCACTCACAAGCCCACAAAGCAATATTTGTGTGTCTCAACCTCATTATATATCTCGTCGGGCTGTGCAGCAACTGTTGATAATGCACGCATGTGCGGCTTGCCAGCTCAAAGCAAATTGCAAAAAACCGGCACGTGGTGCGCAAATTCATGTAGCCAAAAGTTTCTGTAGCCAGAGTTTCTCTTCGTTGTTCCGCTCGATGACTAGTATAGATCTCGACACGTGGGGCGCCGATGTGTTGCAGTACGGCGTACTCATCGTGTTGCTATCTCTCTGCAGTGCTTTCTTCTTTTTCTACTTTCGAGTGTGGCATTTGGTCACACGAGAAAAACAGGTTGTGAAGAGCAAGAGTCAATTGTTGACGGTGGTTATAGCAGCGTTGATCGTTTGTCTTAATTTGCAACTTTGGTACCGGTTTTCCGAGTCTTTTCATTCCAGTGATACCATAGCAAACTATAGTGTTCTTCATGCCAAATTGACATCTTTCAATGTTACTGGATACTCGTTTGCAGAAGCCAACTCTCCCAAACAAATCAAAGATTTCCAGTGTGATTCGGTCAAATTCACAGATACGTTGTTTGTGACCGAACCAACACCGTTCAGTAGTTCGTTGAAAAGAATCAGAGACGAACTTTCTCGAATTGCTCAGGATGATTATCCCATCGCAGAAAACTGTTTTCTCGACAAGGAAGGAGAAGACGAAAAATCCATCTTGGCTCATAAATGGTTTCATTTTTGCGGAAGCAGCGTATGGCTTGAAAAGTACCAGGTACATTTCATGGTCAGTAGGGTATTGTATACCCATCGAGGAACCAGAAACAAGCCCACCATCAACATGATATACATGCAAGTGTTCGACAAGAACTGGGTTGAACAGTTTGATGTCAAGCTTGGAGATTCAGATACTGCGTTCCCATCGATTCTCAAGGTTGACATTGACCAGTCTCCCAACACCGCCAAGCATAGACTTGCACTTATGGGTCCCGAGGATCCTCGAGTATCGGTACGTGAGTTTTACAAAGATGGAGAACTCCAACAGGAACCGGTAGTTATTTTCAACATGAGAAGCACAAAGATTAAATGGTTCCGTGCAATGCACATGTGTCGGCCATTAAGTGATGGGAAAACTGTTCGACTTTCGCTTCGAGACAGAGCACCAGAATTCAGAGAGAAAAACTGGGCACCTTTTTTCGACAAAAATGATCCCAAAAAGGTGTTTTTCGTGTACAACTTTAACCCATTGAGAATCATCGGATGCAGCCTTGATAAGGGGATATGCGACAAACTAGCAGGCCCTGAGTTCGGAGAAGATTCAAAAGAACATGTGGGTTCTTTGAGAGGTGGAACTAACTTGGTACCTATTCCCTCAGAAGTTTTACCTGAATCTCTCCAAAATCGAATGTACTGGTTTGGTATAGCACGTTCACATTCTTCCCAGTGTGGGTGTCTTGGCGAGATATACCGACCACACTTATTTATTATATCCAAGGGAGAAAACGACTATGCCATGGACTATATCAGTTCTCTCGTCGACTTCAACATACGAACAGAACCATGGAATCCTTCGAAGTCGATTTGCGATGATGGAAAGAGTGTATTGATACCGAACAGTATATCGTACTGGGATGTGGGAGACGAAGAACGGATGGGGATAGTGTTCTCTGAAGCCGACAGAACGAACAAAATAATTCATGTCAATGGGATGATGAAGCATGTTCTCAACGTCTTGAATAATGGCCGTAATGTTGAAACTGACGAAAGAAAAAAGGAAAATGCTCTTTTGGGAAGATGCTCGACATCCAAGGTGGCAGAGTACTGTGAACTGACTGCAAAAAAGCAGCATTGGAATATGGAACCACCAAAAAATTTGCACGAGGTTGACGATGATTTTGATTAATTTGCACCCATTGAACTCGTTTCTGTTGAAAGATTATGAGAAAGCACAATCGCAATGGAATACCACGAAGAGATATATTGCATCTGAGCACGAAGAAAACAACAAATTCCCGAGGCAGTGAAAGAGCCTATGAATACAAGATTCACAATGAAGCACAAATGCTTCAACCTTGACCTTTTCATATGCCGGTGTATCTACAAAAATCCTTGGAAGTCTTTGCTTAAGGCATTCGGGTGCTCAAGTATTGTTGATAAGCCCATTCACTTGAGGGTATAGTAACATATTGAAAATTTTCCCAAAATCTTCAGCCGATTTTGACATATTTTCACGATACTCTGCATGTTCGTACGCTACTTTAATGTAAAGCTTAACCTCAATTGAGAGAATAAAGCATACACAGCTAACTATTCAATTGTAATTCTTGCTCTGAAACTTATCGGTGGGCATTCGCAGGTTTCTCAGCCGTGTATCCTATCACTGGTGTATTTGTAAGTGCGATAGCAGACGCAGGAAAAATTCGGCCGCGATGCACCAGTTTGCTGACAGACGAACGGCACGATTAGTGATGATTTCAAATCAGATTATGGTATAAAAGGCACCCAGCGGTCGATTGATCATCAGAAACTGAAATACACTTACAAACAAAATGACAAAGACTTATTTTATTACTGGAGCTAACCGTGGTATTGGCCTTTCTATGGTCAAGCAATTGGCTGCGAAACCCGATGTTGAAGTTATTGTAACAGCCAGAAACCCTGCTAGCGCTAAAGAATTGCAAGAGTTGGTAAAGCTCAATTCTAATGTCAAGCTTGTTCAATTGGATGTGAGCGATGAGCACAGCATTAAAACGGCCGGTGCAGAGGTTGCAAAATTGACCCATTCAATTGACGTATTTGTTAACAACGGAGCTATTGGCCAGGCTTTTACTCCTGTTTTGAGGACTCCCAAGGAGCAATGGACGAACCATTACATTACCAATGTCGTGGGACCAATTCTTTTGTTGCAAGAGATCTACCCACTTATCAAGAAGGGAAATGATAAGAAGGTTATCTTCATTTCCACTTTGGTTTCGTCGCTAGGTTTGACTCTTCCAGTCAACTTCTCAGCTTATGGACAGTCGAAGGCAGCTCTTAACTACTCTGTTAGGGACTTGGCTAAGGAATTGCGGAAGGACGACTTTATTGTCGTTGCGGTTCATCCTGGTGTAGTTGGTACCGATATGGGTAACGATGCCGGTAGACTTTTAATTGCTGAGGACCCAAGTGCTGCTGACTTCTTCTCGCTGAGTGAAGTCATTACTCCAGACCAAAGTGCTGAAAGTTTGATTGACTTGTTCGGAGGTTTGTCTGCTGAGTCTAGTGGTAAATTTTTGAGTTACGACAAGTCCGAACTCCCATGGTAGATGATTGAATGTACTAGTGTCTTGCTGTCTTTGTAATCATAATCTCTTGACCTTTCTCCGAGCTTCTTCTAACCTTTCTTGACTAAAATTTTGCAACCTTTACTCAGCTTATACCGATTAGGCATTTCCTAATTCGGTGATTACATTGCAACCTTCGGTATAAAGTTCTTCAATCAAAATTCAGCTTCCCTATCCTAAACCTAGTCATCTATTCCCCTCATGGAACAAACGTACTTTATTTCAGGCGCCAATCGTGGGATTGGTTTTTCTATGGTGCAGCAATTGGCTGCGAAATCTGGGGTAAAAATAATTGCAACCGCCAGAGACCCAACTTCGGCAACGGCTTTAAATGAGTTGGCCAAAGCTAATCTGCAAGTCAAGGTTGTTCAATTGGATGTCAGTGACGAAGAGAGTATCAAAAAAGCTGCAAAAAATGTTTTACAATATACTGACTCGATCGATGTGTTTGTCTCAAATGCAGCAGTTGCAAAATCTTTTGGCAATCTCTTAGACACTCCAAGAGAACAGTGGGTAGAGCATTTCCACACCAATGTTTTAGGGTCCATTCGCTTATTCCAGGAATTGTACCCTTTGATAAAAAAAGGAACACAAAAGAAAGTAATTTTCATATCTTCTGATTGCGGCTCGTTAAACTTGGATATTCGTCTTAATTTTTCAGCCTATGGACAGTCTAAGGCTGCTCTCAACTACTCCACAAAAGAGTTGGCGAGACAGTTGGAGCCTGAAAATTTTATTGTGGCTGCGGTTCATCCTGGGCATGTAAGTACTGATATGGGTAAAGGCGGTGAGAAAGCATTTCTTGCTGCTGATGAAGCCAATGCCAAAAATTTCTTTACTCCAGAATCCAAAATCACACCCGATGAAAGTGCCAGTGCATTGTGCAAACTTTTCGAAAATTTGAGTGTTACAGGCAAGTTTTTGAGCTACGATGGAACCGAACTTCCATGGTAAACTACTCAAACATGTTGCTGCAAAAAACATTATCTGAGCCCAAACTCCTGTTAATACAGTTTTCCAATAGACGTGAATGCTCTCGAGCTATTTCCGACAAATCTGTGGAGTATTCTGCCTTGAACATTCGAAGTAGACCAACGATATTTTCCTTCGCAGATATAGAATTCAACACTTTTGCAAAATCTTCAATGTCATTGTAAAAATTGTCTCCATTGAACGGTTTTCCTGAAAGTAATGTAAACTCTTCAACTACTCGATTCAAGTAGATGTGGCCTTCTTCCTTACTAGTGATCAAATCGGGGTTGGTATAGTTCCATTTGAAGGCATGGGACTCGGGACCACAAGTGTGGAAAGTGTAGCACCAAAGTATCACCAACATATGACTAATAATCTGCTTTCGATAAAGACATCGGTCTTCCTTTGGTTTATAAGTAGCATCAGAAACCAAATTGAAGAGATAGGAATATATGAACACAATTGCTCTCTTGCCGTGCATATTTTCCGCCCACTCAACCACTCGAGAACTAACAAGCTCGGTTTCCTTTTCACTAAATTCAACATTCATTCTTCCTGGAGCTCCAGCATAAACCATAAAATCGTAATGTTTCATATGAGTATAACTTTCGTACAACTCTCGCAAAGGTATGGAATAGGAATCTATCCATGAGCCCTGGTTATTTTTCGAAGATACTGAGCAATGCAAATCCCAAAATTTAAAAGCTTCGCTAATCTTTCGTTGCCATAATTGTTTAATCGACTTTAGTTCTGGAATGGATAGTTCAAACTCTCTGTCTTTAACTTCAAAAGATAAAGCGATGAGACCTGAAAGAATGATCTTTTTGCCAAAACCTCGAGTTTTGACTGGTTTCTTGTGTAAAATGCTCTTGATCGCAGCCAACAACGTCAACGGTGTTTGCAAGCATTTTTCAGAGTATTTTCCACTTCTCCAAAAATCTTCGTTACAAGGCAACGTTGGCTTGACATCATGTAGATCAATAATCATGTCATGGCCAAATACAACAGCATGGAGCGTTTCCAAGTAGAAAGTAGCCAAAGCACAGCGTTTCATGGACTCTTCTTCAATCCACTTGTACCAAAGTTCTTTGCTAGCATATGGAGAAATGGTTGTTGAGTTTCCACTAGAATTGTACTTGAACCAAGGATTACCTCCAAACATGGGACTTCGTTTTAGCATTTGTATTGATAATCCTCGGTGGAGGTTGGCTCTCTCGTGTAAATCTCTCGAGGAACAGCATATTTCATAAGTTTCCAACAAAACCAAAGATTGAACTACCCAGAGTTTAGGAGGTGGTTTAAACTCCTTCGACTTGTAAATGTCCCACCTAAGAGGCAGAGCAATGCTATCGGAAAAAATCCTTGATTTATCCTGCTGTAACGTGCTGGAAAGATAAGCACCTATGGTCAACATAGATAAGAGTAAGATTGGATGGCTCTTTTTTGTGGAAAACGAAGGTTTGTTCAAGATTGGAAATTGAGGATGATAATACTTCCAATAATTTTCCAAAAAGTATTGTAGTCTGTCCCTTTTGAACTCTTCTTGAAATTTTATGGGCGGTAGTACATCTTCCAATGTCTCCATAATAGAATTGTCGATCAAAACCTGGTTGCTACTGAATGGAAAATCGGGAATGTCTGGGTCTGTTTGCTTGTATTCGTTGAAAATGTCATTTACAGTAATTGAGCGAGGATCCTCGAGTTCAGGAAAGTTCTCCAAGCTCTCGTTGGGTGACAAGCTCAAGCATGTATTGATGGACGAAGGCTCGGAATTCTTGGACTCAATGCCTCCAAAAAGCCATCTTATCAACTCGTCAGACGACACCAATTCGTCCATATCAAACCCAAAAGGGTCGTTTTCGAGCAAAGTTTCGTTTTCAGGCTTATAACTCTCTTGAATTTTATAGTTGGTTTTGTAATTTTCATCGTTGGTGCTCACCATAGCGGGACTCTCTTTGTCACTCAATTGCGGTTCAGGTATGGGACTCGAACCCTTCACACTCTTGGGTAGATTGGACTCGTCCATGATAATGAACTTGAGCGATTTTTCCGTGGCAGGTTTCGTTATTTTATATGAATCTTGAGATGGTTCTGTCTTGTTCTCGTGCTGACGACGATAGTGTTTTTTATAGACGTCGTTTCTGACAAACGTTTTTCCACAATCAGGCCACGAACACCTGTGTCTGGGGACCGTCTCATGGTTCAAGCGATGTCGAGCAAGACGATCTGGTCTTGAAAATGTTTTTCGACAATTTGGAACTTCGCATACGTAACCGTTCTCGATATCACTCTCTATGTGGAATCTTTTTGCCATTTGCATATTGTTGGTGGAAGTACACAAGTACACTGTTTGCTTGAGTAATTTGACAAAGATTTTGAACCCTTTCAAAATTCGATAATGATTAAATTTGTGGATTTTGCGGGGTGCATTACTGGGGAACCGGGTGGGGGTACTTTCCTAATTGGGACGAGCGACGGAACCATATAAAAAAGTAGCAGTCCCTTGCAATCGATATGACTGTTTCGGATTACAGGTAGGTTTAAGAACTATTAATATCATTCAACTTTTTTACTGACCCAGAAAAGTTCTTGTGACTGGTGGTACTGGGTTCATTGGAGCCCATATTGTGGATAATCTTCTAGCATTAGGAATTGGTGTCAGGCTTGCATCTCGTTCGATAAGGAAAGCCCATCAGTTTAGAAATGCTCGTCCTGATGTCAAGCACTTAATTGAGCCTTTTCAGATTAAGGATTTCACGGAATTGGATGATGATGAGAACCCATTCACTGAAGCCGTGAAGGAAGTTGATGGCATTATACATGCTGCAAGCCCTCTAGACTACTCTGTGAAAAATGTAGAAAGAGACTTGATTCAACCAGCTATACAGGGAGTAAAGGTAGTTTTTGAAGCAGCCAAAACTGAACCCAGAATTAAGAGAATTGTGTTGACTTCGTCGTTTGCTTCGGTTATGGATGTCTCTCGAGGCCCTGGTCCTGGTTTCACCTATACTGGTGAAGATTGGGAATCCACTCACTTACGAAGAGTCGATCAATGCTGAACCTGTGATAGCTTATAGAGGATCAAAGAAGTTTGCTGAGCTTGAAGCGTGGGACTTTTTGAAGAGAGAACAACCCACTTTTGACTTGGTAACCTTCTGTCCACCAATGACTTTTGGACCTGTTGTTCATCCTGTCGCATTTGTCGAGGACTTGAATTTGTCCAACGCTAACATTTGGGACATTTACCAAGGAGTATCGCCCTTGCCTGTATCTAGAGTTCCGGTCTGGGTTGATGTCAGAGACTTGGCATTGGCTCACGTTCGCGGTTTAATAGTGGATACTGCTGGAAACAAGAGATATGTGCCTTCCGCGCCAGAAAAGTTCTCATATGAATTGGCTGCGAAAATCATGAAAAACCATGGATTTGGCGCTAAGATCAGTGTTGACATCCCTGAAGAATGCAGTGCCCCAGAAGGCTACGATTTGGACTATGCTTCCGTCGAGACAGATTTGGGGATCAATTTTCACAGTTTTGAAGAGTGTATAGTGGACTCCATTACTCAGTTTGCATCGCTTCCAATTAGGACCGATTAAAGTTTTGTATAAATATATGTACTTTTCAATTAGTGGTGACTTCGCTCTTGTTCGATTTTCTTCACATTTCTCTGTTCTTTTCGTTTCGTATCCTACCCCACTCCCGTATCGACTTCCGTTTTAGTAGCACCCACTTGCAGCCGTTCAACATTTTAAGCCGCATCCCACATTAGGAAACCCCCACCTGCGACGCACCCCGGATTTGAACGTGGGGTAGGATAACCGTTGAGAGGTTGTAAATCCGCCGATTGAATCCACCATTGTGAATTTCGATAAACGTTTGTGCTGGCAGACATCACAACGGAACTTGCATTCAACCTAAAAAGGCTATTTTAGGTTTTTTCTTTTTCTTATTTCTTACTTTCAGATCTCTCGTCGGCTCCTCGTAAACCTGCGCGCTCCCCCGCTCCCCACCTCATCGCACCCAGTGTCGAATGCGGAAACCTCCACCGCCAAGTGGCTGTTCTCCTCATATCATATTGACTTGGAACCGAGAATGATATAAGAGGCAAAGAGCAGTGCGTATTCTTTCACTCATCGAACTCAATTTACAATGAAAAAACATTTGGGAATGTCTGGAAGGTTGTTGCTTTCACTTCTTACCTTAGCCAACGGGTTGACTATGGGATGGTTCGGCTACGACCAGGGAGTGTTCTCCGGAGTTTTAATCTCGGAAGACTTTCTCAACCACTTTCCAAAAATCAAGAACAACCATAATGTATCTGGTATCACCTCTAGTTGTTTCTCCTTGGGAGCATTTTGCGGGGCTATCTTTGCCTTTACGTTCGGAGAGAAAATCGGCAGAAGAAAAACTATTCTTCTTGGCTCGTTGTTCAACGTTATTGGGGCCGTGTTGCAAATTGCTTCTTTCCATTTACCAATGTTGATCGTTGGTAGAATTGTCAATGGCTTTGGAATGGGTATGACTTCTTCTACTTGTCCTATTTACCAAGCTGAGTCGACAAAGGCAAAGTATAGAGGCAGGTTGGTTGTGCTTGGTTCTGTCTCCAACACGGCAGCGTACATGTTATCCAACTGGATGAATTTTGGACTTTATTTTTCAAGTGGACCTCTTGAATGGAGATTTCCTTTGGCATTCCAATTGGTGTTTCCTTTGATTTCCGTGCCTATCATGTTGATTGCTCCAGAATCTCCTCGATGGCTCATGAACCATGGAAGGTTGGAGGAGGGCTATCAAACGATTGCTGCACTTTGGGGTAAAAATCTTTCTTTTGACGATGAAGTGGTTAAGACGGAATACTATAATATCTTGGCAAGCATTGAAGAAGAGAAAGCGGCACAGGTGCCATTGAAGAAGGTTTTGATCGGGAAAGATAAGCACAAAAACTTGAGAAGAGTAATCTTGGGTTGTGGGACTCAATTCATGCAACAATTTACTGGTGTCAATGCTCTTGGATACTATATGCCAACAATATTGACGGTTCAATTGGGGTTCAGCAAAGAAACTGCAAAACTTTTGACTGCTTGCAATGCTACTTCGTACTTGGGTGCTGCTTTGGTATGTTTAATTATCATTGACAAAATTGGTCGGCGGATTATGATGTTGTACGGTTCCATTGGATGCTGTATAACCTACATCATTGCAGCTATAGCCATGAAAGTGTCAGAAACTAGAGATACCTATGCCATGGGAGCCTTGACCGTTTCAATGTTCTTTGTCTACTATGTGATATATGGAACCAGTTATGCAAAAGTTCCGTGGGTTTACAGTTCAGAGATCAACTCCATTGGTTGGAGAACCAGAGGTGCTGCAGCAGCCACTGCAACAAACTGGATTTGTGGGTTTTGCATTACTCAGTACACTGATATTGCTGTCACCAATATGCGTTGGGGGTTCTACTTGCTTTTTGCAATGATAGTATTGTGCTACGCTCCAGTTGTATGGTTCTTTTACCCAGAAACTGCCAAGCGTACTTTGGAAGATATCAACTTTATGTTCGATCTGTACGATACTTTGTTCCTTGGAAAGCATAAGGAATTGAGACAACGGTCAAGACCTCAACTCTTTATTGATGCTGAAGTTGAAAGAATTGATGCTATTAAGGCTGCTAATCACGGGAAGATATATGATGAGAAATTAGATGCTTACCATGTGGAAGATGCAAAAAGCTCCAGAAGCTCCAATGTTTAGTCAATGATGTTTAATAATGAAGTCCTCCTTAAAGTTCCAATGTTTAGTGTAGATAAAGATATTTAGTAACTATTTTGGTCTTGGTTTCACCACATCTTCTCAACTGTTTTATAAGATAAATGTATTTAGTCAATTCTGGTCTTGTTTACAACCCCTTCTCTATTTCAAGTAACTTATTGAAAGCTGGAAGGTACTTGTTCCACACATTGATATCGATATCTTGATTCAATGGTGGTCTTCCATGCACAACAGCTCCCAAACCTAGAGCATATTTTATACCATACTTCAAGCCCAAAATGTTCAAAACTGCTGTCATTTCGTTGACCAATGTCACCAAACCCTGTAATTCTTGCGCCTCAGCAATATTTCCAGCACTATAATCGTTGAAAATTTTCACCATTGATTTTGGGAAAATGTTTGATAACCCATCGATGCAACCCTCTACACCCACTGAAAGCCCAGGAAGTAACACTTGACCCACACCAGCAAGGTTTCTAAAGTTGTTTGCCTTCAATTGAGAACTTTGGCACAACAAGGTGTATAGAGGAAAGTTATAATGAGTCAATTTGCAGCCAACAATATTTTCATGCGCGGACAATGTCAAGTAAGAATCATAGGTCAAATCAATGCCATTTTGTACTCCAGGGTAATTGTAGATGATTAGTGGAATTGCAGCCTTGTTTGCTATAGTCGCAAACAGTCAATGATTCCCTTGCTTGTTTTGTCAAATGTAGTCATAATAACTGGGACACAGACGGCGTATTGCACCCAAAGTTTTCAATTGTGCAATGTCTGCAACAATCTCAGATATCGAAACTCCAACAACTCCTGCCATGATAACAAAATCTTTGTCAGTGCATCTCTCTCTCACAGCCTTAACCACACTATGTCTTTCGTCTTTCGACAAGTGAATGGCTTCTCCATTAGAGCCACCAACTAATACACCTGAAATTCCACTTTTTTGAATATAGTCAAAATGTTTTAACTGAGTTTCAAAGTCGATGGAATATTCATCGTCGTTTTTGAAAAAGGTCGGAAGAGGAGTGTAAATTCCTTTTGGTGGAAGTGGAGGTGCCATAGTGGATTAGAACCCGGCTACATCGTGCTTATATAGGATGGGTGGGGAGATCTCAATGGGGTAAGCAACAGGTGGGGGCGGGGAAAACATGTAAGTGTGGAAGATACCATTACTTGTTGTATATTCATATTCGTTATTTGACAAGGTTTTCACCGCCCTTTGGCGCTTGTTTGATCTTTTCGCCAATTTCAGACGTCCAAAACGTACCATTGGGGTACAAGTACTTTTCAATGGCTCCAGGAACATAACCGATGGAGTACCCAGGATCCAACGGAGTAACATAATGGGCATCTTTGATTATAGATGGATGCGCAAGGTTCTCTCGGTAGCTATCAGCAGCTTCAAGCATAGACTTACGGCCACTAATGGCGATGTAGTCAATGGTACTTAAGTGGGAAGTAAGCTCTGTCAATCCCATCGCTCCATTGTGTGGAACACAAGGAACATTGAATTTGAGAGCCATCAACATGACTGCCAAACATTCATTGACTCCTCCAAGTCTGACGGCATCTATCTGGCAAACATCAATGGCTTCGGCTTGTAAGAGCTGTTTAAAAATGACTCTATTTGCAGCCATTTCACCAGTTGCAACTCCAACTCCATACGGCTTGAGTGCCTTTCTGATGGCAGCATGACCAAGAATATCGTCAGGACTTGTAGGCTCTTCAATGAAGACTGGTTTGAACTGAACGAGTTCTTTCATCCACTCAATTGCCTCGGGAACTGACCATACCTGGTTGGCATCAATCATGATTTGGTATTCTTCTCCATAACCAATAATATCTCTCACTGCCTTCAACCTTTCCTTGTCAGCTTGCAAATTGCTACCGACTTTAAACTTGAAGATTTTGAATCCAGCATCTATGGTTTCTTGTAGCACTTTTTTCATCTTGTCTCCATTGAACGCCAACCATCCCGCACTAGTGGTGTATGCTGGCACTGCCACATTATCAAATGCCTCTTTCAATCTGGTTTCTTTTCCTCGTTGTGTCTTCTCCAACATGGCTATAGCTTCGTCTGGAGTTATTACATCGGTGATGTAACGAAAATCAATGCATCTGACAATTTCTTCTGGAGTCATATCTGCAACAATTTTCCACACAGGCCTGCTGGTAGCTTTACCCCACAAGTCCCAAATTGCATTGATCACAGCAGCAGTAGCCAAGTGAGTAACTCCTTTTTCTGGACCAATCCAACGGTATTGAGAGTCAGAAACCATATACCTCCAAGTAGCTCCCATATTTTCCACCAACGACCCCAAACTTTTTCCCACAACTCTTTCGGCAAAAGGTTCGATTGCAGCACATACAAGCTCACTGCCTCTACCATTGCTGAACGCCATACCTTCTCCCATCAATTCTGAGCTGGTGAACAATTGCAAGTACGGATGCGACCCATTGGTACCAACATGCATCGCATCACTGCCAATGCCATCAAGACTAGTGGGAAACCTGATATCATGCACCTTAAATCCGGTAATAACAATATGGTCTAACGACATTTTAGTAGGTGGTCAAAATGCATAAAGGTTATTTTATATCTCGGAGTTTTTTTTTCAGCCCTGACAGATTTGGAAATGTGGGGGAGGGTGCATATTTAAGGTGGGGAGACTTACCGTTTTGGGCCCGAGGCAAGATCTGGTGGGGAAAATCTCCGTATTCGGCGTTTTGTCGGCGGAGTTTGATGGGGGATTTGTCAGTGGAAAACGGACAATAAAACTTGACAATATAAGTATATCGTTTTCTCAGTTTCTTATACGAAGTGAACTGCTCGAAAATGGGTTACCCTGAAACTTTCGAAGGCTATGCCGTAACTGACACCAACCAATGGAACACTGTTAAGAAGATTGAATTCAAGCCAAAGCCCTTTGGCCCAAAAGATGTCGATATTAAGATCATTGCTTGCGGAGTTTGTGGAAGTGACGTCCACACCGTCAATGCTGGCTGGGGCAAACCAGACTTGCCGGTAATTCCTGGCCATGAAATTGTGGGTACTGTAGTCAAAGTTGGAGAAGATGTTTCGTCGGAGTATAAAGTAGGAGCCAGAGTCGGAGTTGGAGCTCAAGTTGGTGCTTGTTTGGAATGTGAAACTTGCTTGGAAAATAACGAGACATACTGTCCGGACTGGGTAGACACATACAACGATTTTTACCCCGATGGGTCCAAAACATGGGGTGGATACTCTTCTCACATTAGAGTTCATGAACATTTTGTTTTCCCAATTCCTGAAAAGTTACAAACAAACGATGTGGCACCTATGTTGTGTGCTGGGATCACCACTTACTCGCCGTTGGTCAGAAATGGAGCTGGTCCTGGTAAGAAGGTGGGGATCATTGGCATTGGTGGTTTGGGTCATTTTGCGATCATGTTTGCCAAAGCATTGGGAGCTGAAGTTTACACTTTTTCCAGAACAAATAGCAAGAAGGAAGATGCCTTGAAATTGGGTACAGACCACTTCATTGCGACGTATGAAGAAAAGGATTGGGCCACCAAGTATGCCAGAAAACTTGATCTCATTATTTCTTGTGGTAACTCGTCGAAAAATTTCGACTTGGATGGGTATCTCAAATGTCTTCGTGTTCATGGAAAATTGGTCAGCGTGGGATTGCCTGAAGAGCCATTTACCGTCAGTCCTGCCACCTTCATCAAGAACGGTTCTTTGCTCGGATCTTCACACTTGGGGAATAGACAAGAGATGATAGACATGCTCAAGTTGGCAGCGGAAAAGGGAATTAAGTCGTGGCACGAAGACTTGAAAGTTGGCGAGGAAGGAATTTCCGAAGCATTGAAAAGATGTCACGACAATGACGTCCACTATAGGTTTGTCTTGACCGACTATGACGCCAAGTTCGCGTGAACGTTAGATAGCTAATCAGACTAATCGCCTTTTCTAAACACCACCTTTCGCCCGCTCACTTTGTTTTCAATCAACAATCTCAACCCTTCGTTAGCAGACAGCAAACCCGGTGAAAGCACTTGCAAAGGAGCAGTCTTGATTTGGCCCAAAATAGGAGGAAGAAGGTTGTTCCAGTATACGAGATACGACTCAATTACACCAGGCAGGGCCTTCATTCCCATGTGTCTCTTTCCATCAACCAGGTACGCATTGGCAGAGGAACATTTGACCTTCCTATTGGGTTTGGTGGTGATTGACTTTTCCGTCAAAAACAAGAGATTCTCAAGACGAACCTCTTCAGGCCCTTCAGTGGCATCATAAACTGCTTGAAATGTTTCTGTTGTAGCCACACAATCGTATCCATACTTTATGTTACCTTTACCAACTTCTTTGATTTTTTGCACCACATTCTCGTCACTGTAGTCAAACACATGATCTGCTCCCAAAGAAAGCAAGAGTGGATGATTGCGCAGCGATGCTGTAGTGATCACCTTGATTCCATATATCAATTTGGCAACTTGAATAGCAAGTATACCCGTGGCGGTTGCACCTCCCCATATAAGAATATAGTCGTCTTTGTTCTCTGCTTTGTTCAGAGGTATGGCAAGGTTACAGTGCAAACTCAATCCCACCGTCGTTAAGCCCATAGTAATGGAAGCGGCTCCTTCAAATGAGTCAATTGTTGAGCTTGGATACTCCCCAGGACTGAGTGGTTTTTGCAGAAGTTGCGATGGAGGGTACTTGATGGTAGCGTTAGGGCTCGTCGAAACGTATTCTGAAAAAGCTCCGTTTTTGCTCATGGCTCCATGAACAGAAGTAGAAACAATATCTCCTTTTGAAAAACCCGTAACCTTGGGTCCAACCGCTTCTACAACGCCACTGACGTCACAACCCAGGACCACACCTCTGCGAGCAAAAGTGAGATTTTTGCCAATAAACCAACCTATATTTGATCCAAGACAACCAAGTGGTCTCTCAAGAAGACCAATTCCAAAACCAAACATTTTTGACACATCAGAAGATACTTGGGACACAAATGATTCGAGTAATATGTGTTTCCAATCTGAAGGATTTACAGCATAAGCAACTGTTTTAACGATTATAGCATTGTCTTCCAATTGAGGATAGGGAATACTTTTTATTTCAACGAGATTTTGAAGGTTTCTGGAACCGGTCACAACGGCGCCGTGGTTTGACATTGTAAGGAAGATCGTAAAGTGGCGCGAATGCGAATGTGAATTCAATTAGAATTTGAATGTGAATTTGAATGCGAAATGTGGGGCATGTGAACTCAAGTGAATTAGTGCGAAACGAAACTTGAACTCAGATATTTCTCAGACATTGCTCAAATCGAAAATCAACTATTATGATTATTTCAAGGTAACCAAACGGATCCTAGAGGATATATGCTTCCTAAAGTTTATCAATTCATTAGTAAAGTCCACTAATAACTCATTAGTGAAACAATTGATTGTTTTCTTTCAATTATTGATCGCCCCCAGTTTCGAGTCTTGGTTCAACTTATTACACTAAGAACCGATTGTATACCTCGAGTTGAACCATGGCCTTCCAACTAGCCACATCAATTCAATGTTAGGCTTCTAATGCTTTCTAACTTGTTCCACGTCAATCAAAATTTCCTGGGCCTTATTTACAAAAAAATGGTTGTTTCTTAAAACCCCCTTCCTTTCAAGCCTTTGAATCAAAGCAATCACCAAGGTAACCATCGCTTCAAGCGTAAAAAACATGAAAGTAATAGGATAGGCATAAGGATAATGGGGTGCCTTTTCCGCTGGATACAAGTAAATGGGAACTGCAGCCGTGAATATAAACGAAATGGTCTCAACAATGCCTATCATCAAGTACCTTTGTTCCGCGGCTGTACCCAAAGTCTCTAACATCCAAGTATTGAACAAGGCGCCTGCGCCGGTTTCGGCAAACATCAAGTACCAGCCGGCAAATAAGGCACTTTGGTTGCTTGGCCAAACCCACAAAATTATCGACCCAATTATGGCAGGAGTACAGGCTAGGGCTATAATAGACCACCGGTTTCCAACAGCATCTGAAAGCCAAGCCCAGCACAAAGTTGCGAAGATCTGAAGCCCATAACCTGCCGTAGGTAAGTTGTTGATCTGGGAGATGGAAAAGGAGCCGGTTGATTTCAACCAAAGGTTCATGTATCCGTAAAGTCTAACTGCGAGCACATGGCAAATTAACCACAACGTGAAAAGGTAAATGGGCCAGTCCACACACATGTCCAAAAAATCTTGGAACTTCATATTGGGTTTGGTATTTCTGTTCCCTCGTTTTAATCGGCCGATTGCAATTCTTCTGTCTTTCTCATTGAGCCAAAATGCCCTTGAGCTCAAAGGTTCGTCTGGAATGGCGAAAAATCCCACAATTGCAACAGGTATTGTGATAATACCGTCAAAGATGAAAAGCCACCGGAAAGCCGCAAGTCCTCCAACACCATTCATTCCTTTATGGAGCCCCGTTTGCAAGTATCCCGAGAACATCTGAGCAGCACTCGAGGTAGTTTGAAAGATACATGTTCTCTTTCCCAATTCATCTGGCAAGTAAAAGTTCGATAAGATTGTCATTATACCACCATATGACGAACTTTCAAACAACCCAACAAAGAACCTCAATGCATACATTGTTTTGACGTTTTTAGCTCCTGCCATTCCCATGACAAAGGCACCATACATTAATTCATTTGCAGGTAACCAGATGGACGGCCGAATATAACTGATAGCAACCTGAGAAGGAACATGGCCGATAATGTAGCCAATGTAGTACCATGTGGATAAATAGTTGTACTGCAATCCTCCAAAATGAAGTTCTTCTTTCATTCCCGAAACATAAGCATTGGACACATTCATAGAATCCAAATATTTGACAAAGTGGGCAACACAGATGTACGACATCACCCAACAGTCCATCTTGAATATAAACTGTCTTTCCTCGGGACTTTTGTCAAGAGAGTCCCAAATAATGCCTCTGAGCTTTGTTCTCCAGTTAACTTTCTGGGAACTTAACAGTTCAAAAGAACCGCCAGTAAACGAATTAACGGGAACTATTTTGGCTTTCTTTTCAAGATTAGAATCAATAGCTTTACTCATGATAAGCTGGACATGACCTAGATACTTTTTATACAAAGAAAATCCATCGAGCTAGTAGTGGATCTTTTATATAAAGAAAATTTATCGAGCCGGTAATCTTCCGACGACCTACATGCTTAATTTAGCCACATAATGGCCAAATCCATAGTTGTTTGCGTATGACGTCAGGAAATAAAAATGGACGGAAGGATACTAGGTCGAAAATTGAGCTGGAGCCGTATACATATATTTCTGCAAGTTTGGCATATGACTGTGAGAACTGAAGTGAGGTTTTCGCACAGAAACGATCCTGTCAGCTACTAATGAAGTAAGCAGAGACAGATATTGGCCATAGACTCTTTGACTGCATGGATTCTTTCGCATCGCATACAAAGGTTCTTTTTGGCGAATATTTTTATGCATGTGTCAAACTCGCATTTGCAACTTTGGTGGAAGGAAAAAACTTTCATCAATTACCACATTTGGGAGACTTTTAAAAACGAAACAAACCAGGAAAAACCACACAATTCACTGGGGAGAACATCTTGGCAAGACAGATCCCTACTTGAATTGCAGATCGGTGCGGCGCGGTGCATTGACAGCTAAAATTATGGGCTCGCAACCAGAAGTTAAGTACAAGTCTGACTTGTAATGAAAAACAATTCTGACGAAACAGCAGCTCGCACACAGTTAACACTAGCCGACAATCATGGTCTTCAAACAGTATAGATTTTTATAATTTAAAAAATAGATGGCATCCTTGTCTGATCGATCTGATAGCCGCGAACTCGGGCCAATGCGAACTCGGGCCGGGTGGCTTAAATTATGCAGCATCAAAAAGTTCTGCAATGCCAATCATGAAACGAGAAAATTCTCCGCTGCAGAATGCCTGAGCTTGGAACTATCGAAATTCGACTAAATTCACCAGGCACAACTCGGCGGATTGTGGAATTATAGTGAAGACTACAAGGCAGAAGTCAAATATGAAAGCTTTGGTAGTGGAATTGAAGATCAGTCAGGGTACTTGAGAATTTTTCGGGACCTTGCGTAAAGAGCTAGCTGTTGCGGCGAGAAAGGGTTGGTCGGAAACAAAGACCAAGAAGGTTCTTGGATTCAACTGGTATAATTGCTTGAAGCTTGTGTTTGATAGTGAGGCTTAAAGGAAGGGGACATAAAAATGAAAATGTAGGAAGATCTTTGGCGTTTTGCTGTAAGTAGTTTCTTCAATGTAACGCTACTTTCTATCGACTTAATAATTCGACTGGATCGCACCACATTTTGCAACAATTAATGGCTGCGAAAAATTAGCCGCGAAAGGTAAAACTTGAATCCATCATTGTAACTGCGAATTCAATCTACTACATCTCGCTGTAGTCTAACACCCTACATGATCTCTCTTAATACGTGGAAATCGTGAGTATTGATAATTTGAATAAAAAATACCTTTCTAACTTCAGCCTTGCTAAATGCAACCAAGATCTGATTGCGTGTACCTGCGTCAACATTTAAAATCAAGCTTAGATCAAAGGCTCGCTAATGAATGTATGGGACCCACAATTCGACAAAAGAGAGAAATTGGTACAAGCTGTTTCTGCAAAGAGATCGAATTATAGTACAGGCTTTCAAGTGTCTCGATATTGATGGGCTATGAACCTATTCGTCCACTCAATGACAGCTTTGAATTTATTAGCTTGATGATCGTAAATTCGTGAAAGTTGAACGTTTCAAAAGTCAAATTTTAGGAATGGTGAAAATAAATGACGAATGGTTTAAAATTGAGCGTGAAGAATTAGTATTCGTGGATTGTGGCTTTTGAAACGAATAAGGAGATTCAAAAACAAAAGCACCAACACTCGATTTAAAACCAATATTCTCGTTCCACAAACTTTTTCGTCAACTTTTTGTTGTTGTATGAATATCGTTTACTGTTCCCATTTGCATTGACCGTTAAATGCAAAATTCTAAAAATACGCAATTTTGCGACATTATGTCAAAAATGGAAAAATCGACTGCGAAAAATAAAATGATGACTAACTTCTTCTCGTTTATTCATCAGCCGTATTACTAATTAGTCGTTCCCGGGTAAACGGATATGTTCCCTTAACCCATGATATAGTCTAGTGGGAGCTGAAACCATTGCATTGACCATTGAATTGACCACTGCGTTGTCCTATGGTTCTGTCTCTCTTCAAAAATAGTCTTGGCAGTTTGGCCATTTATCACCTTTCTGGGCGACGAATGCTTCCCCGTCGAGAAGAAGACCCTACATACGTCATTCCTCGGAAATATTCGAAAGTTTCCGATGAAAGTTCAATATCAAATCAACTGGTCCTGCTGGAACAGTTTATAGTTGTTGAATGGGAAGGACCATCTGACCCTGACAATCCTAAAAATTGGTCAAAGGCTGACAAGTTTTTGGTTTCTGCCCAAGTGGCTTTCTTGACCATGACTTCAGTCATGGGCTCGTCACTTTACAGCCCTTCAATTGCGTTTTTGATGGAAGATTTGAACACATCTCATACCTTGGCAGAATTACCATTGGCACTTTACGTCATTGGTTTTGCTGTGGGACCTATGGTACTAGCTCCAATGTCAGAAAACCCCAGTATAGGAAGAGCACCCATATTCATTGTGTCCCATTTCATTTATTTCATTCTACAGATTCCCCAATCTTGGGGTGCTGGAACTCGCTCGTTTCCGGCGTTAGCAGTGCTACGATTTTTTACCGGAGTACTGGCTAGTCCTGCGCTAGCGGTAGGCAGCGCCACATGTGGAGATATCATGAAACTTCCTTACTTGCCTATGGCTATTGTAGCATGGAGTGCCGCTTCTATCGCGGGACCTTGTATTGGACCGGTTATAGGCGCTGCTTTAACTGATGCTTCACAATCTTGGGAATGGTGCTTCAGATTTCAAGCTATAGTTGGTATGGTAAGCTTTGTTGTTTGCAGCTTCTTTTTGCCAGAAACTTATGCCCCTACTATTATGCACCGCAAAGCTCAACGACTTCGTGCCGTCACTGGAAACAAAAATCTTGTCACTCAATATGAACTCGACCATCCTCCAACAAGTTTCGTTCAGGCAGCAAAAACTACACTCTGGCGTCCCATCATCCTTTCGATCTCTGAGCCAATGGTGTTACTAATCAACTTGTACACCTCGCTTTTGTATACTATAATGTTCTTGTGGTTCACTGCATTTCCCCTTGTTTTTGAGAACTTGTATCACTTCACATTGGTTGAGTTGGGAACTTCATATTTGGGAGTCTTGGTTGGCGTTCTTCTGGGTGCTACCATCTTCATAGTTATCATTTACCATGTCTACACCAAGAGACATTTGGGTGAGAAGAAAGCAACAATAACTCCAGAAGTGTTCATGCCAGCGGCAATATATGGCAGTATCTGGATTCCCACGGGAGTTTTCATATTTGCTTGGACATCAAAGAAATCTGTTCATTGGATGGTTCCCATAATTGGAGGATTTATTTTCTCTCATGGAACATTCATTGTGTTTCAGACCCTTTTCAACTACCTAGCAACCTCTTTTCCTCGTTATGTAGCCTCAGCGTTTGCAAGCAATGCCTTATCGAGAAGCTTGATGGCTGGGGTTGCTCCTCTCTTTGGAACATTTATGTTCGATAACCTCAGGACTGCCAATTTTCCAGTTGGTTGGGGTGCTTCAATTCTAGGGTTTCTCACGGCAGCGATGATATGCATTCCTATTTTATTTTACATTAATGGACCAAAACTAAGAGGCAGATCCAAATTCGCAGGTTTCTGACAAGCACCTTACACGGATATCATATTAAACAAACTATGACGATATGACTAACAAATATATGGCTAATTCACTATCGTTGTTCACTGAAAATTATTATTTGGTTTTCCTTTTAAAGAATGCAATCACATCGAAATCCTTATCGTTCTCGTCTGGGTTCGATTCTTGGTCGACGGTGATTTCATTCGAAAGTCTTCTTTCCTTTGTGAATACTGCAAACAAGATCAAAGGCGCCGTGAACACAAGTCCCACCGTGATCAATATTCTTTGGACATACCGATACTCTTGAACTGCCCATTGTCTTTCTGGGGTGTCCCAGGTATAAGTTAGAATCCAAGTAAATGGATCACTGAATGCCGCCGAAGCAACTTCGGGCAGAAGCTTCTTCGCAAGTCGTTTATAAAGTAACTGGGACCAAATAGCACCACCCACGGCAGACCCAACTGCACCTCCAATACGGTACAACGTCAAACCCATTCCAGTCACCACCGCCATATAATCATGGCTCAAATGGCTTTGCATAACCACGGTGATTGGGTACGAGAAGAACGCAGTTCCAAAGCCTAGAACTACTTCGGCACCGATAATACCCGGTTTTGAAGAAGTTCCACCTCTAAAATGGTACATTAATCCAAGCGCAACCAACCACATAGATGTGCCAAAAATCAAACCGGGTTTGAGTCTTCTGACATAAATGATGAGGAGACCATAGAAGAAACCAACGATTTCAGAGGTAAATGACGAAAGTGTAATGATTCTTTGGCCCGAAGTGACGGTATCGTTCACTGCAACAATCAAGATGGTGTACAAGTACTCGGATATGAGCATATCAACAAACATGAAAGTGAAACTAATAGCCAATGGGCACCATATACCTCTGCTCAGGAAAAACACCATGGGTGCCAATGGGTATCTGGCAACATACGCTTCCCACGCAAGAAATACTGGAATAAGAACACCACCAATAACGATAGGAACAATTATATGAGCCTTCTGCCATTCAGTTTTAACACCACCTGCCAAAGTCAAAGGTACTAAAATGCAACCCAAAGTTACTGCGAGAAGGAGAGCTCCCACAAGATCGAGCTCCCAGAACATTTGAACAAGAAAGCTTCCAATTCCTTGCTCTCTAATAATTCTACTTCTTGTTCCTTTTAACTCTTTCCACTCTGGCAACTTTCTAGCCTTATACCACATGTGTCCAAGACAAAGCAAGAAGGGTATGTTAGCCAACGGAAAGATAAAAGCCCACATTCCAATACCCCAACTCCAGTGCTGGACGGGTCCTACAGCATTGAGAATATTTCCCGAGACCCAGGTGACGATAATGTAGCCAAAAGTTGGACAAAGCATGAAAAACAATCTCAGTCTCATGGAAGAAAAATCAGATAACATCACCAATAAGATCAATACCACACCCACATATCCCAATTGATAAAAAACAGCACCGGTAGCGAACCTGGCAACGTTGGTAGCTTGAGACTGAATTATGGTTCCAACAACGTAAAGAATAATGGAAATGACATACATCTCTGCACGTCCAAAGGTGTCTGTCAACCGAGCATAAACCACTTGTCCAGCAGCTGCAATGATAGTAGTGACTACGTTGATGGTGGATAATAACGAGTGATGTCCATAAGACCCCGTAGCGTAACCTGTGAATGAACTTCTAACATTTCCATCAAGCATATAAGAGAAGCCAATGAGAAAACTACTGAATAAAACGGCTATTTTGGGAACGACTTCCAGGTACTGGCTAATCATCAATTCGGACTTCAATGCCCCAATCAGTTTAAAGTTGTGCTTTTGCACTGGTACCAGATTTTCCTCATTGTCTGGTAGTTTTACTTGGTCTTCTTGAGAGTCTCTAGAAGACATTTTGCAGCGAAAAAGAAGAATTTTCTCCTTTTATGATCGGCATTGCAGAACTTTTTCAATGCTGCATAATTTAAGCCACACGCACCTGCCCGAGTTCGCAATTGCTATCAGATCGATCAGACAAATATGCCATCTATTTTCTGAAGTATAAGAATTTGTGCTGTTTGAAGACCATGCTACTCAGATAGTATCAGAGTAGTATGTGAGCTGCCGCATCATCAAATATTTGATTTTGAGTGAACCATTCGCATTAACAATCGGATTTGTTCTTAACGAGCTGGTTGCGAGCCCATAATTTTAGTGCTGTCAATGCACCGCGCCGCACCGTATCTGCGACCCAATGAGGTATATTACCAAGAAGAAGATCACCCTAAAGGAGTTTGGGGTTTCTACTAGTTTGATTTGTATTTAGGAGTCTTCCAGTGAGTAGTACTTGATCAAAGTCTTATCACTTATCACTTTCACCAAATCTGCAAATGCGTGTTTGACACATGCATTAAAATATTCGCCAATCAAAAGAATCTTATTAAGCGATAAAATTTGTTGTTCATGGTCAACGAGGCTGGCTTACTTCATTAGTAGCCGACAGAACTGTCACTTCAGCTCTTGAATATTGCCATATCAAAGTTGCAGAAACTAACACATAACGTCTTTCAAAGACTAAATAACGAAATAGAATCAATATCAAATTAAATAAACCCAAAGTCAATGTGCTCTAAAGCCATAAGTCTCAACCAACTTCCAGTAGCTGCTAGCACTCCATCTTCTCATTCTCTTACCAAACATAATCATCACAAATGAAAGCGCCCAAAAAAAAGCTCCAATGCACGCAATGGAGATATAAAGATTCTGGGTTCCAACAGCAAGTAACCAGGGTGTCACCGCATACGAGAAGCCAAAACCCATCGTGTTACGAATTAAAATCATCGTCACCAAGCCATCTCCACTTACATCCTTGTAACAATCAATGATGTAGTTGATAGCAATAGCACTTCCTATTGGGAATGTTGAGCATATCATTCCCAAGCCAAAGGCGAGTCCAACCCAATGTATACCCTGGCCAGCTCCAATTCCATACAACAAGCAGCCAAATGGATGAATTACCATAGGAATTAACGACAACCATAACCGGAACTCAGGTTCACGGTAACCTTTACCAGAACGAGCCATCTTGACGGTAAAATTATCGACGATTTTGCCTGCAAAAAACAATCCAAACGAAATACCAATGGCAGGTGAAGCAAAGAAAACTCCAATCATGTTGGCTTTAAAATTGTAAGGAGGTGAAGACAAGACCGAGGCAATGGTAGCATTGACAACGTTAAACCACGATAACACAGCACCTACTGTAAACCCAGCAAACACAATACTTGGGTACCGCAAAAGGTAAAATGGGATCCACATCGATTGCCAGAATAAAGTAGGTTGATCTGGATTTCTGGCTCCCCACATCTTTAACTTTTGAACATAGGTTTTGGCTTGTGGTCTCGTCGGAGAACTATCGGTACTACCGACTTTTTCAATTTGCACTTCTGTGTTATTCTTGTCAGTCGAACCTTCATGGCTGGCAATTCTTTCAGGAATATCCTCACCGTCCAATTCCAATTTTGGATCACGATAGTACATTGTTTCTTCCAAGCAGAAGAACAATATGATAAGACATCCTGAAGCAATTATAGATGCAATGAATTGAATCCACTGCCATCCATACCTGTCGGAAATGAACCCAGCGACGATACCTGAGATGAAAGGTATGTTGAAAAGTGTAAAGCAGTACCATGCGATCCAGCCTCCTCTTTCGTGGGCAAAGAAAACGTCTGAAATACAAACTTCAACCAAAGTTTCAACTGGACCATAGAAAAACCCAACCAACAACCTGTTGACATACCATTCGCCGGCAGACTTGACATAGGCTGACCAAACGGTACAAAGCATACATGCCAAACCACAAAAAATTATAACTGGTCTTCTTCCAAATGTTAGACCCAAGGGCTGCCACAACAAACACGACCATCCAAAGAACAAATATTGGATACCAACTCCAGTGTTCAAATCTCCCAAAGATATACCTGTGTCAGCCACAATATCCAAGAGCACCGCCGACAAGGCTGTGCTTAAAATATCGGCGGAAAACACCGCCAACATCAAACAAAGTGCCAATCTCTTTTTTCTCCACTTGCTCCAATTCAATGGGTCTTCAGGGTCGTCTGTGGGTTGAGGAACAAGGACAATATCATCTCCTTCTTCGTGTCTCACGTCCATAGTACCTTCAAGGTCAACCAAGTGGATGGTACCAGGAACTCTGACATTGGTTTTTTCGTCTGTCATGGTAATTATTCGTTCAGCCTTTCAGAGCATAGATTTTTATAATCGAAAACGAGGGATAATATCACCTAGTTGGTGTCTATCTGAACGTGACATTGCTCAAGTAAGTCTTTGAAATTTGGACAATCTTATCGTGGAGATATTCTCCGAGTTTGTTAATTTTCTCCACGGGCTTTCTTGTTTCTTATCTCGAATTGAGCATTGCTGCAGATCCAATACGCAATAGGATAGAGACCCGAATGGTTCAATAAGGTCAATTTATCCGTAGTGTTGAAAACTTGCATCTTGATCAAGTTTCAAGATGTGCTCCAAATGAAATTTGAGGATGGGTATGTCTTGCTAGTAAATCTTCTGTTCGTGTGAAATCTTATTTGTATAAGCCCACAGTCAGTACCCATATTGCACAAACTGTCTGGAAAATAAGAAAGATTACCGAGATCTGCTGCACACTAAACAGGCAACTGGCGGTAGCTTTGTCCCGAATTGAGATGTTATCTCCCATTTTGTACAGCCTCAGATCTAATTCGGACAGATAACGAATTATTTTCTAGACGATATGCACTAAATCTGCACGCTGGACCGGCTTTGTGCAAGCGCAGAACAGTTCTTCACTAATATTTGTGACAAAAATCTAAAAATTTCGGGAAATGAATAGTCGGGATTTCTTTTCTGGGTTCCTGATACTTTGACTAAAATAGAACAGTATTGACCCAATGAACTTTTAGGAGAAAACTGGTGTTTCTTCCAAGCCTTATAGATCGCATTTAACAATAACGTAATTGAACCTTATTTCAGACAACGTAATTGATGCGGCTCAATCTTAGATAAAGCTTTGTTGCGGCTCACATGCTTATCACTGTAATTTAGCAATTACCAGCATTCAGAGCTTTATAATAGATTTAGGAAAATGTAGTCGGTATTGGCAATGGCTCCCGGGGGAAAACATTACTGAATACGCAGGGAGTTAAACCGTGAAAAATTCCCCCATAAAAAGACCAACTTCACAAGTCTTGAGAAATCACCACTATGCCAACTGCATATATCAACGGAAATGTCTACACTGTCAACGAAGCCAGTCCAAGGGCTGAAGCCTTCATTGTGAATGATGAAGGGCTTTTCGAAGCCATTGGGTCGACCGAGGAAATTACCAAGAAAAGTTCAGGAATGAATGTGGTCGATTTGAAAGGAAAGTTTGTCATGCCTGGAATGCACGATGCCCATTGTCACTTGTTAATGGCTAGCGAGGAAAAGTTGTTTGAAGCCAAGTTGGGTCAGGATTCCGGACCCGATGAAATTGTTGCAAAATTTAAAGAGTATTCGAGTGGTGCTTGCAACCATTTGGATACCGTCAGCAATTGGTTAGTGGGTAATTTTTACCACTATGCCAACTTCAAGGACAAAAAACCGGACAGAAAGTTTCTTGATGATGCTTTTGGCGACCAACCAGTTGTCATTAGAGAGTATACTACTCACAATATTTTTGCCAATACTGCAGCATTGAGGGCAGCTGGGTACGAGGAGGATCCAATTGACCCTTGGGATGGATACTATGTTCGCAGAGAGGATGGTACCATCACTGGAGAATTGGTTGAAGGAGCTGCTACTCGGCTTTTCAATTCGTTGCCAAAGGGAAGACCTGAAGATAACGTCAAAGCACTTCAATATGGTGTGAAGATGTCCAATAGATTTGGTTTCACCGCCGTGCAAGAAGCTTCTGCCAACACCGTCTATCTTGAAGCTGCCAAAACGTTGGAAAGTCTGGGCGATTTAACCATTAATTTGGATGCTCATGTTGTGTTCTATGGAGTTGGTGCTTTTCCTCAGGAAAGTGTTGGATCGTTACACCACACTTTGTGGAACGCCAAGAACTACAAAAGCAAACACTTTAATCCAATGTTCACTAAGTGCTGGATCGATGGTGTTCCTTGGCATCCTCATGAAACCCATACTCCTTTGACGGAAGATGGTAAGGTTGACTATTCGAGATTATTGATTCCACAAGAAACGTTCAAAAAGGCTATTGAGCGGTTTGACGGTGAGGGAAGAACCTGTAAGGTCCATGTTTGTGGCCAAGGTTCAGCTCGGTTTGCCTTGGATTGCTTTGAGGAATTGAGAAAGAGAAACCCTAATGGTCCAAAGCACGAATTGGCTCACAACATGGATGTTACAGAAGAAGATTGCAAGCGTTACAAGGCGTTGAATATAACTGCCGAGATGTCTCCTGCTATCTGGCACGACCCTGACTTTCAACCTGAAACCAATCCAAAGTCAGTCTACCCATTTAACAACTTGAAGAAATATGGCGCACTTTTGACCATTGGTTCCGATTGGGTATTTGCTCCCGACACCCCCAATATTTTTCCTGGTTTGCAAGCGTTAACCGAGAACAAGCATGGATGGGACTTGACTAGAGAAGAAGTCATTAAAATGGTCACTATCCATGGGGCAGAGGCCGTTTCTAGGGAGAAAGATGAAGGCACTATCGAAGCTGGAAAGTTGGCCAATTTCATTATCTTGGATAGAGATTTGACTTCGGCTCCATCAATTGCTGACACAATTGTCTATAAGACCTATTTTGAAGGTAAGGAAGTGTATGACTATGATACCGACGAACTCAAGCACTTTCAGGGAAAGTTATAGGAGCAATTTTTCTGGATTTGGACCATGGTAATTGATATATACCACTTGTATAGTTTGCTTTACTTGAAATTAAGCTTTGTTGTTCATAGTTGCACCCAACGGGCTCATAATAATTCTGAGATCAAAGTCGCTAAAATCAGATCTTAAATGTGAAAAATTGGCTTATATAACAATGAGCCGCATGTACTTGAAACTACTAAGGTATACCATTTTGGTATAATTGGCATTCCTTTAACCAAAACATTGTTCCTAGTTTTTTGAAAGCGAAAACATTTCGATATGTGATTACCTTCAGTATTATATCATTTATCTATCGAAGAATTTTGCGTGGGGTTCATGGGTGCATGGGTGCAAGTAGTAGATAAGATCTACTGGAGGAGTCCACAGATTTTATACAATGGTAAATAATAACAATCTGTTAAGAATCATAGACGAAACCTCATATGTTATCAATAAGAAGAATATGAAAAAGAAGAAAAAGGCTCCCATACCAGGATCCCTGAAGTTTAAGGAGCCATTTGTCATGTCTAAACCGTTTAATGAAGATCAACGACAATCCAAAACTAAAAATGTTACTGACAATTTCACATACCAGTACAATGAGGGTGATGTTTCTCCGTTGTCTGTGGACCAGATTCGTGCATTGGAGGAAAATGACTCTTTTTCCAGAATGTTTCAAAAAGAATTAGAGGATCTTATGATTCCAGCCAAGAGCTATGGTATAAATGTAAGTGAATTTTTTCCAAATTTATTGTATCTGCTAACATAAAGATGCTTGGTGAGTTTTACGACCGCATCACTGAAGAAGAAGACAAAAGAGGTGAATGGATGGATGATATACTAAAAAAGCCATTGAATGGTAATTCAGCAACTGTTACAACTCTAAACTCTCCTAAATGCAATCCTTATGGCGAACAAGAATCTTCAAATACACTTGTGATCAACAAACTGGACAAACTTGAAGATCCGGTGATACAAAATGAATTTCGACTAGTATGTCATTATTGTCGAGTAATGTGCAAATTCTACAGTGTTAAAGAGCCACAATGGAATTTCTATTCAATAGTGTCTAATGTCTTTGCTTATCGGTATATTCCATTGAAAGAGAGTATACTTGCATGGTCAAGTTTGCATCTAAGTATCGTTGAAGGTACCCCCTTAACCACGGCGAAAAACTATTTTCAAAGCGCTATTTCCTCGGTGATAAAAGAAAATTTTTTGAAAAGTTCTATTCCAATCGAGCTTCTCTTGGCTTCAGCATTTTTTCTTTGCCATTTTGATATCATGTGCGGAGAAACAAATACGATTTGGATCCTTAGACATGTTTGGTCAACTGGTAGAATTGGGTTGATATTTGAGCCTAAGGAAAAAAATGATGGAGAACATACTCGAATTGATAGAAAGTTGCCTGTTTTGAGCGCTTTTGCATACCAAATAATCACCTGGCTCGTTTACTTGGATATCAGGTCTGCACTCTTCGTCGGCAATATCAGTTTTCCTGATTACATTGCTCTTGAAGATAAAAGAAGAGAAGATTTTACTGCAAAATACGAAAGAAGCTCGGACTTGGAGTATCTAACTATTGCTGACAAGTATGAGTCAAAAGCAGTGTACAACATATTTGCCCACTCACGACAAGTTTTGAGCAGTATGTATGGGCCATCCTACCCCAAAGATTTTCAATCGACTGACGATTTACAAGACCAGATTTTGGTTTTAATGGTTAAAAATATGCTCATGTTTGGAACACTAATTAGGCTAAGATGCTGGTTTGAACTGTGTGGAAACTCGACTGAATTTGATCCCCAATCTGTTCAAGAAAGAATTGATGCACTCTACATTGAAACTCAGAAACTATCATCAATCAAGGCAAATGATTCTGTGTCGCTATTCCACATCTTGATCATAAAAGCACTTGTTCATGCTTCAATAATTTACTTTGATCGGATATGCAACCCCAACATTCGAACGAACGAAAAATGTCAACTTGCTGCATACGAGATCCTTAAGGTAGCCCTTAAGCTTCGGGAAATAAGGTCTCTGAAAACCCCTGGTTCTACTCAATGGCCTTTTCCCCTCTTCATAGCAGGCGTTGAAACTGATGATGTAGTACATCAGAACTGGATTCTTGAAGAATTGGAAAGATGTGAAGAAGAAGGATGGGGTTTACATATTGGAAAGACTAAAATTCTTTTGAAAGAGTGCATCAAGCGACAAGGTAAATTAAATCAAAGAGTTGATATTGGAGCGGTAATGGAAGAACTAACGGGCTATTTTATACTATGATTCAATGCTATCTCAACGATCTAAAGAATATTGCTTTATGAAAACAGCAAATGACAATGAAACAAATTCGATCAAAATGACCAAAGAAAAGGATGTGTGGAGCATGCCAGCAAATTCTTGTTTAACTAAGCTTCTTATTCCCTGCGGAAGATTTCTGATGTCCAAAAATGAATGCATAACCTTGTCAGTAATCTGCTTGTTACCTGGAATGTTTTCCAAAGCTACAGTTAACCATTTTCTCAAAAGAAAAGAGTTTAGCGTGGATGTTAGTGAAACTCCAAACGCAGATCCTAGAACCCGGAAGAGGTAACTCATAGATGTTGCCTTAGCTTGCTCGGATTTCTTGACTGAAGAAATAATGGCCATTAATGTGGAACTCAATACCAAACCATGACCGAGTCCGCTGGGAAATAAGTATAATTGGAATTTCCAGCTTGCTGTTTCTTGCAGAAACGTTGAAACCAAAACACTTCCAACTATCTCACAAATCACTCCTAAGACAACCAACTCATAATATCTTTTGGTTTTTCTGGTTATGACTCCTGCTGTTAAAGAACCGACACACATACCAACAACACTAGTAATAAGTCTCGATCCAGCTTTACTAGCGGGTTCATCATGGATCACCTGTAAGAACAATGGAATATTGAAAGTGATTGAGAAAAAGCCCATATATCCGAAGAAATTGGTAAGACCTGAAAGTAGTGGGTTTCTACTTAATAAGACTTTTATCAGAATTATGGGGTTTTGTACCACGGATTCGACATAGAATGTCAACATAAAACAGCAAATGCTGCAACAAAGTGTTAGCAATGTTATCTGAGAAGCTCCTCTACTTTTCAGAAATTGAAGTGCAAGAAGTGCAAGTATGACAGCACCAATTAAAAAAATTGAGCCCACAAAATCTATGTCTCTCAATCTTGCCCTTGCAGATGATTTCACTGGTAAGCGAACCCGATAATGAATGATTAAAATCGATATTGCAGTGATAGGACATTGGATCAAAAATGCGTATCTCCAACCAAGACTGTCTGCCAAGTAACCTCCTACAGGAGCACCAATTACTTGACCTATACCAAATACCAAATTGGCAAATCCATTATATGTGCTTCTTTCTTTCAATGGAACCAAATCACTGACTATTATTGAACTGAGTGTTCCCAATCCAGCACCACCTATTCCCGCAACCACTCGTGCAACTAGTAACTGGGTCATAGTTTGAGCAAGATAACATCCAAAAGAACCTAGTAAGAATATGGCATTAGCATAAACGAGAACTATCTTACGGCCAAACATATCACTAAGACCACCGTACAATGGCTGAAATGCAGAAGATGAAAGCATGTACAATGTTGCAATCCATGAAGCTTGTTCTGATTTTTTGAATTCTGTACCAATTACAGTATAAGTTGCGGTGATGATAGTTGAGTCCAAAGCTGCTAAAAATGCTCCACACCAAAGTGAGGGTATAATTGCCCATTTATTGATACTCATAAAATCGTTTTGAAAGTCAGTTTGATCATTTTGCAACTTCGCACTGTCAGTAATATCATCTTCATCGGGAATTAATGAAGAATTTTCATCCATAATGAAAAGACGCGAAATCACCAATTAATTCGATATTCTTTTATCTAACCTGAACTGTGATATACCAGGTCTTACGAGCATTGAACTATGCCGCAAATGATTGTCAAAACTGGTATTACTGAATTCGGTTGCAAAATTCCAATTGGGCAGTTGCCCTTTTGGGACCCCACCGTGCGGCTCAATGGTTCCGTCAATGAAGCTAATGTTATACATGAGGAATGCCATGAGTTTCAAAATCCTTGGGAACTTGTACCATGACTCACATTTTCAATACAGTCCAGGAGTTAATTGAGCTTAAAAAGAGATATAGGAGGGTTTTCTTTATATCCTTTGTGCTCGCTATTGTCACTATAATAGCGATTTTGAAAGATCTTCAAAATAGTGTTCAAGCTGAACATGTTGATGATGTCTTGGAGTTTTGCAAGACAAGCACTATCAAGCCACATTATTCTCCAGATAGGAAAAGAATTAACGAGAGAAATGTTCTTTTCAATCATGAATCTTTCTTACTTTCCAACGCTACCATAATTGATGGTGATGGTACAATTTTGAAAGATATGGATATATTGGTAAAAAACAGTACTATTGTTCGCTTGGGGAAAAAGCTTCTGTTGACAGAATCCTACTCTACGTTTCTTGATTTGAACGGTAGTTTTGTTTCTCCAGGTTTGGTGGATATTCATTCTCATTTTGGAACAAGAGTACAGCCTCAATTGAAAGCAACGGAAGATACAAATGAGTTCCTGGGACCTATCACACCTTATGTTAGAGCAATTGATGGCTTAGACCCACAAGACCCTGAGCTTGAAAGTCTAGTAGCCAGTGGTGTTACATCCCATTTAGTTTTGACAGGAAGCAGAAACTTGCTTAGTGGTGAATCTTACGCCATAAAAATGCATAGGTCGCCCAATAATCTTGTTGATGAGCTTCTTATTCAGTACAATGCTAACATTGGAGAGGACAATAAACCAATTCGTTGGTTCAAGATGGCTTATGGCGAAAACGAAAAGTCTAGCCATGCACCAGGCTATCCTGTGAGTAGAATGGGAGAGGCCTGGGACTTGAGAAAGGTTTTTCAGGAGGGTCAAGCTTTAGTCCAGAAGCAAGATGAATGGTGTCGTAGTCCTCAATTGCAGAAAACTGAATATCCAAGGGACTTTGAGCTCGATAATGTGGCAGCTATACTTCGAGGTGATTTCAATATTAACGTTCATGTATACGAAACTTATGATATTGAGGCTCTATTGAGAATAGCTGATGAATTTGGTTTTCATATAGGATCTTTTCATCATGCGCTATCGAGTTGGAAAGTTCTTGAACTATTGAAAAATCACAACAGCTCTGTTGCAATATTTGCTGATGAGTGGGGAAAGAAGAAGGAAATGTCTGAAGGAACCGTCTATGCACCTAAGATATTGTCCGACTATGGAATTCCTGTCTCGATCAAGACAGATCATCCGGCTCTTCCTGGTCAAGATCTTCTATACTATGCTCAGATAGCACATAGTTTTGGTCTTGCACCTGAAAAGGCTATTTCTGCTATTACTTCAGTTCCTGCTTTAACTATGGGCATGGGACATCGGATTGGTTATGTCAGAGAAGGTTACGATGCAGATTTAGTTGTTTGGGATAACCATCCTTTAATATTGGGTGCAAAAGCTAAAGAGGTGTTGGTGGATGGAATTCCAATTTTCAACTTTACAAAAATCAGTGGAAAAGACAAATATGAGGTACCAAAGCAAAGGAAACAGCACCGGAACGATGCCCAACACAAAGAACATTTATTATTCTGGGCCTTGTCAACCGTATTAGTGATGATTTAGTTGACCAAAGTAAAATTTCAAAGATTTGTGATTCAGAAGACGGTCAGTATGTTGCTGTGATAGCAGAAAATGAGTTAATTTGTCTTGGTGGTTCTGAATTTTGTCAAGTTGAAAACTACGAAAACACTCCCAACGTACAGCTCAACGGGGGGTATATCCTTCCTGCAATAACTGGTTTATCACAAAGTATCGGCTTACAAGAAATGCCTAATGAGAGTGATACTTCTGATGGAATAATTCCAGATGCCATTGGTGATATTCCACATTCAGTATATGGACTTTCGCTTGATAGTTTGATGGTTGAACGTCTTCGTGATAGTGGAATCACCCTAGCAATTACAGCTCCATTGGGGGACCAATTCTTGAAAGGTGTTAGTACAAGATTTGCATTGGGTGCAAAAACACTCGATGAAGCTATTATTGATGATGCTGTGGCCATTCACTTTACAATTGGTAACTCTGCCAAGTCAGATCTGACTCCAAGTATTTCTTTCCAGATACAAAAATTGAAGCAAATACTAAGCAGCCTTGATACTGAGTATAAAAACCTTCCGATAGCTATACATACTCATAATAAGGGAGTTATAAGACAAATCATCAGACTTAAGAAGGAATTGAAGAACAAAGATTTCATTATCATTGGAGGGCAAGAAGCATACTTGATCGCTGATGAACTTGCTGCTGTCAATATTCCTGTTGTTTTGGCTCCTTGGAGATGCACAGCTAAAACTTGGGAAAATAGGTTGTGCTCTCCAAATCAGCCATTATTGGAAGAATCCTCCATAAGTATTCTCCATAATGCTGGTGTCAAAATTGCACTTGGAACAGACGATGACAATTCCGCAAGAAGACTTCTATGGGAGGCTGGATTGGCAGCGAGAAGCATAAGTGGCTTTAGTGAAGACGAAACAATTTCTCTCTTGAGCAGAAATGTCAATGAGATTTTTTCTCTTCGTCCAGCCAATGACTTCGTGATTTTTGAAGGAAATCCTTTTGACTTTGGAGCGCTGCTTGCGTTCACTTTCAACGATGGAAAACTAAGAAAGTGCTTTCCAGATTTTGAAGAACAAAAGAAAGGCGACTTATTATTTAGCCCTCAGAATTGAATAAATTTGAGTTCAATTTATTGATAGAGTAGTTAATCAAGATATTAGAGTTTTCATCCATTGGTCAAATCTAATTTCTACCCACTAAAAGCATCGGCATTTCGAATGAGTTCGTAGTAGAATACCACCCCCTCAATGTGAGCATCAAGAGCAACTCTTTCATCAATAGCATGAGCATTCAACCGCATGTCTTGTCTTATAGGTGTAAATCTGTAGATGTTATCCGACAAGTCCCAATAATGGCGGGTATCTGTATTTCCAGTCATGCAAGATGGTGCAACAGTTACTTCTCTGCTGACAGAAGGATCATATCCTTCGAAAGATGCAAAGTCCTCAAAAACATGCTTTATTGTACCACCCAAAATATCCCAGGTAGGGTTACCGTAAGGAAACGTAAGAGGGGCAGGACTAAGAGGAGAATCATCCGTAACATTAAAATATGCTTCGCTCTCAGAGTTTGTCACAATCCTTCTTCCAAATACATTTGCATTGAGAGAAAACTTCTTGGCCACTTTTGCAACTGCGTCGGTGATCTTCAGGTGAACATCTACTAAGGAAGAATCATATCCAACACGGTGATTAATTTTGACAGTAACTTTTTCTGGAAGAGCATTGATTTTCAAGCCACCAAATATAATGTCAATAGCTTGAGTAGTTGATATTAGCGCTTTAGTTGTATCATCAGCCCTTAAAACGTCAAGAACTCTCTTCTTGGCTGCAACATTTGATGAGAGCTTTAAAATATCTTTTTTGAAGGCTTTGTCCATAGCCTTTGCATTCTCAGCCTCACATTGCAACTGGTAAAAGTATGGATTTTTAGGTGTAAGATCCAAGTCGTATTCCTTGTCTTCAATTTCCTTCACAAGTTCAGCGATAATACCAATCCCTGTATGTCTTGGTGGGACTGAGGAATGTCCACCAGTAGTTATCAAGTCAATAACGACATCAATATATCCTTTTTCTCCGGTTGAAGGTAAGGCAAATCTGGAACCATATATATCCTGAATTCCCAACCCACCTTCATCAACAATCATAAAGATAGATTTTTCCCCATACTTCTTTATGAGAAATTCATTGATTGCAGTAGCTCCTTGGTTTCCACTTGTCTCCTCGTCAAACCCAAGTGCAACAATAATGGTTCTCTTTGGTTTGAATCCTCGTTTCAATAGCTCATCAAGAGCTTCGAATATTCCAATTACATTATTTTTGCAATCACTTGATCCTCTTCCCCAAAGAAATTTTCCATCAAAATGCCCTTCAAAGGGAGGGTAAGTCCAGCGGTCTGCAGTTTCATCGGGTACAGGTACCACGTCCTGGTGACCCGCCAATAATATAGGCTTCAAAGATTTATTGGAACCTTCAATTGTGAATACCAATCCATAAGTATTAACTTTTTCTAGCTTGGAATTGGAAGTTACAACAGTAAACGTTTTGACAAGATAGTTAGCAAAATCTTCAAAAATCTCCCATCTGGAGTCATCTCCAACCTTTCCTAAATCATCCCAATTCAAAGTGGGAATTCTGACTGCGTCGCTCCACACTTTTAACGAGTAATTTGAATACACGTTGCTGTGGAATTGGTCAATATTGGAAAGCTCTGCATTATTTTCAGGTACTAGTTTTTGTACTGTAGGGCATTGACTAGAAATTGTTTCTGGAATCAGCAAATATCTCTGGTTAAGAAGGTAGACAATTCCTAAGAATGACAAAATAGTCCCGATTATAGAAAAGTCCCAAAACCGAAACTTTTTTGAAGATTTGTTTTCATTACAATCGTAAAAAGGCTCATGTGATTTTTCTTGCATGTTAATTGGATAACCAATGTTCAATTGGGTACGGAACTAGTTTCCCCTTTATCTACAATCTACAGTTGCGAAATATGAACGGCGCGCGCAGATAATTCTAATCAGGAACCTTCCTAATATGACCTTTCTATTGCGAAAGAAATAGCCAACAAGGTGACGTTGTTTCATGAAAGACGTTTTTCAAGCTACTACAGCTATAGAGTACGTTTGTTGGGTCTCTTCTATTTCCTATCGCAAATTACCGAACATGGCAATTGCCTAAAATAGCGGATGAGTTAGACAGTAATTGGATGGTATCATGAACCAAGAGTAATCCAAAAGAAACAACTTTCCTCATTGTCGGCGAGTTTTGACTTCCCCTTCATTTAACTCTTGCTAAAATTTAGAACCAACGAGAAAATCAGTAATATGTTTGCAGCGTCTGATTTGAAAGACAGAAAAAATGAACTATTCAAGTTTGCACTTTTGTGGGCATTCTTGTTGTCCTTGTTTGTCTTCATCACGAACATTCAGCGTAATACCAAAATTGAAGTGAATTCAACTCGTCAGAGATTTTTGCTGGAAGGTTTGGAATACTGTAAGACGAAAGATCAGATCCCAAAAATGTTAAACACAAACGAAAGAAAAACCAATCCTCGATATGAACTATTCGCAAATGGGCATTCTGATGGCTTTCCTTCTTATACAATTATCAAGAATGGGTTGATAATCGACGGAGATGGTTCTACTAGTGAGCACAAGATGGATATATTTATCAGGCAAGGACTTGTACATTCTGTGATGAGGTCAGGTTCAGCTTCTAGTACCCAACTTGAGGATTATTTGAATTCAAAAAATGCAATCACCTCCAGAATTGATGCCAACAATCATTATATTACTCCTGGACTTGTTGAGATGCATTCTCATATTGGAATTTGCAGCCAGCCTGAATTGAAAGGTAATAATGACATGTTTGAAACCATGAGTCCTGTAACTCCTTTCACAAGAACAATTGATGCTTTCAACATTGGTGATCCTGCTATACAATTGGCTTCGGATAGTGGAGTAACTGCTGCACTAATTCTCCCAAGTGCCAATTTGATTTCCGGGGAAGGGTATGTTTTCAAGATGATGGTTCCTCCCTCTAATTCTGTTGAAGAAATGCTAGTCCAATATGAAGATACGGGCTTGAAACAGCGCTGGATGAAAATGGCTTGTGGGGAAAATCCTAAAAGACGTTACAAGACTCGTCCAGAAGCACCCAAGAGCAGAATGGGTCTTGGACATCTCTTCCGTCACACCATGGATAGAGCTAAAGTTTTAAAGAATGCCCAGGATGCGTGGTGTGATTCGGTACTTCAAGACAAAGAAATGCCTACTACTGCGTTCCCATTAGACGATGAATTGAACATGTTGGTTGACCTCATGAGAGGTAAGGTTTTGTCAAATGCCCATTGCTACGAAACTTACGATATTGAAACTTTGTTGCGCCATGCAAAAGAATATCAAATTGAGATCAATGCCTTGCACCACTCTTTAGATGCATACTTGATTCCGAAAATAATCAAAGACCAGCCTTATAATATAACTTTGGCTACTTTTGCTTCACAGTGGGGATTCAAAAAAGAAGCATTTCAAGCAAGTGTCTTTGCACCAAAGATCTTAGAGAAGAACAATTTGAGTGTGGTATTAACTACAGACCATCCTGCTCTACCTCAACAATCGTTACTTTCTCAGGCTCAAGTTGCTCACCATTATGGTTTGTCCGCTGAGAAGGCCATAGCTAGTATCACTGGGGAAGCTGCAAAAGGTTTGAAATTAGATGACAGATTTGGTTATTTGAGAAAAGGATATGATGCCGATGTTGTTATATGGAGTGATCATCCTCTTCAAATGGGAGCTAAACCTTTAAAAGTTTTCATTGATGGAGTGCCGGCTGTCGATTTGCCTATAGTTGCAAAATCAGAATTGGCACTTGCTCCTAAATCTATTCCAGAATTTACCGATGAAGAAATTTATAAAAGAGAGCTTGAAAACCTGTCGACTGTGCTTTTTACTGGTGTTACTGCGTCGTATGATACTTCCATTGGGAAATTACCCAACTCAGAGCCATGGGAACTTTTTATTGCAAATGGTACTATCGTATGTTTTCAGCTGGATTGTTCGGAACTTTATTCAACAAATCAAAAAATTCCTAAAATACATCTTGAAGATGGCCATATTTCACCAATGCTTACAACGCTTACTCCAAGTCATGGTCTTAACGAAATGAATTTGGAATCTTCAACAGGAGATGGCATTCTCATGGAAGCGATGGACGATGGGCAACTAGGTGATTTCAGAATTCCAGATAACATTCCTATTGCTAATGATGGACTTCAATTTGGAAGTGTTCATTTGATAAGAGCTTTTGCGACAGGTATCGGGAACATTATAACTCCACCTGCTAGAGGTGAAGGAAAAATGTTTATGGCCGGAGTCAGCACTGCTTTCAAGTCGAATTCTGATGATTTTTCTTCCGTTTTAAAGGGAGAAGTTGCTCTACACATTACCATTGGTGATATGGGAAAGCAAGTATTTGTGCCTACTATTTCTTCTCAGATATCAACTTTGAGAACAGTATTGATCAAGAATCGCAACGAAGACAATTTCTACGGTAGAGCTGCAAGAAATGAGCTCCCATTGGCTATCCATACAAATAACAAAGATGTCATGCTACATCTACTTCGGTTGAAACAAGAGCTCGGTATTTATATCATCATAGTTGGAGGTATTGAGTCACATTTGTTGGCTACTGAATTGGCTGCAAATAATGTTCCAGTTGTTGTATCTCCATGGCAATGTCAAAGAAAATATTGGGATGAAAGAAGATGTCTTACTGGTTTAGCGGGTCAAGGAAGTCTTCTCTCATCGCTTGTGAAAGCTGGGGTAAAAACGGGACTTAGTTCCGATGACGATACAAAAGTTCGTTTGCTTTTACATGATTCTGGTCTTGCGGCATCTTTGGCTGGAATTTCAAAAAACGAAATTATCAAGATGATTTCCACTAATATGGAAGAAATCTTCAATCTTACAGTCTCGAAATCTCCCTCATTAATCATATCTGAGGGCTTTCCATTAGCGTATGGATCTCGAATTGCTGCTTTGATTGACGGAGGAACTCTATTTAAAGTGTATCCTGATTTGGAACCAGCGATTGATCTCTACAGTTGATTATGTATTGAATAAACTACTACAATTTACATATTTTGCTAAGTTCGAATGAACTGAATTCCCATCGTCTTATCGGGCAGATACCAAACGGGATATCGCGTTCCAGATCGGGAAGCTTCCTATTTCGGACGTTATCTCGATACTGAGTCAATGATTTTCAGATCTAAAGACAAAGCCGTCATGCTATAAGGAGATCGATAAATTGAAGGCCCCACATTGTCATTATTTGACATTAAGTCTCATTTTTCAAGGTGTTCACTATTCTTTCATCAGTTATAATTGAAAAACAAATAAAATGGATTCGAAAAACATGTTTGAAGTAGAGACAAAGAGCGTTGAAAACAAAAATCTTTCTCAAGAAAAATCCAATGTGGATGTTGCTCTTGAAGTTCTTGGTGATCTTGACCATGTCGAATATACTCCAGAGGAAGAAAAAAAGGTTCTTCTCAAGATTGATTTACATTTGATGACTTTTATGATTGGCTCGTATATCTTGCAATTTCTCGACAAAAATGCGTTATCTAACTCTTCTGTTTTTGGTTTACTGGGTGATTTACACTTGGAAGGTCAACAATACTCATGGGCTGGTTCCATATTTTATTTCGGCTACCTAATTGGTCAACCTATTGCCAGTCGTTGTTTTCAATGGTTTCCATCTCAAAGTATGTTGGAGCTTGTCTTGTAATGTGGTCTGTCATTTTGGTATGTACCGCTGCTGCTCATAACTTTGCTGGTCTTGCCTGTATTAGATTTTTCTTGGGAGTTTGTGAAGCCACCGTCTCTCCAGCTTGGGTTATTTTAACTTCAATGTGGTATAAAAAAACTGAACAGCCAGTTCGTGTTGCAATTTGGTACTGTGGTAATGCCATAGGTGTCATTTTTGGTGGCTTGATTGCTTATGGATTGGGACATATAAATTCCAACATAGCCAGCTGGAAATGGTTCTATATCATTTACGGTATCATCACTTTTTTTTGGGGAATCATCATCTATTTTTTCTTACCCGAATCAATTGCATCATGCAAGTTTTTGAATGAAAGGGAAAAGCTCGTGGCAATTGAACGGATTAGAGAAAACAAAACTGGTATTAAAAACAATACTTTTAAGTGGGATCAATGTAAGGAGGCATTCCTTGACCCACAAGTTTGGCTTCTAGTTTTGATCGAGTTTGTTGGTTGTTTACCAGCGGGTGGTATTCAAAATTTTGGAAATCTTATCTTGCAGTCTTTTGGTTTCACTTCTTTCCAGACAGTATTGATCAATATGTCTTCTGGGGTAGTTCAAGGTTTATTCTTAATATTTTCTGGTATTATTGTTGGAATTGTATCTAATTTCGGCTTGTCATGTGCAAAGCATTGCAATGTTTCCTTGTATCATTGGTACAGCATTGGTATCACAAGTTACCAAATCACCCCAATTCAACTAGAGCTGGTAAGCTTGTGGCTTTTTGGATTCAATATGCAAATACCGCTAGTGATGTTGGTATTTTTACGCTTATGACTCGAAACATATCTGGTTTTACCAAAAAAACGGTTTCCGGAGCAATGATATTTGTTGCATATTGTGTTGGAATGATAGCTGCCCCTCAGTTTTTCAAGACGTCACAAGCACCAGGTTATGAAGAGGGTTTCAGAATGATGATGGTCACTTGGGCCCTTATTAGTTTTTCTTCCCTCAAATTCTTAGACTTTACTATAAGCGTGAGAATAAAGAGGGAGAGACAAAATTGATGAGTGAAGAGCCGAAAGAAATTGACGAAGAAGAATTTCAGGACTTGACTGATATGCAACAACGTGGTTTTCGTTATATTACATAGGTTCAGTTCGGTAGAAACATGTATTGATGTCTTTGTTTCAAGCTTTATTTCTACGAAACACAAGTTAGTCTTGATTGTTCAACCTTATATTTCCACAGTAACCTACCACTCAAATTCTTTTCAATATTTGCAAGTATGATTCATTTACTTTGCGTATCCTGTAACGAGAATAATAACTATCTTGGTGAACCAGACAAAGTATGGCACTGATCGAAGGAATTGATACAGTTCTAGAAACACTCATATTGTATTGGCTCGATGCACATCTCAAGTAACCCATAAATCGGCGTATCTGTTCAATGGTGTTGGAGACAGTATAGCTTAAACCAGCTTATACGGTATACTTTTATAATTCCATCTTCAAGACAAACCTGAATACACATTAAACTTGCGGTATTCAATAGTAAAGCCAGACATGGATAGAGCGTGCAGGATAATGGTTGCAAAAATTACCCGATTGGGAAGAATCGGCGTAAGGCTGTGGAATGAATTGAACGTCATAGTAGAAGAAGACCCTCTTCTGTTTGTTAAGGACTTCGGACAATAATCCAATGTTGCTTCTAAAATGAAAATATTAGTGACGGTATACAGCTAGATCCTGAGAACTTTCACAATCGCAAATACTGAATTTTTCGATATACCTTTAAATTTACAAGCGATGAAAATCACCTCGATACGTATAACCAGTCATTGTTGAAAATTTTCTTAAGCAAGGCAGTTGCAACAATCGCTATCTCATTATGTGCATCAGCTTGTTGCAAAATTTTCTCAATGATTAATTTGCAGCCAATTGTGGTGCGACATATGGTAGATTCCTGAACCAAAATTAGATATTGTTGGATGATACTAAAAGACTTCTTTGGTCACTAGGGGTTGGTAGATCTATGTAGGTGTTTCTCAAGTGTTCAATGTTTTTCTTGGTGGTGTCACACTTCATGCGAGATGGTGTAGCTTGATGCATGATAACGCAATATAATCTGAACACCTTTTTTTCCGTGGCTATGTACCCCTGAAAGTTTATAATGAGCCTAAATACTCTACCTTATGAAATAGTTGCACGTTGCTTTTCATACTCGAGCGCAGAATTACTCACCGATATAATACTATTGGAGAACATTTCTGATAATATACTACAAGCTGCAGCTGAAAACCTTGATAATTTATGGTATTCAAAGCGTGTTCGAGGGGTCGAAAAGGAAAGGGTTGAAAGTACTGAAGCCTACTATGAAACTGATTTCGACCGGTTTCTACGAATACACAAGATTCTCGAAGAAAAGTCACTCAAATGTCCTCTTTGGTTCCATTTTACATGGAAAAATATTTTTGAAATGCACCAAAATCTCGATGAAATCAACTTGGTTTGCAACGGCCAAAAGCTAGGTATCCATGCCGACCTCGAAGATGGGGCGTTCCAATACTATCCTATTTTGTCAGACCATGATATCAATCTCAAAATTACTTGCCTTTCATTGAAAACTTCTTATATTCATTTTGAGCGTTGTATCGATTTAAACAATTTCCCGAGATTGGAAACTTTTTATGGCTATAATTGCGAAATAAGCGTTGACCACAACCACCTCAGCTTGAAGAATGTATATCTCGACCAGGTGACTTTCAGCTCATTACCGACTAATTTGGTAAAATTAGTAGCATCAAGGTGTTGCATAAGAATGAGTGAGTCCCATCTAAAACTAAAAGCTCTCAAAGTTTTGGCTCTAGAATGCACACTAGAACCTTTCAATTGCTCCTCGCTAGTCAGAAGTCTCTGGAATGAACATTTAGAACATTTTTCTTGTATCGGTCAAGGAGTAACAGATGAGGATGAAATCTTCTCCAAGCTTGGCTCCAAAATGAAAAGTCTTAAATTGGTTGGTTCCATTTCTGCTAGGGTTCCCACGCAGCTATGCTCATTATACTCCATAAATGGTGAAAACCTTGAAACCTTGACTGCTTTTAGCCATATGAGATCTCTTATATTGTGGGAGCCATCAGGTAACATCAACAGTTGTAAATTACCGCTCAATTTGCTCGAACTTATATTGTATCTGCCAGGTGAGATCGACAGCTTAGAATTTCCTCTGAATTTGCTCAAACTTTCCATCACATCTGCTAAGTTTAAAGACTTGACCAAAGTTGAATTTCCACCAAAATTGATTGACCTCGAAGTGGAGCTGTGTGATATTACTCTGACTACCGGCTGGCTAAAACCAGCACAATTGAAAAACCTTTCACTTGCGAGAAATAAGCTTTCATCATTCAATGCTTTTCTTCCTTGCTGTGAACACTTGTGCTTAAAATACAATAAAATAAAGGAAGTTCGAATTGAAGCTCCTTTTCTTCAGCATCTCGACTTGAACAAAAATAAGTTGACTTCAATTCCAAAACTTCCAGCTTGTGTCAAGGTACTTATGCTCAGTGAAAACAAGCTAGATATCTCCCAGATGTCTGAATTGCCTTCGAATGTCAAGCTTTTAGACCTTTGCAGAGCTGGGACTGGAGCTCTTCAAAACTACACATTCCCATCATCAATTCAAGAACTAAACCTTAGCGAATTAAACTTGTCAGGTATGAATGGAGTCAGGTTTTCCAAAGGATCAAGATTGAAAGAATTGAATATGAGCAATTGTCGTCTAACTAAAATCGACGACAAAATTATTGAGTTACCCTTCGGCTTGAAATCACTAACCTTGCTCCTAAATAATTTGCACAACATCGATGATCTCACCATTCCGCCAACAGTAACTTTCTAGACTTGGGACGA